AAAATAAAAATATATAAAAAAATATATAAAAAAGACTACCACATGGGTGTTTGAGATCTTGATCCTTGTTGACGTTGCTGTTGCTGTTGTTGTTGCTGCTGTTGTTGTTGCTGTTGTTGTTGTTGTTGATGCTGTTGCTGTGCTTGTTGTTGACGTTGTTGTTGTGATTCAGATGGAATGGGGTACTGAGGATGACTTAATCCCACAGGTACATTCTGTCTTTCCTCCTCGCTACTCCCTCCCCCTCCTGTTGCCCCTCCTGTACCAGCTGTCCCATTGCCTCCTCCTCCTCCTCCTCCTCCTCCTCCTCCTGTGGATTGTGATCTCCCATTCTGATTACTGAAATAACTATTCCATTCATCAATATCAAATGACATGGGAACACCCCAAAATGCAGTTCCAATAGGATCAAATGGTCTATCATCCTCATCCTCCTCATTCGTACTGTAAGTCAAATCATTACGTGGGTTATACACAGGTGGTGTATATGGTTCCGACTTAAAATTGACAGCAGGTGGTCCTTGTCCTTGACTCACATACTGTGTAAGGTATTCTGGAAACTTGTGTTCTGTACCACGTTGAGCATCAATAGGATTTCTAAATTCCAAGGGAGATAAAGGTACTGCATTTGCAGATACATGTTGTTGTTGCTGTTGTTGTTGCTGTTGTTGCTGTTGATGATGTTGTTGTTGCTGTTGTTGTTGTTGTTGATGTTGTTGTTGCTGATGTTGTTGCTGTTGTTGCTGATGTTGATGTTGTTGAAGGTGAGTAGGACCAGAGGGTCTCAAGACAGGTGAATTAGGCACTGCAATAGAAAGTGATTCATGTTGATCTGTATTGGATTTTGGATCACGATGATAACCTTCATCCACATTCTCAAGATTAATATCACGCAAGCCGGCCAATTCACCCAAGATATTACAATGACGTGCAGAAGTGATCCAAGTAGCTTCCACCTCATCCATGGCACGAATAATCTTGTTAATACTGATTTTAGCTTCAAAGGCAAACATGCTATCGGAAGATAAGGCATCATTGATAAAGATGATACCTGCGGTAAACATGAAATACAGGGCATAATTGTTGACATTCTTCAATCTTCCTTCTGCCATTAAACACACCACAATGTCCAGAATCTTATTGGCTGCAAATGTACAGATGGAGGCAGATGGAAAGACGGACGGAGTTCCTGTTTGTGTAGGACCCGGGATAAAGGGACGATGTAACAGGATCAAGGAAGTGTAAAAGAGCATGTGAATTTGGCATAGTTCTAACTTTGGAGCGGGTGCCTTTTCAGCCATACGAGTATTAGGAACACGGTATTGAGACCAAGGAGGTAATTTGGCCATCCATTTATTCAAGGCACGATCTAGTTTAGAAATGACAGTATCTGGAGATGCCATCATACTGACTTGTTTACGACCTTGTACCATGTATAATTGACATAGAATATCACCCAATATCTCACAGAGTTTGATCAATTGATGGAAATCTTCCATGATGGTAGGCTTATTGTGTTTATCATCTTCATCCACTTCTGAAGGGTAAGGTGTATCTAGATCCCGTTCATCAATCATGGGTGCTCTGCCATGCATTGCACAGGTTAAACGATCGACCACAAAACAACAATAAAACACGCGCTTGCGTTCCTCTTTTTCTTCATCCGATAAATTCCACGAATCACAGTTTCTGTTCAGACCCAAGTTTTGACACATGCGGAAGGCTAGACCACTGTACAACCAACCACGAATATTCTTGAGAGCTCCGTTTTGATGACTACTTAGGAGCAAAAGTGATTGGACGGTGGATACTCTAAAATCGTCCCATTCAAGGTCAAGCAAGATGCGAGCTCTTTCGAAAAAGATATCACCAGCGGTATCACGTAAAGTAGGATCTGATCTGACGCGGACATCGGGTGAGATACGGGAAGCTACTGCGTAGATTGCGTTTAATAACAAGGGAGGAGGTTGATGATCTGTATTGAGTGAAGCGAGGAATGATTTCTTGTGAAGCAAGGGTAAAAATGGATAGAAATGAGTGAAATAGAGATCCATCAGATTTTTAGCCAAATCAGGCGGTGGTAATTCGTAAGGATCCACGGCTAATGGATTTGGCAGAATATTTTGTCCGTCCTGTTTTTTGCTACGATGATATCCTCTTGAGTTGAAATGAAATGCTCCATTTTGAAAGTTCTTACTACTACGTAGCATGTAAAAACCAGATGATTTACCATAGTAACGTAACTGTCCACTTTCATCGATCGATAAATTACCCAAATTATCATTAGGATTCTCTCCAGTGGTTGTTTCCCCATTTCGCTTGTGTGTCGGTGAATCAATCAAGATGGGTGTGTCGTGAATAATCGCTTCCGGGTTCTTACTCTCGTCAAAGTGTGAGCGTGCTGGGCGTGGTCTGACCAATTCACCGTACGCCGTTTCCAAGGGTGAATTCAATTCAGCCAAAATTGCCTGGGATCGTGGATCATCCTCTTGAATAATGCTGCCCAATAATGCTTCTAATCGATGTAATCTACCTTCAATTGCCTCAATGTATCCCTTGGGTGGTCCTCTCTTTTCATATACACACACAATACGTCAAAATCACGGACACATGTCACTTTTTTTTTTTTAATTTTTCACAAAATAGGCTTACCTTTTTCGTGGATTCCTTATATGTACAGGCTAAACCTAAAGTAGCACAGTTACTACAAACCGCTTGCACTCCATCGCACTTGACTTTCTTTCGTCGGCATTGTTCGCTTTCATATACAAATTTATTTTAATTGACATTCTTGGAGAAAGTATACGCCATGAAATACTTACCATGCTTTACTAACACGTTGTCGTTTATTCGCCTCCTCTGGCATTCTTGTAATGACAATACACACACACACACAAAAAAAAAAAAGAGTGAGATTCGAAAATAAGAAAAGAAAGAGTGAAAAAAAAAAAAAAAAAAAAAAGAGAGTCTTAGTACAATGCGCCTCGGCTAATTAAATTCCCGTCCGTGACAATACGGGGTAATGATACATGAATAAGTATAGCTTTTTTTTATTTTATTTTATAAGGGAAAGGTGATTATCTTTTGGAATAGCCAGCACAAGTCCACATGATAAGTTTCCAGATAATGGCAATAGCAGCTAAAGCGGCGACGACAATGCCACCGTAAAGCATACCGTCGTGTAACACTTTGCTACAAATGGTGCCACATGCATTTTGAGCTTGATCTATGATATCAGCACATTGATTGTTACATTTATCAGTGACCACTTTAGAGGCAATCATCATGGCTACACCTGCTGCTAGAAAAGCTACACTGATCAATAAACAAAAGAATGAACAACACGTAATAGCAGGATTATAACAACAACAACACGGGCTCTTCTTTTCTTCTGTATAAGGTCTTAATTTATAGCTGTCTGCTTCATTCTCGGGTGCTAAAGTGGGTTTCACCACATAGGGTTGATATTCTAACTTTTGTTTCTCTAGTCGCTTACGTTCCTTTCGACTCATGGCCGGTGGTTGTTGCACCATGGGTGTCTTTTCTGGTTCTTCATTACCCATGACCTCTTCCTTATAAAACGGGATAGTCTTGGTCTCTTCCTTTTTTGGTTCGTGCTTCATATACTCCTCTCTTTCTTGGCGTAAATAATCGTCTAACGAACTTTGTTCATTGTGAAACTCATTTAGACCCACATGACGTTCCTCATCGACATTGTGGTGGTAATAGTTTTGTGCTTGGTAGTAACTAGTAGGTGGAGGCACATATGCTTCCTGTGCTGGAGGTGTGTATGTTTGTTGAGGTGCTGTGTAAGGTGCTGTGTATGTGGGTTGTTGCTGAGCTGGAGCATAAGATTGATGTACAGGTGGAGTGTGTGCGGGTGGAGTGTGGTATGCGGGGGAAGAATACACAGGTGCTGTAAAAACAGGCTCTTCCGTCACTGGGCTTTGTAGTGGAGGTGGAGGAGGATATTGGCCTGCAAAAGGATCTGGGTGAGAGTTGCTATTATACATTATTTTTTAGTTTAATTATTTTTTAATTGAGAAAAGAAAAAAAAAAAAATGAATAGAATCCAAAAAATCTTTTTATATAATCCCCTCGATTATTTTTAGAAATACCTTGGCACAAGAAAAAAAAAAGGCTTGCCAGAAAAGGTAGTTGGTATAAAAACAATCACAGCCACATCACAAGCCAAAAAATAATAATAATAATAAAAATGTGGCCGCGCTTATTAAAGAACACTTTATTATTCGGACAAATGAAAAGACAAATAATAAAAATTTACTTTGTACAGCAGTGCGAATGGAGACTTTTGAGTAAAATGTTCATCTCAAGTCAAGGCATTACCGGTGTCACAAGAAATCTAATAAGGAAAATATGAGAAGACTAGAGTATTGTAAGCATGAACAATGATTTATATACTTTTTTTTGGGGGTATAGATGACAGTTAAGGCTCTGATAAAACAAGCTGCAGACACTCTTCGTCAGTAAATTTGCAAATTATGCATCAATCACAATCATAACCAGAAGCTTACAAGAGCCTATTATCGGACATAACTGATAAATGGGCTCTTAACACCCAATACCTATCAATGTCCATGATAAAACATATTGAGAACCATTTGCTCGATGTTATGCTTACTAACGAGTCAGCGGTCAATTATGATGTCTGCCAAGATCTCCAGTTCTTTGAACAATTAAACCCCGAAGACGGCATTTACAGAAATAAACAATTATCTCATCCTCAGCTCTTGGTAAATCAACATAAATAGCATGAGTAGTTAGAAAGTAATGTAAACTTAGTATCAGTATCATTGTATAACTTTGTATGTAGGAAGTATGTTTATGGTTATCAAACATTTTTATTTAAGCTTAAATATAAAATCAAAAAGTCGAAAAAGGCTAATTGGTGTACTACTCCTTGTTCCCTTCATGCTGTCCTTTCAATGCTTGTAAAGTCATGTATGTACAATATCGTCAGAGCCACGTCAATAATAAACTAATCTGTGGTTGTAGTTAACGGCAAAGGTTTACACAAAAAGACTAACCATCACACGATCGGAAGCCATTTACAATACCAACATGATTTTTTCATACGTCGAAGCTGTCCTTTCAATGATGAATGATAGTCAGTACTCGCCATATTTCGTGCCAGAGGAAGATGAGCTTGAGGCAATGACCAACCAGCTAAAAAAAAAAATGGGCCAGAAGCCCGATAAGCGCAAAATCTACAAAGCTAATGATTTTATTCGTTTGGGTGTCTGTTTTGATCTGGAAGTGCCCATTCTTAAAACTGCGGGTGCTTTTGGTCACGAAGACTATGGAAAAACCGCATTTGACAATTCAAAAGACATGTTTACTTTACTCTTGATGCCTAAGACCGGCTAGGATTTCTTAATGCTATAATGTCTTTGCTTTCAGTCATGTTCCCTGGCACCTTACTGGTGAGCACCTTCATGGAACAGTTACTTTTGAGGCCCATTAATATTTCTTGTAGTGCTGTCCATGAGTGTTGAAACTAAATTTAATAATTCGTGGCCTTCCTCCAGTGACTTGCCCTCAACCAATTGTTTAAATTGGTCAAAGGCAGACTAAGAATAATAATTAACATACTAACCGATTGAAGTACAACTCAAAAATCTGAATATCACAAATACAGTACTTACTGCAGAGTCAAATTCTTGAATATGAGGATTTTGCCTTGGATGAACGTATTTATGGTCGAACCGCTTGGTCCATGAGGCCTCTGCTGTTTCTTCATCTGGCAGCAAGCTTCCCTGTCAGCATGAAGGTGTAACGACTCAGTTTAACACAAAAACGTGTGACACTATTTTTTTCTGGGCTATAACTAAGGTCAATAATAGTCTTTCAAACAAATCATTGTTTCATTTTACCTGTATCGATGGAAGACACGGTTGTATTCGCGTCAGCCAAGAACTTAATCTACTTTTGCTTAAACCCAACCTCTGTAGTAGCTACCGCAGTTGGGTGGTGTGTCTGATAAAAAACTATAAGTTTGTAACAGCTAAAGAGTTCCATTTACTATTGGCTTACCTTCTGCTTCTCATTGCCACTTTCCTGGAGCTAATTCAAGAAGATGTCGCTCTGGGCCTAAAGGCTGAGGGAGAGCATCAATTACATAGTAAATAAGAGCCGTTTATCTGAGATTCCTACGTGATAATAATCACCCTTAGCTTAAAAAAATGATGAATTAAATAACATAGATATCATAAACGAAGATTAACACACAGAGTAATATTATTAGCACTGCCAGAGGTTTTGGTGCGAGTCTTGGCAGCAGGATACAATAAATGATTTATGTACTGCTTAACGTTGAGAGGGATACCCCAGACGTTTTCTTGTTTTATATTTAAAACATTTGATGGAATGTTTCTCAACATCCGCAGCAGATTTATCGTTGAAGTGTCTTTGGTAGATAATTTGTATCATAAGTTATAACACTTTTGTATATAGTCGAAATGTCATAAGAGATCATGTTTTAGCTTTTGAGCAATACGTATAATTTTTCTTAAACGAGATACACTTTAGTCATCACTAAATTTGAGCTATGATTCTGGCAGATTATATTGACACTTTAAATTACTAAGACAAAGTGTAACCTAACTAAACTTCCAAACAAATAATGACTGCTTGTTACAGTTGAATCCATTTATCTCCGCTTCTGAATGGAGCAAATCGCTTATGCCATAACCTTGAACTTTGATTCTCTCTAAAGTTTATTTTGAGGGTGGGGAGCTGCTATAAAATCTGAATTTCCAAAAAAGGTAAGCTGCTGTCTGGAGGTAAGCTTTTTGATTGGTTTAAAAAAAAAATAAAGATAGATATGACACAATAAAGTGTGAAAAAAAAAAAGTTGTGGTACTCAATTCTGATTCGCTGATGAATTGCCTTTTATAAAAAAATAGTACACAGAAAAAAAAAAAAAAAAAAAAAAGAAAAAAGTTTTGCCTTTGTGTTGGGAAAATATAATAATAGCAATGGTAAATTTTTTTTTTTTTTTTATTATTATTATTTGGGCTTTTTTTTTTTTTTTTTTTTTTTTTTTTTTAAAAGATATTTTTTTTTTTGCTTTTTCTATTGTTGCGTTATTGTTTTTCTTTTAGATGTTTAAAAAAAAGATCTAATGTACAAGATTCTATAGTATCAACCAGTGTATGGCTATGGCCAACAATCTCAATCTCAACAACAAAAACAACAAAATTACGGTTATACTCAACAAGGGGATACAAACTATTCTCCCCCACAACAACAAACTTATTCCCCTTCTGAGGGTCGTCCCCCTTCCACCAGCGCAAGCACAGCCTCTTCAAACACTACCAACTTACCCAACTTTAATGCTTATATTGCTCAGCAGGTGAACACAGCAAACTCCCCTGCTGCTGTCGCCACAGCTGCTGCCGCTGCTGCTGCCGCTACTACAACGGCGACTCCTACGGCTACTTCTAGTGGTGCTGCTACTGCTGTCACCAATACGCCATCATCCACTTCCACACCCAATAACAATACCACACCTAAATCAACTCCCATCCTTGATAAAATCACAAGTACAACGTCTCCTCAATTAGCTACCAAACTGAAAGAACCTTCATCTTTAAAACAACAGTATAGCTATCCCATTCGTCAGTCGCCCATCAACAACAACAATGAGATATTAAAAGCGGGCAATTTCGCTCCTAATCCTTCTTATCGATCTCCCATCACCTCTCCTACACAAGCATACTCTTCTAATGCTTTTAACTCGGTAAGTTTTTTCTTCCTCTTCTTTTTTTTTATGACATGGGTATTTTTTTGTTTTTTATTTTTTTTTTGTTTACTCACACTCTCAACGCGCCTATTTATTTAGCAGGATATCGTGGCTGGTCTCACTCAACCCAACTATTCATCACACCATAGTCCTAGTACAGATTTACCCACTTTACCTCCCTTAAACGTTTCCTCACCTCAACTGACCACCAGACAAAGATGGACACCTGACGACGAGAAATTAGCTCGGTAAGTCTTTTTTTTTTTTTTTTTTTTTTTTTATTCTTATTACTATTATCCTAACAACTGTCTACAGTAGATCCTCTACTACATTGGCATCCTCTTCTACACAGCCAGACCCTTCCGTCTTGATACAGTATCACAATGTGCCTGCTAGAGAAGAGCGTCGTTTGATGTCTCCTTACCCTCAACATCATCAAGTTCAACAGCATCAAGCTCAGCATCATGCTCAACAGCAGCAACAACAACAACAACATGCCCAACAACAACATGCTCAGCAACAGCATGCCCAACAACAACAACAACAGCAACAGCACGCTCAACAGCAACATGCTCAACAACAAGCGCATCATGCTCAGCAAGCCCAACATGCTCAACAGCACCAACAACACGCCCAACAGCAGCAGCAACATGCTCAACAGCAACAAGTACAACAACAGCATGCTCAACAGCAACAAGCACAACAACATCATTCCCAGCAACAACATCAACAACATCAACAACAGCAACAGCAACAACAACAGCAGCAACAACAGCAACAGCAGCAGCAACAGCATGCTAAACAGGTACAACAGCAAGAGATATTTGGAGGTAATGGCGAAGTGGGACCTTATGGATGTGGCGTGATGAACTGTTTCGCCAGTTTCTCTGCCTCCAACGGCTTATTCTATCATATGAAGAATGTGCATCCCAACATTGAGGATATCTTTAAACCTTACCGTTGTGCTATGCCTACCTGTCCTAAACGTTACAAGAACATTAATGGATTGCAGTATCATCTTCGAGAAGCCAAGGGGTCTTCGGGTCATGGAGGTTTAAATGGGCATGAATCGGGCGAACAAGCCAATGTCAAACCTTACACCTGTCCCATCCCCGGATGTAAAAAAGCATATCGAACTTCCAATGGGTTACGTTACCATCAAGTCCATGGTCATAATTTGCAACCTCATGGTGCCATTTTGGAAGCCAATCAACATGTCATGCATACGTTACAAGGTATGCCTCGCCAACGTCCCATTGTTGTTCCTCCTCCACCTTCAGCGGCAGCAGTAGCAGCAGCAGCTACTGCAGCTGGTCGTGTACCTATTCAAAATTTGATTCCTCAAAGTGCCGGTCATCAACAACTTCATCAGCAGCATCATGCTTCCATTCAACAAGTGTCTGCTCAACAGCAACACGCCCAACAGCAGCAACATGCTCAACAGCAGGCAGCAGCAGCTCAGCAAGCCGCTCAGCATGCTCAGCATGCCCAACATGCTCAACATGCTCAACAGCAGGCAGCTCAGCATGCTCAACAACAGGCAGCTCAGCATGCTCAACAACAGGCAGCTCAGCATGCCCAGCAACAGCATGCCCAACAACAGCATGCTCAACAACAGCATGCTCAACAACAAGCTGTGCGTCAGCCATCAGGACAACAGCAACAACCAAATGGTAATCAACAATCCTTACCTCAGTTTCGTATGCAAAGAGAAAAATGGCCAACAAATAACATTTAGATAACCCAAAAAAAAAAGCTCATATTAAATATTCACAACAATAAAAAAAAGAATATAAAAAAAAAAGGACATAGGATGGGGTGGGTTGGTCATGCTTAATTTTATTATAATAACAAAACTAGATGTATAAGGGGAGAGAGTGAGTGGATGGAATTTAATCGAAAAGACCGAAACCCATATCGTCATCAGACTCTTCCTTTTCCTCTTCCTTCTCCTCGGCAGCAGGAGCATCGGAGGAAGCGGCAGCGGCACCAGAGGCAGCAGCAGCACCACCAGTGGGGACAGAAGACATCTTTTCTTGACCCTCAGCAATGAGCTATAATAAGATTAAAAAAAAAAGTCAGTTTATGAACATGTGCACATAACCAAACATGGACAAATTACCTCTTCAATGTTCTTGGAGGCAAGAGCAGTGATCAAAGAGGAAACACGTTCCTCCTCAGACTCAATACCAACAGAGCTCAAGAGAGTCTTGATATCAGCAGCGGCAGGGCTGGCCTTTCCACCGGCGTTAAGAAGAAGATAAGCAGCGAGATACTTCATGACTATAAGATATATATATATTTAGTTTCACTTCTTCATCCATCCATCCATCCATCCTTCCCCCTCATTCATATGTATGTGTTGCTTTACCTATTTGATAAACTTGCGTAAGTAACGATTTAACTCCTGTGAGATACGAAACGCTCGGAAGATAACCAGAAAAACAGATTTCCACTATTTTCAAAGGCACTTTAAAAACAAAAAATCAGGTTCAAACCGCGGGACTTCTATTGAAAGCCCGATCTACATTTTTCTCATATAAACACACACACACACACACACAACAACAACGCCTGATAGTTTGTTATTGTCACTTTTTTTTTTTTTTTTTGCATACAAAATGGACTCACTAGATACCATGGACGGGCATCAAAAGAGGATACTGGACCAATACCAGGTAGATAAACACTTTTTTTTTCTGGAAGAAATAATAAGCTAAACTCCCATTTAGTCAGTGACGCATTCAGAGGACATGGACGAATCCATTCGCATTCTTGCTCAGAATAATTGGAATTTAGAGGTAAAACGCACTTAGCAACGACCTTTACTAAAAAAAAAAACCTAATATTTATGTACGTATACAGGCAGCAGTGCAGAACAGATATACACCAACAGATCGACATGCTACCACGATATACGAAGAAGAGGATGCGGATTCACCTTCCTCCAGTTCCGCATTATTAGGCCACACACCGAACCGACCTACCAATCATCATCGCATCAGTTCATTCTTTATGTGGCCTTTTAACCTTGCCTGGAAATTCTCTTGGCGTCTATTCCAACTCACGGGTAAAAAGCAAAATGAAAAAAAAGAGTGATATATAATGTATAAACTGATAAACAAAGATTATGTGATATATAGCTCGTTTATTATACAGACCTTCAATTACAGCTCCACGTCGTGATGCACGATCCGAAGCAGACCGTTTTTTACGAGACTTTGAATCCACCTATGGCACCACTCACCCGGATTTTTTTGAGGGAGGATATACACAAGCTTTAAATGTGGCTAAACGTGATTTGGTCTTTCTCTTAGTATTCTTATCCAGTGAAGAACATGATGATCATGATGCCTTTTGTCGTACCACCTTGACGAACCCACAACTCATTGATTTTTTGCGTCAACATCATATTCTTCTCTGGGGTGGTAATGTACGCTACACCGAAGCATTTCAGGTTAGTAACACATTACAAGCCACCACCTACCCTTTTTTGGCCATCATTGCTCTACACACATCCTCAGGTACAACCACACAAAAGATGGCCGTGCTGGATCGTCTGGAAGGTCCTGTCACACCTGCTGCCGTTATACGTCGATTGGAAACCGCCATGGCACGTACGGATCTATCACAGTTAAGAAGAGAACGCGACCAACGAGAAACAGAGCGAAGATTAAGAGAGGAACAGGATCATGCATATCAAGCAAGTTTATTAGCGGATCGAGAAAAGGAACGCAAATTGAAATGGGAGCGAGAAAGAGAGAGATTAGCAGAGTTGGAACGTCAACGACAAGCACAAGCGAAACAGCAATACATTCGTTACTTGTGCCAAAAGTTGAAAAACCATCACGAAGAAGAGGAAGGAAAGATGGCTAAAATTAGTTTTCGGTTGGCTAATGGGGAGCGTGTCATTCATAAATTTAAGGGTTCGGATAGTTTAGAGAGCTTGTATGAGTTTATTGAGGCCTACCCGTATTTAAAGGAGAATGGAGTGGTACAGGAGGAGGAAGAACCACCAGAGAATTATACACATCGATTTGGGTTTACCATTCATTCCTCATTTCCCAAGACTGTTTATCCACCAGACCCAAATACTAAAATTGAAGATCAGAAAGGATTATGGCCTAGTGCCACATTAATTGTAGATATCACAGATGAAGAAGATGAAGAGGAGGAGGAATAAAGAACATAATAGGGTTTTTTTTTTGTTTGTTTTGTTTTTATACATAAAGAGTATTATTAACTAGTTTATAAAAGGGGGAGGTATCACATGGGTTCGAACAATAGGAGATTGTCCTCGAAGACTATTCTTCATATTTAAATAATGAATGGCTTCATTATCCACTAATTGTCCCAACCCAACTAAATGTGCTAATAATCGGCCCGTAGCCACATCTTTAATATATACATCGGCTCCATTTTGAAATAAGAATTCGGCCATGGGAAATACACGTGTTACCGGTTGTTGTTGTTGTTGATTTTGATCACTACAACTACTGCTACTTGTATCACTACAGCTACTACTACTGGTTGCACTACAACTATCATCATTAAAACTATCTGATTGGGCAGCAATTGGATTGGTGGGTCGTTGAGGTATATCTCCCGTTTCCATGACCAAAACATCTTCATCACGATTTAACAAAGCAAAATGTAAAGCGTAACGTACAATATAATCTTTTTCAGTGACAAGGATAGGATTCTCCAGATTGATCTCCATGGTTCGGTCAAGGTATTCGTTACCGGCAATATCCAGCATCGGTAATTGAAGTACCGAATGTCTTTGTTGTTGTGTGGATAGGATGGGTATGATGGGCTTATTTGCAGTGAAAGGTTGATTGACATTAGCACCAATGGCGATTGCATATAATGCTTGAGGTATATCGTCCCTTTCGATAGCATTATACAGGATATCCATGGGATTTAAGGTTTCATTCTTGGAAACAAAGAGTTTATCCACGTATTTGGATTGAATGTATTTTAACTTTTGATCACGACTATCAGTGGGTATAGGTTTTTTATGCTGAGGTTGAATATCGGATTCCCACACCTCGTTGGATTTGGCGTTACCGATAGAAAGTAAGAGTTGAACAATATCCGGTGTGAATGAAGCACTGTCCAAGGTCAATGATCGTACTTTGGAGATATGTGTGCCTAAACTTCGATGAATACCCGAACACTCTATACAGATGAGAATGCCAAGATTAAGGGAACACCAATCTGGATTTTTGGCTGAGCAGTCGGCACAAATGGTATTGGAAAGATCTTTTCGTAACTGGATCAATAAGTCCGAGTTTGGATTATTAGTAGTGGGTATTTGTGGTGTGGCTGAAGTCGGTGAACTAATATATTGGATATGCTTTCGACCACCATGATGTCGTTTCTTTGATAAATATTTGTCCTTGGCAGCAGCTAACCCACTTAGTGCTCCACTTAATGATCGGGCCCCATGTTTCCAATGTGCGCTATTAGGTGATAAACTGGATGAAGGTGTAGGAGAAACGTTTTCCTTGAGATTGACCGAACTACTCATCCCGTTTAATAAACTACTAATCGCATTATTAATCGTGGCTATCCAACTCGAGAGCTCTGCACTCGAAGTCGCTTGATACATGCGACGGAAATTGGGTGTGATGATTTCGAAACAGAATCTTCGGTCTGCGTTACGCGCTTCTCGTACAGTGGCAAACCTTAAATTGATGGGCTCTATATGTGTTTCCAAGTGTCGTTTCCAGTTACTGTATTCATGCAACTGTCCCCCGCTTAGCACACACCAATATCTAAGTAAATGTTAGTACATTATTGAAACAGTGGGAATAGAAAAACTTACTTGTGCCAGTTGACGGTGGAGGACATGTCAAAGGAAGGAGTGTTGTGGTTATGATGGTTCTTTGTTGGTTTTGAAGTAGCAAATAGGAAGCCCTCTTTTCTTCTACCACTTGTGTTTTTGTAGTTTTCATCCTGTTGTTCCAAATCACGAATGCCTTTAAACTTATTCTCGAGAATACCCAAACCAACAATGGGAGGAGCAGCAGTTGGTGGTGGAGGTGGGGGAGGAGGATCCAACAGACTTTCGTCCAACATCAAGAAATCCTGTGACGGAGGAGAGAATGAAACAGTGGGAGATAAAGGAGAATAGGATTTACGTTTATCTTCATCCTCTGGCGTATTATATTTTTGAATGAGAATCTTTCGTTTTTCATTCCTTTCTTGGTTCACTATTTTTTGCTCCCGCGAAGCCTCAGCAATCATGTAGGCTAATTCATCCAAGCCTTGTTTATGGGGTTCCAAGGTTTTGTGGACATCATGAAAAAAAGAATATTGCTTTTCATACAGGTTGAGTAGATGATAGAGAATCTCTTGTTCTTTTTTACCACCGTGCAGATCTCTTAAAAAAGTGTAATAATCAAATCGCACCAGATCAAACTCTCGCTTTTTGGCAATAAATTCAAGTTCAGTTCTTTGTTGTTTTTTGTTGTTGGTGGGTGTCTTGATACTAAGGTACTTGGCGAGGTTGGCATAGTAATCTTTACTAACATCTTCAAATCTTCGTCGTTTAGTGTCTACAGTCTTTATATCCATATCGTACAGTTTCTGTAAAGGGTGAATCAATAAACTCTGCATACAAAATAAGAGTCGTTCTTGTTGCTCATGTAGTTTTTCCCAGGTAAAGTCGAGGTAATGGCTGAACAAGGGTTCTGCAAAGGGTGCTTCTTTAAGTGCTTCGATAAAGAGCTTGTCTTGTTCAAGAACCTGTGTTTTGGCTTCCAGGTTACTACTGGCTGCTTTTAAGATACGTTTGAGATAACCTTTCAAGACGAGTGTTCTGCCTTCATATTCTTTCACTGTCGCTCGAAAAAGTGGTCCATCTTCCAAATCCACATCTATGCGCCCATCGGAACTTTTTGACGATGCTAAGCTTAAATCTGTTTCTTCATTACCCATCTCTACTTCAGACATTATAAATTAAAAAATAGGAAGAGGAAAAGAAAAGTAAAGATAGAAAAAAAAAAGTTTGACGTCTTTTTTTGGAAAAAAGAAATTCAACTTCAGCTCTAAAAAAAAAGGTTTTCTCTTTTTTCCAACCCTTTTCCGTTCATTTCAGGAACAATAAGGAAGGGGAGTATCCTCATCCAACAGGTGCATCTTTTTATTTTTTTATTTTAAACTTTCTTTTTTATCGCCATAGCAACCTGATCGACAGCATTAAAACTTCCTTTTGGCTGAGATAAAAAAGTTGGCCTAATAATATCTATTCATGTCAAACATCGCTAATAATATAAAAAACGAGATTCAGTGTAACACGTCATTCATGTAACACCAACTGTCGCGCGTCTTCAAAAAAAGGCTCTCTCCCTGCCGCTTTTTTGCCTTTTTATCTCTCACCCTTTCCGAGCCGAACAGGGTTAACACGCATGAATTTTTATTCCTGCATGCTGTTATATATACATTTTGTTCCGTGAGTAGATTACATGTAAATAACTAGCTGACCGATACTAATTGCACCAAGGTTTAAGCCTGCAGACTGACAACTCAAAACCTATTAATACTGAACAGGTTCTTAACAAGTTTATCTTGTGCGTCGACTAAGACTGTAAACTCACTGGCACTTATTGCTAGTAATTCTGTGTCGCTAGATGTTTGAAGGTCACAAAGACTATTTGATAAAGTGTCAACATCTGCTACATAGTATACTACATATACATGTATAAATGTTGTCATGAATAGTCATCATAATCTTATATGTCTGCATCCGAAAAAGAAGAGAATATTCGTTATAATAACAAACAATGTAATGTATTAAAAGAAAGTTATTATTGCTTCAATAGGAGTACAAACGGAGCATCCGTACAGAAGGGGAGGAAATAGAGTCTGTGGTGTCCCTCCCTCCCTTTAAATTATTGTTATTAAATAAATGATTGAAAATAAATAATAAATGTGGTTGAGACTAAAAGTGCATCTATTTTTTTTTTCTTGACGCATGATTATCTTGGGAATAATCTTGCCCCCCATCCCCTCTGTTTCCTAAATAACGTTGAACTTTCTTTGCAGAATTATATTATAAAACTAATATTAATCATTTGAAAACACGCAAGTGACTGAAATCGGTAGAAAAGATACAGATCCTTCTAAAAAATCAAAAATGATGCAAGATATACAGATTAATTAAGGGCTCGTTTTCACACGACAGGGCATTTTTTTCTATCTAAACAGATAAAAGAGAAGAGCCAGTTAAGCTGAATTTTTCACTGACCGAAAACATAGTCCCATGGAATGCCATTACATTAACTGGAATACCAGTATAGCATATACAGTCTATTATTCTCGCCCCCATTTTCTTCACATAAAAAGACAGATGTAGATGATAACCCCGACAGCAGATAAAGTAAATGTGGAAACACTGTGAATAATGTTATCTATCTTTCGGGTATCCCAATACCATGCCAAATTCTTGTTGATTGCCTAAAAAAGAAGGCGGATTCTATCAGTAGCAATGTATGAACCTAGTGGTGGGATGGTCGCTATGGCAACGAGTGATTTTTAATAAAGTTTGGGTGATGACACATAATTTTTAGCCTAGCGAGTTGTTAGGCTGACTTTTTTTTTTTAATTCACGCTGTCTTTGTATTCTTATCCACCACGATTCAGTATCTGCAGTGATAATACCAGATACTGTCTATGACGAGAAGAACATGTACCTGGCTACATGTACAAGTAGTATGTTTTTGACAGGTCAATAGACTCACAGTGACATGATGTCATTTGAGTCAAAAAAAGAAAAAAAAGAAAAGAGAGTCACAGTTTTAGTTTTTTTTTTTTTTTTCTTTTGACTTAGCATTTGAGCTCAGGCGGGGGTGTGGATTGTTATGTGTGTGGGTGCGGGCCGCTTGGATGGTAAGAGGGGTCCCATAGATAAAATTTCCTTTTTTTTCTTCCTCTTTTCTCATCTATTATTTTTTTATATAATTCAGCATGGCAGAGACTACCCCCGTTGCACCTAGAATGTTCTCTCCTCTTACCAACTCTTTTGGTTTAAAGGATCAAAAGCCTTCGGGATCTCCTTGGAACCCTCTCCAATGGCCTACTTGGTTCTCATACCAAAAGGGACGTCTTAACTTGCCCAGCCCTGGAAAGTTTGAAAGACTTCATGGAGAAGTCACCAAAGGTAAACTAAACGGGGAACACTTAAAATACGCGAGCCTGTCCAGAAGAAACAGACCTTAACACATTTTTATTCATAAACAGAGGTCTTCACTAGCAACTACCTTTTCGATGGTGCTCAAGCCAATATTGTCAAGGAACTTTCTGGAAATTTCCACGTTCAACATCAATTCTCTTTGGGCTCTCAAGTTATGCCTCCTATGTATAACTTTATGTCTGGTTATATGACTGAAAGAGTAAGCTTTTTTTTTGACAGTGAGAGAGAGAGAGAGAGATAAAATAGGTTGCATATAACCGGACCGGGATTGACAGTTTTTTATTATAGACCATGTTGCAGGGTACCATGGATAATGACACTAACCTTAACGGTGTCTTCAGACATGCTTGGTCTCCCCGTTCCATCACAAAGGTGGTTGCACAGGTAAGGAAAATCTAAAGTGAAAACCGAAAAGAAAAGCGGCTTTTAATAACACAAATCATAGCTCACCAACATGGCTGGTCACTCTATGCTCCAAGTTGAGCAAGAAGTAAATGGATCAGATTATTCAATGACTTTCAAGACCATGAACCCTAACCCATTGGAATTAACAGGTCTTTATATGGCTTCTTATCTTCAATCTGTTTCTCAGAATTTGGTGATTGGATCCGAAATTGTTTTGCAACGTCCTACTCCTGATATGGAAGAAACCGCCATGTCACTTGTTGGTAAGTATACTGGCAGTGATTATATTGCCACGGCACAATTCCAAGGCGTTGGAGCGATACAAGCTAGTTATTACCAACGCATTAACGAAAAGGTTGATTTCGGTGTCGAATTGAATTTGATGGTTCAAAATGGTCGTAGAGAGGCTGTGGCCACTGTTGGTGGTAAATTCGATTTCAGACAAGCTACTTTCAGAGGTCAAATCGATACCACAGGTAGAGTCTCTGCTGTTTTAGAAGAAAAGATGGCTCCTGGTTTCTCTTTCCTCATCAGTGGTGATTTGGATCACATGAAGGGTCAAAGCAAGTTTGGTGTTGGTATCATGTTGTCCGCTTAGATTATTATATTTTTCCTTTCTCTCTCTCTCGAAAGGGGCTTATTTAATACACAAAATTATAAATATTAAAAAGTTTCTTTCTAATAAGCCAAGTATATACATACATATATATATATATATATATAATGATGAGGGATGCATCAAAAGTTGCGATATATTTATATGATTTGAATGTGTGTGTGTTTGTGTGAGGGTTGCTTAATGATGACAAATGTGTGTGTGTGTGAGAGTTATGTATGAGAGAGGGGGGATTTTTTCTTTTAAAAGGAGGAGTGTTTCTATATAAATTATTCCTGACCAAAACCAACAGTTTCTTCAACAGCCATTGTTAATTTAGCGACAAGGGCTTCATAAGTTTTATACGGAGGCATATCAATACGATTGAAACTAATTATAATTTACGTTAGTCTATTTATAAGCAAAAAATAAAAATAAAAAAAATAAAAATAAAATGAGTCTTACCAGGTGTGAGCTTTGGGGAGTTGTGTGTCTTCACCAGCCTTTTCAATCGTAAATCTTCTGGGACCATCACTACCTTGGAGATCCTTAAAACCATTCACTGGGATACGAGAAGTACCAGTTGTGAATTGCAGTAATCTTGATTTCTTTTCACTATCCCATGTACGAATACACTTCCAAAACCATTGAATCACATCATCTTGTTCAGTGTAACCTCTATAATCCGTATGTTTCTTCCAATCATCCACATCAATTTCTGCAATACCACCAATCAAAAGTTCCAACTCTCTTTCATCAAATACATTGATTAAATCTTGAGGAATCAACTGATTAAATCCTTCCTTAAATGCTTTAAATTGTTCTTCCACACGTTTCGAAATACGCCATTCTGTCACCAAATCAACATATTCTACCTTGTTCTCTTCAGTTACTTCGATATCTCTACCACCGTCCTTCAAGTCTACGGTGACTAATTCACCGAAACGATCATCATCTACCGAGAAAGTTAATTCAAGTACATCTGTGATATCATTGTCGAGAATCCACTTTAGACTACGATAGAAGTCCGCATCGACACTTTCCATATTTGCCACAAGGACCTTTTTGTTCAATACCATTCTGTAAAGAGAGACGATAAAGAAGGCATCCAAGAAACGACGATGAAAGATAGCCAGACCAACAACACGACCGATGAATTTAAAGTAATTTAAATGTTCAGGGTTAATGGCGGAATGAGGGTTGATCTGTAATGTATAATTATCATGGGCCGAGTATTCAAACAAGCAATAGAAAGGGTTAAACATCTCATGCGATAATAAAAAGAAGAATTCTCTTGATAAACCACCATAATCTAAACCATCTTCACCATCAAATTTGATCATCAATCGTTTCTTAAGATCAGCGGGTACTTGTCTCATGACTTCAGCATAAGCATCTTCAAAGATATGCGAACGACGCACCTTGATATGACATTGACCTGGCACAGGACGTAATGCAGGTTGTGAACGGAAATAAATTAATTTACGTCGGAAATCTCTCTTGTATTGAGGTACGTTTTGATCAAGACTACTAGGTAATCTAGGATCATCCCAAGTGGTTGTCTTGGTATTATGATCGACGAAATACACACGACCTGTACTAGTCAAACGCATTTCCCAACCAGAAGGTAAAGGCCCTAATTGAGATACAGGTTGGACTTGTACTTGCAAGTTAGAACCAGGACCAATGGTATTGATATATTGTTGACGACGAGGATCTACCCAAGTGGTTGTACGCGTATTATGATCGACGAAATAAGGACGACCTTCAGGGTTGCTACGCATTTCCCAACCAGGAGGAAGTGGTCCAGATCCAGCTGTAGTCATATTATTTTGAACACCCACTACACCATTGGTAGTGGAAGTAGGTGTGGTAGAAGGACGAGGAGCAATGGAGGGAGCTTCTAAAGAAGTTGAGCTATTCCCAGTAGTGCTTGTGTTGGGACGTTCTTCTGGTAATCCACGTGCATTATGTCGACGTCTTTCCAATTCAGTTTGATCTTGTCTATCTTGTGCACTTCTAGCTGAAGGTCTCTTCCAAGTGGTTGTTCTGTTATTATGGTCAACGTAGTAAGGTCTACCTAAGTGATCCACTCGACGTTCCCAACTAGAAGCGGTTTAATTTATGTGCATAATTCATATATATATATATAAAAGTATATGCTTACCCTTCTGGTAAGTCACTGTTTCTGTTCTCTTCTGTGTTATCTGCTGCTGTGTTGGATGCATTCGTAACGGGTGCTGAATGAGGAGGGGGAGGAGCTTGTTGTTGTTGCTGTTGATGAGCAGGCGGTGGTGGTGATACGACGGAAATAGACTGACTGGATGGATTACGAGTGATGGTAGATCTGGAACGGGATGCGAGGGTATTGGTACCGTTACGGATAGGAGCATTGACATTGGTAGAAATATTTAAAATAAGTTTTCCTTGAATGATATCGTGGTTATTGGACTTTTTGAGGTCCAGTGTAAGCATTTCTTAATAAGTTCATGGTTAGACTACTATTTCTAAATAGCATAATAAGAGCTTACCATCCCCACCCACAGCAAGGTCAAATACATTGGAGACTTGGACATTAATAACTCCCAAGAAACCCTGATCCTTCTTTTTGAACTTTTTCTGATCAAATACTTGTACTGCAATGACGCTGGAATTATCGACTTGTCTAAAAATAAACATTTATAAAAAAAAGTCAGTTGATTAGGTCTGGGCTGTGGGAATATAACATTACAGGTCAAAACTCTCATTCCAATAAGGGTTCAAGGTCTTTTTCATGACGGTTGTTGTATGTGTTTGCTCACCATCGACTGTGACAACAGCTGCAAAAGAAGAGATGAGTTAATAATATTAAAAAAAAGATGGGCTAACTAAAAATGAAACCAACCAAAAGGGTCAGGCATTTTAAAGAACAAGTCCTTCTTGACAAGACCATCAGCAGCAATGACTGTCAACCGAACTGTCCTTGGTGTATTTGTCATTGTTTCTTAAAGAAGTGAAGATAAATAATATAAAAAGAGCAGCAGCAGAAAAAAAAAAAAAAAAAAAGGGATTTATAAACTGGGTTTTTTGTTCTTCCTTAATTTTACCCAATCAAAGTTAAATCGTGGCTTTTCGTGACGTTTGAAATCATCGCACCTTGGTTGCACCTTTGGTTTGTGATCATTGTTTATCCTTTTCCAGTTCATTGTTTCGTCATTGCTTGATAACCGTTTGCCTCTTGGCATTCATCTTAGTTTATGCTTTTGTATAAACATATATATAAAAAAAGGGTGAAAACTCCCCCTTCAATGTCTTTTAATCGCTTCCCTAATCTCGTCCCTTTGTCTATTCTTCTAATGCCCTTGTGAAAGGAGAGCAGTAATAATATATATATATATAAAAAAAGGATACTATCGCCAATGAATCGATTGTTAATAAATGAGTGTGACAATGTACTATAATAGCCTTATTCGTGAAAGGTTCAAAAAGGCCTCGCTATTTCAATCAACAATAGGGAGAGAAACACCGCCCGCGCGCTGAGTCGATTTGACAATGGTTACACTTGATTGCCAGCTGCATTTGATTTTTTTTTTTTTAATTTTATACACGACTTTCAGATACTTTTTAAGAATTATCAGAACCAAGACCCTTTGTGTTGATTATACGCGAATTCCTTATTATGCCTGGTTTAAATCAGCAAAAATTAATTCATTGGGAAATTTATTCCGATATCAAGAAAAACTATGTTTGTGAAGCAATAAGAGAACCATGTGTTTATTTTATTGTACGACCTAAATGGCATGACATGCAAATGTTAATTTTTCTGTGCGAGGAAAACACACACAAAATAAAAATGCTACTTTATTATCTGATGGAGTAAAGATTTATCAAAGAAAACTCCGGATCTACGGCTATGTATAAATTTCTTTTTCTTTTTGGACCCTTGATATCATTTAGTGCCCTATAGAAATCACACATGATGGTTCGGGTCAAGACAAACAAAGAAAGTGTGCAGCAGTGTTACATGATACCTATAAAGCTTGAACTAGCCAGAACTGTATGGCATCATTGATAAATAACTTTTGTGGAGGATGAGATTCACTTTACTGTGTAAATGAGGCAAAGCACACCTCGTAAGACAATCACGTCATGGCGTACAAAAATATTAGTTGACTTGGAAACTATCTACAAAGATCGCAAGATAGTCTAGAATTATGTCAGTGTAAAAGACTCAATTGAAAAATAAAATCACCACATAGCATAATAATTAAATGTATACTTCTTACTGTAATATTTTATCTAATTTTTGAAAAACCATGTTACAAGTTCTTACAAATATAGATATCATCCATACTAGCTTAAATTCTGTACATAAAAGCGGTCCGAGTAAAAAAAAAAAAAAAAAAAAAAAAAAAATCGATTTATTCCGGAGCGCACGGATCGATTTTCTCCCGAGATACGAGTTATTTGGATATATACAGTTGCCATGACTACTGCATAAATGGTCAGTTGCTTAATATATTGTAGCACAGAAAACACTAGCCAGACATGCATGATTTGAGTATATTTTATTTTCGTTTGGCGTTCAGGACATAAGCTGTCCTTTATGTGATTTTGGAGTAGAATTTTACTTGCTAAACGTACGGTTAATAATAATAAATTATTACGGGAGGAACCTTCTCTTGACCATTTCCCAAACTTCTGCTAAGAGCATCCCCAGCGGTTTGTTTGAAATTTCCACAGATATTGATTTAAATTTAAGTTGAATTTCGGTGCTGGCCATGCGCTATCTGCCTTTGAGCTTTGAGTAAACTAATAACTGATCGACAAGATGAGAAAAAAGTACAAACCTTTCTTTAAAGAGAGAAATGATTAAACCCGACAGATACACACTGCTATAGGCTGAGATATCTTGACAGCTGCATCGAAGCCTTCAACATTCTAAGGGCGTGCCAAAAGCTCATATATGTTCATAAGAGAAGATAAGTAACAATAGTCAAATGATTGAGCAGCAAATTTATATTTTCAATTAAAGCATACCAAAATCCTTCAGTATATAAATTCCCTTTGGAAAATGGACGAACCCACTCAGCCAGTCCTACTAGTCACAAACGCAGTGTTGAATGCCTTATTAGTGAAGATAGTTGTCCAAACCCATGAGGAAAGGGAGTGCAAGTCAGAAATGTGGTCTGGCGAGCTTTCGCCCATGCCCTACAAGAAACATGGTACCTCGAAAGAACATACATCGGTTTTCAGTCCCTGCAAAATCTGTTGAAAGAGACACAGACATTACAGTTAGTTCTATTGTAGGACTACTTGGTAAAAAAAAAAAAAAAGGTCAATTCAAAGCTGGGTTTTTTTTTGCAGGATGGCATCAATTTTGCCCTCCTGAACAAAATCATACAACCCGTTTTTGGCATATTGCAAGGAACACAAGCGAATATGATAGCCTAGTAAGAGGCAAACCATATCATTAGTACAAACAAAAGAAATATTGCTTTTATAATTGTCCTAATTAATGCATTTTCCCCTTTTGCTCTAATCCGAGTCAAGTTGTGACTTTCACATTTAGGACAAAAATAAAAAAAAAGTGGTTTTTTTTAAAAAAAAACACACCTTCAAACGTTTAGAATGTCTGACGAGAACTTTGTTCACGACATTGCAGTCGATATTTCAAGAGCTTTGAATTTAACAAACCCTAATGATTTAATTGCTAAAAAAGTCATTCAATTTGCAGAAACCAACAAAGATTTCGAAAAATTCAGTAAAGGTAATAAAGAGAGTGTTGTTTTATATTCGTTTTATACCTCGAGTAAATTAAAATTAGGTATTTAGTATGTGGCACATTTGGTCGATTCAGTCGCGAATTCTTGGCCGACACATTCACTAAAATTAAAAATGAAAAACAACGAGCCAAATATGCACCCAAACAATCGGCTGATCCCATTCCAGAGGCAAACCACAATGAAGTGTTAGTTTTGAGTAATCAATTACCAGGTGGACTTTTGACAAAGAATAAATCAGCCGCTGCGGATCAGGATCGTCCGATTTTCAAAGTACCTGCCTTACCAAATAAATCATTGCTCGGTCTGGATGAATTAGCTCGTAAAAAACGTGAAGCCGCAAAAGAGCAACAAGAACAACAACCCGTCGAGAAAAAGGTTAGAATGAATTGGGACGACGATCAGGAGAAAGAAGAGGAAACGAATGCCGACAGAATCGAAAGACATCGCCCCAACTATCGTTCACAAAGAATGGAAACACCTTCCCATGGCGGAGGCATTTCGGATTCAGCTTTAAGGAGAATGGAAGACATGAAGAGAAAGGACAGAAATAGAGGAACAACTCATTATGACAGAGATAGTCGTCACAACGACAGAAGGGATGATGATAGAAGAGGTAGAGACGACAGATATCGCAGGGATGATAGAAGAGACGACCGAAGAGATGATAGAAGAAATGACCGTGATAGTTCGAGAACCCCATCATCTAGAGAAGGATCAGAAACACCAGGTAGACGCGGTGGTTTGATCAAACGTAGTCAATGGACCAGTATGACTCCAAGTAACGAAGGATCCTTTACTCCTCGCATGTCCTCAGGTAACATGACGCCGGGTAGACATGACAGTGGTATCAGACAATCCACAGGTGCAGCTACAGCTGCCGCCAAAAGAACCTGGGATTATATGACACCCGCAGTACGTTCAACTGCATACGACGAAGTTGCTTTAGAATACCCCGAAGAATTTGCAGGCGACGATATCGATAGACAGAGATGGGAAGAGGAGCAAGCTCAGTTAGATCGTGAATGGTATCAAATGGAAGACAATGGTGTATGTATTCATGTATCTAATGTAACCAATGTCATACTAAAGATGCCTTTTTTTTTTTTTTTTTTTTTTTTAGATTGTGGATGAAACGCATAATGCTTTTACGGAATATGAAGATCACGATAGACACAAGGAAGAAGAATTAGCACAAAAGCAATTAAAGAAATTATCAGCACGTCAAGCACAATACAACAGAGATACAGACATGTGGGAAGCAAGTCGTATGTTGAGTTCTGGTGTAGCTCAACGAATTGAGGTGGATACCGATTTTGACGAAGAAAACGAGGTACAAAAGAAAATGAATAAAATAAGCTTGATCTTAATTTTTGGTAAACTAAATTTACTAACATATCTTCATGTAGAACCGTGTTCATTTATTAGTTCATGATATTAAACCTCCATTTTTGGATGGCCGTATGGTGTTTACAAAACAATTGGAGGCTGTACAACATGTTAGAGATCCTACCTCCGATATGGCCATTATTTCTCGTAAAGGTAGTAGACTTGTCAGAGAAAAGAGAGAGCAAGCCGAACGTGCCAAGGCCAGTAAATTTGATCTTGCCGGTACAACCTTGGGTAATGTCATGGGTGTCAAGGGCAAAAAGGAAGAAGAATCAGCGGCTGATGATGGTAAGGGCGACTCTAAATTCGCTTCTCATTTGAAGAGTACGGAAGCAGCTAGTGATTTTGCTCGTTCAAGAACAATGAGAGAACAACGTGAATTCTTACCAGTATTTGCTGTCCGTGAAGAATTATTAAAAGTCGTGCGTGATAATCAAGTCGTGATTATTGTGGGTGAAACCGGTTCTGGTAAGACTACTCAATTAACCCAATACCTTCATGAAGATGGTTATACCAAGTACGGTAAAGTGAGTTGTACCCAACCTCGTCGTGTGGCTGCCATGTCTGTTGCCAAGCGTGTTGCTGAAGAAATGAACTGTGAGTTGGGTGATACTGTTGGTTATACTATTCGTTTTGAAGATCAAACCTCTGAAAATACCGTCATTCGTTACATGACAGATGGTATTTTGTTGCGTGAATCAATGAGTGCTCCCGACCTTGAGCAATATAGTGCTATTATTATGGATGAAGCGCATGAGCGTGCCCTGAATACAGATGTTTTGATGGGTCTTTTGAAGAAATTACTTGCTCGTAGAAGAGATTTGAAATTGATTGTGACGTCCGCCACTATGAATGCCGATCGTTTCTCCCAGTTTTTTGGTAACGCACCATGTTTCTTTATCCCTGGTCGTACTTTCCCAGTAGATGTCATGTTCAGTAAAACCTCTTGTGAAGATTATGTCGATAGCGCCGTCAAACAAACGTTGGCTATTCATTTATCTCAACCGGCTGGTGATATTTTAATTTTCATGACTGGTCAAGAGGATATTGAAGCAACTTGTTCCGCACTAGCAGGTAAGATTATTTCCTGTAAGCATTCATAGATTTTATGGCTAACCCCCCTTTTTTTATTTATTTAATTAGAACGTTTGGAACAACTAGATAACCCACCGCCGATGGCAATTTTACCTATTTATTCACAATTACCTGCTGATCTTCAAGCGAAAATTTTCCAAAGGTCTGAGAATAATGCTCGAAAAGTAATTGTAGCTACCAACATTGCTGAAACTTCACTGACTGTAGATGGTATCATCTATGTTGTTGATACTGGATATTGTAAGCTCAAAGTGTATAATCCTCGTATTGGTATGGATGCATTGCAAGTGACTCCTATCAGTCAAGCCAACGGTAATCAACGTAGTGGTCGTGCTGGTCGTACAGGACCTGGGTAAGTTTTTAATTTAACTGTTTTGTATGAGACATAGATCGTGACATTAACCCTATATTGATAGTGTTGCCTATCGTTTATATACCGAGGATGCTTTCCGAAATGAAATGTTTGTTAATACGATTCCTGAAATTCAACGTACGAATCTTGCGGCTGTCGTGTTACAATTAAAGTCTTTGGGTGTGAAAAATTTGCTAGAATTTGATTTTATGGATCCTCCTCCACAAGAAAATATCTTGAATTCTATGTATCAACTTTGGATCATTAACGCTTTTGATAATACGGGTGAATTAACAGACGCTGGACAAAAAATGAATGAGTTCCCCTTGGATCCTTCATTAGCGAAAATGTTGATTGCTGCTCATGAACAAGATTGTACTGCTGAAGTTTTGGTAAGTAATACATTGTCAAGTCAAGCTATGATTTTAAACATATTTTTTTTTTTATGTAGACAATTGTCTCTATGTTATCTGTGCCTTCAGTGTTTTATAGACCCAAAGAACGTATGGAAGAATCCGATGCTGCTAGAGAAAAGTTTTTTGTACCTGAAAGTGATCATTTAACGTTACTTCATGTCTACACTCAATGGAAGATCAACCAGTAAGTCACATAAACAAATTTAATAATGATCGATTGCTAATTTTATTTTAACCAGTTATCGTGATGATTGGTGTACCAAACATTTCGTTCATCCCAAGGCCATGCGTAAAGCCAGAGAAGTACGATCTCAATTAATGGATATCATGAAGACCATCAAGATGCCCTATATCTCTTGTGGAACTGATTGGGATGTTGTTCGTAAATGTATTTGTTCCGCCTATTTCCATCAAGCCGCCAGATTGAAGGGTATTGGAGAGTACGTGAATTGTAGAAGTGGTATGAAGGTGCATCTTCATCCTACCAGTGCCTTATTCGGTGCAGGTTTTACACCTGATTATGTCGTATACCATGAACTTGTCTTGACATCTAAAGAATATATGCAGTGCGTTACTTCAGTCGATCCTTTCTGGTTGGCCGAATTGGGCCCCATGTTCTTTTCCATTCGTGATCGTGATAGAAATTATGGACATAAGGAAAAGCGTATGGCTAACATTGCCACTGAATCTCGCTTGAATATGGAGATGGAAATGAAATTAGGTAATATACGGATTGCTCTGTTTATCATATATCATTCACTAATATTTTTAATTTCGCTCTCTAGCTCGTGAACGGGAGGAACAAGTAGAAGCAAAAGAACGTCAAAGTAGACAAAACACGGCTAGAGCTGGTCGTATTGCTACTCCTGGTGCCAGAGATATGCGTACACCAAGAAGAAGAGGGTTGGGATTATAGTTGTTAATTATATTTTCTTTTTCAATAAAATTTTGTCAGTAAACACTGTGATACCAAACCTGATCGAGTATGTCACCCTCAATAAATAAAGCTTAATTGTGTTACATCATACTTTTCATGTTTTAGACAAAAGACTTGATAACGTTTGTTACTCTCTAAGCACACAAAGGCAGATCACAAATTAAAAATCTATATTTTATTTCCTGCTTTTATTCATATTGTTTGTTATAGGCTGTTCACCGTACCAGACCTTCATTTCTTGCCAATCTTCGACAGGCGGCACCACTTTTCTCTCTACTCTTTTGGTTCTTCTAGCGATATTATTTTTATTTCTAATCATGTTTTCTGCATCCTGTAATAAATTCCTCATTCTTTCGCTGGCAGCTCTCTTCCGTTCTTGACTCTCTTCAGGCGTTTCATGTCTACGATTATAATAAACCTCTTGTTCCATCTCCTCTTGTTCATCCTCCTGCACGTCGTCTTCTTCTTCTTCTTCTTGATAATGATCCTGCTCTTGATGCTGCGGATGTGTTTCTGCCAAGTAACGATCTATAGTCGTTTGTTTTCCCGGCATATTCTCTTCTAGTTCATCATAATCCACAGGATCTAAGCCAAATGGATTATCTTCGTCGTTGTCGGTGATAGGTATAGGAGTAAGGGTCGGCTGATCCTGTTTCACATCAAAAGGGAAATGAGAGATGGGAATATGTTGATTTTGTTCATAGCAGGTAAATAACCAAGCGGGTGGGGCACATTTCAAACCCTTCTTTTGATAACGTACTGACATCTTGTATCGATCAGCATTTCTAGGTTCGAGAATGACAATGTTGCTAGTGTCACTTGAAGGGACAACGGTACTACCCATGCCTTGTGCTATTGCAACAAGTTTGTCAAGGTGGGAAACACGTTCATCGATGTAAATTGTATACTTTGTGAGAGCTTGAGAGAGCCCAATGTTAGAGATCACTTCAGGTACATAAGCTGTATTACTGGTTTTATGCTTTCTTCGCTTGCTGGGCTTTGTTCTTAGAGTCATGAAGCTTTCAATATTACGCTCCATAATCAAGTTATCGATAGTCATTTTCTGTGGTTCCTCCATTTCTATTTTTGTGTGTTTATGAAGAATAGAAAAAAAGAAAAAAAGAAAAGAAAAATATTTGTGCTTGTTTATGTGACGTTCTGCGCAAAGCAAGAATATGCCCCAGACAAGCTGATGATACAAAGACAGGCATCAAGCATGTTTAAATACTTCTTTTTTTATTATGGTGTTGGTGGTTATAATTAAGCTAGAATGTATACAGTCAGATTTATCATTTGTGTATAGAATTACTTCTCATATAACGTAAAGCGATAGACTTTATGTCAGCTAAGGTATTAGATCCTACACTACGATTAAGCGCACTCTGGTGCATCCCTTATTTTCTTCTTTCTTTCTTTGTACTTATAAAACTACTAACAGGGAAAATGGAATTATTGTAATTCGGTCATCATTCCTCCCCCCTCGTTTAAAACAGGCATCCAAATCCATTCTTTTGTCTTCAATTACTTATAACAAATGCTTAACAGATGACAAATACAGAGTTTTTTTTTTGTGAAAAAAGATAATTATCATAACCAGCTTTATTAATTAATTTTTATTGATAAAATTATTATACTAAAGACGTAAAGCTAGAATAAATAGAGAGTCGCAGGGTCACCACCAATGTGTATCAATTAAGAATAGATACTTGAAAAATAGTTAAAGTACGATGGTGGATTTAATGAAGATTTAAGTGTCGAATTTGACTATGTTGACACAGAATGAAGAACTCTTTTGCCCATGGACAGAAGTAGATAATAGTATATATCGGCAAGACAACTACATACAGTGTCATCTTTATTTACTTGAGAAAATATTTCAACACATATAAGTAGATTCGGATCTCTATCAAATTTTAAATATGCATGTGAGCTAATACTCAATCGCTCTTCTCACACATTAGGCTCCAAAATCAGCCTGAGATTTTTTTCTCTCTTCACTTGAACATCCGCTTTTGTGTGGGGTTAAGAAAAAAAAAACAGGGCTTCTTTTTTTTTGTTGTTGTTGACATTTCAGATAAAAAAAACAATGTTGCGCCGAATTTCAACCCTTAACCTGACTCAGGCTACTTCTTTTGCAAAGACACAAACTCTTTGGAAGCCCATTCCTATTTGTTTACAGCAACAAAGATTTGCTGTAAGTGCAAGCATAATGACAACCTTGTCAAAAAAAAAAATATTTATACAAATCGATTAGGGTCACAACAAATGGAGTAAGGTCAAGCACACCAAAGGAGCCAAAGATGCCAAGAAAAGTATCTTGTTCTCAAAATTATCACTAGAAATTGTTTCTGCAGCAAGAGGTAAAAACAAAGATAGAATAAAAAGCATAATTTAACAATTTATTTTATTTTATTATTATTATGATAGCTGGTGGAATTGATCCCTTGAACAATAATAAGTTACAAGCCATTTTGAACAGAGCAAAAGCAGCCAGTATGGCAAGAGAAAGTATAGAAAATGCATTAAAGAAGGGTGGTGATAGAAATAAGGATGACCTTGAAAGTGTCTTATATGAATGTGTTGGTCCTGGAGGCATCGCATTGATTGTGTAAGTTGAAGAATATGTATGGTGAAATATGCATCGGCTTTAATACTTTTTTTTTTCTATTTTCAGTGAAGCTTTGACGGATAAAAAATCACGTACAGTCAAGGAAGTTAAAGAAGTCTTAAATCGTGTAGGAGGTTCTGTTACATCTGTCAATTACTTATTTGAGAAAAAGGGCAAGGTTGTATTCACCCCAGGTGAATCTGGTCATTCAATGGAAGAAATCATGGATATTGCTATTGATTGTGGTGCTGAAGATATTGAAGAGGACCCAGAGGAAAATTTGGTTGAAGTGATTTGTGAATTCTCAGATTTAAATACAGTCTCAAAGGCTTTAATGGATCATAAATACGAAGTTCAAGAGATCGAGGCCACTTATATTCCTTTAAGTTCAGTCGAAGTCGAGGATAAAAACACCATTGAATTAGTCGAGAAGTGTTTGGATGATATGGAGAGTTTGGGTGATGTTGTTAAAATTCACTGCAACGCTGTAATCAATTAAAAGAAATATAGATGTAGAATATTTATTGTTAGATAAAAAAAAGAAATGAGAAAAAAGGTGGGGGATTTGTTATGCATATTGTGAATGGAGTGGGGGGTTTTTTGTCTGTTAAAAATACTGTCCTAGTGAACCTTCTTTTCTTAGTTTAGGTTGGTTTGCTACAACATGATACGTATGTAACAGTAAATGGGGGAATCTAGCGGTGAAATAATACAAAAATTGGTTCGGTGGTTCACCGTACACCAACTTGACAGGCTCAGGTAAATCTTGCCAATGATGTTTCTATATAAATGTTAGTTTCATAACCATAAAGAATTAAAAAAAGAAAATTATATTTTTACCTTATTTCTTAATGCTCTTAATAAGTCACGCACTCGTTTACCATCGTATTTGCGATACTTTCCAAGATCATTGGCAACTACACGATCGATCCGTTTATACCAATCAGTACCGATAATTGTCGCTGCATTGGCTTCAAGCTCTTGTAATAATAATGAGGGTGGATCGCGTTCTTCAATCTCAAATCTATCAGAAGCATCTTGTAAAAATGCAAGTCTCTTGGATGTTGTCCAGAAAAATGGATGCGATAAAATAACATCCGGTGTAGGTCTATTACATCAAGGTTAGTCATAAGTACAGGTAAAAATTATTAAAATGAGCCAATATTTACCTTAATTTAGGCTCAGAAGAAATCATTCTTTCCACAAGATCCTTAGCTTCAACCCCATCTTCACCCATCGAGTCTAATTTATCCAGATTATAGTCGCCAGTCAAAATATTATTTTCACGTCCAAATCGGTTACCAAAAGGATGATCGCCACCACTGAGGACATAGTAGAAAACACAGCCTGCTGAAAATATATCGATAGCGCGAGTAGCCTTGACACGACCAATCATATTGCTAGGATCAGAAGAGGATTCTCTTGTGCTACTAAAGCTAGTGTCCGAAGAAGTTGCCGCCAACGCACCTGCTAATAATTCCGGTGCTCTCCAACCCGAAGTTCCTGCAGGTGAAGCAGCAGTGTAATTGAAACTACTCTGTTCGCCATCTAATTTTTTACAAAGACCGAAATCGGAAATCAAAATACGCATGACGGGAGCATCCTTGATGTAACGATGTTTACTTGGAGCCATCAAGATATTATGTGGCTTAATATCTCGATGAACGATTTTGAGAGAGTGAAGGTACTGAAGACCAGAGGTAAATTGAGATAAGATATTAGCTGGATCCATGCTGTCGCAAAGTTGCATCTCGGGTATAGGGAATGATCTCTCCATATAATCATTCAAGGATCCATAGCAAAGTTCAAGAGCGATATACAAGAACCGGTCAGACTCTTCTTTGTAAAAATAGCGAACAACGTTAGGGTGGTCATCACTTTCCTGTAAAAGCTTCACTTCCTTTAAAGCGACATCATAGAAATCAAGCAACAATCTCTTGACTGCGACTTCTCTACCATCGAAGCTTCCTTTATATACAACGGTACCATGACTACCATAACCTAGAACATGGTCTGATATTTCCAAAACACGAGACTTGGACTGTTTAAAGCTTTCAAGATCCAAACCAGTGGACGATTTCTTGACAACAAGCACTTGCTTGGAGGCCTTTTCTTCTTGTTCTTTCTTTGCAATGGCTTCTTCAATTTTTGCTTTGGCTTCTTCCGCCTCCTTCTTCTTCTTTTCCAGAGCTTCTTCTTCTTCTCGTATTCTTTTCCTTTCTTGTTCCTTCTCGTAAATTTGCTCATCGATTTTCTCCTTGATATATCGGTCAGCATCAAAGCTACCAATCGATGTAAGAGAATCAGCTCTTTCTCTCTTGATCTTTTCTCTTTCAGCCTTGGCAGCAGCAGCAATTCTTGCTCTTGTCTTTTTTGCTTTTGCATGTTTCTTCAACATTTGCTTCCATCGAGGCAAGACTTTCACTTCGTAAAAGGCAACAATACGATCACGATAGACATAGACAATGACAGACGATACGAGGATATAGCTTTTCCAAAATTGTCCAAATCCTTCATTAAAGAAACCAGTCTTTGGTTCTTTGTAGTCTTCCATGTGTTCCAAATGGTGATAGACAGGTAAAGAAGAAGGAAGTGTTGAAGGTAAAGAGGAAGGTAAAGAAGCAGTAGAGCTTGTTGGCCAAGATACCTTAGAGCGATAAATATGGTCTTCATCCGTGATATCATCTACCACATGTTGACCAATGATACAGTCAATATGGTACTCACAACCATGGCAACACATTTCATGAGGCTTCTGCGACCATTCAAACCCAGTTCCATTAGCATCATTTGCATTGTTTGAGCGACCATCATCACTACCGCCAATCAGTTGATTGGTGTCTCCAGGTTTTCTTCCGGTATACATTGGTGCCCAAGGGGATATTTGAACAAGCGGGTAATTCTTGGTTGAGAGAGCGTAAAGACTACCTTCGTGTACACCTACATAAGCGCTCGTGATACCATTTTTGCGGGTCATTAAGCTGAGTAAGTCGCCCACGGCACCTTTTGCTAAAGACTGAGGTGGTATTTGTTTGGATAATGCAATAGTATAATCTTCTCGGCGGTAAACATCAAACACGCTTACTACTGGATGGGGCAAGTCTCTAGACCAAATAAGCTTACCATTGCGGACATTGATGCCGGTAATGGCTAAATCAGCGTCAGGGGCAATGTAAATGTCTGAAGGAATAGTGTTGGTGGGTACATCCCAGTCGAATTTGTTGGGAATGTATTCACTGTAGGTGACATTCCACCACTTTTTATGGTTGTCGTAAATAGCAACCTTGTATTCTAATAAGGGGTGGGGGGATTTGTTAGCAGGGCAAAAAAAAAAATCATCATTTGTGGAGATGAATCACACAGTACCATTTCTGCCAAGGAAAATCGTTCTTGGTGGATATTGAGTGGCCATACGATACTGATTATCTGCCTTATTTAAATCGATTTGTTGTAAAATCTTTCCCGTTCTCGGGTCAATTTCAATCATGAGAGTGCTTTTTCTTCCAATATAAGTTGTTCCATCGGGTGTACGGAAAGGTGAGTTATTTACGATTTCTTTCACAGAAAAAGGCAATTTCTAAAAAGTGTTGCTTAGTAACTGGAATAATCACATTCAATTTTTTTTTTCTTTTCATATGAAATATATATATATTGCTTACTTCTAATGGTCGACCATCTCCATAAATATAAAGACTTCCACCATCTTGGGGTTCGATAATGTAGTAAATGTCTCCCTCGTCATTGTCGCCGTCTTCTGAATCCTCCCAAGATTGTTGTTCAAGGTTGAAATCGTCGAATTCGTCGTCAAGAGACTCATTATCGTCATCAGTATCCATATTACGCACTGTATCTACAAATAACTTGTCATTGTCGTCTTCCTCTCTGTGGTTATTCTTGGAATTAAAGCTTGTTGGGCCTTGTTTGTATAATTTGTGGGTTTCGAAATGAGAATTTGATTTAATGAGCGAACTTCCAGGTCCACCTTTCAGGGTCCAATGCACTCTTCCTTCGAATCTGTCAATGCCACGAATAGAACCATCCATGGTGGAGACAAGCACCAAATTGGTGGGTAATAAGTCGCTTCCAGAGGAAGGTGAGGTTTCCTTGCCGTCTTTCCCATTGGAATCCAATAATAAATGCTGTTTTTGGTAGAGTGTGAGGTCTTTTGAATGAGGTGTTTTAGATTCCACGCAATATATAGCAAACATAGACAGTAGAATTATAATAGAAAAAGAAAACCATTGTATTAAGTTAAGGGTACTTCTAAAAGACCTAACCATTAAAACCATGTTGAGTTGTTTTACTGTATTTACATGTACAAACAAAAAAAAAACAAAAAAAAAAACTTCTTTTTTTTTCTTTACGGGACACAATTTTCGTACTTTTAAAATCCAGACAAATAAAAAAAAAACAATCCAGGCCTCACAGTAAAAAAAAAAAAAAAATGATTTCCCGTAATGTTTATCCCCATATAAACGAAAATAAAAAAAAAGTCTGCGCTTATCACATGATCTAAAAGAAGAATACACGTGATATAGTTTTAGAAAGAAACATGCCATGTATCTAATACTGAAAGCTCATATTTCTATCTCCAACCAATCTTACACAACTACTGGTAGTCATTCTGACGTAATTACATCTACTTTTTATCTCAAATTGAGCAAAATTAAGCCTATACTTCTTTTTTTGTTACTCTACCTTAAAAAAGCTATAAGCCCTGGAAAAGATGAAGAAGGTACATACATTATTCTGTCTGTCGCTTGGTTGAATTTTGCAACATTTTGCAGGTAAGGTCTTCAAAGACTCTGAGGACGATATCTATGTACCTGTCTTTAACAAACTCAATTCTGTCTTAAAACCCTGTTTATTGAGGATCAATATTTAATCAGTGAGCTACCAAAAAAAAGGGGGGGGGGGGTTCAACACAGGACATTTGAATACTAAAGTGTGATAATGCAAAATCGACTGCAACTGTGGCAGACACGCGTAATATAGTCTGATTATAATGCTTCCAAAGTATAACTGTCTTGAACTGCTAAAACATTGGATTACTTTTTCAGGTTCAATTCCTTTTAAATGATAAGGTTAACATGAAAAAAACGCGTTTAGATACAATTTATGCAACTCATAGTCTAAATAAATCATTTATCAGAACCTACTTTGCTTCATCCAATCAATGCATATTTAGGTATACGCTCAATGTGAGCAGTCGCACTATGTAAGCTGTCAGGGAAAGAATTTTATTTTCTGTCTCACTATTGTCTATTATGAACTTTTTTTTAAAGAAACGAGCTAACTTTCATGCGGAGAAACATGTTGTTGCCTTTTGATGTGAAATTAAAGAGTTCAAAAGACGTGTAAGACACCTAATTTATGTTAGACATAAATAATATACTCCTATCAAACTTGATTTAAAGGTAAAGATGGCCGATGGTCATACAAAATAAAATAAAAAAAGTATATAATATGGTGCATGTGTAACTTGTTTGGATTTTGTGAAACGCCGCTTTCGGGTTTTAATTTTTTCTGTTTTAATAAAGCCGGGAGACAGAGGGGGGTTTTTTTTTTTTTTGTACTGTTTATATTTCTTTTTCATATAAACAAAGCAAATGTCTGTTGTCATTATTACAGGAGCTTCTCGCGGTATTGGTAAGGCTGCTACTTTAGAAGCTTTAACCAAGTTTGATTCCAAGGTAGTTGCTGTTGCCAGAAGCAGTGCCTTATTAGACGAGTTATACCACCATGTCGACAAGGAATTAGGAAAGGGTCATCTCTTGGAGCTTGTCGTGGGTGATGTCACTGACGACCATGTGCTCCAAAAAGCTGTCAACATTGCTGTTGATAAGTGGGGTCGTTTAGACTCTATTATTGCTAACGCTGGGTAAATTCAAGCAACTGACATGTATTTTAAGAGCCACATACTAAAAAAAAAAAAAAAAATCATTCCTGATAAGTGTACTTGAGCCTCTTGATAACATTGCTACAGCGCCTGTCGAAGGCTGGAAAAGGTAAAGACATGCATAAGCATGTACAAATTTGGAGCGATACTGATACCAATGGTTATAGACTGTTTGATGTCAATGTGTTTTCTATTCTTTCTCTTATTCAACACGCGTTACCTTATTTACGCAAATCTGACAAAGGATCGATTATTATTGTTTCTTCCGGGGCTGCATTAAAGGGATACAAGGGATGGGGAGCTTATGGTGCATCCAAGGCAACTGTCAACCATATTACGAGCACATTAGCCGTTGAAGAAGAGGGAGTGACCTCGATTGCTATCCGCCCTGGTGTTGTGGATACCGAAATGCAAGCCATGATCCGAAGCGACGGAGCTGCTTGTATGGGAGATGATCATAACAAATTTATTGACCTTCACTCTACTGGTAAATTAGTAAAGCCTCAAGATCCTGGACATGTGTTGGCTGCCTTGGCACATAACCCCCCTAAAGCACTTTCTGGCAAGATGTATTCATGGAACGATCCCGAAATGAAGGATTATTGTCTTTAAAAGTAATTTTATTTTGCAAAAAAAATATATGTATAAATAAACATCTTTCTTGAGAGAGTGTGTGTGAGAGTGTGTGTGTGTATGAACTGAGAGGAGGTTGTGTGTGTTGTGTAGGTGGGTGTATAATATAACAAAATTATCGAGATTGAACTAAATCATCAATCTTCATGATCATTTTAACAGTTTCGGCAGATAATTCAAGAGCACTTGAAGTGACCAATAAAGGTTGAATGACATTTTCTTCCAAAATATTTGTGATGGTACCCTTTTTGACATTGATACCAGCGGTCTTTTCACCAAGAGCATGCTTGTTTCTTAATTCGGTAACGATAGCAATGGGGTTTAAACCTGCGTTTTCAGCCAAAGTGGTGGGGATGACCTCAAGAGCTTCAGCAAAGGCTTGGAAACAGTATTGTTCCATGCCAGTCAAGGTCTTTGCGTATTCCATCAACTTTTGGGAGATTTCGATTTCGGGAGCACCGCCACCAGCAATCAAGAATCTCTTCTTGACCAAACAACGGACGACACAGAGAGCATCATGAAGAGAACGATGAGATTCTTCAAGGACAAGAGAGTTTGCACCACGACAGATGACAGAGACAGTCTTACCAGCATGTCTCATACCAGTGACCTTGACAATACGAGCACCAGCATCTTCAGTTTCTTCAATTAAATCAGCATAACCAAGCTTATCATCAGTGAAGGATTCGACATCAGCAACAGGCTTACAACCCAAAGACTTTGCGATGAACTCGATTTCATCACGTTCGACATCCTTGACAACCATGATCTTTAACTTGGCCAAGAAATGAAGAGCCAAATCATTCACGGCATCACGTAAAATAGATTTTTGGATCAACAAGACGTTACAGCCAGATTTCTTGATCTTTTTACACATGTTGAGAAGATATTGACGTTCTTCCTTTAAGATTTTATCCATTTGTCTATAATCATTTACAACAATTTGGTTCTCCATGTCGGGCTTGGGAGGAGATAATTGAAATTGGATGAGACCAATCTTGGCCTTTTCGATACGGTTAGGGCCACCAGCAGTACGAACAACGGTTTGGTTCAAGACAAGACCGTCAATAAGTTCAGTATCATCGATAGTGCCACCGACCTTTTTGATGACACGGATATCATTCAAGTTGACATTGTTGGTGATTGCTGGATCAATGACACGGATGACGGCATCGACGGCAATAGGAGCCAATAAAGTAGAGTATTGAGAGACAATCTTTGAGTTGAGAGAGGTGGAGGCGGCTCTTAAGAGTGATTCACGGTCACTCAAGTCAACGGGTGTGGCCATCTCTTCCAAGAACTCGACAGATTTAGCAGCAGCTCTTTGGAAAGACTCGGCAATGGTGGTGGGGTGAATGCCCTTGTTTAACATCTTTTCGGCAGCTGATAATAAAGAACTACATAATACCACTACAGAGGTAGTACCGTCACCAGCTTCCACATCTTGAGCAGCAGACAAATCCACAAGCTAAAGTACATGTATTAACACCTCTATTTTACCCTTTTTTTTTTCCTTCAATATGTATTACCATCTTTGCGGCAGGATGGAGCACTGCCATGTGCTTGAGGATAGTAGCACCATCGTTAGTGATAACAACTTCACCGCTTGATGTTTGAATCTGGGCGAAGAAAAAAGAATAGATGGGATGAGTCAATGTGAAGAAAAAGAGCTTAAAGTATCTGCGTTGTATACCATTTTATCCATGCCACGAGGACCCAAAGAGGTACGGATCGCATCACCTACAGCTATAAAGATGATGAAAAAAAAGATGATGAGAATAAAAAAAAAAAACGCGAGATTTTGCGAGTGTTGGTGTTACCTTTGGCAGCAGTAATGTTTGACATGCGAACTTCCATGGGTTTATCTTTATCTTGGAACTTTCCACCATTGACACCTGTTGGTTTTGCTACGGCAGCCATATTATATTTTATTGCACAATGGGATTAAAAGGGGGAGAAAGAATAAAAAAAAAAAATAGGGCGGGGGGAGGAGTTTATTTAAAAAATTTTATAGAACCATCCAGCAAAAAAACGTATTCTAATGTTTTAATAGTCAAGTCACAAAAAATTTCATTTTTGAGATTGACACTTGAGAATGGGAACAATGGCTTGAGTTTTACCAACGATAAGAGTAACAGTGCGTCGTTGTTGATGACGATTTGTGCCGCGAGAGAGTGTTAGTATACGTGGCATTCTTCTCTTGTCTATATCCGTACTAATATTAATGGCTGATTGTAAATGTTCAAACCAAGACACCGTATCGGGTAAATCGTTGGGTCGAATCAGATATTGCTCTTTAGACTCGAGGCATAACCGAAGTACTTGATCATGCTTGGTGTAGTTATGTGCCATACCACAATTGGCCTTCAGCATACTGATTTTCTCTGACGTTTCTTCACTGCCTTTGGTCTTGTACATCTGTAACAACGTGCCTCTTAGTTTGAAATATACAATGGCCCACGATCGATTCTTCAGCTCCATAAATCCACCCACACTCAGTTCTTTTTTGATACGCACATAACCTTCTTTATACACTGTACACTCATAAGAAGGCAAATTATCATAACAAGGTAATTCTTCAATCATTTATATATACAAGAACAAGAGCCGAAACAATGTCAAGCATATAAGAAACATGGAATTTTATGCGGGATCTAAATCTTACCTCGAGGCCACCACATATTTAAAAAACTTTTTTTTTTTTTCAGTCTTATTGACTCGGGAACCCGAGAGCGCGTCTCCCCGTAGAGAGAGAGAAAGCGAGAGCGAAAATTCTTTGACTTTCTTCACCCTTCCTTGTCAACTTTTTTTTTTTCTTTATAAATCATGGCAGCCAATATCGATCCTAACTCTGCTGTATATGCTACCGATGAATATGGTAGACCTTTCATTATTGTTAGAGAAGGTCAACAAAAATCTAGATTAAGTGGCATTGCTGCTATTCGTGTAAGTCTTTTCCCCCCTCCCCTTTTTAAAGATGATGATGACTTAATTTTTTTTTTTTTTTTAATTTAAAAATGTAGTCTCACATTCTTGCTGCCAAGACTGTTGCCAACATCATCAAGACTTCTCTTGGTCCTCGTGGTATGGAATACTATTGGTCTTATTTGAACGTGTAGCTAATCTTTTTTTTCATGTAGGTCTTGACAAGATTTTGATTTCTCCTGATGGTGATATCACTGTCACCAACGATGGTGCCACTATTCTCGACCAAATGGCCGTTGAACATCAAATCGCAAAGTTACTTGTCCAGTTATCTCAAAGTCAAGATCAAGAAATTGGTGATGGTACTACCGGTGTTGTTGGTAAGCATAGCGTATAAACTGTCTTATTACTCCTTTACTTATAAACTTCTTTGACTAGTCCTCGCCGGCTCCCTGTTGGAACAGTGTGAACAACTTTTAGACCGTGGTATTCATCCTATTCGTATTGCTGATGGTTTTGAACGTGCTTGTGCTGTTGCTGTGCAACACTTGGATGATATTTCAGATACTATTGAATTCAGTAAAGATAACGTGTCCAACTTAAAAAAGACCGCCATGACCAGTCTTGGTAGTAAGATTGTGTCCAAGTGTCATGAACAATACGCCGACATTGCCGTCAATGCAGTCTTGTCTGTTGCTGATTTAGAACGTAAGGATGTTGATTTTGAATTGATCAAGGTAGATGGTAAGGTGGGTGGCTCTTTGGAAGACACCATCTTGGTCAAGGGTGTTGTTATTGATAAGGATATGTCTCATCCTCAAATGCCTCGTGAAGTCAAGGATGCCAAAATTGCCATCTTGACTTGTGCATTTGAGCCTCCTAGACCCAAGACCAAGCATCACATTGACATTACATCGGTGGAAGAATATGAAAAGTTGAAGGCTTATGAAGAGGAAAAGTTCAACTTGATGATCAACCAAGTCAAGGATTCAGGTGCCAATCTTGTCATTTGTCAATGGGGTTTTGACGATGAAGCCAATCATTTATTATTACAAAACAAGTTACCTGCTGTCAGATGGGTGGGTGGACCCGAGATTGAATTGATTGCTATTGCTACCAACGGTCGTATTGTCCCTCGTTTTGAAGATTTGAATGCCGAAAAGTTGGGTCATGCTGGTATTGTACGTGAATTGACCTTTGGTACTACCAAAGATCGTATGTTGGTGATTGAAGAGTGTGCTAATAGTCGTGCTGTCACCATCTTTGTGCGTGGTGGTAACAAGATGATTATTGATGAAGCCAAGCGTTCTATCCATGATGCCATGTGTGCTGTCCGTAACCTTGTCCGTGACAACCGTGTGGTTTATGGTGGTGGAGCTGCTGAAATCAGTTGTTCCTTGGCCGTTGCCAAGGTTGCCGATGAGATTTCTTCTATTGAACAATATGCTATGCGTGCTTTTGCTGATGCTTTGGATGCCACACCTCTTGCTCTTTCCGAGAACTCTGGTCTCTCTCCCATCGAAACCTTGGCCAAGGTCAAGGCTGAGCAAGTGCTTACGGGTAACTCCAAGTTGGGTGTTGACTGTCTCGGTAAAGGTTCCAACGATATGAAGGACCAACATGTATATGACCCATTGATCTCCAAGCGTCAACAATACTTATTAGCTACTCAATTGGTCAAGATGATCTTGAAGATTGATGATGTGATTACAACTTATGAACAATAAGGGAGAAAATAAATAAATTTGTATAGGGGGGTAGTAGAATGATCAAAAGGGAGTGATAATAATCTAAAACTTTAATGGACCCTTTTTCATAAACATGTATAAAAAGGGAGGGCAAATCGAATAGCCTTTTTTTAGTTTTTGGCTTTGTTTTTTTTATCTGTAAATGACACTCACCCATGTGCCCCCAATTTGAAGCATGGATTTAATCTTTATGAGCTAAAAAAAGATTCAAAGTAAAAAAAAAAAAAAAAAGTTTGACAGCTCATGAAAATGACATGACACGTTGTACAAGTACATCTGTGCGATAGACTGGACAATTTTAAAGCTTATAACCGCTCTCTCCCCCTGCCTACGTAATACATTCAAACCTGTTTATCTATACTCCTTTACGAAGAGTATTTCACCATATATATCAGACAAAAAAGAAAACTCCTCTCTTTGCCTTTTTTTTTTTTTTTTTTTTTTTTTTTTTTTGGGTAAGGAGAGATAAGCTATAGGAGCTTACATATATTTTTAAGTAAAGGATAGGTAAAGACGCATAATGTATAATCCCCAGGGTTCAATTATGAATTATCATTAAACAAACAACCGACAAGTATAAGGAAAACACTTAATAGATCACATCATAATAGGGGCTAATTTTTTTTTATACTTGTGGCAATGTGTCAAAGGCAGCAAGTATAAGTATGTTTAATCATTGTTTGTAGGAGATTCTTTCTTTTTTTATTTACCCTTGATATTTTTGATTTCTGGATTATAATCGTGTAGAGGGAGAAAATAGGGTTCCACGTTTGTCATGTTGTATTGCCACATGTGTTGCTTGTGTATCATGGATTTATTGAAATGAGGGAGACATCATATTAAGTGAAAATAGTTCATTTTAGAATAAAACTAATAAGAAAGAAAACCATCTCCCCTCTTTGCCACCCCTTTTAAGCTTAAACATTTATAAAATAAAAACTTTTTTTTTATTTTTGCATTTCCCTGTTACTATTCATTTATCTCTTTCTTTTCTTTTCTTTTTTTTTTTCTTCTTACCCCAACCCCCCTTTCCACTCTTTACCACACCCACCATCACACTCTTTTTTTAATTGTTATGTACCAGAAAATATACAGATTAAGGTACAAGCAAATCCATTATCAATATAAAACAATCACTAATCTCTTTAAATATCAGACTCTTGGTACAAGAAACTGCCCAGTATTTTCCTATTCATCTTTGCGCAATGAAAGAAAAGGAGCCTACATTTAATGAATTGGCTCGCAAAGTAGAGCGTTTAACAAAGGTAAACAGAAAATCATCATGTCAGATCATCTTACTCACATCTCGACACTTGTTAGAATATCAACTTGGATGATTATTATCTTGCAACAGTAGATAACACATTACTGTTTGACGACGGGAGTTTACAGACAGCTTTAAAATCATCTACGTCCGACAAACAAACACTCCAGATCATTCTCTGTCGTAAATCACTAGGTAAAAAAAAAAGAAAGAAAATCTTGTTTATTCTCGAAAACTTATTAACTCTAAAATAATTAAAAAGAGGACCTGCATAAAAGACGAAACAAAGTGCAATTACCCACAGAAAATGTACCGGTCATTAAACCGACCGTTCTTAGATGGACACCTGCTATTTTACCCAATGATACTGCCTCCAATCATATCCGTCGCTATAGCACAACCAGTCAAGATGATCCTGCTCTTGACACTCGTCATGATTATCGTAAAGATTCTGGTATTTCTTTGGATGAACCACATCATCACCAAAGAAAAAAACAGCGAGTCATGTCTGCAGATCATCAGTCCTCCAGAAAATTGCCTGATCCATCTTCCTCTCCTTTACCCACCGTACGCCATAACAGCACTAGTGGTTCTTTACACCCATTGGAAATCAGAAGACCTTCTACAGCCCCACCACCTTCTTCTCCTTCTCCACCTTCTTCTCCTTTTCCTCGATCCAATCATTATAACCCACCTACTTTACCTACCATATCACATATCACTTCCAATCATCAACATATTCTTTTGGACTCCCAATTAGCACCCATTCAAACTCTATCATCATCATCTTCACCACAAGAATCTGTTCTTGTGAATAAACGATCACGATCTGTTCCTTCTTCTAATAATTCGAGTATATTTCATTGCGAGCATGCTACAGATCATGGTCAAGTTTGCGGGCAAACCTTTCGAAGATCCTATGATTTATCTCGTCATCAAACCATTCATTTGGAAAACAGACCGTTTTGTTATTGTGACAAGTGTGGAAAAAAGTTTACTCGCATGGATGCTTTACGTCGACATGAGCGAGTACAAGGTCATTCTTCAAAACACCGCGCCATGTCTCTTATACCAAAAACAAGCGTATAAAAAAATATCTCTCTCTCTCCTTTTTTTTTTTCTTAATAAATAATTATCTGTCAAATCCCGTTTGTTTGTTTTTTTGCCCTCTATCATAACATATACCAATGCAGTATGACGTTCGTGTCTTTAGCCTAGATAGAAAAATAAAAGGGCTCGTATGATTGGATGTCCTTAACACTACTACCAATAGACTGTGTGTGTGTGTGTGTAGGATGAGTTAAGACGATTACGTAGGGTTAAAATTAGTCTTATTGGATGACCTGTGATTATCAATTAAGCTACAGTGAAGCTGGGGAAATATTGGTTAATTCAGAAATATTTTTGGTGGGACTTGCTCAATGGGGCATTTTGAGATTTCTTATTGGCATAATTGAAAAAATTGCTTTGAGCCACTTTTTGATGTCAAGTTATTTCACTCTCCCTTTATCTCCTATAGAATTTCTCTTGGATTTTTACTTTTAGTACAGATCAAGCTAAATGTCATAATTTATAGTTATACGGTATGGTTTGGATTGGTAATTTTTTTTCTTTCAATTCGGATAAATGTTGCTGTATACTTTTCATCAAACACCATCCCGGCTATTTATAGCTTGTAAGATTGTCTAATATTCTTCATGTGGTGTTTGAGTAATAAAAATAGATAAAACAAAAATAAAACAAAAGTAAGAATACTTTGGGACTGTTGGTATGCTTTATTTCAGTTTACAAAGAAGTTAGAGAGTCTTGTTATATTGAGGGAAGTATGAATATATATATATGATGTCTGAATTTAAATTATAAAATATTGCATGATGAAAGTACGCTATTTCAGTACTGTTGTCTTCTTGCACTATTTTAGTGGAAGAGGTAGATAGACTAAAGAAGTGTATTTGCTTTATAAAGTATGGATGCTGAGATATTTAGTGTAAGATGTATGTGTATCTGATGTTATTTTTATTATGATTTTATTAAGAAGTAGTTCAGATCATCACATTTCAAGAACGGACGAAGAAAAAAAATACTGTCTTCATTTTGTGTAAAGCTTGATACATTAAAACCAAAATCTTAGAATGGAGTGGATATATACTACTTGGAGGAATTAAATAAAGAATACTGTTGTCTTGAAGTAGTCGTAGTATTCGCGGTATATGTAAGGTTACTCACATTCTGAAGAGTCTTACATAGTGTCGACAATTGCTTCCTGTTATATGTCCAAATTAAACGACCGTTTGATATCCATAATAATAATGACTTTACCTTAAAACTAAAAATAATCTCCATAGACTCTTCAAGTGCAGTATAAGTTGATCCTGATGTTGGAAGCATGGTTGTACTCAACAACACAAAGTCACATCCATCTTCTTTTGAAAATAAGCTACGGTACAATTCCATACTATTCTCAACAATAAAAATGCCAAAATTTTAGAATTCCATACTTGATTTTGCTTTCTTGATTCGACTGTGAAGCTGTTTCTTAGCCGCTCTCCCAAACGAGCTCTGTCTTTTTCTTGCAGCCTTTCATCGACAACAATAACCTTGATCTCGCCACAGCCTAATTGATGATAATTGGTATAGATCAAAAATTATGGGTCACTAGGTCTTCCCACCTAGACCATCCACACAGTTTTTAGGCGTCCAAACGGGTTCTGCTCCAAAAATAATATATTCATCTGTACAACAAATAGGAATATTCAGCTGACTTATTTCTAAAAAGCCAACACGCTTAACTGTCTGCTTCTTACTGTTTTGTAAATTAATATGTCCTTTTTGAGAACAGAAATCGATCATCCTATAAAGTTTAGACGATATGGCATGTCAACCGATGTAAAGACTTATGTGTGGACCATGACATGATCCAAAAAATACGATTGAAAACAGTACGGAGGTTTAGAAATTCCCTATTTTATGACCAGTTTATCTGTTGGTGATAATTTACTTTAAAGGCAATGTGGGCGGTTGTCTACTTCGAAAACTACGGCCCTAATTTTCTTGTCACTCAGTGATGACATCCAAGCTCTAAAAATCTGCAAGAGATCCTTTTTTTTTTCGGGATGGTGTGGTAAAAAAGCTCCTTAGGTTACCTTGTATAAATTATAAGACATCTTTTATTTTTTGAGCATTTTTGACAGCACAAAATTTATAGTTGGCTGATTTATCCAATATTGCACGAAATTCAATTTGCGTCACAGCCATGATATTTTGACTGAGATAAAACCTACAAAAGAGATATAGAGTATAGTATTCCTAACAAAGGCTAAGATTAAATTGTGTGTTCATTATCAAGGCTAGATTAATATCAATTTGAAGAAAACTTAGGCAAGATAAAGTAAATATGAGTATCTGGCATCGTATAAGTTGAAAACTCATACTATTGTTGGTGTAAATCACTCCTCTGATATAATTCTTATTGCAATGAGAAAACCCTCTCCTTTAAGGAAAAGGTTGAAAAAGGTACAGACAAAAGAGAGTGAGAATCAAAAAAAAGTATACAAGAGTTTTCATAGAGTATGTCGTGGTTGAGAGCAATGATGACAGGGATGCCAATATGCCTCCTTCTCAAGGCCCTACTACGGCTCATTTTATTAAAATTCATGTATTAGATGCTTGATATTATGAATATGAATGATTTACCCCAGAGAAAGTTGATTCTCGCAACAAAATACGTTGTAATGATCTTCGTAGATTCTGTAGCCACTCTAAGCGTCATATCAGTTATTATCGAGATAGACTCGAGTTTGAATGAATTTCTGAAGTGATCAATAAGCAATTTTTCAATTAAACTAAATCCATTTTTAAAATCATCATTTCAATTTTTGAATTAACCAATGTTTCCCGGCTTCACTGTAAGCTTTAGGATTTTTCCTCGCTTTCCTAATTTTTTTGGACACAGTCTCTTCTGGTCATTTAGGTTTTGTATGTACTTGTACTCTACAGCGCCTTGTACTATGTTTGCGGGAAATACAAACATTTTTTATTGTGCTTTTACTACATAATTTACTACATGAATATCTTTTTGTTAATGTTTCGAAACCATGATTTGATCATTTTGCTTAAGCGTAGTTGTTTTTAATTGCGGGACAATAGGTACGTCCTTGTAGTCTGTTAACCCCTATGCTTTATATTTCAAACCACTCTTGGAGTTTCCTTTTTTAGGAGGGCAATTACACACACATTCTGGGGAACATAATGTATAATATGGCTTAAAAAAATTGAGCACAAACTATATGTGACATAATTTTATGATAATAGTAGTTCATAAAAAGCTTATAGAATCATAATTTTTAATTGAACTCAAAATATGGCCACTAGTTACTGATTTGACGTGGGTTAGATTAGCAAAAAACACAAAAAAAAAAAAAAAAAAAAAAAAAAAAACCGATACTAAATAAAACGAGCATGATTATGGGGAGGGGGCCTGGATAAAAGAATCCTAGGCATGTAACACCATCCATATACTGTCTTCTCATAAATCATCTGCTGCTATGATAAATTGCACATCCAAATTAAGTTGATGTGTTGGTACAACTGGAATGTTTAAATAAAAAAGATAAATCGCATGGTTTTATTTCTAACGAAGTACTTTTAAATTTTAATCGTCGTATGTCTGATTTATAGTATTCTTTTGATGTACATCCATTATAAAATGTAACTATTTTAAAAACAATTCGAGTAGCTTGATTTGCCGTCTATGATGTAGAGTCGAATGCTCTAAATATAACTTAATTCACTGGTTTAAGTTCTTACAGACCTTTATCAATAAGCATTTGACTAATGTAAGAGCTGTGTTCATAATTATGATATCATTCATTATAATGAGTAAACAGAAAGACAAACCAATACATACACAAAAAATGTGGTCAATTGAAGATAGACGCACTGTATGCTTTAAATGTAAAATTTAAGGGCAACAATAGGTATGCCTGTGTAACATGAGCCCTTTTTTTATTGTGTCATGTTTAAAACAAGACAAAAGATAAATTTAGAAGGCCAATCAAACAATCTGTACCAATTAAGCCCAGGCACAAAAATTTTAGTGTGGCGTCCCTCCAAAAAAAAAACTCTTTTTAGTTCTCTCACCTTCCTTTTCTCTCTTAATAACACAAAATGAAAAGAATAAATAGCACAATCGGCATGGTAATAAAAGAAAGAAAAGACAAGAAAAAGTTACTAAAAGTTAGTAATGACATTAGTCGGGAGAGATTGAACAAGTGGTGACCAAGTTGTTAAGAACGACCAAGGCTTTGCTCGAGGCTTTAACGCAATGGTCTCACTTACGCGCAACTAATGGTGATATTTTTGAAATTCACGATACTCTGGAAAAGCAGTTCTTCTTGGTGTCTCAAGCTTTTGAAGAAGCTAATGTTTCCATGAAGTAGGTAACCCCCCACTTTATCTTTAATAGAAAAAAAAAGAAAAAAAAAAAACTTGAAACTAATGAAGAGTAAATATTAGTGATTTACAATGGATTCCTCGACAATTACGAGACTCTGTGTCTGTAGCTATGTTAGAGCCCCCTTCACCTCCTGTGCTTGATCAATACTTGCCTCGTATCCGAGAAGTTATTGTTCATTTACTACATGGATTAAAAGGCAAACAAGCGTTGCTTCGAGAACGAGAACGAGAATCTCGCAGCAACAGTATCAGTAGCAGTAGTGGGTCAATGCGATCGAATACAGACTCATGGAACCGCGAAGTACCATTGGCTGCATTGAACCGAGGTAGTGGATCTCAACGTATGATGATGTATCCAGTACCCTCTTCACCACCTTTACCACCCATGTCTTCGCCCAGAATGAATCCCTCAAATGAGTACGATCCATGGTCAGGTGTCATGCCTCGTCCCTCCGTGCCCACTAATGACCTCTCATCTCGCATCATGCCTAGAAGTAACTCGAGATCCTACTCACCACAAAACTCACCCAAGATACAACAAATCCCTTTGCCCACCAGATCCACTTCTTCTGGAAGAAACAATCAACCACCTGTAGTCACTGCACCTCCTCCCCCACCTCCTCCACCTCCAGTACCCAAACCTGAAGTTGTGCAACAGAAACCTTCAGAATTTGATGAAAGTGATCCTAATACTGCTAGTGCTTTAGCCGCCTTAAAGCGTCATGAGAATTTAGCAAGAAGATCGTCTGTGAGACGTGCATCTATGTTTAGAGGAAATGGTGAGTATAATGGAGGAAGTATCTCGAGAGGTAAACAACCTTATTTTCAACCTACCAACGGAGAAGCAACTCAAGTACCTCCCGTTCCCACTTTACCTGTTACTGCAAATGAACCCAGTCGTTTAAATACAGTGTCGGAAGAGGCCAAACCCGTGGTAGAACCACAAGTGGAACAAGGTAAGGAATAAGAGGAGAGAAAGAGATCAGAAGATAAGGTTCACTGATTTTATTTATTTATTTATAGGATTGACATTATTCCTTCAGATTGGTAAAGAAGTGCAAAAAGTGCAGTATCAGGGAGAGATTAGTATCTCTGCTTTAAACATGTTGTTTTTGGAGAAATTTAGTTATTCTGTTGGACAAAATGATTTTCCCAAGATTTATATTCGTGATCCATCCATTGGTGTGTCCTATGAATTGGTGGATTTATCTGAAGTTAAGAACAAATCTGTGCTTTCTTTCAACATTAATGGTAAAAGAAAAGAAATATATCGTGTGGTTACACACCTTGTTTAATGACACCTTTTTTTTCATTATAATAGAAAAACAAGAAGAAAAGGACTTATTATTACAGGTCACAAACACGTTTAATAAGGAATTGGAAGAGACTCGTAAATTGTTTACAGAACAAATGCAAGAAATCAAGAAACAAATTACAGAGGCATCCGAAAAATCAGATGAAAACTTAAAACAGGTCTTATTGGCACAACCACCTGCCGCTGTGGCGCCTACACCTGAAGAGACCCCCGTGGAAGAAGAGGAAGAGGTGGCAGAAGAACCGGAAGCGGTAGTGGAAGAAAAGAGTATCCCCAAGGAACAATACGAGTCACAATTACTCGAGATCGAAACGTTACGTCGTGATATGGCAGTGCTACGACAATTGGAACGCGAGATGCGTGATGGTACAGCCTCCGTGATCCAAGAGATGAAGGAAAAGGCAGCAGCTGTCAAGGAAGAAGCCATCAAGAACAAAAACAAGGAACTTGTCCAAACTTCCACTGCACGAACCCATTTGGAGGACGGCAAGAAGAATTTATTGGTTAAATCTGATAAGGTCACCAGTCGATTAGAGGATTTACAGGATACCATTGATCAATTAAAGCTGGACGTCACACAACGTAAATGTCGACCCTCCGAAACCATGATGACGCATTGTGCCAATGAACGAAAGGCACTTGCGCAGGAAATTGAGGAATTCGGAAAGTATATTGCAGAGGTAAAGCCTCGATGGAAGAAGACTTGGGAATTGGAATTACAAACTATTGTGAAAGAGCAGCAGACGTTAAAGGATCAAGAGTATTTGTTATCAGACATGAAGGATGATTTGGATGCGCTTTTGGAAGTTTTCGAACAGTTGGAAAAGATTTATGCGTACCAAGCAAGCACTAGACCTCAGCCTCGTGAATTTAGAGTAGCTCCTGTAGAAGAAGGATTCGAAGGTATGGCCAGTGTGTTTAAACAAGTGGCTACCATTGATGTGGATCATACACGTCGTTTACGTGCACTTGAACAGGCGGATAAGATGAGACAACGTGAATTAGCCAATCGCATCGATGATTTCGAAAAAGAACTAGTAGGTTTTGTGGGTGAAAGTAAGTTAAAGAAGACTGGCGGCGCGCTTGAAATTGATCGTCTGCGTAAACAAAAGGATGAAGAAATGATGAAGGCCATGTATGCTGCTAACAAAAAACCTGCTACGCCAATTAATGAAGAAGAAGAACCTGAAGATCAAGAGGATTAAACAACAATACAAATCACTTTTTTTTTTTTCCATTTTAGCATTTTTTTCCACACCCTCAAATTATTATTCTTTTAAACATTATTATTTTTATCATATAATCTCCTTCTCTTAAAAGCCATGACACGAATACTGTATTGCAAATTATAAATCATATTTACCATTATCCAAATTGTGCTCATTATTATAAAAAAAAAAAGTTACAGATATGTTATACTTGGCCAACGTAATGTCTAGTTATATTTTTCTATTGTAGAATAGATACAAAAACAGAGTATAAGACTATATGCTTTTAGTAGGATATATTGATTATTAAAGCGGAAACAAAGTAAAAAGATTTATGCGTGTTTATGTAAACCATCATTGGGTTCATGTATAATGTAAAAGCTTTTGGCAATGTATTTTCACATCATGTGATAGACACCTGTATCGAGGATGTTCTCAGTAAATATGTAGCCATTTAGCATGAAAAAAGTTAGGTTAGAAATATATCAGTATCTAGAACTACATGTCTACTGCCATTTGCATAAAGTGTGATTCACTCAGTTTCCACCCCTAAAAAAATTGAGACAACAAACTGAGACAATATGCAGCGCTCGTACTGCGGGTTCAAACATCTTCTACTCCCAAAGAGTTTCGTTAAAAGTGTTCGCTGTATACGCTACATAAACAGTCTAGCGAAGAGATATGAAATTAAAATTACGGTTATCAATTAATTCCGAAAAGAAAAGAAATGAAAGGACGGTTAATATCACGAAATGTTCCTTTCATTTTGCATGAGATCAGGTGCACAAGTGCGTGCTTAAAAATGACAGCTGAGTTTCAGAAGTACATCAGACTAAACTCATTGCGGTACAGAATTTTTACATGATGTAAAATAAATCGGTAGACTCTGGCTCTTTCCGAAATTTTTTCTGAATAAAAATATATTATAGATATAACGTTGTTCCTTTATCTACAAAAGTAAAACATGGCGTTTTATCACTAAATAATACTTTTAAGGGGTCAAAGTATTAAATTATGACCTAACATGAGTGCATACTGTGTACATGCAACTCGTAAAATAAACTCTTACATCTACTTGCAACCATCAAGCATAATAGAGTATAATCTTTTATTTATTTATCGCTTTGTGGATATTTTAAACATCATTGCAAAAGGATGCCCGATTGAGCATAATTTTATCCAAAATCGAACGCCCTGACGGTGGCTTTTGGATATCATCTGGATCTGGTCAACTCGGGTTATCATTAAATTTGGGCGAGATAAGAAGAAATATAGAGGATTAACCGCTGGCGTATACATGTAGGTCTTTATCGTGGTACCGCATCGTACTGTACTTGAACTTTATACGCCACTCTGTATTATCAACCTGCATGCGTGTTATCTAACCTTTACATTTTACCTTAAAAAATTACTTTCACCAACACACTTTGGGTTTCCTTAAGATCTTACAGTTTTCAATGAAAAAATAAATAAAATAAAAACGAGTATGCAACTTGTCAGCAAAGTCATAAACATCACATCATAAAAAAACAAAGCGCACGAATATAATTGTTTATTAGTAGTAAAAAGTGACATCTAAATATAGATTAACATCTGAAATCACAAGATTTAATGTTGTTGCCTGAGGTGTCATTTGTTGATATTCCTTCTCGAAGTTGTATGCATAATATTGCCGTTGGCAACGCTATGATAGACCTACAGCTCACTTATGCCGTTACATGGTACCAAAAATACTCAAAAAAAGTATTATAGATAATCCAAATAAATCTGTTGATATTGCTCTGGAACAATACGCTAACAGAGAGATCGCACAAAAAAAAAAAAAAAAAAAAAAAAAAAAAAAATACGCACTAATGTTTTGGCCCCGAAATATGCGAGAACCGAAAAAACACGGTTTAATTTCCCGCCCCCTCATAATAAGGCTAATCAGCTGTCGCCATTACAACCCCTTAACAGAAAACTTAGATTTCGGGAACAATCCGTGAAATATTAAAACAAGATATTGATACTTCTTATTCTTGTATGAGCAGTAAAATTCGGTGCGCTAGATGCAAGAACAGTAAGTACACAGTAAATAATAAATAAAATATCCTTCTCCTTTGTAAATTGTTATTGTAGCTAAAATCAAAAAAAAAAAAATTATTATTTTTTGGTTGTACAGCGCATTGTTGTACGTCCTCAGAACTGAAGCGCTCATTAATATATCTGGGGTGATACAAATCCTCTTTGGTTAGCAATGCCGCATTTTTGAATGACCCATTTATCCCTGACATTGCAGCAAAAATAGAAGCTACGTAAAGAACAGCGGGAAAAAAGAAATAGCGCGATCTAGATTCTTGATACTATTTCTCACCCATCCGAAAGCGTATGCATACAACAATACTTGGCTGAAACTTAATAGCCAAGTATGTGTGAATCTATTTTTGTTTTTCATAATATTGGCATAAGAAGGGACGCGTTAGAGAAACTACCTTAATAGTGTGGGAGTAAATATGCTAAAAGTTATCTTATCCATCTGTGATTCGGAAGTAAGAAAGCTAGAGAAAATAACACTAGTAACTCGAGCTTGATGTTATATTGACATCAATATTCAGGTCTAGCTTAAATTGATACATTTGTTTTACTCACAGACTTGATGAAAACAACACTACCCACTCATTCGTTCTCGGCGATGCATGTTTGTATATTTGCTATTTTTTTTTCTTCTTTGGACCGTTTCGGATATGTCGGCATTGGTAATGTATAAATTTGGGATTTTTTTAAGGTGTGGGTATATGTACATAGTATGTCTGTTACAGAATATGCTTAGAAATTATAAGATTCGAAACAGAGAACACGTATGATACGTTCTATTTTCAACAAAAATAAAGAACCATTGGTTGTAATGCGAAAAAGCATCCAAATCGGCGTAAGTATAGAAATAGAAAAAAAAAAAAGTTTGGGTCAAAACAAATATGGTTTGGTGGAACCATCGCACAGCACCATTTCTTTGATGTTTACCTTCAAAATTGCATAAACGTTTTACTTTTTTTTTTCGCGAGATATAAAGTACATCCTAGTGTGTCGGGCTCCTTTTTTCCCTTGTTCGTATCCCTTTTTCATTTTTTTTTTTGTATTTTTGTATTGTAAAAGTTTCCTGTACCTTTTTTTTTATTTTATCACCCAAATCTGTAAATTTTTTATCACTGCTGTATTTTTTGTCTGAAAAGCATTCATTCTATTTGTAAAATCCTAAAAAAAAATATCATTGTAAACTTTACCTCCCCCACCCTTTTTTTTTACCACTTTAAAAATGACATCTTTCCCAAAGGGTTGGTTTTTCATTAAAAATCTGAATAACGGATATGTATTATCCACTGAAAAGTTCACTGCTGGTGAACCCGTCGTTATTGCTTCGGTTCGAGTCAAAGATTTCGATACTCAACTTTGGCAACACGGCGAAGATGGCCGTCTTCATAATAAGAAGACTGGATTTGTTCTCGATCTTACCAGAGGTGAGTCTCATCCCTTTACTTCTCTTCTTAGTCTTAAACAGCCATCATTAACCAATTTTTTTTAAGGTCTTGCTAAGATTGGCTCTGAAATCGTCCAACAAAACGATTCTGATTCTTCAGAAAGTCAAACTTTTGGCATGTCCGCCGACGGCCATATTTATCTTGTAAAAGACCCTACTTTAGTCCTTGGTATCAAGGAATCATTTTTCACCCGTCGTGAAGGTCAACACGTTCATCTTCAAGCTCTTGACAGAAATATTAAAGAGCGTAAGGATCAACGCTGGGACTTTATCTTGCCTTCCACAAAACGTTCTAGCACAATTACTAGCCCCATTGACAGTTTGAAGCGCACAATCAGCGGTGCATCTCTCGGTAGTTTCAGCTCCAGCTCTGTTTCTACTCATGTTGGTAAGCTCATTTTCTACTAATTTAATTACATGTTTACTAACTTTAAATCATAGATGAAGATGGCTGTCTTGATGAGTCCGCTCACAACCAATTGAACTCGTTCCCCGATTCTGCATTCTTTATCAAGTCTGAGTCAACTGGTTATTACATTGGCATTGAAGCTAGTTCCATTAATAGTCCAGGCGGTAGACTTTCTCTTGAACCCCTTCGTAAAAGTAATTACGAAAGTCAACTTTGGCATTACGATGTCATCAGTGGTCGTTTGATCAATACCAATTCTGGTTTCTCTCTTAGCGCTGAAGAGCTTTCTGATGATTCTCATGTTTGCCAATCATCTAGCTCCACCGAAAAGGACATGGCCTACCAATCTTGGACTTTGACTGAGACTGGTTCAATTAAACTCAGGTCCGAGAGCAACTTTGTACTTGGTTTCAAGAAAGACAGTTGGTTTGGTTTAAACCGCGAAGGAGCTACTGTCTTGTTGCAAAAACAAACCGACAATAAAACACACTCTCACCAAAAGTTTGTTATTGTATTGCCTATTTTCAAAAAAATGACAACTGAAATTGTCACTGTATCTGAAAAGATTGGTGTCTTCCCTGAAGGTTACTTCTTTATTAAGAATCAAAAGCATGGTCTAGTCATTACTGTTGTTGATACCGATAAACTTGCAGCTCAGGTTATTGCCACCCAATTAGACACCGAAAACTACAATCGACAAATGTGGAAGCACAGCGATGGGTACCTTTTTAACAAGGCTTCTGATTTGGTTTTGGATGTTCGCGGAGGTAATGTATTTTATATATATAACCTTAAAACGAGCTGCACGCTTTGTTATTTTTTTTGACGTTGCATATTGAATCACAAATATTTATACGCCATTTTATTTCCTTTCTTAGGTTGCATTGTCTCCGGATCTGAACTCTGCCAATACAAGCAAAAAAAGGAAGGTGCCGAAAACCAACAATGGGGTCTTTCCGTTGAAGGTTACATTCATTCTAAAAATCATAAGGATGTAGTCTTAGCCCTTTCTGGTACAAGAAAGACTTCTTTATCTGTCTATTTAGCCAACAAAAAAACTCCTGACCATGAAGAGCAAAGATGGAATTTCGTTCTCCCCGTCTTTAAGCAAAAGACGAGTAAGTGTTTTATCCCATATTCAGTGTATGCTGAAGTTCTAATTTTTTTTTAAATAGCTACGGTTACTGAGACTACTGTACAAAAGTCTGTTTGCTATCATCATTATGCTCAATATCCAAGTGGTTGGTTTTTCATTCGTTCTTTTGCTGGTGGATCATCTACTGAAGCACCTTTGGTCCTCACTGCCGATAGTACTACTCATAACGTCTCTCTCACCAAAATCAGTACTGAACATTGGCGTAATCAACTTTGGATGTATTGGAATGGCGTTTTAATTAATTTTGCAACTCAACTTGCCATGGATGTTGACAGTAAGTTCTGCATCATGTTGTATAACGTAACACATTTTTTAACCTTTTTTTTTTTAATAGAAGTTGATGCTGGGGCTTCTATATGTCAAGAATTACGTCAAGCTAAATCCATCAGTCAAAGATGGGCTCTTACCATTGACGGTTTCCTTGTACATGGATCCAATCCATCCCTTACACTTATTCCCGAAGCGTCTGATAACGGACAATTTAAACTTGTTCTTGCTGATCACGCTACTGCACAAAAGGAATCACGTTGGGGTTTGTTGTCTCCTGAAATCAAGGTTGAAAACGGTGTTCAAATCATCTCTCGTTGGAATATCACTCTCTTGACCGAATGGAAGAAATTTAATGAACAAGCTGTTCAAAAGGTTGTCCATCGTATTGCTGACTGGCCGGAGTCAACTTTCTTTATTAGCGCTCAAGATGGTTTAGCTTTAGCTCCTGAGAAATCAGAGGCTTATTCCTTCCTTGTAGTTAAGAAACTTGAATTTGGTCAAAGTGAACATTTTAAATGGGCTTACCGTGATGGGTTTGTTGTGCATGTTGCCACTGGTCTAGTATTGCATGCGTCAGGTAAATAACGATGTGAAATGTTTTAAAGATATGTAAATTAACATGACGCAAATTAGATGACCTTGTAAGTGGTAGCTCTCTTCAAATCAGAGAACAGCTTCTTTTGGATTCCAACACAATCGACCAACGTCAGAAGTGGGTTATCAAGACTGATGGATCTATCGTGTCTGAACTCAAAAATACCCTTGGCTTTGCTCTTCTTCTTCAAGGTAACAAGTATCTTGTCCAACTCGCTTATGCCAGCAAGACAAGTGAACATTATGGATGGGGTTTCGTTCGTGGTCATTATGAAAGCCGCTACAGTGATGTATATAAGAAGGAAGTTTCCGTTGTTACTCGTACTGAACGTATTCTTTTAACTGTTCAAACTCAACGAAGTAAGAATTATTATTTTGATGTAGTCTAACAATTTTTATTAACGAAAACAACCTTTTTTTTAGCTTCTGCTTCTGCCAACACGAAACTGGTTACTCGCTCCTATGGTGTTTTCCCTGAAAACTGGTTTTACATTCGCTCAAAGGCCGATAGTGACCTTGTACTTACAGCTCCCAGTCGTAAGGAAGGTGCTAAATTGACTCTTTCTAAGACTGATTTTAAGATATTCCGCCGTCAGTTATGGCATGTTCAAGATGATGGTTGTCTTGTTAATCTTGAATCTGACTACGTCATTGATGTCGCCGGTGGTGCCTTTAATGTCGGTAGTGATATTATTCAATGGCATGAGAAATATTTGCGAAAGTATCGTAAAAACCAAACTTGGAGTCTCTCTGTTGATGGTCATATTCACCCCAAAGCTCGTCCTGGACTTGTTCTTGGTGTTAAAGGCAACGAGGCTGTGGACGGCGCTGAAATCCAATTGCATACTCGTGGTTCTCTTGATCTTGCGTATCAATTATGGACATTTGCTTCTCCTGTCTTTGGAAGAACTGTATCTGGCGTTGCTGGTGTTTCTGCTAATGCTGGCGTATTGGAGCACAACGAATCTGATGTATACATCGATAGTGTCACAGAAGCTGCCTTTGAAACCACCACCACTGAACGTTATGAACGCAGAAACAAGCTTACTGTTGTTCGTAGATGGGGTCTTTTCCCTGAAGGTGGATTTTTCATTCGTTCCAGCTATGGTGACGAGCATCTCGCATTAACGGTTGAAAAGAAGCCCAGAATTGCCGAAAATGGTCGTACTGAGTTTGAGGTTACGCTTAGACCTATCAACTTTAAGGAATACCAATGGCATTTCTGGTTCTATAAAGAAGGTCATCTTATCAATGCTCAAACTGGTCTTGCATTAAGTGCTAGTGCAGTTAAAGGTCTTCTTGTAGAAGACGGCCTTAGAACACCATTATTTGTTCGTGATATGTCTATGTCTGAATCCCAATTCTGGTCTCTCAGCATTGATGGTGAAATTTACTTGCGTTCTGATGAACATCTTGTTGTAGGTGTTTCCAACTCAAGACGTACTAACGTTTCTGGTGCTCAAGTTGGTATTCGTGAGTTACGTGTTCGTACTTACATGAATGAAAACAATCAACAAGAGACATCTCTCAAGTCTGAACCATGGTTACGATGGGTATTCTCGAAGCCTGTTTATGGTAAAAAGACTACCACAACTACCACTACCACTACAACTTCTTCGCAAGAAACATCTGCTGCAGGTGGACTTGTTGCCTCCGGTGAGGTTGTTGAAGGATGTACTGATGAGGTTCTTAATGTTCAACACAAAGAAGAATCTGCTGATGACTATTCCATTGAAGACGAGGAAGATACCGATGATGAATCTGACGATGATGAAGACGATTCAAATAAGAAATCATCATCCAATGTTAATCTTGGCCTTCTTGGTAATCTCGGTATTGCAACTGCTGGTGCTGGAATTATGGCCGGTGCTGCTGGTATGCTTTCTAATGTAATTACATCTGTACCTGAGTCTATTTCTACTGCTGTTATTGGCAAGCCTCAAACGCAGGAAAACACTACCACCACTCAAGGTCAGATTGTCAAAAAGACTTCTTACAAATCACTCAGATATGACCGTAAAGAGTCTTATCACGCCAGCATTGATTATGTTCCTACCGGTTTTGAAAAGGTAGTCCGTTATAAGACTCATCAGCGATTCAATTTCCCTGCTGCAGGTTATTTCATGATCAAAAGTTATCTTCATGGATTTGTACTTGATGTTGCTGATGGTGAAACCAAAGATGGTGCTTTTGTTGTTCTTGCTCCAATCAAGACTACTGACTTTGCCAGTCAACTTTGGTCATACCAGGATGGCCGTGTTGTTAATCTTAAGGGTCATAATCTTGTATTAGACGCTACTTTATCGGATACCGTCAAAGCTGGAGAGAGACTTGTTATCTCAACCAAGACTGGTACTGCAACCTCATCCGATCAACACTTTGAATTCGGTGTTGAAGGTGGCCTTATTCAATTAAAATCTAATGGTAACTTGGTTCTTTCAGTCAAGGAGCTCAACCGTGTTACTGATAAGAATGCTCGTATTGATGTATACCTTCAAGAAGAGAAATCTCATCTCAAGAGTAACTTTGGTCGACCTGAACAGCGTTGGGAAATTAAGATTCCTGCCTTGATTCCAATGGAACAAAGTAACAGCACTACCTCTGAGACGAAGTACACCATCATCGAGGGCGGTAAAATTAGTGCTATTTCAAGTTCTGTTTCTGCTATCATTGCATTTGAATGGGTAAAGGAGACTTTCCATCATAAGATTTCGGCTGATAACCAATGGCCTGATTCTCAAAATTGGTTCTTCATTCGTATCGATGTCGAGAATTCGTTCTTGTCATCGGGAGTTACTGACACATCTGAAATTAAGTTTGTCTCTCTTGGTAAAAATGAAGATCACAAGCAATTTTTATGGGCCTACGTCGATGGTTATTTAGTTAACTACAAGTATATGTTACGTCTTGTTTACGACAAAGAATGTAAGTTGAAGCTTAAAGCATTTTTTGTAAAACATACTAATTCTTTTTCTCATTTATTTAGCCAACAAATTGCAGCTTTCAAATAAGACTGATACTTTGGATCAATTCTTTTCTGTTTCGAGTAATGGTCAGTTATCTGTCAAAATCAGCTCCGATACGACATATTTCCGTTTCGTTTCCACTCAAACCGAAACCAAGTCCGAAAGTTTTACTTATCAACTGGTATCGTCTTCTGAAGTTGATTCAACTGAATCTGATCATTCTCTTCAACTTCATGTCCCTATCTTTAATGATGCTGAGGTTGAAAAGGATTCCAAAATTGCTCTCTCATCTGCAATCTCTTGGATCCAATCTTCTCAGAAGTCTTCCTCGACATCAACTACTACTACTGTCCAAATTTCTCAACGATATGGACTTTTCCCTCAAGCTACTTGGTTCTTCGTGAAAGCTAATATCAAAGGTAACGATAGTCTTGTTCTTGCTGTTAAGGATGATTCACGCAAGTCTGGTGCCACTCTTGTCGTCAAGAAGTTGAGTTTCAAGGATTTCAAGAGCCAACTTTGGACATTCCGTGCTGGTTTATTGATCAACTACGGAAGCAAGTTTGTCATTGATGTTAGCAATGAGATCAATGGGTTGTCTAAGATTATCCAAGCTCCTGAAGCATGTGTCAGTTCCCAAAAATGGTCTCTTACAGCTAATGGCCGCATTCAACTCGAAAGTTATTCGCAATACACTTTTGGTTACAATAGAACTGATAGCTTAGTCGAAAATACTGAAGTAGTTCTTGTTGAAAATAAGGAGTCGTATGAAGAGTCTTCGGCTATTCAAGCTTTCACTTGGAAATTCTCTGTACCCGTCTTTGGTACTAAGACCGAGACTTCAACAACCACTACCACTACAACAACGACTACTATCTCCTCAATCGAGAGAATTTCTTCTTGTATTGAAAAGGGTGCCCTCATTGAAAGCGTCGAAGAAGCTGAAATTAAGGTCGAAGATACTTTTGTAAAGAAAAACAGTGCTGCTACCAACTCATCGTCTGTGTCAACTGCTGTTATTCAAAAGGAAAAGCACCATGGTTTCCAAGATATTCTTACCAGTGTTGGAATCGCTGTTACTGCTGGTGCCATCGCTGTTGGTGCTATTGAAGGAGCATCAAAGATTACTGATAAAATCTCTGAGATTAACAATGACAACAAAAAGACTGCCGAAGAAAAGAAGCAATCATCATCTTCAACCGTTGTTAAAACTCAAGATCAGATCAAATCAGATTCTGCTAAGGTTTCGACTCCTGTTAAAGGTAACCCTACCTCTGCTGTAACTGATGTTGACAAAACTTCTGAAGTCGTGATTGTTCGTCGTTCTCAACGTACATCTATTCAAATAATTGAGGAATCTCGTGTCATCATTCGTGCATGGAAGATTGTTTTCAGTCAACGAATTCATCATTGCAAATCAAAAGCTGAATTGGTTCAAACAATCGAAGAGTCTCGCGAGGAACTTTTCAGACGCTTAGACGAGCATTTACGTGTACATGCGTCTGTCGAAAATCTGGTTGTAGGATCTGTACCTGAATGGCATGTATCTATTCATCAAGTCAAGGAGCTTTATAGAGCACGTATTTTTGACAAGTTCTTGGCTCGCTTAGCATATGAAGATATTTCTACTGTTTCCGAACTTGATTTTGATAATGCTTTATCCTCAGCCACTGAAGAGGTTGAGAATCATTATAAGCTTGTCATTGAAAACCAGACCAAGGTTTTATCTGAAACGTCCACTACTAAAGTTCAGGAGTCTCAATTTACCGAGGTTTCAATCCAGGAAAATGTTCTTGTTACCATTGATACGATTAAGGTCACTGTTCGTTACTGGTTGATTGGCTTGTATGAAACTATTTCTCTTGCCAGAAATAACGGAGTTTCTGAAGAGAAGATCAGTGTTATTGTTAATGATTCGCGTAAGGAGCTCACCAGTAAATTGACCAGTATTAAGGAATCAGCCTCAGCTCATCTGGAGAAGTCATCGTCAACTACTTTGACTTCCAAGAAAAATTCCATTGTTAATACCATTGACACGGCTATTACTCAGACTGAGAATGTTATTTCTAGCCAGGTCACCAACATGTGCACTAAAAAGGAGTACCTTGTCACTGAAGAGCACTGGTTGGATGTCACTCGTACCACTGAAGAGCGTCTTTCTGGAGAGCTTAAGGTTTATCAAACTGCTATTACTCAAGAAATTGCGGATGTTCAAAAAACCGAAATTTCCAAAGCTGATCAAGCCGAAATCTCTATTGTTCTTGATGAAAAGATGGTTACTGTTGCTCAACAAACTGTTACCAATAAGTTGGTTGAGACTAAGACCAAAATTTCTAGCTGGTATACTGAAGTTATTCAACAAATCAATTGGCTCTTGGAAGAGAGTAAGACAACAAGCTCATCCGAAGAGACAATTAAGCAGGACACTATTGCTATTGTTGATGCTGCTCAGATTGAAATTGCTACCCGTATCGAGGAGACCAAGTTAGTTGTACGTACTTACTATGCTCATTTGACCTACTTAAGTTGGGCTGAACGTCGTCGAATTGAATACTCTTTGGACAACGTCAAAGCTTCTGTAACTGCCAGTATCACTCAATTTAAGGAGTTGGTAGAGAAGTCTAATGTTACAAAAGAACAAATTGTTCGTTATTCCAACTACTCGTTTGGTGCTACTGCTTCCCGTATTGTTCTTACTGATATTCAAACTATTGTTCACAAGGTTGTAAATGTAAAGGAGACAACAACTGTTGTCAACACTATTGATCAGACTAAGACAGATAATACTAAAGTTACCGAGGTCAAGAAGACCACGGAAACAAAGCAAGAGGATAGTACCAAAAAGACTGAGAATATCAAAGTCGACGAAATCAAGAAGATTGAAAAAGTCAAGGTTCAAGATAAGACCAAGATTGTTGATACTATCCATACTGAAGTCGAGGAGACTAAAGTTGGAAAGGTTGATAATAAAGCTTCTGGATCTTCAAGTAAACAACACTCCGCTGTAGTTTCAGATAACAATCATACTGCTGGGTCTGTATCTACCGCTGTTATTGGTGCCGCTGCCGCCGCTATGGCTAGTGCTGCTATTTTCCATCATTTTGAAGGAAAGGACAATAAGGAGCAGGATCAAAAGAAACAAGATAATACTTCTGGTACCATTATCACTAACAAGCCGATTGCTGTTACTGAAAAGCCTGCTATTACCCATACTAATGTTGTAGTCGGTAAGGCTTCTGAAACTATTCACGTTGACGAGCAAAAAGTATCTTCTGATGTCAACACTACTAAGCAAGAAAAGTCTGAGACATTGGTTGTTGTCTATGAGCAAGTTCAAGTTATTGTTTCTGAATGGCTTACTACTTTGAACAAGCGTATTTATGAATGCGCACAAAAGAAGGGTGATAATGTCAAAGAAGAGATTGATACGATTATTTATGAGTCTCAACACCAACTTGTTACCGAAATTGAAAAAGCCAAGCGTAAGACCACCACTGTTATCGGCACTTCTCAAACATCTTTCCATGATACTCTTTCCTGGGTTAGACGCACTGTCTGGAAGCAGGTTGTTGAAGTTAAACGAATTGGTTATGAAATCGCATCTTCTACTGAAACAAGTACAAATCATTTTGAAGAACAGCTTGAAACCTTGAAGGAGACCACCTTGCAAAAAGTCAATGTTGAGATCGAAAAGACCAAAAAATCTGCATCTGTAATCCATATTGTTGGTCATGCCTCTGCTGCTGTGATTGCTGTTGGTAAGAAGTTTGAAGGAAAAGATTATTCCAAAACTACTTGTGGCCAATCTGTTGAGAAGTCCAAGGTATCTGTTGGTATTCTTATCGAAGAAACCCGCGTTACTGTTCAACATCTTTTCAGCAAACTCACCAACTCTATTACGGAGCGTCGTAAGGAAGGAGGTGATAATGTTCAAGCAGACATTGAAGTTTTGATCAAGGAATCACGTGAAGAAATCAATTCTTATATTGTACAAAGCAAGATTGACTTCGAAAAACGACTCACTACTCAACTCACTTCAACTGAAGTTTCTTCATCCGAGAAAGTTAACACTGAACTGACTAGCGAAACTATCAAGAAGGTTCAAACTACTTTGGAGCGAATTGAAGAGAGTTACCTGGCTCAGGTCACTCGTGTAGAAGAAGTTACTACATCAACATCCACTATTTCAGAAGTTGAGTACACTGAAAAAATGACTGTTATCACTTATGAGACTCGCAAGAAAATTGACGAGACTTTGTCTGTTTCAGAGACTGTCATTGGTCATCATATTGAAGTTATTGCTGAATCTACACAGGCACAAGAGACTTCTACCACTGTTTCCAAGACCGAAGAGAAGTCATCTGATGCAAATACGCAGGTGTCTTTAGGTGTTGAGTATGGTCTTCTTGTTGTTTCCGAGACTATCAAGAGTGTTTCCAACCAAATTTCCACTCTTGTCGAACGTGTAAACCAACGTGTTACCATTGGGTCTGAAACCCTTCATCAAGATGTTACTGATTTTATCGAAAGCTCTGATAAGGAACTCGAACTTATTTTTGAGGAAGCCAAGACAAAGATTTCTTATGAATTGTCTATGGTCGCTTCTCATGAAAAGGTGGAAGAAAAGCATTTCCTCATTACTCTTGAAGCTCTCCGTAAAACAGCAAAACAACGTATCTCTCAGATAGAAACTGTTGTTACTAGTGAAAAGGAAGAATCCAAGACTGTTTCAAAGAAGCTTCTCCAAATCGCTGAGGAATCTCGCTATGAAATAGCTGCTCATTATGGATTTATCAAGAGAATTGTGACCGTGAATGCCAATAAGGTTTCTCAAGTTATTCATAATGGTACTGTTTCTCACGAAGGCACTGGTACTCAAGTTGTTGTCTCGCATGAAGAAGATAAACTCAAGAAAGAGCAGCAAGAAAAGGAAGATCATCAATCTAAGATTGATCTTGCCAAAAAAGTTCTTGCTGGCTCTGCTGCCGTAGCCGCCGGTACCGCCATTGCTGTCGAAATTGCGAAGAAGATTTCTGAACATAAAGAGAAAACTGATAAGGTTGAGCAAATCCAAAAGCAAACAACCGTCGTAATTGAAAATGTTCAAATCCAATTTCAAAAATGGATTGCTACTCTCACTGAAACTGTTATTACTGAGTCTAAGAAGACCACTGTGTCCACTGAAGAAATTACTCTTACCGTTGAAAAATCCAAGGCTGACTTTATTGAAATAATCAAGAAGGCTAAGTCCAATGAGGTGATCACTGAAAAGCATCAGCATCAAATTCTTACCTGGATCGAAGAAACCGCCATGGCACAAGCTACCAGAATTCAGGAAATTGCTGTATCTTCATCAACTACTGCATTTGACGTAGAATCCAGACTTGAGGTTATTAAGGTCTCTACATCTCAAGAAATTGAGCTTGCTTTGGAAAAGTGTAAGCATTCTAAGTCTTATGCCACTGAATATGTTGGTGTAACTGTTGACGATCTCAAGAAGAAGGAGTCTGCATTATTGGATATCAGAAGTGAACTTGTTGTTGTTATTCAAGATGTCAAATCGTCTCTTGTTACATACTTCCACGAATTTACCAAGTCTGTTGTTGCGCGTGTGCAAAAGGGAGGTGATAACGTCGAAAAGGATGTTGCAATTTTAATTGCAAACACCCGCAAGGATTTATCTGTTTACATCGAGAATGTTAAGAACACTGCTACCAAGAGGTTAACTGCTTTGGAAACGAAGTCTTCTAACTCTGTTATTTCTATTGCTGCTCTTTCTGGTATTGCTACTGCCGAAATCATTAGTGTTCTCAAGTCCAGCGAAGAAACCATTATGCATAAGGTTAATCGTGTTCATTCTAGTGTTTGGTACATTGAAAGTAACCAAGATACCACTGAGATTATTGAGTCTATCAAAACTATTGAATCTGAAACCACTATTGAAATCACTGAAAAGATTGAAAGTTCCAAGTACGGATTTGTTACCGCTATCAATGAGCATCATAAGTCTGGAAATGTCAATACCCATGTCACAGAACACAAGGATACTCATTTGGAAGCTTCTTTAACTGTTCAAGAAATTAAAGTCACTATCCGTGAATGGCTTCGTGATTTGGCGGAAAAGGTCTCTGTCTGTTCTCAAAAAGGTGGATCGACGGAAGAAATCGAGGTTATTATCAAGAAAGAAAATGATATCATCTTTGAATATCTCGATTTGTCTGTTACTAAGATTACCGAATCTGTGAAGACTGAAGAGTATATTGAGTATTTGCATCATACTGTTGAAAAGGTCAAGACATCAATTTCCAAGACATCATCTGAAATCCAGGTTATTGGTGTTGAATCATCTTCCGAGTCCTCAACTTACGGTGGGTTTGATAAGATGACTTCAGTTATTACTCAGCATGAACATGAAATCAGTGAAACTCTCGTCATTTATGAAAATAAGATCAGTTCAACCACCAAGGGACATGAAACTGTTATTGCTGACAAGACTGCCACTTCTATTGTAAAGAAAGACGAGAAGAAGCCACAGGTTATCAAACAAGAAGTATATGCCGTTGTTACCGTTGAGTACATTCTGTCTACTGTTCATACATGGCTTGAAGAACTCATGGTAGATGTCTCTGAGGTTTCAAAGCGTGAACATAATATCACTGTTGTTACCAACGAGATTAACTCTGTTGTTGTTGATGCCCGCGAGTTCATTACTTCCGAATTTGAAATGATTAGTAAGAAGATCCGTAACACGAAGGGTGATGCTGCTGCTATACAAGAACTCATTAATATTCTTGAATGGACTCGAGGTATGGTTCTTCAAAGTTCATATCAAATCCAACAAATCGGTGTCAACTGTGGTGTTTCTTTCAGCTCTACTGGCGGTATTGAACAAATGAGACCCCTCGTTCATGCTACTGAGAGTCAGATCATTGTCGCCGTCGGTCGTTGTAACAAGAAAATCAAGATCGATGTTGAACGTAGCTCTGCTCATTCTGAAAAGCACAAAATTGTAAGTTATATCTAGTTAATATAAAAGCCAAATACTAATCTGATTAAAATCATAGAAAAAGGAGTGCAAGAAGGAAGAGCTCAAGAAGAAAACTGAATGTGCCAAAGTAGAGAAAAAGAAAACCCAGTTAGTTGTTAAGAAAGATAAGCACTCTAAGACATCTGGCTCTGATTCCAATTCAGAATCTGATGATTCTGAAGATGACTCCGGTTCTGATTCTGGCAGTGACACTAACTCTCAAAAAGGTGGTTACAAGAAGACTAAGAAAACAAAGACTGATTGTGAAAAGGTTAAGAAGTCTAAGGTTACGAAAGTAACAAAGAAGCCTAAGCAATCTGATTCTGAAAAAAGTGGCAGTGACTCGGATTCTGATCAAGATTGCGATAAGAAGTCTTCCTCTGTCAAAAAGAAGGTAGCCGCTGGTGTTATTTTAGGTGGTGCCATTTTGAAAAAAATTAAGCACAGCCAATCATCCAGCTCCTCCAGCTCAGCCTCCGAATCTGATTCAGACGATAGCAGCAAGAAAACCACAGTTATTGATAAGAAGAAGCTTACTACTGGTCAATCTACTCTTGATGTTACTATTATTGTTCGTGAATGGTTCGAAAAACTTACTTTTGATGTCTCCCAACGTTCAAAGAAGGGTGGTTCTAGTGCAAGTGCCGATATTGAGGTGATCGTCCAAAAGGCTGTTTCCACTATCACTGAAACTCTTAGAATAATTAGTGTCAATGCTCATAAGTCTGTTACTGATACTACCACTATTCAACAGTATCGTGCATCTATTGAATGGACCAAGAACCTGGTTATTCAAAGTAGTCATCAAATCAAGGCTATTGGTATCAACTCTGCTGCTTCTTCATCTTCCAAGACGGGCGGTATCGAACAAATGCGTCCTATTGCTATTGCTATTCAACAACAAGTGGATGTAGAAATTCGTCGTTATAAGTTGATCGTTGAAAATACTGAGGTCGTTCAGAAAAAGACTGAAACTGTTGTTAGCGTTATTGAGCATAAACAAAATAACGATAGTATCTGTGCAGGTCGTAAGGCTGCTGTTAACCGTAAAGAGTACTGTATCCAACTTGAACAGCACGTCTCTGAAATTTTGGCTGAATCCAAGGTTGTCATTATCTCTTGGTTTGCTCAACTTGTTCGCGATGTCTCTATCTGTGTCCATCAAGGTGGTAACGTCGATGAGAATGTTTCTGTTATCATTGAGAAGTCTAAATTGGAGCTTGAAAGTAGCATTAAACGTACCCAGTACAAGTTCAGTTCTTCGATTAATGTTTATGAGAAAGACAAGACCTTTGCTTTGATTCAAACACAAATTACGGAAAGTCTCAAGGTTGTTCAAACTACAATGACTACCAAGATGGTAGAAATTCAACAAATTGTCACCAAGCACCATTCGGAGTCTGAGGTTACTGTTGTAACGGAAAAGTTGTCTGCCGTGCTTGAAAGTTCTAAAGTTTTGGTTACTGATACTTTGGAGTCTAGCTGCAAGGAGTCTATTACTGTTATTCAACATGACGCTTCTCAAACTGACTCTACTGTTAGAATTATTGACACCGTCGAGTCGGTCAAGACTATTGTTATCCATTGGCATACCAAGCTTATTGAGGAGATTCATTCTATCAGTATCGATGAAACAATCAATAACAAGGAGGAGCGAATTGAATTATTGATCAAACAAGCCACGAACGAGATCGACCGGGCCACAACTGAGGCTAAGGCTAAGGTTTCCAAGGATTGCAACTCGGTCAAGAAAATTAGCAAGACCAAAGAACAAGAACTTATTAGCAGTATCGAGTATGTTCAAAAGACATTCACTTCTGATGTCAAGAAGATTAAAACGGTCAGTATTGAGGCTATCAAAACTTCCGACAGTAACATCAAGGAGACTGTTTCTACCGTTGTAAATTCTTCTCGTGAAAAGATCGATACTTATCTTACTCGTGTCACCGCTTCTGTCATCAGTGTTGCTACTGCTGCAATTGCTATCCATGCTGTCAAGAAACACAAAGATCAAGAAGACAAGAAGACTGAGGCTCATAACGAGTGGTCCATTGATGTTAAAGATAATGTGTCTGTCATGTCCAAGTGGTTTGAGCTCTTTACCAAGAGAATTTCTGACTCTGTTCATCAAGATAAGGACGATGTTGTTGAGAAGATCAATGCTGTAACCGACCAAGCCGAGCAAGAGATCACCCACATTATTACCACTGCTCGCACCGACTTTATCAAACGTCTGTCACACGAAAATTTGGATCAAGAGTCTTATAACTATGCTTGTAAACATTACGAAGAAAGCCTTGAAAGAGTTCGCATTACCATAATTACTCAAGTTTCCGAGGCCAAAAAGGTGGCTATTCATGCTCATACTACCGGCAATACTCAACTTTTGGAGTCAGAATTAACCAAAATTACTGTTATTTCAACTGAGACTATTAAGGTTGCTATGGGATCATCCGTTGTAATCAGTCACAAGGCCAAACCAACTACATCTACTTCAGCCACTAATGCCGAATCTGTATTGGAAATAGAAGTCAAAGATGATGATGCTATTGTATTAGGAGAAGAAGAAGTCGATTTTGAGCGTAAGCAACAATCTGTCATTACTCATGAAGTTCAAAAGATCCAAGACAAGAAGACACAAAAAGGTTAGTATTTTTTTTTTTTCGTTTTTTTTTCTTCTAACTGTTTAATTAATTTTTTTTATTACAGTCGAAGATAAGAAGACCGGTGTAAGTATTGAAAAGATGGCTGCAGGTGCTGCCTTGGCTATTGGTGCTGCTGCAGGTGCTGCCGTTGTTGTAAAGAAGAAGAATGACAAAGAAGAAGCATTGAAAAAGCAAGAAGTTGCTAAGAAACAACAAGCTGTTCTCATTACTCAACATAAGCTCAAGTACGATTCAGGTGTTTCCGTTGTTGACAGCGTCAAGATTTCTATTTCTGAATGGTTTACTTCACTTATTCAAAAGGTATCTAAAGCTTCCAAGTCAGGTGCATCGTCCAAGAAAATCACAGTTATTGTCGAAGAATCTCGTGCAGAGTTAACTCAAATCATTGAGCATGCTAAGGTTACTGGTTCTACTTACTGCTCTTCTGCTAGTGACGAGAAGCAATTTATTAGCAAGATCGAATGGGCTTCCTCTGTAGCTCATAACCAAGCTGTTCAGATTCAACAAATTGGCATCAACGCCTCGGCTGGGAAGACGGATTTAACTAGTCAAATGGAAGCTTTGTCCACTGCTTCTTATCACCAGATTGAAGTTACACTTGAACAACTCAAGACAAGTGTTACTTTCCATCAAAAAGTTAACAAGATTAATTCTAAGCCCAGTACTGAGGTAGACTCCAATAAGACTACTGTTGGCCCTGTTTGTGGAAAGATGGAGACTTCTGTTGACAAAACCAAGGTTGCTTATTCTGTCATTCAAGAGACTCGTGTTACGACTGTCGCACTTTTTGTTTCTTTATCTGAACGCATTGTAACCCGAATCAGACAAGGTGGCTCCAATTTACAAGAAGATGTTACTAGTATGATTGATAGCACTGAGCTTGAAGTCACCAAGATTTTCAATGAAGCAAAGTCTACCTCAGTAAAGGTTGATAAGAAGACCCGTCTTGAGATTGAAGAAGCTCTTACCGTTGTTCATCAAGCTGTAAAGGAGCAAATCACTGAAGTTAAGACTGTTACCGTTGAAGCCGTATCTACAACTACCACTGACTCTAAGGTTGCCATTGAGAAGGTTTTGGAAGTAAGCAATAAATCCAAGGATAGAATCGAGACCACTTTTACGTCTGTTTCAGAGACTATCACTGCAAGTCGTAAGTTATATTTAATTGAAATATTCAACTATAGTAATTAATCTTTTATTTACTTGTAGTCATTATTGTTACTCAAACTGCACAAAAGGCTACGGAAACTGTTCAAGGCTGGTTTAGTGACCTCACTTCCAAAATTAACAAGCTTCTCGAGGCAGATGATTGTACTGCTGAAGAAACGCAGGTTAAGATTGACACTGTTGTTGCCGAAGCCGAAGTTGAAATGAAGACACAGATTACAAAGTTGCAAGAAACTTCTACAACCCAAAAGACCTCCGGTACTACCACTCAGGTATCCACTGACCATCATCTCGATGTATTCTTTGGCAACGTCAAGTCGAGTGTTCAAACTCAATTAGAAGCTGTCAAAAACACTGTTCACGAAACTGCCAAGTCGGATAAGGAAACAATTATCTCCAAGCTTCAGAAGACTGAAAGTCAATTGAAGCATGATGTAAATACTCATTACGAAGCTGTCGAAAAGATTACTACCGTTGAGCATATTACTGGTACCGAGCAAAAGGTTGCGATTGAAGTTGAGAAGAACAGACATGATAACTACAAGACCACCATTGAAAAAGTTGCCGTTGGTACTGCTGCTGTAGCTGCTGCTGCCGCAATTGCTATTGATCATCATAAAAAAACCCAACAATCGGAGACAACTGTTGTTCAAGTTGTGAAGGAGTCTTCTATTCAAGAGGTTCAAGCAAGAATTGACACATGGTTCACCAACCTGGCTAATAAGGTTACCACTTGTACCAAAAAGGGTGGAAGCAATGTTAGTGTGGAAGTACAAAAGATTGTTGAAGAAGCCCAATCTGAACTTGATGTAACCATTGAATCCTACAAGTCTCAACATACTACTACGACAGTTACAGAGAAGCGTACTTTCATCAGTACTCTCGAATGGGTCAAGACCACAGCTTACACACAATCATCTCAGATAACTCAGATTGTGAGTCACAGCTCTTCTAGCGCCGTCGATTTGTCTACTCAAATTGAAAACCATGTTTCTGCCACCAAACAGCAAATTGATAGTGCTCTTGAGGTTCATCACAAGACTTCAACTACAGTCACCGAAGATACCAAGAAGACAAGTGATTCCTCCGAAAAGAAAAACAGCGTTAATGTTATCGAGGTTGTAACCGAAACTCGTGAGCAAACTCAAAAACGTTTGAGCCTGGAGACTAGTATTGTCGTTCAAGAAAGCAAGACTAGAGTTACTAATTGGCTTGTTCTCCTTTTGGAGAGCATAACTACAATTATTCATGGAAATTCCGAAACAATCAGGAAGGACATCTTTTCAAGACTTGAAGCTGCTGATAAAGAAATTGATGTCTTTATCCAAGAGACCAAGCAAAAGTTCCTCACGATTAGCAAGACTACAGCTACCAGTCATGTCAATGCCGAAACTCACGCTTTGGTTGTAAACTCTGTCAAGCAGACGCTCGATTGTATTGATAGTATGCGTGCTACACTTATTCTTCAAATATCTGTACTCCGTGAAGTTATTACTCGAATTGAAGTGGAAGATATTGATGTTATAACCGAACGTCTGGAAGCTGTTATCACACGTACTCAAGTTCGTGTTCATCATACATTGGAAACTGGTGTAAGCATGGCTATATCTACTGCTTTCGAAGGAAAGGTCGTTACCTGGACTGAAACATCTGCTATCCCTGCATCCTTCAAGAATGTTCGTGCTATCGCTTTTGATGTTCTTGGTACTGTTGCCAATTATCACAAGTCTCTATACAAGGTCTGGAAACAAATCATTACACCCAAGAGTGACGTCGTTCTCAGCGGTTTGGATTTCAACGTCTTTGTTGAAGAATGGTATGGTGCATTCACAAATGCCAAGAAAGAGCACTTCGTCAAGAAACAATGTGTCACTGATGACATTACTCTCCATGAATCTCTTGTTCATATTTTGAAACGTTACTATGTCCAAGAGTTATTGACTGAATCTGAAACTGAGCAACTTTGTCAAGCATGGAGATCTGTTGGCGTTCACGAAGATGCTTCCATTGGTATTCGTCGTCTCAAGAACCAAGCCTCTGTCAAATATGCTGCTGTTGCTATTTCTGATACTTTCTCAACTCGTTCCATGATCGAATTGGCCCAGAACAATGGTCTCTGCTTCCACGCTCAATTCTCTGCTGAGATGTTTGCCTCTGAAGCTAGTACTAAAACTGCTTCTCAATCCGTTCTCAAGGGTACCATCCAACTACTTGGTTTACAACATGCTGAAGAACTAGCAGTTGTATCTTCAAATGTTGAACTCGTATCTGCAGCTAAGCAGCAAGGATGTCATGCTATTTTGATTGAGCGCGAATCTTGTCATGAATGTGCAACTATTGAATGTGATGTCAGGGTCGATGGTCTTGATATCTTTGGTGAGAGTGTCCAGTCCTTCTTGGAGCATGAATCAATGGTAAAAGTATGGACTACAAAAGAAGCTCCTGCTGCTCCTCGTGTTTGGGTCCAGAAGTTGAAAGGATTCCTCAACTATTAAAATAACCTAAACCATTCATTTTTCTATCCATTTTATATTTTTTCTTATCCAAATTATCATTTTCCAACTTAAAACAATAAAAGAATTTTTTATCTCCATACGTTGCATAATAGTTTATAATGGGTTCTGCAAAACTCTATTATTTCTTTATTGTCCATTGATACACTTCAATCGTTTGATCTAGAAGCCCTAGTACAAGTTCATCCTGCCCATCTGCATTGACATCACCTAGTGTGATTGCATGTGGCCAATCAGAGGTTCTAATGTGTGATATTTGCTGCAAAAAAAAAAAAGAAATAGGTGGTGGGATAACTTAATCATACAAGCATAAATCAAAGATACATGTGCAACTTACTGCTCCATTTTGAAAAATTAGCACTTCGTTTGAATGTCCCGTACATATCACCATGTCTGTTTCATTATTATCCAAAGTTGATGGACGAAATTTGATTAGACTGCTAAGACAGAATCCTACTTTAACCCATTGAAATATCTTTAACAAAATTAGTCTATCCAAAAAAAAAAAAAAAAAAAAAAAAAAAAAAAAAAAAATCCAGAACATACTTCAAAGTTCACCATAATATAAATGTAGCCATCCTGCCCTGCTAATAACACTTGCTGGGAGTCCAATTTGTATGATCCAGCTAATCTTTTACTTGAATGTAAAAACCGCCTTAAGCCCTCTGAATCCAAAAAGTTTCCTGCGCACATCTGTCTCATTCATGTCAGCCACACGAGTTTTCTAATTCCCAAATCCAATAACCACTTACCGAATGTATCACACTAGGCGACCTTAACGTTTGGATCCTAACACCTGTTTGAATAAAGTGAACGAGAGGCCAGCCATCACACACTAGTAGGCATGCCATATTCATTCCAAAACGGTCCTTTAATGTAGTCGAAAGCATGCATCGTATAGACGGTGATCTACGACCTTTCTAGAAAAAAAAAAAAAAAATTAAAATCTGACATGGCTCGCTTATGAACAAGAAATACTCACAAGACCTAGTGTGGCTAACTTTGCAGACTCCTCTGCAATATTAATTTTCCATAGCGCATCATGTTGTTGGAAACTTGTCACGGTTCCATTAATATCTCCTGCTATGATTTCGCAGCCTCCCACTTAAACAAATAAGTATTTCAGTTTTAACCTTTTTTCCCGGTAGGTAACTTACACAAGTCGCTGTGAATTGTAATGTCTGTAATAGCTGATCCCAGGTCTCGTTTGCTTAAAATCTGTTGACGGGAGAATAAAGTGACAACACCATCGCAATCACCCACAGCAAGATCGAGTGCACCGAATCCTGTCAGATCGTGTAATTTAATTGATTGAATCGATCCACCCTTTGTTTCTAATAAACCTTCTACGGGCTATTATGAATTATGAAGAAAGTCAGTGTGTTTTTTTTTTATTGTACGTTGCGATGTGGTTGAATCCTTTTACTTTGGTTTCGTTAAGAATCAGCACGCGCCCTGCGGTTGTACCAATGAGAATGTCGTTTTCCTCGCTTAGTTCTTCCAAGAAAGGTTTTCCCACTGCCAAAAAATTGATAGAATCGTATAACTTTCTATACCATAATTTATGGAATTGGTGTTCCCCAGCTTGGATTTTCATTTCTACAATTTAGGAATACAGAAAAGAAACTGTACAAATACAGGTTTTACACTTTGTGTTTGTCCAAAAATAATTTTCATTCGTCTGAATTTAAAGTATAAAAACTGTATAAAGCATAAAAAATAAAACACGCGGTGCCTGGAAACATCCAATCAAAATTTTTGTATAGGTGATGCCGTTTGCGAAATCAACCCAAGTTCAGAGATCCCTCCTATCTAAACATTTTTGTGGTAAATTCTATTACCACTAAAGTATTCGTAATATAAAAATGAGAATGGTTTTCGGACAGACTTAAATAAAACGAATTTAAAGCGTGAAAACTGTATTGTGAAATAGGAAAAGGGGAAATCATTAGGAAGAATATTAGCTAAAGCTTTTCGCACTCCCTTGTCCATCGTCTTCTTCGAGTCATAGTTTCCTTATTTTGGACCTTTTCAGAATCATCTACCGGATCTATTTGAGGTCTACATATTCTCCAATTGTCATCGCTGTAGATCCATCCGTTGGTATCTGGAGAAATGGCAACCTATATATCCATACGAGATTTTTAGTGCTTAAGACTACTGAATATAAAATATCCTTACCTCTACTCGAAATAATTAGTATGTTATTTTGGAATATAAATCACTTGTTCATGCATACCGATTCCTAAATAATCATCTACCCAGGGCCCAGTTTTATCCAGCTCCCATTCACTTGTCTCCTTCCATTGATAACCTTTTGGTGCAGGGATTTCAGTAATAATAGGCATATAAACAGTTCCGGTATAATTTGACCAAGGTGATCTTTCTCCTTCCACCATCTGACACAAAAACGTTATTATCACTCGAAGTACATGTCATGACAGAATTTTTATTTTACCTCATGGAGGTATCCTCGCATTGGCCACCATCTCTGGTTCTCGTACACAGATATCTCTTGTAAATGTTCTTGATTTTCTAGTTTGCCTTCAAGACTTACATACCACTCTTTTAACCCTGCCACTTTTCTTTTTCCAGACTGCACCATATAAGGTTGTAACTCTTTTAGCATATACTTTGAGAATCGTGTGTTTACACCATACAACATGAGACCCAAGAAAAGAAATATCATATTTAACGGTATAGCATAAATGACGAATGCTAATGCAGAAGATATAACTAATATAGCCTGCAAGATACGCATGGTTTCTAGTTCTGAGGTCCAATTAAAATGTTTTGATTGTGACATAACCCAATCATACATTTCATTAAATTCACCCATCATGTTTTGTATATTTCGTAGGTTTTTTAAATATTCTGGAGATTCGTCCGTTGCAGGTTGAAATAAGGTTGAAAAGTTGTACACAAAAGAGGATGGCGATGAATCTGCGGCACCAAGGACGCGTTTCTCATCCAAAGGCTTTTTACTAGCTGATTTACTCTTTTCCGGTTCCACATTACTATCTTTCAAGTTGTCGGTTTTAATTGGTGAACGGGGGATATGACGTCTTTTTGGATAGTTCGATAAAATAAAGTAGACCACAATAACCTGGGGTATAAATAATACTAGCTTTGGGTATATACCTATATTTTATCATGTTTAATAGCTGTTTCATGTCAATTTTTATGCTATGTGAACTTACAGAGTATGCAATAAAATATCAAGGAGACTAAAGTGTCAATCTTGTTTTTCCAGCTTAATAATAGCAACAATTCATCCCTAAATGTGAAAACGGGTCCACATCGAGATACGAAACGGGTAAAATTTTTTGTGGTTATTTGTGGATTTAACGTAGGTTGATTCGCTAGATAAGCGTTGACAGGTTCATCATTGTTAGTAGCAGCATCCGCTAAAATCGTTTGGAACTTGTCAGAAGACGCAATAGCACAAATATTTTTAAATGTAGAATCAGGAACCATCGTATCTAGTTTTGATTTCGTCGAACTAGCTGAAGTGCTTGGCGTTAATAATCCATCTTCACTCCCTGATTTCTGCTTCAACTGGCGGAGGTAACTTTCGGCACGCGATTCGCCTTTGTCATCGTCCAAAAATCGAGTTGTGGGATGGTTACAGTTTGCTGAAGTAGCAACACATTTACGATGGCAAGTATAATTGCAGCCTGAAAAAAATGTTACTCAATTATGAAGTGAACTTTAGTCTGATTCTACCTTTGCATTGAAGACCTTGTCTCCTCACGCCCCATAAAAGCTGCCCACAAGTATCGCAGTAAGTTAAATTTCCAAATGTTTTCTCTTCAAAAGTATGACTCATGGTGAAGAAAAATGGTAAAGTTAACAAAATATATCGTCACACCTATTTGACATTCATGCTGTTGAGTTTAAACTAAACAAAGCCGACCGCGTATTTTTTGACCTAAACTTCGCTCCGGTAAAAATATGCGGTTCCCGGAAAACCCATCAGCAGATCAAGGTAAATGTTTTATCACTGAAAATGCATTTATAATAATGATCATAAGGGTTCTCAAAAACTGTAAAAGAAATACATCGTTCATAATTAACAGACTAAAAACACTATTTTACTGCCAGGATTGACAAGCTCATCACTATCGGCTGTTCAGGTTTTATTTACAAACAAAATAATATCTAATGTACACTCTACAAGCGTTCACCTGAGTCAAAACATACGAAATTTGATGTAAGGGTTTTATTTCTAACTAAACGTAAATCCAAATGCTTATTATCTTCCAGGGACTTGGTAGATTGTTGTCTTTAGCGATATAAACTAGTCCTTCAAAGGTTGCAATTCTTAAACATGCAACGTAAACCATTTACCTTTCCATCCCTCTCGTTTTATTTTTTTAACAATAATATATTTCTATTTTTACATCTAGCGCGCCAAGTATGAAAATAACAACCATCACGGTACCATGCATTTCTCTGCGGTAGATAAAGATGACGGTGCTGTCTCATTGACTTCCACTGTCAACTTGATGTTTGATGCGAAATTTATGGATCCTGTCACTGGAATTATTTTGAATGATGAATTGGTTGTCTTCAGTATCCCCGGCGTTCCTAACAATTTTTGCTTGTTTCCTAGTCATTGCAACTACATCGGGCCCTTCGGACCTCCCTTGTTCACCATCACACCCACTAATATTGAAGATGAAGATAACAATTTCCAATTGGTGAGTCCCAAATTTTGACAGCCACCTTGAATGTGATTTTAAACACGTTTGATTTTGATCTTGATATCTTTGAAGCGGTGAAGACGCCTAGAATTCATCATCAATTGATTCCTAATAAAGCTCGATTCGAAACTGGTCATAGTGCAAAAATCTTGGAGGTTTTGATAACAAAGGGACATCAGGTAAAAAAAAAAAAAAAAAAAAAAAGAGAGAGAGAAAAGTTAACCAGATTTTTAAAAGTATTGACGTGATTTCAATCGATAGTTCCGTAATTTACCAGAAACAGGTACAGCATCTGCATCACAAGCTATTAGACGCTTTAGTGATGGTCCAATTCATGCTGCCAGTGATCTTAGAAAGCAAGGCGTAGCTACTGAATATTAAATTATATAATATAACAAACATACCATAATAAACCTTTTACATCCCATGTTGAAATACATCCACTGAGGCATAAAGCGTTTGTCAAAACCTTAATACTCTATTCATGCCAACACATTTAAATACACCGCACAGCGGACATACAAGAAGATTTTGTTTTCTTTTAATCTATTGAATTTTTAATATATGTTACAAAAGTAGAGGAGGGAAGGGGGGAATAACAATGCCTATGAGTGAATGTTTTAAGCACGGAGGTTCTTAAGAACAGCTTCGGTCACTTCAGAGGTAGAGCTCTTACCACCCAAATCGGGGGTAAGAATAGAAGCATCAGCCATGACAGCATCAACGGCGTTGTAAATCTTGAGAGCTTGAGAGGTATAACCCATGTGTTCCAACAACATACCAGCAGAACGAATAGAGGCAATGGGGTTAGCAATACCCTTACCAGCAATATCAGGAGCAGAACCATGAACGGGTTCACCCATGACAAAGTTGTCACCAACATTGGCAGAAGGAACAACACCAAGAGAACCGACAAGAGCAGCAGCACCATCAGAGATGATGTCACCATAAAGGTTGGGGGCGACGACAACATCAAAGGCCTCAGGCTCACGGAACATACGGTAAACCATAGAATCCACTAATTGCTCTTCCATATCAACTCCCTTGTAAAGTTCGGCATTCTTTTCCTTGACGCCACGAACAGTCTCACGCCATAAACCATCAGTGATGCTCAAGACATTGGACTTGTGAACAATGGTGACACGAGGGTTATGCTTCCAGAAACGGTTGGCAACAGGTGTTTCGGATCTAAGCTTTTCACGCGTCAAGGCCATATCAAATGCCATCTTACCAATACGTTGAGAAGCGTATTCGGAAATCTTACGATCAGCCCATGCAACTCTCAAACCAGTCTCGGGGTCAACTTCTTCTCTTTCAGACTTGATATACTAGAAAAATAAAAAATAAACGGGTCAGTCGATGGATATTTATATACTTCCTATATGCCCTTACCAAACACTCAGTGTTTTCACGAATGATAAGCATATCCAATAACTTTTGGTTAGGGAAAGCAGGAGAGTTAACGGACTTGACAGGACGCACATTAGCATACAAATCCAAATGCTTACGCAAAGCAACAATAGGAGAAGAGTAACCAGCAACCTTGTGAGAAGGAGAGCTAAACACAAAATAAGTACACACATCCCCCCCTTTTTATTTTTTAAGAAACTATTACCTGACAGCACCGAACAAGGCACCGTTACATTCGTTCTTCAAGATATCAATGGTGGCTTGAGGAAGAGAGGTACCTGTACTTTGGAAAAGCTCGAAACCAGCATCAAGATCAACAAATTCAAACTTGGGGCCAGAGTTTAATGATTCAAGAACGCGACGAGCAGCCTAAAGAAAGAAAGGAGAGGGGGTAAATACATGAAACGAGGTGATATATCTTTAACAGGCTTTTTTTGAATGTGGGGGTGGGTTACATACAGGAATAACTAGAATAAGAGAGGGTTTCGTGTTTTAGTTAAAACGTGCCTGATTATCACTCATTGGGTGACTTACCTTCTCTACCAATACCATCAGCAGGAATCAAACCAATCTTGACAGTGTTGGAAGCAGATGTAGCAAAAGTACGACGAAGAATATTAGAAGCCATAGTGGTTAATAGTTTTTTTTTTTTTTTAAAAAAAAAGTGGGGATAGATGGATTAGAAAGAAAAAAAATATAGCATGTTTTATAACAGCATAAAATCGGTGGTTTAAAAAACCGTCACCCCTAAAAAGATTAGATGATCGCACCCAAATATGGTAATATCTTTTTGATGTTTGTCCCTGTTTATCAGATCTCCGCTTACACTAAAACAAAAAAAAAAGTCTGCTTAAATAGAGTTTATGGAATACCGTGTACTATGCTATTAAAAAAACTGAGCCCTTTAACACAATGAGAAGTTTGAGTATATGAAGTAGAATTGCTTAAGGGTAACAAAGGATCTTAATAAAAGGGAAAAAGTGGCCTGAGGATCGAGCTCGTCAAAGTGACATTTATGGGTATTTGTATGTATGATTAAAATAGTACATGCTCATAAAATTGTAACTCTAATTTCTGGTTTTTCAAACAATTAGAAAAATGGTAGGCGGAGCTAAACATATCTCATGTCTCGCTCTTGATGATGGGCTTGTATGACAATGATGGGTCATTAGGGTACAATACTAAGGAAGAATCAGGTGTATAAAGTTAATAGACTGTACAAAATATATAAGCAGAAACGGGTCTCTTAGGGACAGCCAAATTTTCTTAGGGGCAGCCATTTTTCTTAGGGACAGCCAGGGTGCGCGTAGTCGTAATGTTGGGATTATGATACTTTAATAGACACCAAGAGGTCAATATAACTTAACAACTTGAAATATATACACGTTTATTAAAACCAACATAGTGAGACCAGTATATATGTTTTACAACTTACTTTCAGCTTCTCGTTTGGACTTTACCTTAATATTGCTGCGTAAGATTAAGATCAAACGAGCTCAAAGGCGAAAAAGAGAAGATAGAATTGTCAAAATAAGTATAAATCGTTTAATATACATTTATTCGTAATTGCTACATTGTTTTTGATTGTATATCCTTGTTCCCAGGTCTACAGAACATCCAAATCACAGATCTTTCGTTGCGACTACGTGCACTTTGGCTGTCCCTAAGGAAAAATTGGCTGTCCCTAAGAAAAGCGAAGCAGAAATACTAATTTTTTGTAACACATCATAGCTATTGTACTTTTGAGCAATAGCTTTATAATGTAAGCATAATATTAGGAGTGGTTTGAAAAAGACAACAAGTGGTTATTAAGCAGTATAATCATGCAGCCTTTTTTTTTTATTATTATTATTTGAAACAATGGTAACCATATATTGGATAAAATAGTACATCTGTTTCGGTCGACCTATTTTGTTGTGCTACGTAATGATCAGCGTTCAGTATGTTTACATGTGCAGGTATTGTTTTTCTGCTTGCAGTTTCCTAAAAGTGATGACTTTGCTACTTTAAGCAGTCTGCACCCTTTCTTTTCTTTATTTTTACGTCATTGATATAGAACACTCTATTCCAATATTCTTAGATCATTCTTATTCGATCAAGAAGAAGGAAATATGCAAAGAAATGGCTAAATAACAAAAATATGTTGTGTTATGATTTATCACATTGATTTACGCTTTTTATTGAATCAAGAAAATTTTATAAACTTGAATTAACGCAGGAGGAATAAGTAACTAACAGAGGGTTGTTCTGCGAGTGATTAAGTGTGTTTTGCTGAAAGAAAGAACTTTTTTTTTCGATGTCACTCTTTTTACTATAAACGCTCGGATAAACTACATGGAGTGATACAAGACTTTATCAATGACATGTTGGGTGATTTTTATCAATTAAACAGAGAGAACTTCTAGATGTGTATCTGTCGTTATAAAAACACTTTAGGAAAACTACCGCTTGATGTAAGAATAAATGATAAATTCGGGAGAAGCTTCATTATTCAATACACTGCCTGTTAGAGCTCAATTTTCCTGGACAAAGATCTTATATTTATCTACGGTAGTAACCCAATTTTCTTTCAACATACTGCAAGAATCTATTGCAACAACGTGCATACAATAAAGTCCGATTGCTAAGAACACAGGAGAAGAATCCTGCCACATGTTATTTATTTTTTTGACAGCATTCTCCCCGTATTGTATTGGAATACAGTGGATGCCAAGCACTCTTTTCCCAAAAAAAAAAAAAATATTAGGCTGTATAGTATGCTGGCACTCTCTCTTGATCATTACAGAAGATGACAAGGAACATCAAAGCGTTTACTCATGTTTCATGTGCAGAACTCTGTCAAAATAAATAACAGAAAAAAATACAGATTTTCAAATTTTATTGCATAAGATCAATCTCTTTTCGATGAATGGAGTACCGTAAACTTGCATGGCAACCAAACATGAACTGTCAAGTATTTTTTAATAAAAAGGCAGTTCTCCACTAACAAAAAAAAGCTCATTTAATATGTACCACCAAAGCGACAAAAAGTAATATTACAAAATACCATATTTAGTAAGTCTCGGGTAACTCCAAGGGAAACACAAAAATTTTACTGACATCAGCCTTCTCCCCCATCAAAAAAAAAACTGGAGAAGGATTAGGGAAATTTTTATTATAAAGTTGTATAAGAAAAAAAAAAGGGAGGAGAAGAGAGGGAGGTGTATAAATCGCAATAAAAGAGATATAGGAAAGGGAGAAAAGAGATAGAGAGAGAAAGAGGAGAAGGGTATAAAATTGCGTGTAGTATGTATTTGTATGGGGGCGATTAATAAAACATAAAGAGTGCATTATTTACATGATTTGGCAAGAACCTCCACAGCCGTTGGCAGGTTCAGCAAATGGATCTGGATGTCTGTTTCCCCAGATACTTGGTAGCATCAAATCACTGGTGGATTGACAATAATCGATCAAACTATCAATAATAAAAAAGTCAGCATTTTTTTTTTTTGTATGTAAATCCCCCCACAAACAATTTCTTATTTACGATCGACTGGCTTCAGAAACGGGTATTCTGGGAATATCAAGTTGTTGTTTTAATCTACTATTTAATTCAAGGATCTTTCGAAGCTTTGTTTCGGAGACTGTTTGATGTCGAGACATTAGATGTTATAAAAAGAAGGAAAGTTTTAATAATAGCTAAAAGAGCAAAAAAAAAAAAAAAATTCTCGTGTTTATTTTAGCTTGCTTTTTTATGAATAAATTGGTACAACTGGGTACCCATTTCTACTCCAATCATATTCTCAATTCTCTTTTGGCTCAAGTGCATTAGTTCGTCTAAATCTTGCACCCCGTTCATGATAATCTTGTAATTCTTGGAGGTGACACCTGGCATACTTCGTAAAATATCCTACACAACATACATTCATTCAATGAGGACACCTCTTGTGTCCAAAATATACATATCGACTTACTTGAGGTGTCATATTATAAATCGTCTCTCCATCTTCACCTCCTTCAGCTCCAATCGATGCTGCTTGTTTAGAATCTGGCTCTGGTTCTGATTTCTACACCAATTTTTAAATTCCTATAAACCTGGGAGCTTGCTTTTTTTATCTTACCTTTAATGCGTCAAAAATTTTGGCTGTCTCTTGTGGACTGGATGACCATATGATGCGTAACTTGGGCACAGCCAATGTCAATAATACCAATTTAGAAGAAATATCAGTTGATGAAATATTGCCCTTCATTTCCTCAAGAGCCTTTATATTGTTGTTGTTGTTATTTATTATTTATTAGTCCGTGTATCGTTTGTATGTTTGTGTTACCTGTAAAGAAAAAGACTTGTTCTGGTCAAATTCAATCAAAAGAATAGGTGTTTTGTAATGCAAAGCCATTATCTCACACTGTGTAATTCTAAAAAAAAATAAGAAAAAGAGTTAAACAAAGATGGTAAGAAATAAGCCAAAAAAAAAACTTACAATCGTCCTGAAGCAAAGGATTGGATCAAGTCCGAAATAGATTTTCGTTCCACGCACATATCTGGACTCAAGATATAATCACCTACTTGTAAAGTAAAAGGTTCAATCTTCATACCTTCAGCATACAGAATAGGAGGGAGGGAACTGCGAAATTCTCGCATATCAACTGTTACCACGGGCGGACCCTTCAATTGGACTTGACCTCCCGCCATTCTTGTACTCAGTCGAACCGTTTCCAAGTGTTCTTCCCTTTTTTTCTCCGGCATAGGAATCGCCATGATCTATATATACATGTTATTTTAGAAAGAGAAAAAAAAAGATATCAAAGAAAATAGCTTGCCGATTTTTCATGAATGAGTTTTTCAAAGGATGACTTTTCTTTGCGAATCAAACTCAGGTAATTTTGTTCTTCGACAGAATTTTCATACAACATGAAATAAACACGAATTTGAACTGTTGGATGAAGTGCACGATAGACCTCGATTTGTCGTACAAAGGCAGGATTGGGATCAAACATGATGATGAAACGCGGTTCGATATCTTGTAAAATTTGCTCGTTTAAATCATCGTCATAACATTGAATCGCGATCAACTTGTTTTGGTCGATTTCTCGAAACGAAGGTAAAATATCATGCTCTTGTCGTGTAATTTCATATTCGTCTGACAATGGGCCAACCAATTTAAATTCATCATCACCTTCATCTAACCTTTTTCAAAAGTTAGAAAATCAGTATGTTTTTTTAAAACATCGCTTACATTGGAAACTTACACGGCAACAGTCTCAATCACATCCTCTTTAAATGTTTCTGCCAAGCTTTCTGTTCTTCCAGGTCCAGATGCTGCAGAAGAACCACCACGTACTCTTCTACGTTTATTCATAGGTGGACCTCCTCTTCGTTGAGGCGCCTGTGCAGGAGGAGTGGAAGAGGAGGCTGTATTTTTCTGAATTTTAAACATTTTCGATCGCCATTGAAAGTAGTTTCCAATCATTGGTGACAAGAAGGAATCCTCTGTATTATTCTTCGTGATATACTTTTTCAATTGAGAGCAAGTTCTTCTTTCGTTCACCATGATTAACACGGGTGCCCCTTCGCCGTGATTTAATCCCATGGCGTCATTTTCGATTTCTGCAAGTACGTTCTTTAACAGGTTCCATTTGGGCTGTTCTTCAAGCACCAATTTGATATGTGATGGAAACCCTTGTGGTAATGGGGTATCGGGTAATTCGTCAAATAAGGCGTCTCCCTCCTTCACGTAGACACGTTGACGAGCAGTTTTAATGACACGATCACCTGCTTCCAGGAACAGCCATTGAGATTGGCGGATTTGTTTGCCTTCTTTTGGGTTATTTGCTTCAATCACGGTTTCAATAAAGCTGTAAAACGAGACACAATCATACATGGTCAAGTAACTTGATTTTCCTTTTCTTGATGAGTACAGGGGGGATCATTTAGTCTTATAAAAAAATATACAAATTTACCTCAATAACTGTCGCAAGATCTTTAGATCGCTCACCAATTGCTTGGAGGCAAAGGAGACATTATGCCAGATAGGATCCAACTGTTGTCGAACAATAAGATCAAAGGACTTGAAAAATGTATTTTCAATGGTAAGTTCAGTTACATCGAGTGTTGGGTTGGAACGACGTAATTCAGCCAAAGTTTCTTCCATGCATTGTACCAGGCTCGTTTGAATGGTATCCATCATGGGAGTCATGGGCTGTCTTAATTCGATCACATCATTGTTTGTTTGTGATAAATTTTCGCTGACGACCAATTGAAAGCGGGGCCATAAATGGACTTTACGTAAGAACAAGGATTTCATGCGAGATTGTAAAGGTGCAAATCCCGTCACAAATGCGTCGGGTTGATCGGAAAATGCCTTGATGAATCCTTCCTATTTTTTAGTTGGTGTTTAGAATGAAGCATTTCTCAATGGCTATTTTTTTTCTCTCTGTATATACATACTTGGTTGTGGTTGCGGTAGATGCGAAGAATTAATTCTTCTATGGAATTAGGCTTGATTCTATATATCATTTGCCTTTACATATAAACACGACTGGAAAAGGGAGTAACAGCTTTAGACATTACCTATGCGCATTGTAGACAATGATGCCATTAATCAGTGTAGTTGGAATTCTCTCTAATAACATGTCTACAGCTAAAATTCTGGAAGTGATGGCAAATACACCTCCTTCGCGATACATGCTCGTTCTATAAGGATGATGGAGGATGATATAAGCGTGTGGGGTTGAGTGGAGATAACTAGCATTGTGGGCGTTTACCTCTTTTCGGAGGGCGTGTTGTATTCGATACGACGGATAATATGATCGGTGGATACACCGTGCGCGATCAGTTGTTCTCCGATAAGGTCTACTTGTTCTTTTGACGTATTGATTAATAAAACAAGGTGGTTTCCCTTTGTATAAAGTTGAACAAATCTACATAGAATTTGAAACAATCCTAGTCCAGGTGAGGTAATAACAAGAGCATCTTCACTTGCAATGTCTGTAAGAATCTCTTTTTGAAAGTCAAGCATCCTGTTTTATAACAAAAAAACAAAACAGAAGAACTGCGCGATGGTAAACCATAAGCGCATCTGAAGTTGAATATGTGACGTTGCTTTTTTTTTTTTTTTTTTTTCTTTATCCTTCCTTTTTGTTGAACCATATTTTTTTTTTCTCTTCTTCTTTTTTATAAAACAAATAACAATGGAGAAAGTCGCAGCTGATTTGAGAAAGAACAATTTCAAAAACAAGGATGCTTTTGGTTCTGACCAAGTGAGAGAGCGTAGACAAAAGCACACGGTCGAGATTAGAAAGCAAAAGCGTGAAGAAAACTTGTCAAAGCGTCGTAACATGAATCTTCCAAGCGCGTCCATGTCTGACAGTGATGAAGAAATCGAGGTTGATAATGATGTCAACGTAAGTGCAGCTACCTTTTTTGAGAGATGAATAAAAAAAAAGTAAAAAGAAACTAACGAGAGCTTCATGTATTTTAGTTACACGCAACTTTAATGGCATTGATTGCTGATGTGAACTCTAGCGATGTCGAAAAGCAATATGACGCTACTACCAAGTTCAGAAAGTTGCTTTCAAAGGAAACCAATCCTCCCATCAGAGACGTTATTAATACTGGTGTCGTGCCCAAATTTGTCGAGTTCTTGCGTTCTCCTCATGGTTTATTACAAGTAAGCGCAATCATTACTAAAAAAAAAAATGACACTAAAAAAATAATCAACTAGTTTGAAGCGGCTTGGGCTTTAACCAACATTGCCTCCGGTTCCTCCGATCAAACCGAAGTTGTCATTGCCTCTGGTGCTGTACCCATTTTCATCGAATTACTCAGCAGCACCGTACCCGATGTGAAGGAACAGGTAAAAAAAAAGCGCACTGGGCACAAACTATATAAAGAAAAAAAAAAGAGTTGATAAATCTGACTGTTTGTTTTTTTATACATAGGCTGTGTGGGCTCTCGGTAACATTGCTGGTGATAGCGCAGTATGCCGTGACTATGTATTAGAGCAAGGAGCATTAGGACCACTTTTGATCATCTTGAACGAACAAAACAAATTAAGTATGCTTCGTAATGCTACCTGGACACTTTCGAATTTGTGCCGTGGTAAGAACCCTCAACCCAACTGGGAGATGGTTGTTCCTGCCCTCCCCGTCCTTGCGAAATTGATTTATTTTGCCGATGAAGAAGTCTTGATTGATGCCTGTTGGGCTATCTCTTACCTCTCTGATGGTTACAATGATCGTATTCAAGCTGTGATTGAGAGCGGTGTCTGTCGTCGTCTTGTCGAGCTCTTGATGCATCCTTCTACCTCTGTTCAAACCCCCGCTTTACGTTCCGTCGGTAATATTGTGACAGGTGACGATTTACAAACACAAGTCATTATCAACTGCGGTGTATTACCTGCTCTTTCATCACTTTTGACAAGTGCAAAGGAGGCAATTCGCAAGGAAGCTTGTTGGACAATTTCAAACATCACGGCTGGTACCACACAACAAATTGATCAAGTGATTGAGAACAACATTATTCCTCCTCTTGTACATATTTTAGCCAATGCTGATTTCAAGACTCGTAAAGAAGCCTGTTGGGCTATTGTGAATGCCACCTCCGGCGGATTAAACAAGCCAACTCAAATTCAATATATGGTACAAAGTGGTGTGATCAAGCCTCTCTGTGATGTATTGATTGGTATGGATAATAAGATTGTGCAAGTAGCTTTGGATGGATTGGAGAATATTTTAAAGGTTGGTGAACAAGATCGTCCCAACGACCCCGAGGGTGTGAACCGATACGCACTCTATATCGAAGAGTGTGGTGGTATGGATTTGATCCATCAATTACAAACCCATGAGAATGAAGATGTATACAAAAAGGCCTATCATATCATTGATCGTTATTTCACAGATGAAGATACTGAAGAAATGACCGATGAAGCTCATCCTCAATCCTTTAGTTTCCAATCCAATGTTGATGTTCCTCAAGGTGGATTTAACTTTGGCAACTAAGAAAAAAACCTTTCGTTATTTTTTTTTTACACACACACGCACATACAAAAAAAAAAGAAAAGGATTTTCTTTTCTTTTCCCCTTCCCTTCCCCTCCCCTCCCCATCCCTCTACACCCACACACTCACACAACCCAATACACACACTCTCTCTCTCTTTCTCACACACACACACATATTTTCTTAATAAAAAAAACTTTCTTTTCTTTTATTTCCCTTTGCGCTTGAATATGCGAGAGAAAAAAGTTACACAGACATGCACAATAATCACAGCATCGGACCTCTTCTTTTGACTTTGTGTCAATTTTTGTCTTGCCTTTCCAATCATCATCTGCCAAAGGTTTTTGCTCTACCTTTCTGCGTCAATAAAAAAAAAAAATTCGCATGTGATATCATCTTTTTCTCTAACCTTGATTCCATCATTTGTAATTAATTGATAACTTGATCTCATTGGGATGTAAGAGAAAGAGAGAGTAGATGGGGCAGGCTTTCGGGGAAATAATGGTTGTAATGATGAATGACAAAAAAGTTTATTTGTATACTTGTGTGCTTTAAACTCCGTTGGTTTTATTTTTTGTACACTAAAAACATGCTAACGACCAATCTCCATGGATACTCCGTTACGATGGAAACCAAAAACCAATTGCGTGGTGGTGGTGATAATGGTGGGGAAAGGGGGGTAGAAGATTAGGAAAATGCATGGTCTTTTTATGTTTGAAGGGGCTAGGCAAAAAAAAAAAAAATGAAAGCAATTTAAGTTTTTTTTATTTATAGGAGAGAGTGAGAGAGGGAAGAGGAGTAAGAGTGGTTGCGATCAAACTGAAACGAGTGGCGTGAGAGTCATTCATAATGGACGCGTCCCATATTATGAAGGTATATGTAAAAGGGAGAAAAGAAAAAAAAATATAGAGTGACGATGGGGGAAATATTTTGACTGTTGATTGTTTTATTTATGTAATTCTGACAACATGACTTTGATGGAAGGTAGTCTTTGCTGGTGATAGAATGGAGGAGGAGAAGGAGATATTTCAGGTGAGATGGGTAAACCTCGCATTTGAGTGGCTTGTTCGGCCAAGAGATTTAAATTGTATTCTTGATAAACCCCATGCTTCCTCTTCTTTGTGAGAACGGAAGGTGGACTAGGGGGAAAAGTATCATCGTGAATAATGCCCGCAATATTTTGATAATGATGATTTCGTGTATTCTTTTGTCTTTTGTTTGGCATGGCTTTGACGGTTGGAATGACAAAGGCAGCTTGTCGTTGTCGCGTTTCAATGATAGCCTGTTGTTGTCTTTTCACCTCTGATGCATAATTCATTTCGATGTTGGAAGAGAGCCATTGATATAACAGGGCCTGTTTGGATTGTGGCCTGTCTGTTGCGGCTTTCTCTCGTTGTGATGCACGGGGGGATCGACTATGATATATATATATTTTTGTTTAGTTTTTTTTTATTTATATAACATTTTGTTACGTATTTGTAGTTTATTACATTTTTGGCTCCTCTTTTTGAGCAAGTGGCGTAAATATCCATTCAGATCCATTTAATGATTCGAAAGAAAGATCGCGTTCCACAATAGGGTCAAAGTGAGTAGCACTTTGCCAACCGTCACACCGGATGATATTCAGTAAGGGTTCAGCGACATGTCCAATAATTTGAGTGACGGAGAGTTTAGATAGCTCTGCCAGAAAATACATATTAAACAGCCGTGCAATCTGTACCAAGGTGCTTGTCATCACCAAAATATCATCATTGCATTCATGGCGATGACAGAGGATGAAATCCGTAGGGTTGGACTGGAAGAATTGCGCAAGCACTTTTGCCTCCGTATTTAATTTACCGTTGAGAAAGATGTGATTGATATCATGGAGGCCATAATAATTCTTGTTGTTGATCGTATAGATTTTAAATGGATGAATTCCGTAGTTGCCTAGCAATAAACTTGTATTTTTCATTTCTCTTTTGCAACCCAATTCTTAAATTTTTTTTTTTATAATATTTCTTATAAGGGAGAAAAAAAAGAAAAAAGGAAAAAAAGGGGATCAACCACATTTATTATTCTGTCAGTGGTTTATACGCAGTATAAATCTGCTGATATATCTTTTTTTGTGGTCATTCTTTAATATAAGGGGGTAAACTTCATCATCCCCCTATATTTATTTATAACCCCCTTATTTTGCTTTTTTTTGCTTTTTTTTAAACTCTGCCCTCTCTTGACAAAAAAAAAGTTGTTTCATCCTTTATTTTGACGACTGTTTCAGGTTGATGTTGGTCTTTCAATGAAAAGCAAGTCACACCACCATCCGTTTTTAGCACACACCCCTTTATTTTAGCTCCCCCTTCCCTTCTTTTTTTTTGTTAGCCCCTCCCCGCCTTTATCTATCATAAAATGTCGTCCGATGAAGAAGACGTTGACTTGAACGACGAGACTACTTCCTTGCTAGAAACAGTGACAGACGATGGAGGAGAGTCTATGGACATTGAAGGTATAAAGAACAAAAAAAAAAAAAAAAAAAAAAAAAAAAAAAAAGAAAAGGGTGAAAAGAAGAGCCCCTTGTCCAGCATGTTGCTAAAAATATTGCCCTTTTTTCCCCTATTATTATTATTATTTTAGATCCCCTTCCTTCTACCCAGAATTCACCTGCAGCAACAACAACAACACCACCACCTCCACCACCACCACCGACATCACCACCACCAACAACAACAACAGTCAATGCACCCAACACCAGACAACTGGACTTGTCCCTCGATCCTTCTTTGCTCAACTGTAAATCATATGACTGCGTACCACTTGTAAGCTATCTATCCACATTTTTTTAATTAATATGAATGATGTACTTAGACCTTGGTAGGTGGCAGCTGTTCATCCTTCACCTATTTCCAGTTTAGCAACCACCCGTTGCTTCCGTTGGGTGTTGACAGGTTCGGAAGACGGTTATATCCGCAAATGGGACTTTTTTGGCTCAATGAATGGTAAGACGAGTTTAACGCAAGCACAACGTCACCAGCATGTGGATTCAGTGACACTGGCTGGTGTATTGAGTTCATGGTGGGAGAACGAGGAAGGAGTGAAAAACGAGGAAGAGAGTGTGAGCGAGCCTAAATTGTCACCCGTATACAGCATGGATATTCATTCAGAGGCATTATGGGCTGTACAGGGATGTGAGAATGGCTCAATTAATTTAACATCGGTTCGGCATGATGAAGGGAAAACACATCATGTGCTTCGGAATCATACCGGGCCTGTCTCCGTCCTCGTAATCACTCCAGAGGAAACTGCAGTCATTTCCGGATCTTGGGATAAATCCGTATTTGAATGGGACCTTCACACAGGATCCGTCTCAAGGTCGTATGATGGTCATAGCTCTCAGTTGTCTTGTGCTCAGTTTCAACCCGTTTATACCCAATCTGACAATGAACCTGTCCTCTGGAACACTAGAAATCCAAACACTCTCATGACTACTAGCATTGATGGCCAGTGTCTTTTATGGGACAGAAGAGAACCATCCACCGCTGCCAGGCGCCTCAAAGTGCCCGATAGAACCCCTCCATGGTGCCTCTCTGTAAGTATCATCATTTACTTTTCTTATCTAACAATATAACTAAACATATCACATAGGCGTGCTGGAGTGCGGATGGGTCCAAGGTGTACATGGGAAGGAGGAACGGTACAGTGGATGAGTATGACTATGCCTCACAGAAATGCATCCAGTCATTCCGTATGCCAGCCAACTCGGGTCCAGTCTCATACGTGATCAGCATGCCCAATGGCAAGCACATTATATGGTATGAAATAGAAAGAAAAAAAAAGGGTACATGGATCACATGGACTAACCCTTTTATCCTTATCAAAAGCGCATCCAATGACAATATTCGATTGTGGAATACAACCACCGAATCCAGCTTTACTATTCGACCGGAGACAGAGGTAGGCTTTGCGAAACCGTCCAAGATTTCGTCCGTGATTCCGTTTAGTATTTTGGCAGGCCATCATGGTGGTACCATCTCTCATATTGCCATTGATCCCACTTGTAAATACATGATCACCACTTCCGGTAACAGGGGCTGGGATGGCACTTCTACCAATGCCTGTTTGTTCTATGATATATCGCCCGTTCTCTAGCTTAAAAAATTACAAACACTAAATATACCACAAATTAATCATGTCATCACCCTTTATTATATAAATATACAAATCAGGTTTTCTTATTATGTTGGATTATGTCAGCCTTTGTCTTAATTAAAAAAGATTGTTTCATCATGCATAACAACAAAGTGATACGTTGTGATTTTAAAACGAGCACACATTTCATCATGCGTGGCAAAAAAAAAAAAAAAAAAAAAAATCGTGTAACAAAGTTCCAGTTGTCCCTTAAAGCCATACAGACACGATGGATCACATTAAGAACCTTATTTTTTCGTCCCGCCTGTAATAGTATCCAACTAGTTATGATGTATTGACACAGCATATTTATTCTTTGAACCACAATCATAAAATTTTTTATCTAGGGTAATTAGAGTTTATTTTAAAAGAATACGAGGCTTTTTCAAACCAAACCTCCGTTTCGGTAAAAATTTTGACCTTCGCTGCACTGCGGTATATTTTTGACGTTCACTTTGGTTCGGTACGCTGCGCTTTGAAAAAGCCTCGTGCTAACGCAGGCCTGTATTCAAAATAAAAAACTTAACATATATTAATTAGGTATAAAGCCCACGCATCCTTTAGCTTTTAAGCTACACTGCCTATTATCAGTTTGACACTGGAGGAAACTTTGATATTTCTCAGTACATGTTTTAATATCTGGAAAAAGACGATGTCCCTAGACAAAGACTAGAAGTTGATCTAAGCAAAAATATTGATTGTTTATATATTTGATTAACTATTCTTGCGTAATGTTTTTGTTTCATAATTGAAAACTTGATATATAAATGCGTATTGTTTATTCTTGAAACTGAGACAATCAGTGTTTCCTGAATTTAATAGCTATCAATTTCTAGGGGAGCCTGTTGAAGGGCGGGAAATCATAGCATTTGTTTAAAAGCTTTTCAGCCAAAATACTCTTTTATGCTCCTCCGATCAATTACCTTGGACTAATAATGAATATACGATTCGATGCTCTTTGTCAATGGTATCCATAATAGAATCGAGTTCATCTTTCATTTCATTTACTAGCTTTATGGAGTCTGGGTCCGGAGGGCTATTTTCGGATCTTATAAATTGAACAGATTTTACTTCCGCGATAAAGATGGCATGTTGGAAGTCACCAACCTTTGCACAAAGTGACAAATCTGGGACTCTTATAACATACCCCGTCTTGTTTTCGGGTCTTGTAGATCCTCGGGGTATACCCTTTGTGTTTTAGCCAATTTTAGGGCTTCTGTTATCTAATAAAATGTCAGTAATTTTGGTAAAACTCTCTTATTTTCAAAAAATACCCTTTCAACGCAAGGTCTTCGCCTTCTGGTATAAAAAGTCCATCTGGCTGATAAGGTAAAATCTTCTAGCCGCTTCAGTGGCATACATTACCCCCATTTATTGATCTATATATATATATATATATATATACATATTTTAATATTCAGAAACAAAGACAGGCGTTTAAAACATACAGTTCTTTGAAATATCATTGAGGCCGTCATTTTTGGAAACACGGTCGGTGTATTAAATGCCCTTCCACAACAGTTGCAGATGATATCTTCTTCTATTACTCGTTTTTCTTTAGACATATTTGAATAAAAAGACATGAATGAATGAAAGTGACCAGAAACATTCAAACCATTTAAGCACCCCTAATAAAAAATTAACTCATGCAAATTTTCATTTTATAACACAAGTCTTACATTATAGGTGTTCTCATTTATGAAGATAGGAACCTCCCAGCCGTCCGAGTATCTAAGGCTGGAATTTTGTTTTTTCCAGATAACAGGCATCAGTTAAAGTACAAGCTTTTGTACTTTAACTGAAGCATTATCGGCACCACTGCCAACAATACCAACAATGCCAACATTAAAAAAACATATGAGCTATTAGTCCATAGATTTTACAAAAACTTTGTTAATATACAAAAATAAAGATAAGCGTTTAAATGCTTACGATTCCTGGCATATCTGATGTTTTTCTTATTTTCTTAATTAAAACCGGACTATCCAGAACCCTTTGCATCCCACAAGTTTTTCTTACGGGTATTTAACCCAAGGAAGCTGCGCTTCCCCGGTGATCAGTTTAATGGACTCTTTACTACCACCGAAAATTAATTCAACTTCGCAAAGTCTGCCCACATGGAATATGCTCCAAGAAAAGACCCTTTGCATCCCACAGCCCTATGGTCATAAGGCAGCCAGTGCAAGGCGGTTCCAATTACTCCCAGATTGATAGCTGAGGGCTGGACATTGCCTGTACACCTGTCTATGGTGTGAACGCAACCATTTACAATGTAAGCCCAGCTATGTAGAGCATGGGTTCTCGTATAAAAACGGTGCAGAAATGCTTATTTGGCAAGCACCACTAATAGAGATAATAGTAATAAATTAATTCATGCAAATTTTCATTTTATAACACAAGTCTTACATGGACTAGTAAACAAGATCAAGCTGATGTCAGAATGTTGTAATTGATTAATTAGCCTTTACCTAGTCATTGTTTATCAGTGTGTCAGCAGTAGAAAAAAAAACACCTAGATTGATCATTATAATTTCATTATGTAATACTTATCCATGCAGTCGCACCACTTTCACGCACCCACATGGGGAGTATAAGATATTAAAATAAAACCGTCGAGACTTGTTATATTCTTAACATTGCTTGAAGGAAGTTCCAAGGAAATGAAAATAAGGGCAGAAAAAAAGAGCGGTTCTAGAATAAATCCTTTTTTTTAAGGTGGTACGAGAAATAAATGCAGGATTTTTCTTATTAAATTCGTGTGTAACCCCCCTCCTTACTGTCAATCGCAGATTCTCTTGTTCCGTTGTGATTTTGGCCTTCTAATAGCTGGTTCTCATACAAATAGGACTTGGTTTTCATTTTGTGGTGTTAGGTATTAAAAAAAATGAAATTCATGGTATTATTTATATGGTTTAATTAAAATCTTTTTTTAGGAAAATGTACAAATGACAAAAGTGAAGCACGACAATGAACATGTTTACATTTGCGATTTAGAAGCATCATTGATTTTTCACCCCCCACACTAAATCTAGAACAATCTTTTTTTTTTATAAAAAAAAAGTAGGTTAGATTACCAAATTGACTATGCTTTTCCACGAAGCAGGTACATTCATAAACAATAATGTTCATAAAGAAGGGTTAGATAGATATTATTATTGCCGCGGCAAACTATTCTCCTCATGATGAAACCCATTCAGTGGCAAAACGTTGCTGCAGCAGAAGCAGGTCGTTGACATTTATCTTATTACAGACTTGTACTAATTCATTTATGCCTGCATGATGCAATAATAAAAAAGAGGCTTTTTTTTATATAGTGCGTAGATTGGTTTCAGATAAATTCACGCATATCCTTTATGTTTGCTTATGATTGTCATGCACATTATTTCGGACCAAATATGTATTCCTGTTACGAAAAAAGACTTCATCTAAATGCATTAGGTGATCCTGCTGATTTGAAGAGGGATCAACGTGGGACCCTTAAGGTGTACTATTACCACCGTTGTGGAAATACAAGGGTTTGGGTCTAATTATAACGTATTCGCTCTATATTTGTACTGTTGTATGTATGCCTGAGGAGGGGGGGGGGAGGGTCACATATCTTCAATAAAAAAGGGTATGCCCATAGTTTTCATCTAGTTAAAACTCTACTCAATACCATTTACTTGGGTCTAAATGGTTTCAGAAATTAAGCCCCTGAGAAGAGTGTCCCTTTATTCATATCTCGTTTAAAAGCATCCTGTAGTTTACCTCTCTAATTTTGTAACCATGTTGGTATGTATAATTTCTATATGCATTCTATATCGTTCTCATAATAAAGGACATGCTAATAGGGGATGGTTTAAATTGTACTGCAAATGAAACAGTGGCCAGAAAGCCTTGAAAAGGCATTTCCATGAACCACTGATAAAGAGCATCTATTTAGACAGCATTTTTATTTACATTGACGATACTACATTTACGTTAACTGTTCCGACAATATCTCTTTACTTGGTTCCTGATCTCTTATTTTTAATCTATCTACATGCCTATCATTTTGGAAGTAAATAAACTAAATCTCACTAATGAATTTTGATACGTAAATAATCAAAGGGAACAAATAAAAGCTGATAGAGTTTAATAGGTTAAATAAATAAAGTGTCTAATTTTTGACATGTCTCTTGAACATTATTATAATTTAATCTATAGATGTATAGAAAAGTTAAATTCATAAACAGAAAGAAAGTATCTATCGTTCACTTACGTTTCGATTCCCTTTAAATAATAATCCTCACCAGCGTTATAAAAGAAGCGAGTCTGCCACTGGATATTATTTTTTTCCCGCACTTTTCTTAATTCTCTCTCTTCGTCTTCCACCTTAAACTTGGCTTCTGCGGCCTTATCCATATTCCCTGCTTTAATGCTCTCGGTCAATTGGGACCATAATCTTCTAGATTCCTTTTCTTCTTGGTGTTGAGAGACAGAAAGTGGATATTTGGTATGCTGTCTTACATCGACCATTAACTCGGATGACTGCTTATCTTTTGTGGTATCTTTCTTGTTAAAGGACTATGCATATACGTCAGATATAAAGTAAAAATAAAAACACCATATATTCCCCTTGATAATTACCAGTAATCCACCAACTGTTGATATTTTTTCTTGAGGAATATGCTTCTTGATGAAAAGTTCGCCTGACCATTGACCCGTTATGTCATACAAGATTTCTTGTGTAGCTTCTCTTTTAATTTTAGCAGTGACGGAATTACACTGTCCCGAAAAGTAGCCTTTTGTTTGAAAATCCATCTCACATACAAGTCCTGTTGCTTCACATCGGACAGTCGATAAATCCCCAAGCTCCAGTGTCATTGTACCAATTCTAGTCGTTTATAGAAAGTATTTAGAAATGGGCAATTACCTTTTTATAGGGAAACTTACAAAACACCACGGGCATACATATTGGGCATGTGAATCTCATAGCGTTCATTGTTTCGTGTGGGTAAAATAAAATTGGTGGTGCCCTTCATTAAAGAGGCCACACTATTGCCGTAAAATTTTGATTTGGGTTTCAAGTCACCAGTGATGATGACTTTATGTTGAGGACATGTGTAAAAGAATGCAGAGGCAGGTGGATGATGCGATACTTGCTCAGCTATGTAATAAGCGTCTGAACCATCCTGGTATTTATACTTGCAGCGAAAGAATTCTCCCAACACTGGATTGTATGGTTTTTTGACACCCTGTTTCCCATTGAAAAAAAAAAAAAAAAAAAAAAAAAAAAAAAAAAAAAAAAAAAAAAAAAAAAAAAAAGATAAATACAACGTCAAACAAGCCCGAATATAAATGTCTTACCTTGGGTTTGATATGCCATCCCGCTAAAAACCATTTTACCACAGAAATAAACCTTTCTACATCATCGTCTATGTCAGATACTCTAATTGGATTTAGTATCTCATTTTAAAAATAAACTATTCCGGCTGATAAATAATGCAAAAAACAAGAAAAAAGCACGTACGGTAGGATGAATTCGGGATGGGCCATAAAGTCAGTAATACGTTCAAGCATACTTCTTGGTTCGAGTACAAATGTGGGTAAGGCCACCCTATGCTACATGACAAAAAATACGTCATGATTTTTATACAGAATAAAGTAAACCCCCATGGATTCTTACCAAGTCAGTTCCTTTGGTTAACTGAGAAGCAATGGCTAGTAAGATACTACGAGAGCCTTCTTCGATTTCTTCCGTGTTTTCGGTATTGTTATTATTAGAGTGTAGCATAGTCTGTTTTTTTTTACTTGTATCAACAGATAAATAAATAAAAGAGAAAAAAGACAAGGGCTTTCGTTTTTTTTTCTGTTCTTAAAACAACAATAGCGTTGAATATAGCCAATCAAGTGTCGTATGATTATAGTACTTTTTTCTGACTTGTTGACTCCGCCCGGTGATCTTTTTTTTTTTTTTTTCTCTGTTCGACAAAAAAAAAAGACTCTTTTGCATTAAACATGAACTGCTTTCCTTTTCACTTCTTGCCTTTTAACACGAGAAACAAAGAGAGATGTGTATGAGAAAAATAACATACTGAAACACTTCTTATTCCCCAAAAAAGTCGCCCCAACTCGGATAAAAGGTTTTAACATTTGTAGTACCGGGACTCGGAATTAATTCAAGCGCTGGATGATGACTTCCGGATTCGGATAAAAAAAAAGGGTTTGATTCCAGAAATGAGCAAATGTAAAAAGTAATGATGGAAATATGCAAGAATGATGATGCATAAAAATCTTATCTGTATAAACACAAACACGTCTGTCAAAATTAATAAAAAAAGAACACATTCCTATCATTTTTTTTTTTGTCGCTTGAGCAAATGACTGAAGCCGTATGTCTCTAACCCCAAGCAATGTACTTAAATAGAATGGTATTAGATAAAATAGAATGGAACATCACTTTCTTCAGTCACATATGCCAACAAGCCGTTCAGAGGAGCAAAAAGGTACGTCCTTTTAACGTGAGGACCTTTATCCTGCTTTTGTTTATAAAATTTCCTTGACAACAAATTGTTCCAAAGGGACTATTATGTAAAGGTTTTTATGCTGTCTTTTTGTACCAGCTAAAAAAGAAATCATGCAGATAAAAGCGTGATGAAAAAGTTTTTACGGTGTCCTTTTTCTGTCTATCGGGCATAATACAGGCTCACAAAATTAACATGACGTCAATCAGAGTAATATATATATATATATTTTTTTTGACTGTTTTTCTTTCATGCATAAGGTAATAAATTTAGGGTAGTTCTTGGGTCTAGCACTTGAAGTCGTCCGGCACATCTTGGAACCTAAGATTTGCTTCACAAGGTATTTGGAGTTATTTCTGATTCCAACTTGCGTATCTTTTGGGCTAATGTTCCAACTTTGCTTGCCTGCTTACCTTCGTCGACTGCTGAGGTGCTGGGTAGAAAAAATGTTCTAGGTCACTTCACCTTCTCGTATCCGCAGCGGAAATAAATGATACAAATAAATAAAAAAAATAGGGAGGCAATTCTTTTTAGTCTTAACCCTGATGTATTGCTAAAAAATTTTCTGTGTGTTCAGAATTATCAGTTTAAAAGAACCGTCATGAAAGAATGCACTAATTACTTGGAGTTTATATTAAGATTGATGCCAAAGTCTGTTTTCACATGGCACATCAATGTACACAAGCCAATTTTATAAATATAAACAATGGGCTATAATGTGCTATAAATACCAGACGTCTTTATTTGGGCTGCCTGTGTTTGTTTCTGGATTACACTGGGTGACCAAGTCTGTGTTAGAATTTTTGAGCTTGTACCCAAAACCGGGATAGACTAGATAACGAAATCACTCATATGCCAGTGTGATGCTTTTCAGCAGCCCAAAAATGCAAGACAACGAAAGAGGCTATCCATTTTTACATGGTATAAATAAAATTAGCTACACAACTCACTAATTACTGACCCTTGATAAGCAACCGTTCAAGGTTTTGTACGCCTAAAAAGCATTTTAGCGTCGTTTCTTAAACACCTGGTCTTGTCGTGACCGTTACTGAGCAGTCTAATTCGCTCTTGTATTACACACAGCAGAACCCACAAGTTATCTAAACCGTCCTAAAAATATGATATTACAGTTCTCAAGTAAGTATTTATTGGGTATTACGAACCCCCAAAGTTTTCTTTTAATAAAAATTCTTCAGTTGTGCGTTGAGGGACGTTTTTATTTCTAAGTTTCCTCGTTGGAGAATTACAAGTCAATCAATTAAAGTTTAAACACCACCCAAAAAGAGAAGCATTTACATAAATACATTATTATTAATCACACATTGTACGTCGTATTAAGGGAAATAATCCTATTTTGTTTTTTCTAGACACTTTTGTGCCCATGTTTGGTTTTGGTGTACCAATATTTAGTTGCCTTTTCGTTGATTTTGTTTTTCTTTTCCTTTTCGTTGATTTTGTTTTTCTTTTCCTTTTCTTGTCCCTTTTTCCCTTTTCTTGCCCTATTTCTTTGATTTCTATGAGAAATTCTTTGCTGTTTAGCCTTATATTTTCATTTGCTTTATTTGTTAAAGCAGATGAAATACCTCCTCGGTTTGGATCAAGTAATTAAAGGTTAGATCAAGATTTTCACGATGTATATTAATATTTTTATATCCAAAAAAAAAAAAAAAAAAAAATAGGATGTGCCTATTCAACTAATAAAATTTATTGTTATGGTGGAAAACTAGAAAACAAACAGTACAATAACGGCATGTACGAGTTAGATGTTGACAACCTACCTCAAGGACCAGTGGCCGACATAAAAAAGAAATGGAACTTGGTCACTATAAACCAAAGTCCAGGTGTTCCTCAAGACGAATATCGATACGCCACGCAGTTTGTTCCACTACCCGACGGATCTTTATTTTTCGACGGTGGATACAATGAAGATAACCCGCTCGTAGCTAGAAATGTTACTTACGATCCACAAAAAAATATATGGACTGTGCTACCTGGTCCTGGTTATATTGATGATAAAAATGGAGGTGTATATCGACAAATGTAAAAAAAAAGAAACAATGATGCGAACATCGAACTTGTTAAGGAAGAACTAACTTCGCTTTTTATCTAATCCCGCAGATATTCTGCAGCAGCAGTATATTTACCAGAGACTGGATCAATTGCATTTTATGGAGGAAGACAATTGTAGGCCTTAATTGTTCATTTTCTTTTAACTACTCATGAATTAACTCTGCTTAAAGGAATGCTGTTCTTAATTTCACTTACACAGGTATTAAACCATATGCTAATCTGACTTATGAAAAAAAGTCAGAGTTGCATCCGGAAAAAACACTAGTCGAAAGTATTTATGGATATAATTACGTAACGGAACTGAACCTTAAAACGAGGGTAAGTAGTTTAAAGATATTTAGAATTAAACACGTTGGTACCCATACAGACTTTTTTCTTAGGCATGGACATCCCGTAAATCCGAACCTATATTTGTAAATGATTTTCCAATTTTAATTAGTGATCAGACAGCAACATATCATCCGGGTACCAAAGCAATTATTTTTATGGGCGGTTATATCAAAGATGCACTCTTGGTAGGTATGACCCGTCCGCTCAATTACTTCCTGACATTTGACACCGAAAATTCCTTGTGGAAAACTCAAAAAACCATTGGACTGAATACACCCACCGCCAGAGTTGGACATACCGCAACGATGTGTATGTCTTCTTATTGTAAACATTTATAGAATTTTTTTATCACAATCATTGACGCGTTTAAACTATAGTAAATACGGGAGATGATATTTTCATGTATGGAGGTGTTCTTACGCCTAAAAATGATTCATTGGAAGGAAATCGTATGTTTAACAGTTAAGATCAAAAAGCGTATATCATCTAATAAGCTTAATTTACTTTTTATTTAGTTTCTGCCGATTACTTGTATACTTTAAACTTAAGGTCCTACAGATGGTCAGTTTATGACAGACCACCCGATACCATAGGTCCTAGAGCCTTTCATTCAGGTACAAATCTGTCTTACACGCTCTAATATTCATTTCGCTTACTCTATTTTACATATTATTATATACAGCTGTTCTCGTTAATGGCACTAGTTTGTTCATAATGTTTGGTAGAGTTAAATCAGAAAAAACTGGTTTACTTGTTCCTACAAACGACATCATGGTACTCAACGTGAACGACCTGTCTTCTATGACATCTTTCAGCACCTTTCCTAACCCTGTAGATCTTAACTCTTCAGCAAATAAAACAACCACTGGGGTTCAATCCAATGGCCAGTCAGGTGACCAATCGAAAGGTATTTCTGGTGGCACAATTGCTGGAATTGTAGTTGGAAGTGTGGCAGTGGTAAGTCATTCGCATATGTTACAGCTTTAGAGACGTTAATTTTTATTTGCATAGATTGCTATTCTAGCCTTCGCAGCATTATACTATAAAAAATATAAGGATAAAGAAATGAATGGGCGTCAGGTTGATTGGAATGATATAGATGGTGAGTATAGAGAAGACCCACCATTCGGTACAAAATATACTGCAGACTCCACAAACATGAAAAGTATCGTGGTCCCACCTGACGTGTCAAGAAAAGAAGGCCCATCTCAAAATACATATTCGAACTTGATAAAGCCTGATGTTGACCTGGAGACGAATGTTAAGCCAGATTTCAAAACTAATTAACCGAATAAAATTAATTGTAATAATATTAACAGAAACATGTTATTTCCAAGTCGTAAGAAGATTTACCTTTCTAGATATGTTTATGGGAGAACGCACTATGACGGGTGGAACAGCAGATAAGATTACATGTGGCAGTACTGTGGTATTTAGCCATATTACCGTAGTCGAATTAAGTTACACGATCATAGTCCACAATAATTGTCATTATTGGGACTACTAATAACCTCATATAAAAAAAAAATTAACTAATCTGTGGTATTTGACAGAATAGTTACAATAGAAAAGTAATGAGATAAAAGTATATCTTTATTGGAGGTAAAAATAAATTAAAAGAAATAATTGATCCTTTTTATATTGCACAACTCTCCTGAGTTTTAATGATGAGTCAACCTTTCTGGTTTTGGAATAGATCTATACTTGGCGGCCCTATACTTTGTTTCCCGTCTTGGGTTAAATGAACACTACTCATTAGAATTGTTTCCAGTTAACGTTGTCCCATATCAGTGGATCGGGAGCATGAGTATTCTAATAAATCTTTAGTATTACGAGACACTTATTTATCAGATCATGCAACGGTTACTGTAAAAGATGCATACTTGTTTGTCAAGTGTAATTGGCAATAGAACATAATAGTTGATCATTTATTCATTATCTTTGTAATGAATAAATTACGATCCCAAATATAAAATGTCTTATCGATGTTTGTATATTTGGTTGTAGAAGATAGGTATCCATTAATTCATACACTATTTCTTTATACTCTCTATCAGCAGTATAATTATATCAATATATAAGTAAATGAACCATTTATATTAATAGCTGTTCTATTCTCTCTCTGGGTAGCTAATCCATTGAGAGAACTATTAATATTAAGTTTCTCTTTCTTATAATTCTTGATTTGATCTGAGAAGATTCTCTTCTCGATCGGTGATATCCTAACTCAGTGGTATAGCATTCTGTATCCAACTGTCATTCGTATATCGTATTTAGGCCAATCATGCAATCTTTAATATAGAAGTATGTACTCGTAGTAGGAGAAGTTGTATAGCAGTATACAAGCGAATGCTGATATGCAACATCAAAGGCTGTTTTAATTTCATAGTTTATTTATTTAAACGATTTGCTTAATTATTCTTAAGTTAATCGAACCCAAATACGACACGATGTATCACAAAATGAACTGACAAATAATCGAGTAAATCGACGTTGGTTATAGATTGTGGGCTTTATGGCAATAAAAAATTTCTTTCTTAGCTTCGTATTTAATCAAGACATTGGCCCTGTTTAAGCTTTCTTTCCCTTTAAAGTGGTCTCCATTTTTATCTTTGTTCACCATTTTGAAATCCTCATCCTCTGACTCTGGTAAAGGCCCTTTGGTTGTTCTATTCTACTTTTTTGGAGGCTTGTTGCTGCTGGCAGCTGGTTTACTACGCACTCCATGATTGCTTTCGAAATCACTGTCGCCGTTTTTATAATACACTGACAATATATGAGCTTACTTCAACACTTTTTTTGTTTTCGTTTTTTGTTTTTTGGTTTTTTTTTTTGGTTTTTTTTTTTTGGTTTTGGTTTTTGTTTTGGTTATTGCTTCCTTAAAAAAAAAAAAGCTGGTTCTCTTCTGTGTGTAACCATCATATTCTATAGCCTACGCGGAGAGTTGTAACTTTTAATCGAATCAAACGACTGTTCTCCAGAAGGGCCATGGTTGTAGTAAAATTCATAAAAGTTTTCAACCGAACGTTTTAACAGGACCTTGATAAAGAAACAATTAAATGCTTTGCTGTTCTATCGTACCCAAACTAAAGCTTATGTAAACTTGTAGTACACGACATTCTACAAAAGTAAGGTGAATTACTTTAATGCATGCTTCCCATTAGAAACCCAATATTGACAATCAACTCTTTCTTGCTCCTTTTTTTTCGCTTAACAAGCTGTTTTGAATTGAATTTTTTGTATAGTAAAACGTCGTCCCCGTACGTCCTATCAAGCCAAAAAATTGCTCAGAATTATTGAAAATATCATATATTGTGGATACAACATGTATAAAGTTAAGTGATTATTTTACTCACCTTCAGCGATGACAGTGCGCTATAGCACCCGTCCAAGCGTTGCATGTCAAACTTATCAACGGGAAGATAGAATTGTTTAAGCATATTCAACCTGTAGAGTTTATAAAATTGCAAGTCCAAAGCAAAGATCCTGCATCTGTCCCCTATTATTTGTGTTAAATGATGCATTATTTTATGCTCCTCCGATCAATTACCTTGTACTAATAAAGCATATACTGTTTTACACTCCTTGGAAATATTGCCCATGCAATCGATTCCATCCTTTATTTCATTTACCATCTTTACGAAATCAGGATCTGAAGGCCTTCGGTCAGATCTCCTGTATGACAGAGATTTGACTTCAGAAATAAAAAAAGCATGATTAAAATCGGACATGTTAACGCAGAGAAAAAGATCTGGGACTCTGCCAGTATTTTCCCGTCTGGCTTTGGAACCTTGTAACTCCTCAGAACTCCTGTTACATGAAATATTAGTAATTTTAAGTCTCTCTGATTTTAAACAATACCCTTTCAACACAATATCCTCCGACTCAGGCATGAATGGACCAACAATTCGTTCCACAAAGGAACTGCAAAACAAAGGCTCCTTGAGAGTGTCTGCCTTCTTGTCACCAATACTGGTTATACTAAAACATATATGTGCTATTAGTGGCTAGGTCTAAAGTACAATTTGTTCATACTAACATCGACAAAGTGATCAAGGCCATCCTCTTATCCTCTTTGCTACCTTGCTGGTGTCCACAATTGTACCAGTTAACAATAGGGGGCCCCAAACATTGAACTTTTATAAAATTACCGGATTTTTTTTTATGTGTGGGTGACTGGCTAAAAGTACACTTTTCTTGCCTGAGATATCTCGGACATGGATTTTCTTACCCAAAAAATCTCGGGCACAAAAAATCGTTCCCGCAAAGTTTAGGGAATTTGGCTGGGAAGAAATTCCCGGGAATTTTTCTTAAAAATTTAGGAAATGATTTTTTTAATGTTTGGCACCCCCTAATAGCATCAGTAGCTTTTTCAAAATTGGATTTTGTAAGCTTTACGTTTGATAAAAGTTATAGGTATTAGACTAGCGTCATGTTTGATTTTTTTTTTTACAAGCTTATTACCTCAGAAATTTCTTTGATTTTGCTGGTGGCCTGGTTATGTTGGGGTGGGACTTGGTAAGCAAAGGAATTTTTCGGAAATGTTCAAATCGTTCCCCAGGCACCACTATTAAAAAATTAATTCATGCAAATTTTTATTTCATAACACAAGTCTTACATTGTTAGTATCTTCTGTGATTGTCACCGGACCTTCGCCACCTTCCAGATATTCGTGCTCAAATTTTCTTTTAAGCTAAATAATAGGCATTATTTAATACAAACTTTAGTACTTGAACTGAATATGATGTCTCTTACACTTGATGGCTGCTCCCTGACATTCTCAGCGTTAATTTCTTCGGGTGCTATATATGATACATTAATAAAGATTTCTTTTACAACAATCAGATATGGATTACCTTGTCCAAGGTTTATAGTTTGTACGATATTTTGAATGGAGTTGGAGCCATTAAGATTGAAATTGCCGTTTTTCTGGCTCTGTGTGACATTTTTTTGTTTTGAGGGACTGGTGGGCTGTGAACACGTAAATTTAGCTTTATTAAGAAGCCAAAGTATTTTTAAACACACTTACTTTGCTGGCCTTTGCGTACTTTTCCTCTTTCTTTTAAATGCTTCTGTTAATCACAATTTATAGACTGCTTGAGTAAAATACTATACCTTCAATTGCTGCAGCAATCGTTGGGCTTTTCTGCAGCAAATTGGCAAAAAATTAACCCCTTCAACTATTGCCTCTGAACAGGCATGTAGAAGTCTCGTGTCATTCTTGTGGTTGGTACCGTACCCCAGAAAAAACTCCTTTGCTTTCTCTAGGGTCCAGTCTTTCGAGTCTACTTTAAGGAAATACAACATAGCTAAAGAGTTGAAAATGTCTAGAACTCCGTATTTTTTTCAAACGTATTTTTTTATACCACTTACAGGAATTCTAGCCAACGCCAGCAGGCCAGTATGCTTACAACTATTTACAGTCTGATCCAAGCCATTCACAGTCTGTGAGTTCAAAAACTCAAGAACCCTGCCTGGGAGGTTGCCCCTCCTATAGCAAAGACTAGCCTCAGCCGCAATATCGCAATATATCTTTTTTGTTTTTCAATTAAGCGTCTTTTTCAAAAAAAAAAAAAAACAAGAGTCAATTACTAACTAACCTTTTTTACGATATCCGTTACTTTCATTTACGATAGAAAAAAAATATGTTAAGGGAAAAGAAAAGGGGAGGAATAAAGTGTGTGAACCAGCTTTATTTATAGGCTGATAAACAAGAGCTTATGTCAGAATTATTTAATTGCTTGTTTCATCATCCATAATGTTTGGGCCTTTACTTAAAATAGAAACATTGGCAAAAACCCCCAAGCAAATCAGAAATTGGTAGTTGTATATCTGCGTTCCAGTAGTAGCTTGTAATGACATTGAAGCAGATTTTATGGAAATCAGAAATCAATCATCCTATGAAGTTTAGACGATATGGCATGTCAATTAACGTGTAGACCTTCACGTGATTCTAAAAAATACGTTTGAAAAATAATTTACCGAAATTCTTAAGATAAAAATGCATATATGAATACTGCATATTTATAGATGTCAAAAAGTTGTAACGCATTAATGCTACCAGAAAATTTATGCATGTTGCCTATGTTTGTTGCTGATTTATACCGGATAACTTTTGTATCTAAGTGGTAGCGGTAGTAATGTGCTTGTTCACAATACAAGGCACGTTTCATTGAACATATTCTAATTGGGGAGCGCAAATTTGAATGAGATATATATATAATTGACTATCAACTTTAACTTGATCAAAGAAAAAGCTGCTTGCTGCGCAATTCACTATCTTGACACTTGATAAATAACCGTATAAGGTTTGTGCGCCGATAGTTTTTTTTAGCGTCTTTTCTGAAACACCTGTTCTTACCGTGACCATTACTACTGAGCAATCTAATCTATCTTGTATCACATATAATAAGCCTCGTCTATTTCTTACTTGGATTTTCTGCTATTTCATATTTACAGTCTATAAATAGATGTGTTGAGTTTTTTGTTCAATCTACAAAGTTTACTTTTCAAAAAAAAAAAAAAAAAAAAAAAAAAAAAAAAAAAAAAAAAAAAAAAAAAAAAGAGAGAGCCATTTAATGATTTCCGCTAAGCATGTTCCATCGTAAACAGGCTAAGCAGAACTATTTTAGCACAAAATAGTAACAAGTTTTTATATTCTTGGGAGAATAGTACACTAAGGTATCAAAGTCTAAAAGTCTCCAAACAGATAGCATTACATACGGATGCTTCGTAAATGTATACAAAGTATCCTGGGAGTGTTGAATTAATTAATTTTGTTATTTTAAATATAAAGATAAAAGTTACAGCTGCATATTACACGTTATGCTGTTTCAGGTCAATGGACCTGACTGCATTTTTTCTAAGCCTGATTCTGTAACAAGTTTAGTACCAATGTTGATTTTTGTGTACCAATGTTTGTTCCTTTTATTATCGATTTTATTTTATTTCCTTTCTTTTACCTACTTTTGTTTTATACTAAATTATGAGAAAAGCATTTATAATAAGCGTATTGCTTTCATTTGTATTATCAGCTCAAACAGTTTTGATACCTCCTCGTTTCGGATCAAGTAATATCATGGATATATATTTTTGAAGAATACATAGATATTAATATTTTAAAAAGGTTGCGCTTATACATTTCAAAAGATTTATTGTTATGGCGGAAAGCTTGACGACGTACAATACAATAATGACATATATGCATTGGATCTAAAAGACATATCTGCGGGACTATCAGCAGATTTAAGATACAAATGGGACTTGGTCAATGTAAGTTCAAGTATAGGTGTTCCTCGAGACGAATACAGATATGCCAGTCAGTTTGTTTCATTACCCGATGGATCTTTATTTTTTGATGGCGGATACAATGAGAAGAACCCACTTGTAGCCAGAAATGCGACTTATGATCCACAAAGAAATAAATGGATATCATATCCCGGTCCCGGTTATAACGATGTTCTAAATGGAGGATATAGACAAATGTAAAAAAAAAAAAAAAAATGAGAGTATTAACTTTTCTATAATTGACATTCTTACTTTGTGTAACATAAGATATTCCGCAGCAGCGGCATATGTACCTGATACTAATAGCATTATATTTTGTGGAGGAAGACAATTGTAAGACTTAGTTGTATATTATCTTATAATTACTAATTTTAAGCTCATTAAAGGAATGCTGCTATAAACTATACTTACAAAAACCCTAAAGTTCTTGGTAATCTGACATATGAAACAATATCAAAACAGAATTCCACAAAAACCCTAGTTGAAAGCATTTATGGATATTACAACGTAACCGAACTAAACCTTGATACAAGAGTACGTAGAATAACAGAAGAGTCTAAAAGTACATGTATTTGTACTCATATAGATTTTTCTAGATATGGACCACCCGAAAAAGCAATCCTTTGGGTGTAAATGGCTCCCCAATTATAATGAGTGATTGGACAGCAACATACCATCCGGGAACCAAATCGATAATTTACTTGGGAGGACTTGAAAGTAGTCAATACAATCTTAAAGGTTCGCCGAGATCTTTAGGCGAGGTTTTCTCTTACGATACTCAAAATTCCTCATGGACTTTACACCCAACCAACGGATATGATAGGCCAACAGCCAGATTTGGGCATTCTGCAACAATGTGTACGTGTTTATAGCATGGAAATATAAACTTTTAATGAATAACTAACAGTTCTAATATAGTAAGTACTGGAAATAATATTATCATGTATGGAGGCGTTCAGAAGTCTAGCTATGGAAGTGTGGACGGAGAGCGTATGTTTAGGGATTGTTAGAAAGCCAGATTTATTGTATGCTACTTGAATCTTAATTTCACCTTTTTTTTAGTTGTATCCGATTATGTATATAATTTAGATTTGAGAAACTTCACATGGTTATCTTACAACAAACCATCAGGATCCATAGGACCTAGAGCCTTTCATTCAGGTATAGATAAAATACGTGAACCTCAACACTCGTTGTATTTACACATTTATTTATATTTATCATATGAAGCTGTTCTTGTTAATGGGACGAATTTGTTTATAATGTTTGGTAAAAAAAAACAGGGTTATTGGAGTCGTATTGTTGCTGCAAATGAAATTATGGTACTGAACATAACAAGCATGTCGTTTCTGGAGGCTTTGAGTAGATATCCCAGTCCTATAACCGCTGTTCCTGTTAGTACGACAACGGTTAGTGGTCTTGCTGGTGGTGCTATTGCTGGAATAGTTGTTGGTAGTATTGTGATGGTAAAGCCCAAATAAACTTCTTATTTTCATATCAACTCATTTGTTTACATAGATCGGTCTTGTTGCCGCAGTGGCGAGATATTTTAAAAAAAGAAAGGAGAAGGGAGAAGAAACTACACAGCTTCGCAACAATTGGGATAGACGAGACGGTGAGCATAGAAGGGACACACGGTCCGGTACAAACTCTACGAATATGAACAATACAAGGACCTCAACTAACGATGAAGCAAGTCAATCTCTTTATAACTATTCGCCAACTTTGGTAGAAGCAACGTTAGTAAGACACTAATTCTTAACTATGCCCACTATTATTTGCAAGCAATACCAAAGTCAGTGATGCCTAAATTGATCTGTAAAAAATTATTTCCAATAAAAAATATAATTACTCCAACAAGTTGCCCTTTTAAAATAAGTTACTCGTTTTTGAGAAAATATTACACATTTTACAGATCCATTGCTAAGTGAGTCTTTGTATTTGATTAGTAAAGAATTGCCTCTGTATAATGATCTCTTCTAAACAAACGTTTTTGTACCTATCAACTCATTGTATTCTAATAGAAACAAGAGGTCAAAGTATATGAGTTAATGAATGGTTGTGGGATATCATGGTCTAATAAAATTGTGTTAAATCGGCAAAACTTATAGATATTACTTTAGGTATTGGGTTGGATCAGAAAGAGAACTTTTCAAGATGAAGACGCGACTTTTAAACACTCTGCACTAATAAACATGAATCCTATTTAAGCAATCAAAATAACAAAAAAGTGGGCGAGTGCATATAGAGAATAACCTCACAGTTTTACTCAAATAATGTACCTTTTTGGCGATTTGAGACTGCCTTATCCCTTCAAAAGGTGTTCATTGTAACACACTTTTGATTTTTACCTTTTTTTAGCATAAAATGTCGAAATACGATCGGATCCAGGATCAAAGAGAAGGTCTTCCCACTTTTGAATATAAACAAGATCTTGTGGATGCTATACGAGAGTATAGCATTCTCGTCATAATTGGTGAAACAGGTACAAAAGACATACTATCAAAATAACAAAGTTTGTGATTTTAACGTAAAATAGGTTCTGGTAAAACAACACAGATTCCTCAATATATTTTGGAAGAGATGCCAGAGTTTGAAAGGATTGGCGTCACCCAACCTAGGTAAATGAAAACAAACGGACATCAGTGAATTTATGTCTTGAATCTAAACAGTATTTTCCTTCTTTGCTATTCTCATTCAGACGTATCGCTGCAATTACAGGTAAAATGAACAGACCCGATATTTCATGCTTAGATTAACTTTTAACGAGTAGTTGCGAAAAGGGTTAGCGAGGAACAAGATGTCCGGTTAGGATCCACAGTAGGATATACCATTAGATTTGACGATCGCACCAGTAACGCAACACGACTCAAGTACATGACCGACGGCATTTTATTACGAGAGGCGACGTTGGATCCTTCTTTAAAGCAATATTCAGTAGTCGTGATCGATGAGGCCCATGAACGTACGTTGGAAACTGACGTATTGTTTGGCTTGTTAAAAGAAACACATCGACTTCGACCCGATTTAAAAATCCTCATCATGTCGGCCACATTAGACGTTGCCAAGTTCTCGGACTTCTTTGACGAATGCCCTATTTTTGAAATTCCAGGAAGAACTTACCCAGTACAGGTAATTTATCCTGTCGATGCACCACGTCTCAGCACTCTTAAATCGGCCTTTGTGGATCGAGCCGTAGAAACAGCTTGGTCGATTCATACCAACGAACCAGAAGGCGACATTTTAGTTTTTTTAACAGGTCAAAATGATATTGAACGTGCCTGCAAAGCTTTTGAAGAAAAATCGAGGAAAGCTAATTATAAAAGGGAGGTCAAATTTCACCAAGATGTTCATAATGCAGTTGTATATCCTTTGCATGCTAGTTTGGAGACATTCGATCAAAGAGCTGTTTTTGAATTACCTAGACGGGGGGACCGAAAAATTGTTTTCGCTACCAATGTTGCTCAAGTAAGTCATTATTAAATTATCATCATCGCATTTAAAAAACTTATACAAATGATGTAGACTTCAGTAACTATTCCAGGTATTAGATATGTAGTCGATTCAGGATTTGTTAAGGAGAAATCTTTTGATGCGAATACAGGCATGGACGCTTTACTTGTAACAGAGATTAGTCAAGCAGCTGCTATACAACGCGCCGGTCGTGCTGGTCGTACAGCTCCCGGTAAAGCATTCCGATTATACAATGAAGAAAGCTTCAATCATATGTCACCAAACACCATCCCAGAAATCCAAAGAAGTAGTCTGCTCAGTACTGTTTTATCCCTTAAAAAATTAAATATCGTCGATGTCTTGAATTTTGCTTTTATCGATCCACCCGAGGAATCTATGGTTCGCAATGCATTGAAACAACTATACTTGTTAGAGGCAATCGATGAGGAAGGTAAGCTAACAAAATTAGGTGATCAAATGAGTTACTTTCCTTTATCACCCTCGTTGGCTCGTGTCTTGATTGCCTCTGCAGAAGAATACCATTGCAGTTATGAAGTAGTGACGATCGTCAGTATTTTAGCTGGTGATTTGGATTTGTTCAAAACACCTCGTGCAAAAGATGGAGAAGAAGAAGCCAACAAGGCTGAATCATGCAAGTTAAAGCTAGCTCACCATACAGGTGATCACATGACATTTTTGAACGTTTGGAAAGAATGGAAGAGACACGATAAAAGCAAGCAATGGTGTAAAGAAAATTATATTAATGCAAAAGTGTTGGATATTGCTTCAAACGTAAGAAACCAGCTGATGGATGTGATGGAGAAGTTAAGGTTAAAGATTGTACGTGGACCTATACTCAAACGTAAGATGAAATCATCGACAGGAAAAGTACGCCATCGCAGGGTTGGGGAAAATGATCATGGGGAAAGCACAGATCCTGTGCCGGTGTTGGAATCTTTTTTGACGGGTTACTTTACAAATATTGCAAATAAGGGGGCACACAGATCAGTGTTTTCCCATTATGCACCGGAAGAGCATTTATCAAGTGATTCCTCCACTAATATCTCTTCGACAGCTTTGGTTGCCTTGCATTTACATCCATTGTGCTCGCTGTCGAATAATCTGGATAGAAATAACTTGCAGTATTCCGAATTAGACTGGGTACTTTACTCCAATATCACATACACAAACAAAGCGGTAATGAAAGGCGTTAGTAAAATTCTCTGGGATTGGGTGAAAAACGGAAAAGGTCAAGAGCGGATCAAGAAATTACCTTCCACTAGATTAAATGGCGAAGCGCAACCAAAGATTGAAGAACTTGATCTTGAAGCGGAAAAAAAGTTGGTGGAGCAGGAAGAACAGAAAAAGGAATTAGAAAAAATTGAAAACGAGGCCACCAAAAAACGTAGAGCGGAAGAGATTGACATGATCAAACAAAGAGCATTGGCTCGACGAAGAACAGGCGCTTAAACTAATCTCTTGTATATATATGTTGCCATAATAAACTACACTAATTATGTTGCGATGTGATTGTTGTTATATGTCTTATCATTGACATAAACGTTTTTTATTTTATTTTTTTGCAACATAATTTATGAGTCGACCCATATTGTCTGTGTTCTCAACAGTCTAGAAAGGCCAGTATACATGGGACATTTTAATATACTCTTAATGAGGTTTGGTTTATCTTTTTAGTTTGGCAAACCAGGGGATGTTTGCCTTGACCAGTACTACAGTGTCGCTAAGGATGTACATGCCAGTTTTATACAGTAATTACTTCCAATCAAGGTCATATTTAGCCTGTATTAAAAGGCTTTGGTTCGCTAATATAACAAATTTATATAACTACATTGTTAAATTTAAGAAAAACATGCTTGGCAATCCACAAAGCTATTGATATTGTGGTATATCTTGCAATAATATTTAAAAGTCATCCGAATGAATGCATTTTAGTGCGTAATGCTTATTTTTGCGCGACAAAAAAAAATAAGCATAATCACTAAACCCAAGTTTCGTACCTTTACTCTTTCCTAGTCAGTTGATTATGCTGGTAAAATTAAGCTTGAGTTTACGAATTAAACCTCTGCTTACTGATTTTAATTGTCTTAAAAATATAAAATCATAAACATTTTTTTACTACGGTCTTTTACTATTATATTATTTAGATGTTTGGTGGAGAAACTTCAAATTATAAAACGTAAACTACATAATTTTGTATCGAAATAAATATCATACTTATATTTTCAGTCTTCGTAAATGACTATCAGACTAATCACAGGCTATTTAAACTTGGTCCACTTCGATGTATAAACTCTATATTATCAAAAGGACACCCTTATTATTATTCATAAGATAAATATGGGTTCGAATTGGCCATCGTAGTTTTTTAATAAGTAGAAATATACATACTAGAGCAAAAAAATTAGACTTTGAGCCTTACGACACGAATTATAATCAATCATACTTCATCCGGGTAATTTGTTCTTTTGTGATTTAACAATCTGGATACACAACACAGATATTTAGTGTAGAGTTTTCCTTAATATGCATTGTTTTGTTTACAAATATGCAACCTGCAAACTATATTTAAGTTTGCATGAAGTTCATTACACAATGCCATGTATACTTGAGTTAGTAAAATGCGATTTATGCCTTGCATAAATTGTCATTTTAGACATAATACAGATACTATATATCTCAACTTGATTATAGTTTATAAAAAAAATGAACACAAATTTCAATAACGGCGTTATTGCACGGTGCTGATCGAAGTGAATGTAGGTACAAAAAAAGAAATTGCATCCCAAAAAAAAAATATGCTCAGATATAAAGTTGATTAATTATGCCAGATTTATGTTCGTTGATATCCAAATGCTTTATTCTGTCGGCTATTTCCTATAAAATGGAAATACACGGATCGTAAGTGATATTCTCCAAGATTATGTGACAGCAGCAAGTTGCATATACAAAAAGAAAAACAAAGCATTGGTCACCAAATAGTCGATCAAGGTGCATGATACAAGTAACAAAATAAACTAACTTTGCCTAAATTAATTATCATTTTTTTCTTCTTCCATATACTTTACAGTAAAAATATGAGATTGCTAGGCTTAGCAAGTCTTTTTGTAGCTACAGTTTTGGGAACTTCAACATTTGAGATATCGCCAAACTTTAGAAGCCCAAAAAACATTCTCTTCAGTTGTATGTATGGTGGTTCATCGCATGTTTCTTGGGTTATCAGCATCCTCGATGAGTTGTCTTTACGTGGACATACTACATTTTATTTAACTACGGTATAACTCCAATAAAAACAAGAATAAAAAATATATTCACTAACATCTTTAACCAATGTAGGATGGTCAAATGAAATTCGCAAAGGATTATCCTTCGATTACGTCGAACTCTATCGGTCCTTCTCTTTCAAAAGAAGAGCATAACCGGTTTATGGAAGAACTTTCCTCTAAACCTATAGTAGAAGGTATCAAAAGTATGTTGGAACGTTTGACTATAAAATTTCCCCACGGTAAGTAAATATATAAGAAAAGGTTGGGAGGGGCTTTTTTTTTTTGGTCTGATTGTTTTAATTTCTATTCACAGAATACGTCAGTAATCTAGAGTATATAAAGTCTAACAATATCGACCTCGTTATATGCGATAGCTTCAACTCTCCCTGCATTGAAGCTGCCATTAAGTCTAAAATACCTTTTTTAGCTACATCGTCGTTTGCCCAAGGAAAAGGTATGCATGTGTTTATTTCAAAAATATAGTATATTTGTCTAAATTGTTTTTTTTTACTCATATACAGATGCTTCGGCTCCTTACATCAACAATGATCTATCAAATATGAAGAACCCTACCACGGAATTTATGTCGTTAAAAGAGAGAATTTCCGATATGATTATCAATCCTGTAAAGTATACCATCATGTTATACACCACCATCAATAGCCAAAAGAAAATGTACAAGGGATTCGGTATCAAGCCTGCATTACAAGCCTATAGAAAATCCAAGGACTCAGTCAAGTTAGTTAACAGCGCCTTTGGTTTTGAGCAAGGAAGACCTTTAGGGCCTCTTATGGAGTTAGTAGGACCTATATTACCCAAAATATATCAAGAGTTGACACCCGAACTGAAATCATTTCTGGATGCGCATCAACGAGTAGCGTATGTCGCGTTTGGTCAACATGCCATAGGGAAAGAGTCGGATGGTCGTTTGGTCTTAACGGGTTTGTTAGAGGCGATAGAGAGAAACGATTTGGATGGTGTTATTTGGGCCACAAGAGGTATAGATCGTATGTTTCCCAGCCATATCACAACAGAATCGAATACAACGTATGATGTAAAGACATTTTATGAGGGTACGGAGAAGGTCATGTTTATTAACTGGGCACCTCAAATGGCTATTCTTCATCATCCCGCTACAAGTATGTTTATAACACATGGTGGTGCTGGGTCACTTTACGAGTCATTCTATTCTGGTGTACGTGTAATCGTCTACCCTTTCTTTATGGATCAACCTGGCGCGGCAAAAACCATGGAGAAGAACGGTGTAGGATTGATGTTAGAACGCCACGTAAGCCAGACTGAGGCCAATAAGATTATTCAAAAGGTTGCATTGGATGAAGGGGGGAAATTTCAATTGAATACAGAAAGATTTAAAGCGTTAGTTCAAATCAGGTCTCAACGCGGTGTGGCTAGGAGTGCCGATATCATAGAAGAAGTGCTATTTACACATAATGATACTCATGTTCCACATCGATGGGATGTAAAAAGAAATATGACTTTTATCAAGGCTAGTAATCTGGATATTTACATGTTTTTGGTTGTCTTTTTGGGTTGCTTTGGGTACGGGATAAAAAGTCTCTTTACAGTCCCAAAAAAATTGAAGACGATTTAAATAAATTTGATTGGCTGTTTAATGAAATTGTGTTTGTTTATTCCTTTTTGTTTGTTTGGTATCACATATAGAAAAAAGGGGACGTTGTGTGCCAAAAGGAATGGTCCGTGGCATGTTTTGTATCGGTGTTACATTGAATTTGCATGAAAAAATTAATACATCATGTTCCAGAAACTGGCCGAACACTCTCCAGCAGTCACTGTACCTTTCAGCTTTTTTTTTTTTTGACGTTTTATTTTTGTCTCTAACTCTCTTTTCTTTTTTTACTTATCGATTTATAAAAATGCCGGCAATTGATGATTTTTCAATGATGACACCAGAAGATCTTATGAACACATCTGCATTATCGGTATCACCAATTTTAGTGTCATCTATATTCGACGAGATTTACACCTCACCGGAAACATTGAATGTGAGTGATAGTATTGACAGACATCATTACCGTCGTAGCGATAACCGAATTACACCACGATGGAGAAGAAGACCGCAAGTTATCAATACAGTACCGGATGAAAATGCTGATGAAGAGGAAGATAACATTGGCCCTATTGCACCCACCAATTATCGATTTCCTAGAACAACTTCAGCGGCGAGTTTTATATATGGACAAAACTGTTTGAATGATTTAGCGGTAAACACGAGTTTTTTGTGCACAGGCGTTAATACCACGCTTGATTTTGATGTTATTTTTGATGATGGTGGACAATACGGGTAAGTTTAACATATATATGAATACATATGAAAATACACAAAATATAGTATCTCATCTATTTATTTAGGGCGCTGTATGGCATTGAAAATATATTAATGAATGATGGTTCCGTTTATTGGTAAATCAAGCTAATACATTTTCTGAAGGTAAAATCTGATTAATTTTTTTTCTTTGACGTCAGTTCGGGAAGAAAAGGGGCGGTGAATATTTTATCACAATATTGTGGGTTCATAGAAAGCAAAATAATTTCAGATACAAGTTGTTCAATCTCCAAAATTGTGATTAAAGCACCATTACATGGGTAAAATTCATTTATTTTTTAAAAAAAGGTACTAAAGTAGTTTAATGACATATCCGTTTTTTTTTTTTTTTTTTTTTTTTTTTTTTTTTTTTTTTTTTTGGTTTTTTAATAGATTCACAGCACCTTGTAAAGATGGGTTGATCTTTATCTCCCATAAAGAAATTGATATATCAGGTATGTAAAAATATTTGATAGAGATAAATCCTGCTAGGTTACTAACTAAACGTATTACTTTGTAACACACAGAAACAAAAGGATTCGATGATTTTACCAAAGAACAATACGATGCCTATATACAAGAAAAACACGGTAGATTAGAAGACACAGATCCTGTAGCCTGGTTTACACTAAAACAAGATAAACTTAGCGTTCTGGATTTGGTTGACAGGTGAGTTTTTTTTATTGCCGCTCAAAACTTTTTTGTAACTAAATTTTTTATCCTAGGGCAGGAAAATTTGTACTGATTAAGCTGCTAAGAGCAGACCATGAGTCGGACAACATAGATATTCAATACATTGGCTTTATTGGCCATGCAGGACCTCGATCATTTGGTTGTGCCAAACTGTGCTGAGTAGACACGTGATGACGGGGAATGAACTTATTTTAAACGCGATCAATGTTTTTATAAAACATCTTTTTCCAAAAAATAAAATTAATTTGTATATATAATAATGACTTTAGAGAGAAGAGGTCGACCTAGAAAACTTGAATCGACGGGATCACCTACCACACCAACTTTTGAGGAAAAACCAAGAGAAGAAAGATCTTATAAGGATTTTTTTCCAGATTTAAATATTAAGGAACCTTTACCGATTATCAACTTGAGCGATCAATCTATAAAATCGCCTTCCAACGACGAATACGAAACAGCATCGGAGGGTGATTTACCGCCCATTGAAAAAACAATAAAATTGCCCATGGCTTCTTTTAAAAGAATCGATTCAATACGACCATTGGCTAAGGACAATGAAGCTCAAGTATTTCAACGGCCTGAAAATCATTACATTCGTTATATAGGCAAATTAACAATCGCAAGAGACTATTTTCTTGCCCTGTATCTGTTATTCTGCAATAAGATCTAACGCCATTTTTTTTTCTTCTAATCAATAGAACCCTCAGAATCAGAATTATTTGAGACAGTAGAATACGACATGGATGAGCAAGGTGACACTTATTGTACACACTCCTTTGTGTCCCCTTTTTAACATTCTTCTTTTCTACGACAGACCAAACATGGTTACAGTTATACAACGAAGAACGAAAAAAAGAAAAGCTTGGCCTTGTATCTGGCGACTTATTTGAAAGTATCATAGATCAATTAGAAAAAGAATGGTTTGATTTGGTAAATAAAAAGACAACTTTTTTTTTTTTTTTGTTATGTACAATCAAACACATCTTTCTTATCGCACCGTATCCCATTTTATACTAGATCAAAAGTCTACCAAAAAAGACAAATGACGAACCACCATTACCAGAAGACTCAAAATGTGCGATTTGTGACGATGGTGAATGTGAGAATAGTAATGCTATTGTATTCTGTGATGGATGCAATTTAGCCGTCCACCAAGATTGTTACGGTATACCATATATTCCCGAAGGACAATGGCTATGCAGAAAATGCATGGTTTCCCCTGAAAATCCCGTATCTTGTATTTTCTGTCCTGGTGAAGGTGGCGCTTTTAAACAGACAACAACAAATCAATGGGGACATTTATTATGTGCTATATGGATTCCAGAAGTCGGCCTCAGTAATAGCGTTTATATGGAACCAATCGACAATATCGAGAATGTGCCTAAAAGTAGATGGAAGTTAACCTGTTATATCTGTCGACGTAGACATGGGGCTTGTATTCAATGTGATAATAAGAATTGTTTTGTCGCCTTTCACGTCACTTGCGCACGTTGGGCTAGACTATGTATGCGTATGAAATTACATGGTACTCATTACGACGGTGTGGTTCTTAAAGCTTATTGTGAACGACATACTCCCAAGGATTACAAAGAAGTGGTTAATGTTGATAAACTGGTGGTGGATGCACAACGTTGGTTCATGGATCCAAAACGAAAGCGAGATAATTTAATGCCAAGGAAGAGATATATCGACGAAGAAGATGATGATGCATACCCAGCATTAACCAATACTGTAGATTCCACGAAAAGCACCAAAAAGCAACGCAGGCAGCAGGCTGTCAGTCAATTATTACCAGCTTCAAAGGCGGCTCGAGCACATCAACATCAATATTCTGCGGGGGCTCCCATTGCTCCAGAATTTATCCTGGATAAATTAGAAAGACTCAAATCGGTGAAGCAAGCAACAAACCTAAAGAAAAAATCTCAAGTTGTCACAAACATTTGCAGGTATTGGTCCTTGAAAAGAGAATCGCGCAGAGGTGCACCACTATTAAAGAGATTACATTTGGAGGTAAGTTTTTTTATATATATAATGTTAATTTGAGATTCTCATACTATACCTGAAGCCCTGGACCGCATCTGCATCTCAACTCAAACAATCAGAAGTCGAAAAAGCACATAAAGCATCTGTGAGTATCCGAATTTTCTCTTTGTTGCAAACACTTTCTTATAAATATGCTCTTTCCATTAGTCCATGATCACTCTACGAGCAGACCTTGAAAAATTACGACTACTATCCGAACAAGTTCAAAAGCGAGAAAAATTAAAATTAGATAGACTTAGAAAGCAAAAAGCATACCTAGAAACCATTTTTTATCCTATTGAAATTGTGATGCGACCTGTGATTGATGAATTAATGGAGTGAGTATTGATAGGGAGTCTTTTCTATTAGATGTTAACATGATTTATTGCTTTAGATTAGATAAGAAGGACCTATTCAAATATCCAGTGACAAGAGATATGGCTTCTGATTATTACGACATTGTGAAAACTCCCATGTCCTTCGCTGACGTCCTTGAGAAACTCTCTCTCCACTTATACCTCACTTTAGATAATTTAGCCGATGACCTCTCACTGATCTGGAAAAACAGCATGCTTTACAACCAAAAAGACACATTGTATTATAAATTAGCTCAACGCCTGGAAAAAACTGCCGAATCATTGATAGCCGAAGCACGTCAAAATTACGAGTCTTTAGAAATCAGCAAGTCGGGCTTATTGGATGTCAAAGTGGACCCAGAGATTTTCAGTTATGCTGATGATTCACTAAAGATTGACACTACCGTCGAACAATCCAGTAGTGGTCTTAGCAGTATGAGCACGATTAGCAGTGACAGCTCCTTATCATTAAAGCGAAGAGTAAGTGATGTGACAGATACCCCTATGAAAAAACCCAAAGAAGAGGATACTACTCGAAAGGTTTCCCGTATCACCCGAAGTAAAACTCAAAATAATATGCGCACTTTACGCTCGCGATCAATTACAAAGGATATACATCATCCTGTTAAATTAGGACTAGATTCTTTGCCCGAACCAAAGAGAAAGAGATCTACCTTAAGGAGACAGGTTTCGACCATTTCTGAACCTGCCTCGGAACCATCCATCGTAGATTCACCAATGGAAGGATCATTAACAGAGGAGTTATCAATTAATGGCCCATCAACAAATGAAATGTCGACAAATGAATCACCAACCAATGAACCATCCACTAGCGAATCGCCAACTAATGAATCGTTAACCGATAGATCACCAACAAATGAAACACCGCCGATTAAGGTACCAACGAAAAAATCTGGAACGAAAGCACCAGCAAATAAACCAGTGACGGAAATGCCTGTCAATGAAGAGCCAAAGACGGAAGAGTCAGAGACAGAAGACTCAGAGACGAAAAAGCCAGAGACAGAAGAGCCAGATACGAAAGAGTTAGTGACAGAAAAGCCAGAGACGAAAGAGTTAGTGACAGAAAAGCCAGAGACGAAAGAGTTAGTGACAGAAGAGCCAGTGACAGAAGAGCCAGTGATGGAAGAGGCAGAGACGGAAGATCCAGTGATGGAAGAGCCAGTGATGGAAGAGCCAGAGATGGAAGAGCCAGTGATGGAAGAGCCAGAGATGGAAGAGCCAGTGATGGAAGAGCCAGAGATGGAAGAGCCAGTGATGGAAGAGCCAGAGACGGAAGAGCCAGTGATGGAAGAGCCAGTGATGGAAGAGCCAGTTAACGAAGAACCGGCAGTGCAAGAGCCAGTTGTCGAAGAGCCAACAATAGAAGAAGAAATGGATGTCGACGTGCCAATGGATGAAGTGTCATCAGAGACGGTTTCACCTGTAGTTGTTATCCAAAGAGAGACACGGTCTACACGGTCCTCTTCTCAACAATTGGACAATGCACGACCAAAGATTGTGCAATCACTCAAACCTAAAGCTCCTATTGAGCGAAAGAAAATGGATGGAGAAAACAGCAAGATACAAGAAGAGGTGAAGCTGCAAGAAAAGAATAAGGCCAAAACACTGGAGAAGACCAATGTTCAGAAAAAGGCTCCAGTCGAAGAAAATGGCCAGGAACAAGAAAAGGAAAAAATCGTAACTTTTCAACATGGAGAACTTGTTTGGGGTCGCGTATATGGATTTCCTCCTCACCCAGCTCTTGTAAGATTTATTCAAGTATCTTGCTGTTTTTTATTAATCTAATTGCTGATTGTAGATTACAGACCCTAAAAGAAAACGCGGTATCCCTAAAAGTGTAACTTCACTGAAAGCTGAACAAGCTAATAAAGTGCTTGTAGAATTTCTTCAAGTGAGCGAAGCACATACATGGTAAGACCGAGTTTTAAATAGTCTTTGCAATTTTTTATTTACAGGATTTTTCTTATTATCATTAGGGGTTGGATGGCGAAAGAAGACATTTATCCATTTGGCAACAAAGATTTGGATATCAAGATGCTGCATTATGCTAAAAAGACAAGGAAGCCTCATCGTATTAGGGAAGTCAAGACAGGATATACTTACGCCTGTGGCCTAATTCATATTGATCCTTTGCCACAGCTAAAACAAGTGTTCCCAAAAGCTTACCTTCAAAAATGAAATAAAAACTTGATAAGAGCCTTGTTGGTCAATGCATTGTCAGGCTTCAATAAAAAAGCATTTGAATCTCCACCCTACCAAAAGAAAAATGATACCCTGGAAAGGGATAAATTTAATTTCTCTCTCTCTCTCTCCTTTCTTAAATTAACTAATGCTTGCAACAACCCTCCGTCAGTTGACTAGACAGAGTAGACGTCATTACGTGGCTACACCACAAGCATTTCATGTCTTTGACAGAAACGTCAAACTTTTACAAAAGGAACGTGCAGCAGCCGACGTAGAACAAAGCCGTACTGTTGATTATCTAAAAGACGAGATCGCTGCCCGAGTAGCTGATCGACTTTTGGTAAAGCAAAGAAAGATTGTTTGACAACCCTCGACTCATCTCGAGATCTTTTTCATTTAGGACATTAAACGAAAATTCAATACTGTGGTTGATTTGGGATCTGGATCTGGACATATTGTAAAGCATGTCAACAAGGATATGATGCAAAAGTTAATCATGTGTGACATGTCAGGTAAACTTTTCTTCTTCTTAACGAAGGCAAACCACTAACTTGGTGTATATATGAAAGAGAAAGCACTGAATAGAGATATTGATATTCCTTACGAGGTCCAAGTGGAAAGACGTGTGGTTGATGAAGAACATTTACCTTTTGAAGAGGATTCCTTGGAAGCCGTTGTCAGTAGTTTATCGTTAAACTGGGTCAATGATTTACCCGGAGCTTTGATCCAAATCAAGAACTCGCTTAAACCCGATGGCGTCTTTATTGGTGCTATGTTTGGCGGTGATACTTTATTTGAGTTGAGAACATCATTGCAATTAGCGGAAACAGAGAGAGAAAGTGGTATTTCTCCTCGTATCTCTCCTATGGCCGGTAATATATTTAATATGATTGAGCTTTTATGAGTTGAAAAAAAAAACTAAGATTTGATGAAATATAGAATCCAGTGATATGTCTAGAATCTTGACTCGTGCCGGATTCACTTTGACTACAGTGGATGTGGATGAAATTCAAGTAAACTATCCAAGCGCTTTTGAACTGATGGAGGATCTTCGTGCTATGGGAGAAAGCAATGCCGTTTTCACAAGGTAAAAATAGAGAAATTTACACATTCAAGGTTTACATGATTAGTTTGTATTCATATATATTATGACACATAGACGTCCATATTTGAAGAGAGATACACTTTTATCGGCTGCTGCAATTTATAAAGGTATGTAACCTAAACCTATTATATAACAGCGTATTTAGCCCTCTTTTTTTTTTTCAAAATAGAATTACACGGTCATCCCGATGGTACAATTCCAGCAACCTTTCAAATTATTTATTTGGTAAAAAAAAAAAAAAAAAAATACCAAACAATGATGCACCATATGTTTATTCATCTATTTAATTTTAGATTGGATGGAAACCTTCAGCAAATACACCTTTGCCCAAGAAAAGAGGTTCCGCTAACGCGTCATTGAAGGAGATGTTGGAAACCAAAATAGATTAGAGATAGTTCATAAAATGAAGTTATAATTAAAATCATTCCTTGTATATTTACAAATAATAATCGAGTTACTGTGTTGGATCTTTATTTTGATCGGTCTCTATGCAACAAGAATGAGACCTGTTTTTTTTCATACCGCGAGATCGAAGTGACGGATTTTGATAATTACTGATTTTTTGATATAGAATGCTAGTGTAGATATTTAAATGACACGAAACATCTCGTTAAGGAAAAACTTTTCTTTCTACATATTTTTTTTTAAACAAGAAATGAGGATTAAAGTAAGCTCAGTTTTGGCTGGACTTATCTTTTGTCAATCCATCACAGCAATCTCTATTAGAAAAGATATGACACTCTCTCGTCTTTTTCACCCGGTCTCCCTGTCGCCACCTTCATCGGTATTCCCTCAGATATCTCACCCTTTCCCTCCCGTGTACGCAGATCCCAAACAATCTAAAGTCGTACCAACTTGTTCTTGGATCAGTAATTTATTTTATCCAAGTATCAACCATCTTGCTCCCACAACTCCAGATCCATATATCCTCAGGCTCTTGGATGACTTTGGTGGAAATCCAGGTCTTTCGATATCACAGCCTTATGAAAAGGTGATTGGTTCATACCCACCCACCAACAATATACCCGCCAGTCCCGCAGGATATATCATTAACGGTGTAGTGGTAGACCTTCGCATCACCTCGAAAGAATGGAAGACAGATACCCCCTCACCTTTGGTCACCGACTGGGATTTGTTTGGTGCCAATCTTCAGTTAGTGAGTAAGGCTGGCAGTATCGAGTTCCCGATTGCCAGAGGCGCCTCTTATATCACCAGTGTATACCACAACTTGACTCCGCAATTCTTTACGCAACATGCTATTATCAGAATCACGGCAGATCAAGATTTAGGCGGGGACGTTTATTCTGGACATAAATTTAAGATTTCATTTAATAATAGTCCTACCAGTACCTACATTATTTATGTCTTGGGTGATAAGCCTTTAACATTGCGAAAGGAAGGATTTTCCAATTTGATTGCCACAGCGCCCTTTAATGGTGTGATTCAAGTAGCCAAATTAGCAGATATGCCAGGTAGTGAAGCTGTATTGGACACACACACTGGTGTTTGGGCCACTGGTGCTAAACTTGAAACCGGTGCTGATAGGTAATAAACAATAACTAAACCCTGAAACAGTCTTTTTAACAATTTTTCTTTTTGTAGCACTTATACAATTAATTGGAATTTGGCAGGTGACCTCTCCAAAAGGTTATTGACATTTGCTTACCCTCATCATATATCAAGCTTTGCTAACCAAGTAGTACGTACCAACATGATTCTGCAATCCTCTTCCAAAGGACCTATGGAAGCTGTCATTGGTAACACCTGGATTCTGAAAGAAACCGATCTGCCAACCACCGAATGGTTTCCTTCCAATCCTGCACCGGAGCCTTCTACACGTAATGAAATTTTACAAGCCATGGTAGATGATGTTTACTCCAACTACACTGAGAATACTTTCAAGGACGACAATTACTTTTCAGGAAAGGGGCTTCAAAAATACGCTTTGCTGGCTTTAACGTTAAACAGACCGGATGTGACACAGCTACAGAATGCTGAGTTGGCTAAAGTAGCTTTGGATAAGATTAAGAACGCCTTGGTTCCTTACTTGGAAAACAGACAGGCAAATCCATACCGTTATGATCGTCTCTATAAAGGCATTGTAGCTAGAGATGGATTACCCCCTTCCATGGGTGGAAAAGGCGATATCTATAGTGAATTTGGTCACTCTTATTATAATGACCATCATTATCACCAAGGTTACCTTGTTGTCACAGGTAAAACGAATATGTGTATATTGATTGTAGACTTAAACTTAAAAAAAAAATGTAATTTACTAGCTGCTATTGTTCATTATTTGGATCCCAGTTGGAGAACTGCCGAACTCAAGGAATGGACAGAAGATTTAATCCGTGACGTTAATAACCCGGTGGATAACGATCCTTATTTTGCCCAATTCCGTAGTTGGGATTGGTTTGCAGGTCACAGTTGGGCTGGTGGTATCAAAGTCAATGGTGCATTAGACGGAAGAGATCAAGAATCCGTTCCCGAGGTAATATTTGTTTGTGGGGGTGGGGGTGTTTTCTTTACGCCACCAACATATGTAGATACTAACCTGCAAAAAAAAAGTCTGTCAATTTCTACTGGGGATCTAAATTGTGGGGATTGGCTACAAACAATAAGGAAATGTCCGATTTGGCCAACCTGCAATTAGCCATTACAAAACGGTCTACGTATGAATACTTTTGGTTTAAAGATGATAATAAGAATCGACCCGCTGAAATGGTCAAGAACAAAGTGGCAGGCATCTTTTTTGAGCAAAAAGTGGATTACGTAAAGTATTTGTTTACATTTTAATTTTGTTTTTACTCATCATTGTTTGTTAGACGACTTATTTTGGCAGATTTATGGAGTATGTGCATGGCATTCAACAACTCCCGATGACGCCTATTTTAGCAGAATATATTCGAACCCCTGAATTCGTCAGTCAAGAATGGACCCAAAAGCTTGGTGCTATCGCACCTACAGTTCACTCTCCTTGGGCCGGTGTTCTATACCTTAATTATGCTATTATCAATCCATCGGATGCATATCCCATTCTTCGTACTATCCCTGTTGATGATGGCCAAACAAAATCATACTCACTCTACTTAGCTGCCACTCGACCTGGATTTACCAGACGATGTAAGTCTTTCCCTTAAAAGTATATACCCATTTGTCTAACAACTTACGAAACGTTTATAGCTTATTCCAAATTTATCATGAGTGGAAAAACACATTAAATAAACCATCTAATTTTATTTACTCTTCGGGCACGGCTACCTTCTTTTTTAAAAATTTTGATCTCAATCTTTCGGGTACCTTCATGAGTACACCTGAATTATCATCTTCGCCTCCATTGCCTTTACCATTTCTTTTGATTTTTCGCACAGCATTTAGCATCCAGGGCCAAACATAGTTTGGACCAAATTGCATGTAAGCCAATCCTAACGTTGCTCCTCCTAAGTGAGCCTAAATAAATACTACTGTTATATACATGTGTTTCTAATCCATGTTTTGAACTTACAAAATGATCAAACATGCGCCAGCGCATCAAAACACCGGCTACATCCAAAGATAGTAATGTGGGTACGGCATAATTAATGTTGATGGGCACAGTGGGTAAGAAGGGTACAAAGACACTCGAGTTTGGGTAAGTGTATGCTGTAGCTGATATAAGACCATAAATGGCACCACTGGCTCCCAAACTGGGATTCAAAGGCCGTGATTGACGTAGAGCTAGACTGACAACGTGGCTAATGACATTGGCGTTGATGCCTACAGACAGATAGGCAGCGACAAACTGCTCTCTTCCCAATACATCATGGATTAATGGGCCAAACGACCATAACGCTACCATATTCATTGTAAGATGAAGTAGATCTCTATGTGAAAAACAGCTAGTGATCAAGGTGAGGTATTGTCCGGAACCTGGATTGTGAGTAAAGTAACGATTCATGACAGGTTTAAGAGCTGGTATTCTCCAAGCACAGAATACGAGGAGGTTGGCACCTATTAAACCGGCCATGGTCTTTTCGGCGTCAGATAAAGACAAGTAGGTCTGTGCTACGGTTAGAAACACCCGTCGGACCTCGATAGGGATCGAATTGAACTTTTCAAGCTTGTCTCGTAAATCATCCAACAAGGCTTGCTTCTTTTCTAACCACATTTTCTTTTGTTCTTGCCAAAGGTCTGCTTGGAATAATTTGTCGTCGGTGATGAGGTCACGAATGGTGGACCATTTAGGACCGTCTGTACGTTTTCGGAGACGCTGCCATAAGGTTTCTTTTTCCTTTTCATGGACAACTGCGGCGATAAAGAACAACATGGTGGAGGCACTGACACCAAATGAAACAGTGCCCAAGTAATTTGGCTTAAACGGTTTTTTAAAGACTACACCGTTGACTGCTGGCATCATGCTTGGTGCATTGGTGAATTGTCTTTTGACAACCCTTGATTGGAAAACACGAAACATTAGCTGTACCAAAAAAAAAAAAATTGAACGATAAAACGGAAAAGGAAAGGAAATTGCATTAATCTTAAAGCGGGTGATTTTTATACCAGCATACACACACAAAATTTTATTTCTTTATTTCTTGGAGAAAATACTTCCCAAGACACCCTTCAAATTACTATCCATCTTATCCATGGCATTTTTGCCAGATTTCTTGGGATCAACCTCACGGTTAACGTTTCCTCTTTGTTCAAAAGTTCTTTGGATCTTTTGTTTAACAGGAGTTGTAGGTTCGCCCTCACGCTTACGCTTCTTTTGTTCCATATTTTGTAACATCTTTGCACGTTCAACATTTTGGATATAAGTTTTGTTTTCACGGTTGGATTGGGCAATTTCGTTACGCAAACGTTGTTGACGCGCTTGCTTTTCATGAGCCATATGTTCGGTCAAATGGTGCCATTTGAACTTGGGTAAATATTTAATGTTCCACATATCATGGTAATATTGACTTTTACGCTTGCCACCAATTTCCTTCATATTTAAATGTTCGGCTAATGCTTTGGCAATGGCTTTATCTTTAAATTCAACCCAACCTTCTGTGAAATTGGTTCTTCTATTCTTTGTGTACTTCTTACGACGTGCTGTGACCTTTCCATCTACGTTTTTTTAAAAATAATGTCAGCTATATCCATGCACACAAACATATAGAATCATTACCTTCTGGTACTAAATAGATACGGCCAATTTCACCATGCTTCTCTAAAAGGGATCTGACTCGACTAGGCTTCATGAACAAAGGAATGCGAGACAAATAACACACACCAGTCTTCTTTCTTGCCTTTTCAAATTTTTCGAGTTCTTCAGGTGTCAAACTCTTTACTTTTTTAGCAGTTCTGACTCTTTTCTTAGTGGTGGCACCAAAGGCAGTCAAGTCTTTGGGTGCATCGTAACCTTCAGCGTCTAATTCATTGTCATCGTCTTCACTTTCATCGTCATTGTCGTCAGCAGCAGTCTTTTCTTCCATATCGACATCGGTGTCTTCTGCTTCGCTCTCTTCGGCATCGCTATCTACCTCGCTGTCATCGTCAGAGAGTGATTGCTTTTGAAGACGACTTTTAGAAAATCGACTATCCTCTTGCTCCTCCTCATCTAAAGAGACGTCCTCTTCTTCACTGTCGTTATTTAAACCGAAAAGATCTTCCTTCTTGTTTGACATGTTTTGATTTTCTTTACAAAGAAAAAAAAAATAACCTGTAGGCCGGATTGAACCCTTCTTTACATAATTTTTGTGGCGTTTTCTTCCGCTAAGATGAGAAACAGTCACACACGACATAGAAAAAAGGTCATCATACTATAAGCCTTGGATCAATCAAAACGTATCAAGGGACAAAGCAATATGAATCCATAATACATGCTATTTTTTTACGGTAGATATCACTGTACATCCCAGGTATAGTTGATAAAACAGCATGAATTTAAAAATAAAGTGTCACTCCCCGCCCTTTGAAAAACAAACAGACGTGTCGGTACTTGAATCCCGCATTTATGAAATCCTTCAGAAAAAAAAAGGGCATATACACTTTTTTTTTTTCATTGTTAGATCTTTTTAAAACATGGGTAAATCAAGACCTAGATTCAATGAAAAGGCTCGTGCCTCTTCACGTCGACCCAATCAAAGACCTCATTTGAAAGCAAGAGACGGAGGTCTTGGAAAAGAAACTTTTGAACAATCGCAAACCACCACCGAGAATGCCAACCAAACGTTCGTTGATAGATCTACCATTTTACGCTTGTATAAAATTTTATAACACCACCCATTTTAAAAATAGTGATTCCAACGAGCTCATGATTGTCCCCGGTAGCAAGAAAAGTGAAGCTGAACAGGAAGAAAAAACTACAGTTTCCTTCAAAGAGGTAAAAAAAAAAAAAAAACTTTTTGACACCTTTTGCTGTTAGAATTTAAACTTATCTAATCATATCATTGTAGCCCATCAAATACATGTCTAAAAAGAAGAAGAAGAAGATGGAAAAATACATTGTAAGTACACCCTCTCTACACAATATCACCGTCCATTTATACCTGAGATCAAATTTCTAGGAACAAAAATTGAAGAAAGATGCCCGTGCTGGTCTTATGGAAAAGCTCTCGTAAGTTTTATTTCACTTTTCCCGCCTTAAACACTTTGCTTAATTTTTTGTTTGAATTGCAGCACTTCTTCTTGGTCTTCTGATCTCTTAAAGTCCTCCAAGCTTATCGGTAGAAACGGTCAAACATTACGTGAGCAATTACGTCAAGCCATGTTGGAGCAAAAGGCCGGTGTTGCTATGACAGACGAGTCTGTTCCACTTGTCATCGAACGTGATGTGGATGAATTACCTCCTATGCCTGAAATCGTTTATGCAGACAACTCCGCGGCTATCGATCAACCCGTGGTCGGTAGTGCTTTAAAGCAAACAGGTGGATTACCACTCACCATGCGAAAGAGAAAGAAGAAGCAGTCCACGATTCCCACCATCGCTAAAAAACGTTATAAGCAAAGAAAGGGTATGGATTCAGACTCTTCATTCGATAGTTCAGATTCAGAAAATGACCAAGATGATGAAGAGGAGGACGAGGGACCTAGAACTATAGCAGAGCCTTTAGAACCTGAGGAAGAACAGGGACCTACACATATGGAAGCTGTCACCGAAGCAGCAAAGACAATCACTGTCGAGGTGCCTAGACGAGAGGAAGAGGAATTTGATGATATCAAGGTACAATTATTAAAGAGCAACAGAGAAGGTGATTTAGCTGGAGATGTTGCAAAGCCTTTTTACGTCAATGTCAATCGAAAGCCCGAGATCCAAGCTGCTCGTTTAAAACTTCCTGTTGTTGGTGAGGAACAGGTTATTATGGAAGCCATCCGTAATAATACTGTGGTGATTATTTGTGGTGAAACAGGTTCTGGTAAGACCACTCAGGTCCCTCAGTTCTTGTACGAAGCTGGATGGTCTCATCCCGAGAGTGGTAAATATATACAAAAAAAAAGGAAAGCGCAAAAAAAGATTAACAGTTGGAATAAAAATGATAGATAATCCTGGCTTGATTGGTGTAACTCAACCTCGTCGTGTAGCGACTGTGAGTATGGCAAAGCGTGTCGCTCAAGAATTAAACTTGACCGATAAAGAAGTTTCGCATCAAATTCGTTACGATGCTACCGTATCTGCCAAGACACGTATCAAGTTCATGACGGATGGTGTCTTATTGCGTGAAATGTCCCAAGATTTATTGTTGACCAAGTACTCTACCATCATTATTGATGAAGCGCATGAACGTAATTTGAATACAGATATCCTGATTGGTGTTGTGAGTCGTGTCTTGAAATTAAGAGCTGAGTTGAGTAGAGAGGACCGACAAAAGATCAAGCCCTTGCGTGTCATCATCATGTCTGCTACTTTACGTGTATCTGATTTCACTGAAAACAAGACACTTTTCCCTGTCGTGCCACCTGTCATTAATGTCAACGCAAGACAGTTTCCTGTCGCCGTTCATTTCAATAAGAAAACACCCGAGGATCATGTCGGTGAAGCTTACAAAAAGATTACCAAAATTCACGAACGATTACCCACTGGTGGTATCTTGGTCTTCTTGACAGGTCAAAATGAAATTAACCAATTATGTAAAGAACTTCGTAAAAGATACCCTGCTCTCCCCCCTAAGGCTTCCAAGAAGGAGATTGTCAAGGAAGAAAAGGCCATTGCCTTGGAATCAAAGACAGTGACTGAACCTGCTGGGAAAGTGGATATTGAGGATGAAGCTTTGGAGTTGGGCGAAAACCAAGTCGATGAAGATTTTGATTTATCTTCAGATGATGAGGATGATATTGCTGAAGGGTTTGAGGATGATGAATTGGCAGATGTCAAGGATGCTCCTTTGTATGTGCTTCCATTGTACTCAATGCTTCCTACCGAGGCTCAATTGCGTGTATTCGAACCTCCCCCAGAGGGCACACGTCTCTGTGTCATTGCTACAAACGTGGCCGAAACTTCCGTCACTATCCCCGGTGTGCGTTATGTGGTTGATTGTGGTAAATCTAAGGAGCGTAAGTACGATGTAGAAACAGGTGTTCAAACCTTTGAAGTCGATTGGACCTCGCAAGCTTCAGCTGGTCAACGTGCTGGTCGTGCTGGTAGAACCGGACCTGGTCATTGTTATCGACTCTTTTCTTCTGCTGTCTTTGACAATGAATTTGAAAAGTTTTCTACTCCTGAAATTCATAGAATGCCCATTGAAGGTGTTGTGCTCAGCATGAAGTCCATGAACATTGATAACGTTGTTAATTTCCCCTTCCCAACACCTCCTCCCAGAGAGAACTTACAAAAGGCTGAAAAGGTAATAACAACAACATGTCAATATGGATGAGTAAACTAAACCAATTTTTTTTTTCGGTTCATAGCTTTTGGGTTATCTTGGTGCGATCAGTACAACAAGTAAACATATCACTGATTTTGGTAGAACCATGTCTTTATTCCCTATCACACCCCGTTTTGCCAAAATGTAAGACTTTTAAATGATGAAAAGTGTTCCCCCGTTTAAATTTCTCCTTTTAACTTCATTTAGGCTTATTATTGGACAACAACATGGATGTTTACCTTATGTCATTGCGATTGTTTCAGCACTTTCTGTCGGTGATCCCTTTATTCAAGATTATCACTTGGATGAGGATCAACCTGAAAGTGACGACGATATTGGATATAGAGAACTCCATAACATTCAAAACGAAGCTGTCGCCGATAAGGAAAGAAGAAAGCTTGTTCGAAAGAAGTATTATTCTTCTCAAATGGTAAAGCGAATGTGTAAACTGTTTATCTTTCTCAACTAAATCATCTCTTATAGAAACACGCTGGATTAGACCCTAAGAGTGATATTTTAAAGTTGTTAAACGTGGTGGGTGCCTATGAATATGCAGGTGCCACCACCCAATTCTGTGAAGATAATTTCTTAAGACCCAAAGCCATGGAAGAGATTCGTAAATTAAGAAGACAATTGACCAATTTAGTTTCGAGTAATTTCCCCGATATTGATGTCTGCATGGATCCTAAAATGCCACCTCCCAATGATACACAGAAAAAGGTGCTGAGACAAGTGCTGACAGCTGGTTTCATTGACTCCGTGGCTATTCGACAAGATGTTTTGGATACAGGTGGTGGAAAGGGTATCAAGTATAAGAATGCCAAGAATGTTGTCTATCGATTATTATGGAGTGATGAAGAAGCCTTTATCCATCCTGGATCGATTCTTTATAGTCAAGAACCTCCTGCCATGTTGGTTTATAGTGAAGTCTATAAAGGAGGTAAAAACTGGCTTAAGGGCGTTACAGCGGTTGAATCGAAATGGATTGCGAAAATTGGTAAGGATCTTTGTTCCTATGGTAGACCTCTTGATTTCCCTCTTCCAAAGTAAGTAAAAGTAATTTTGAAACAAATCCTACTTCCCATGCTAATGCATATTTATTCTAGGTATCTTGATGAGAAAAAGGATAGAAAATTGGTTTATGTTGTACCTAGTTTTGGTCCTAAAAGTTGGCCCCTTCCTCCTGTTCGTGTTGAACAGCGAAGAGAAGGAACACGTTGGGTCATGGCCTCTTTGTAAAACCCCCCCCCCCGATATTTTCCAGAAAAAAAAAGTATAGAAGCAATAAAATATCTCATGTTGTACATTATTATCATGCAAAACCAGGTTTTTTTACAAAAAAAAGCAGATTTATTTCGTGGATTTGTTCTTATTACAATTGCTGCTCAAAAATATAACCAAATAGACTGGATAATTACATCACATACCAGAATCATCCCTCTGTGTATATTAACCTTATCAAGATGTTTTACATAAAAAAGTTAATTTATGCGCTGTTGGTGTTACACGGGTGCTTGAAGCCCTTCGATTATTTTATACGAGGTATATTTACGTAAAATGCTAATCTGTGACTCGTCGGACTTTCCGCACCATTATCTAGCAAAAGTCAAGATAATGTATCTTTCTTTCTTTCTTTTACTTTATTTTGGATAAGCAAAGAAAAATGACCGTTTTACCACAAGACTATTTACGTACTTTAGGCTCTATCCGAGACAGATGTAAGCAAGTGTATGAAAAGTCTCAGCGTGGCGAATTGACTTGCTTTGATGTGGATGAAAGCGCGTTCCCTGCTATTGTGGACCATGTGGCTGCCACTACCACGCGTAGATACCCTCAGTTGGATCAAATTCCACCTCATTCAAGACTTCGTCACTTTGACCCTGCCCAGATGCAAACGCTTAAAGAGTCTTGGGATAAAGAAGAAATCGACCCTGTTGAACGTACACGTCGCTTGATTGATTTGGTCATTGTATCCGTCTTGGTTGATGCTGGTGCAGGACAACAATGGAAGTATAAAACTTCGGAAGGAGAATTCGTGGGAAGATCGGAAGGTCTTGCCCTGGCTTCGTTTGATATGTTTGTCGCTGGTTATTTCTCAAGCTCAAAAGATTTACCTGGCCGTGTCGATGGTAACTTTTTTTTTTTACTCACCCGTGAGAACTTTCTTATCAGAAATACAGGAACTGATTTTAAAGTTTATCTTTAGCCCAAGGACTGGACCAAGTATCCATTCAACGCATGACTCAAGGATTTCAAGTCACAGAAAGTAACCCCATGGTAGGTTTGGAAGGCCGCTCAAACTTGTTGAAACGTTTGGCTAAAGTGTTGGATGAACAACCAACATACTTTCCTTCTATCAATGAAGAGTCCCGTAGACCTGGTAATCTTGTGGGTAAGTCTCGTTTTTTTTTTTTTTTTTTTTTTGTTATTATTATTATTTGGGAGGTATAGTCTGCTGATGGAATCCTCCCCCCCCGCATTATTTGTTTCTTGTAGATTTCTTGTTGGAATCTGTAGAACATGATGAAAGCCATGCAAAGACCGTTCGTATTGAAAAGCTCTGGGAAGCTGTTATGAGTCTTGGGGAAATGTGGCCTGCGCGTGTAAAAATCAATGGCATTCAATTGGGTGATGTCTGGCCCTGTGCTGCACTTACAGATTTGGGCAACTATGAAAACCTAGTACCTTTCCATAAATTATCTCAATGGCTTACGTATTCCTTGATCGAAGTTATCGAAAGCTCGTTGGGTATTGTAATTGAAGGTGCCGAGTTGATGACGGGATTGCCAGAATATCGAAATGGTGGTCTTTTGGTTGATTATGGTCTTTTGACTTTAAAGCCATCGGTAAAAGCCCGTGGTACTGTGGAAGGCAAGGAATTGCCTGAGTTCGAAGGCTCAGATCCTGCTGTGGTGGAATGGCGTGCATTGACTGTCATCTATCTTGACAAGATTAAGGCTGAATTGGAAGTAAGATTGGAACAAAAATTGGATCTTGCTCAGATTTTGGAAGGTGGTACCTGGATGGCTGGTAGAGAAATTGCTGCCAAGCTGAGACCTAAAGATGGTGGACCACCTATCGTCATTAAGGTAAGACTTTTAAAGACATTAAATCTGCTTAATATATATATATTTATATTTTTTATTTCTGTAGAGCGATGGTACCATCTTTTAAAATATTTATATAGCGTATAAAAAAAGCGTATTTTTTTTTTTTTTTTTTTTGGTTTTGAAATAAAAGATTGTTATGTTTTGTTATAGACTCACAAAAAATTAAAAATAAAAAAATTGCAAAGTATACCACATATTTTCGGAAGCAATTCCAAAAAAAACACAACATTTCTGATTCTGTGCTTTAACATAAAAGGGCTACCTTGCTTCATAGACTCATGTCAGAGATAAATGTCGTTGTGCATAGTATCATATGGAAAAGAAACGCATCCTCTAATGACTTTTATCTTCCTCGCAACGCACATAGTAAATACACAACAGCACATGGGCATATCCCCCTTCGACCCCCTAGATGTTGTTTATATCAAATTGAACTGACCATATATTTATACTAACAGGCGCAATACTCTATTAATATAGCCTATACCAGATTAAAAAAAATAAACAGACAACACCCTATTTCATGGACGGTATATGAAAATGTGTTTGTTACCGGCATTTTGTAAACAAGTGGCGGGGAACAATACATACGTATAATTGCATTCCTAAAGCAAAGCATTCCTTCCCTTGTGGTTAACTAGACTTGCGAAAAGTAAATGTATATAATCACCTCTTCATATTCTCTTCTCTTCACTCATTTCGCCTATAAACTCTTTTCGTCACATACATCATGAAATCGATTAAATGGTCATTATTTTTTATATCCACATTGTTACTGCATAAAGCTACAGCTCAATCATTTGATGACCCATTAACGTCATTAAATAATGCGATTGGAAATGACATCAAGAATATGGCGCTAGAGGTTCCCTCCTTCAAGGCAGATACTAAAAAGAATGTAAGTTTTAGCCCACTCATAATTTTTTTTTTAAAAAAAAAAAAAAAAAAAAAAAAAAAAAAAAAAAACCTATGCTCACATACTAAATGTTTGTTTTATACAGAAAATTGACAATATGGTATTATATTGGGGACAAGGAGATTTTGGTGAAAAAAGACTATCTTTCTACTGTGAACAGGAAGGTGTTTCAATGGTTATTCTCAGTTTTGTTGTGGACTTTATTGGAGGGCCTAGAAAATCACCCGTCCTGAATTTATCTGATAACTGTAACAATGTTGAAAATTGTGTTGAAGCAGCGCGTGACATCAAATTTTGTCAGAGCAAGGGCATTAAAGTGTTAATGTCTGTGGGTGGTGCGGCAGGTCCATATCATAAGCAATCTTGGGATCCAGATCTCTTTGCTTGGTGGATGTGGAACAAGTTTTTAGGTGGTACTGATAAAACCGTGGCAAGGCCATTTGGTGATATAATTCTTGATGGTGTTGATTATGACCCAGAATGTACAGTATAAATTACCGTATCATTTATAAATGTATCACTAAAGATATTTTAAAATCATTAGCTGTGGACGGTATCGGTTACGATCGTCATATTGACACGCTTCGTCAGTTATTTAAAACACAATACCCACCTCGCCAATATTTAATTACAGCTGCACCACAATGTCCAGATTTGGATTACTACCCGAAAAATGCAGCTTACAATATCCTTCATCCTGCGCCCAAATATGACTCATACCCTGACATGGTCTTTGTTCAATTCTACAACAATTATTGTGCCGCTTCAAATCATAAGAACAAAAAGACGACCAACTTCAATTTCGATGTCTGGGATCAATGGTCTCAACAACGAACAAAGGGACGTACAAAGATTTATCTTGGTCTACTGGGTAAAGAAAATCATATGGACACAGGCTATGTAGGGTATGAAAAATTGACGGTTATTCTGGATGATATCCGTCGACATAAAAGTTTCGGTGGCGTAATGCTGTGGGATGCAGGATATGCGTATGCAAACCCAGTGCCATACTTGAGAGGTCTAACGTATGGTCAAGCCACGGTCAAATACTTACAACAACTTACCATCGGCCCTTCAAGAACAGCTGCTGCTTTTGATAGCATCAACTTGGCCTTCAAAAATCACGGTGTACCCATTTTGGTTCCTATTAATATCAATAGTACAGATGTCATCGGCCCTGAAGTGCCTTGTCCTGGCCAATCGTTCCTCTTATTACGTTCCGTAAGTGGTCGTGTTCTGGCTGAAAGCTTCGGTGCACCCCCAGACCTAGTTGATCAGCATCTTGAAAGTCTGGGCATGGATGGTGATGATCCAATTAATCCCGGTTCCCGTATTTGTATTAACCCACTCGGTGATTCAGTGACTATTGGTTTTGTCTATAATGCTACCTTTTCTGATGAGCCTGAGTTACAAGACCTTTACCAATTAGACTAATATAAATAAATAAATAAAAAGATTGGGAGTTTTTTTTTTTTTTGAAGTATATACACATATATAAAAAATGGCATAATAGTGCATGCATTTCACTCCCTAAAAAAAAGAAAAAATTAAAAAAGTTGAAAAAAGTGTAACAACAAAAAGTCTGCAGGTGGTGATGATATGATTATTATTATTGTTATTCCACTTTAACATTTTATTTATTTATTTATTATTGCTCATCATGTTATTCTATCAGCTCCTTTTTCTTTTTCGCAGCTATACATTTCTATTAATACAAGAAATGATGTTTTTTAAAAAGATATCGAAGAAGGCGGCTGTCAAGAAGGCAGAAGCCGCTCTCGCCGCAAAAAAAACTTCAGCTTCGAAACCATCTCCAGTTTTGCAACCAGCTCCACCTTTACAAACACCTTTACAGTCTCAACCACTTCCGACACCACCATCACCACCACAACAACCTCTTTCCACACCACCTCCAACCGTCACCCCAATCCCAGACCCTCCAAAGCAAGAGGAAGCTGAAAATCAGACACAGTTAGATATGCCTATGATCGACTGCAGCCCAGTTGAAATAATACATATTGATCAAGAGCCACAAATTGAACACACTCCAGTTTCTGATGATACGAACACGATTGATGCCGTTTTAGCTACATCTGCAACTAAAGATGACAAGGATACAACACATGTAGATAATGAGAATGATAGTGTTCCTAAGGAGGAAGCTCCGTTAACACCATCTAACTTAGACACCATCGACATCCAGAAGGACCTGGAACCATGCACTTTACCAAATGTTGAAGAAATTAATGAAAGGTAATTAATCTTCTTTCATTCGTGAGTTCTGTTAAATTTAGATATTGATTACTTTATTATATTTTTCCTATCTTTTTTAAGTGTAAATGCGGGTGTTTCCTCCTTGGCAGATTCGGAAGGAGAGGAAATTAGGTCGGTGCCTGATATTACAGAATTAAGAACAGAAACGATCGTTGAGAAGGCTCAAGAGGCTGAGGAAGTGGATTGTGATAGTGTTCATAGTACCGAGAAAAATGAGAAGGATATTGTATTCATAGAATATTCGGAATCACTTCAAGAAGAGGAAGCAAAAGATTTGGCTGAAGAGAATACCCCTTTTTCAGGGAATAGCCAGCCGTTACTAGAACAGAGTAGCCCGACCATCATGGCAGAGAAAACATGTGATTCTCCAACTTTACCACCTCATGTCTCGGAATTTGAAGACTTGGATGTTTCCGAGCCCAACGAGAATGAAAACAGCAGTATCAAAAACATGGCAGAGGAAGAGTCTCAAATAAGTAAAGACAATTCAGTGGAGTCACCACCTGAAACTGTAAACTCCTTAGAAATAGCCTCGCATCAACAGGAACCAAATTTAACTTTAAATCAAGATTTTTCACCAACATTACCACAGTCAGAACCCGTTGTAGAAACTTCTGATATAAAGGCAGAAGAACAAGAGAGTGTAGTTACCCCAGAACTTTTAAGAGACTCAGTTGAATTAGAGACAAAGACTACTCCTGTGGTTTGGGCCAGCAAAAGAAACAAGAAGAAATCGGATGTGATTGTCAAAAGAAGATCCGGTCACTCCTTAATTCCAAGGAAACAGTATACATCCGTAACGGAGGAGAATTCTGTAGCTATTATGTCTAAACCAGTCAATCTTGTAACAACACCCAACCATAACGAATATAATACCAGTCGACGAGGATCCTCAGGCAGTTTCATACCCACATTTCAACAACAGAATCGACTGTCCTTGATTATCTCCGAAAATAATGCTAATTACAAGAACTGGGGCCCTTCATCTTTTGACTCACCTCCCAAATCACCCAACTCCCCACTTTCGAGTACAAGTACTAGTAGCAGTGGAAGCAGCGGAGCAACTACAAAAGAGAAAAGATCATCCATGAAAATAAGTCGGTCAAACGCAGCAAACATTCTGCAGCATAGTAAAATACCAGTGGTTACAGTAGCAGCATTACAAACAATGAATTATACTCCAAAGTTCTCCGCAGCGAATCCTGACAATTCCAGTAAACTGCCAAAAAGGAATTCAGCCAATCTCTAATTCCTACTCCCCTCCTTTTTTTTCTTTTTGCTTTTTTTTTTGGTTTTTCGTTACATAAAATAACTCGACGCTAGTTTATAAATAATAAATAATCCGAATATATACAGAACATATTATTAGACTTGGACATATATGTATCATGTGCTCCATGCATACATGTTGAATATATCTGTATGCAACTATTTGGCATGATCGCTTGACCATAGAGAAACCACGGTTCAAGAATCAAATGAATCAATATTAACATTATCAAAGGTGATTTAATCACAAGACCCAAGCAGAGACTTTCCAACCAATCGATATGTCTGTTCATCATGTTTTAATAAAAGACCCTAAGCTATAAAAGGTCTGTTTGATCATTTATAAATTGCTTGCGTTTGATAGTATAATATCATGCATAAGGGGATTACATAATTTGAATCATTTATTTGTCAATGACACACCAATCCATGGGAACCATTACATTTGACAAGCCTAAAAAAATACGAATAATTATGCTGTAACATCCAATATATTAGAAACACAAACACAGCGCCAAGACATAAAACACATTTCCAAAAAAAAACCAACCACAAAAGAAAAAAAACCTTCTGCAAGTGAAAGTAAGTAATGTAACAACCATTCGAAATTAATAGCAAGACAATGTTAAACAAGACAATTTATTGAAATTAAGGACACACAACAAAAATCACAAACAAACAAACAAACAAACAAACGAAATTCTATTTATCATACATGACGATAATGACGGGAGGAGCCAAAAGATATACACCTGTCACCATTTCCACTACCTATTTTTATCCATTAACCAGTATACCACCCATCAAGACCCTAAATTTGGCTCCTCACCTATAATTCATCATCGCATCATCGCGACGCAGGCATTATCCTGGTCCGCTAGATAAGGGTATAAATCTCAGCCATAACAGCTACTTTTCTCGTGAAAGAAAAAGAAGACCGAAAGGCACCCCTTGATGCAATAGACGAAATATAAAAAAAAGGCCCGACAAAAAACCATAAGAGTCCCCTCCCTTGACTGAGATATGCAGAGTTTCGTCCTTCCCCGAGAGAGAGCTCCTACAGCCCTTGTGAACCTATTTATTAGAAGAAAATGTAAATTGATGTTAGTTATACTTTAACCATTGGATTCCAACCAGCGCGCATCACCCGTAAGGCCAGACAGAATAATCCACCTACAGCCATTAAGAGCCCGCCCCAGACAGCGGCATAAACATAATTAGGCGGTGTACTACGATTAACAATGGCTGAAGCAATAGGTGTACCGAATAGATATCCAAAGGTGTTTGTGAAATATAAGAGCCCGTTGGCTGCAGCTATATTGTCATATCCCGCAACTTGAGGAAGCGATGCTGGGAATAAAGTCAAGTAGCCCCCACCAAAGAAGCCATAGAGAACTGCGAAAACCCAGATTGTAGCTTCAGTACGAGCGTTCGTCCATATAGCAAGACTCATGACACCGGCCAAAAAAGTGCAAATAAACAAACCATTGATTCGACCGATACGGTCACTTGTAAACCCATTTGCTAATTTTGAAACAGCATTGATAGCCGACATGATGGCTGATAAGTTTGTACCCACCCAAGGATTCAAGTTTAAAAACTTTGCATAGGCTACAGCAAAAGCAAAAGTGCATTAGCAAAAAAGCAAAAGAGAAGGTCAAAAGGTGACTTGTAGTACTTACATGGTAAAAGGAAAGACGGCACAAGGTATCCAAAGGTTGTAGCAAAACCAACCAGTAACAAAATATTGAATTGAGAATTTTTCAACAACACCTTTTGTTTTTTGAACATTTCTAAGAGGCCCTCGTTATCCTGATCTTGTTTCAATTGTTTCGCCAATTGAGCCGGTGATTGTCTCACAAAAATAGTAGCAAGGATCAAAAAGAAAAAGCAAATAAATCCGGCGATACGAAGAGACCAACGATAATCGAGATTCAAGATGGCTGCCTGACAGATATTAGAGATGACAAGACCACCAACTCCAGACCCGCACATGGTGATACCAACAGCTGTACCTCGGCGACTGGAGAACCATTCTTGAGGAGCTCCGATACAAGGAAACCAAGCAAACGATGCCCCGATGCCAAACATGACTCCTTGAGTCAAATACAAGTGCCAAATCTAATAGCGTATTAAATTACTTTAAGTATCCGACAGTAATGATCAAAAAAAAAAAAAAATCTGGTGTTACCTCATGACTAATACTGGCTAACATCAAAGCAAGGGGGCACAAAACTGTGGCAATGGCCAGCATTTTTGTATAACCAAGTTTTCGGACAACCCATTCATTGACCGGACCAATGATAAAATAAAGTGAAATACAGATGGATCCTATCCACGACAGCTGATTCATCTCCCCAATATAGACGGATTCGTTGTAGTTGCGCAAAAATAAACCCCAGGAATAATTAACACCATAACTATGGAAACAGATTATTTTTAAAACTTGTATTTTTTTTTTATAAATATGAAAAGTGACTTACATAGCAAACATTCCCTAAACAAAGATATAAAAAAAAAATAGATATAAAAAAAAATAGTTAATAAATTGATGGGTCAATCAGATTTCATCTATTACGCAAAAAGATCCGAAAACAACCGTCCAAGCAGCTCGACCACCATCTGGAGCATCTAACAAACCAACCTCGCCGTTATGGATAGTTTGATTGTCATCATTTTCTAGGTGACTGGAAGTTGATATTTTTTCATCCATTTTGTAAAAAAAAAAAAAGAAGCAATATAGTGTTTCTGTGGTTTTTGACAAAAATGATACACTTGAAAAGTAATGAAGTAAAAATAGACTGTTGTTTTAAAATAATTCATCCTTTTATATTGCACAATCGATCTGGGTTTTAATGATGAGTTTCTTTCCCGCCTTGAGTTTAATGAATTCTACTCGTTAGAATTGACTTCAGTTAACGTTGTCCCATATAAGTGGATCGGGAGCATTTAAGTATTGTAATAGATACCTAGTGCACTGTGCGGCAGTAAAAAAACATGATCCGTGATGCAAGTACGGTGGTGATTCTTGGTGATGATACAATGCTCGGCAGTACTGGTGCTTGATGATGGCCAGGTAAGAGTGTCTCGTCTTCGCACACCTTATGCTGATCGACGGGACCTATGTCGAATACTTAGAACACCTGTTATCAATCCAGATGATTTTCAACCCGCAAAGCATTATGACCTGAGAGCAGTAGAGAATATTGCTGGGGCCCGGTACTCTCAATTTTACTTTTAATTTATGAGTAGTTATCTTACTTTTTAAACTAGGATTGATATGATGTGCTCTCCACTGAATACTATTGTCACTGAACGTAATGAGCGAACAAGTGCTATAGATGGTGTTATTTTGGTCATCAATAACCTATTGAGACCATATAATGGTTATTGTCCATACAAGATGGTAACTTTTAAAATTCGATGTATAAATGAGTCTTGTTCATTGGTCTGTAATCATAGGATTGAAGTCGAGGATGGAGAAACATAAAGACACAAATGGATGGTGTTGTAAGGATTTTAGATGATGAAGCAGCAGTAATGCTGATCGAATTTGAAGGAGGGTTTGTCGATGATGACCAACACAAACTGGAGAACGATACTACCAAAATATATCGCAATGCCTCAAGATTCATCAATAGCAGTAATAGTAGCTCCGAAAACCCACCAAGTATTTTTGTTGTGATCAACTATCATTCAATTGGTTGATAGGGATCGACAAAACCTTTGAAACCCTTTAAAAACCTTTCGAAATTCTCACTCTTGTCACTGACCGTGCATATGTAAGAGCCCGCACAGCAACGTTGGATGTCCCCTGTTCCCCGAATGGCCTCAGAACTGCTATGAAAAGGCTTCCGACTGTTTTTGCTTGGTGAAATATGGTCATTGCATCAGTCAAAACACGGTCCTCTTTGATAATTCTAATCTCGAAACCATGCCTGTCCTCTTACCACCCTAAGCAAATATTTGCTTTCATACATCATCGTCTACCTATTTCACCATCATCCACCCATCTCATTATTGTCTGCCCATCTTATTATTGCCTGCCCATCTTATCATTAGGCCTTCATACCAAGGCCGTCCAGACGGTTTTTAGGCGTTCGGGCGGTTTTTGCTCCAAAAATGATTTTAGCAATTTATATCCATTTGTACAACAAACTAGACGTATTTCTAAAATGCCAACACGCTTAACTATCTGCTTTTTACTGTTTTGTGAATTAAGATTTTCTTTTTGAGAAGAAGGTCGAAGTGCAAGACATGGAAGAGAGTCGGTCCTGCACTTTCGGGTCGAACGATTTATTTATAAATTGAGAACCTATAATAGGAAATCAAAATCGTCCGGACGGTCTTGGTGTGAAGGTCTATTGTCTGTCCATCTCATCATTATATATACGGAAAAGTAAACAACTAACGCCTATAAAGAAGCCAGCTGTCACGCCGTTATCACTCAGTTGCCTAACGGCTAGGTTATCCTTGTGGGTGTATAAGCTCGTATGCTATCTGGTGGTCAAAAACAGCGTATTGCAATTGCCCATGCTAGCTTGAAGGATCCTTCAATTTTGTTAGTAGACAAAGTAAATTATCACTTATTACCCTTGCATCATCGTTTTTCATTGAAACTAACATTTTATTAAAGGCTATCTCGAGATTATGAAAGAAAGCCAACGCTGAAAGTAGTGCGGATTTTTGTGGAATTTGTACTGTTACCGCTTTAAATAAGCAATCTTACTTTGAGGATTGCTACTTTCATGCTATTATGCTACTGAACGTCCCCATAGACTTGCCGGACAAAAGGCTTACTTTCCATCTATTGGTTAAGGACTCAGTCTTGTAAGGGTAGTTACGCAAGCGCCGTTGGCAATGGCACCATTACTTTCCAGCAAGTGTTTACAACAATACAAGGCGAATCCCTCCTATGCTTAATAACCTTCCCTAACTATTTTATAGCTGTTGTGATTGCGTCTGAATCTGCTGGAGTGAGTAGTGTTTTTGCTAGAACTTTTTCTAAAGCTAAATATTCTGCTATTTTGAGAAAATTCGAGAGATAAAATAGTGAATTAAGAATAAAAATAAGAAATTTGACGAAGTAAAATTATCAAACTGCAAAAAATAAACTAAGGTCTCTATTATACAATAAATTGGGTTCTTTATATACATATTCAGGGCTGGCTGAATATCAATCATTAGAGTAAAACCTGTCAAATATACAATAGGCGTATTGTCAATTGAAGATCGAGCATCTCATGGTGCCTTCGAGAATCTTGTTATTGATGAGCGATCATATCATTGGATTGAGTATTATCTGGAATAAATGTATGACTATTGTTTTCTATATATTGATGAGTAATCAATGCGTAGTAAATAGAGTGTAATAGCATGTATTTAATTTAAAAGTAATGCAATAATGATTTATAGAAAGGTTTATCAAAGAAGAAAGAATTGATGAAAGAGTTATATTTGTATATCAGCTCGATCACAACATATTTCGACTTTTGATGTTCTTGGGTCAAATTCCTAAAGACGTATCAAGATGTAGTGAAAAGATCTACCTCAGTTTTATGAAAATTATCGGTCAAAACTACAAATTGTTTTCCAAACAAACACTTCTAGTCCTTAAAATTCTAAATCCTTCAATAGATAAATTTTCTTATTGTTTTAAGTATCCGTTTTTAACGCATCTGTATTTAAAATCATTTCTAGAAGACAGAAGTTGATGTGGTGATCCACCTACTGTTGTTATCAATCACACCATAAAACAATACTAAATTAAATCTCATTTCATCATCCCATACATTATTACATCACAACACGAACTAATTTCTTATACACACATTATATTATATCCAACTACAAACACTATTTTAATGCCGTGTAACTTATCCATCAAACTAAATTTAAAATCCGATTTATCTTAACGTATATAAATATGCAAATTGATAGTTAGAATAGGATCATCTGAATCTTTTAATTTACTTTTACTCTTAATAAACTCTATAAGCAGTCTCAAAGTATTCTATTGCTTTTACATTTATCTTTCTATCCTTAACTATCACAGTTGAAGCAGATTGTGAATTGCTTAAAAAGTATTTTTAAATACTACAATAGTAATAATTATCAATTAAATCAATGATAAACGTGTTGATAATTTTAGTAATTTATTTTAAAAGCAAGCTCATGTTTCTCTCAAAATATTTGCTTTTTTTTTATAAAAAATTGCTATTGTTTCTGGAGTTTTGTAGTTACTTCAAGTTTAGATTGCAAATCAAGTTGGTGGTACAATGTAAAAATGGTCTTGATCGCTGCAAATACGTTTTCCGTTAAGTTAGGTTATTAGCTATATTCCAGAATATTATCATCGAGGGAATCTCCTAGAAGACTTTTTGTTACTATAAGGAATTAGTATGAAGAACCCCGGGAAACTATCAAGGTTTACAATCTTGATCCATTTTTTATTTAGGAATACTTAGACAACCCTTTTATAAATATCCGCACTCGTGTTACCCGAATTAACCTGTGCATACAAGTGCTTGTTATTCACGACTCCTTAGAGTTTTTTTTATTTTATTTTTTTTATTTTTTATTTTTTATTTTTTATTTTTTTAAAAAAAAAAGATTGAACGCAAAAGAAAGTCAGGGAATGTATTTGTTAATTACGCAAGGTTAAAAATTTATTGGTATTAGTATAATATTATTAGTAAATTAAAAAGTGTGTGAGAGGGATGTTTTGTAAAAGAAAAGAAAAAATAAGGTGGAATAAACTATTCGCACATGACACACTCGCCATAGCCGTTATTAAGAGCCAAGTTACAATTATCGAATAAGGCATTTGAACCTTGACTACCATTACCCCACCAGTCAGGCGTGTAACCTGAACCGACAACCACAGCAAACACAATAAGGGTACTGAAAGCAACACCAGAATCGAAAGCAGCAGATGTAACGTAGTTATATTTGATCCACCATTCAAATCTGTATCTACGTAACCAGAACATGAAGATGAAACCAGCGGCGAACCACATGGAGTAATTAAGAGGAACAGCAGGAGGCATCATACCAGTAGAATTGAGGATAATGGGAATATGGACATACTTGACCCAACTGTTAGGATATCTCTTGGAGTAGAAGTAGAAGGGAATAGGAAGAAGTAAACCAATCAAGAAGAACCAAAGTGTGGGATAGTAAGGAGAGGAAGGACCGAACATTTTCTCAGGACCGATGGCACCCCAGATAACAGAAGCGGAATAGAAAGTCTTGGCAGAAGGACAAGTGAAAGGATGACCTGCGGGGGTACACACATCCTTAACAGTGTCCAAAATCCAATTAGCAGTAATCAAATTCATAAGACCGGCAAGACCGGTACCGACAAGCTGAGTCCAGAACATAGCCTTAGGAGGGATTTTGGTATAATGACCAAGCTTGAGATCACTAACAAATGCAAGACATTGGTAAAGAGAAATATAACCGTAAGTCTTAAAGGTAACATTGGCAATGGGATGACCAGGAAGGGCATAACCAATAATAAATTCAGTGACAACGTTGAGACCGGGTTGTTGATTGGTGATAGATTGAATAATACCGACGGGGAGTACGAAGATGACAGCCAAAGCAACAGCGAGAATAAGACCCCACCAAGGAAGGTAAATGGGCCAGACATAAATAACAGCAAAAGAAACACCGAATGAAATGAAGAAGACAGCAAGATACCACCAGTGGGGAACTTCGGGATAAGCACGCATTAACTTTTGATGAATATCCTCATTTTTGTTTTTGTTACGAGATTCTCTGAATTGTCTAACAATTTCCTTACGGTAGTATAAGAAACAATGAGTTAAGACACTAGTGACACCAGCAAAACCAATACCGTAGGTGAAGGCAAAGAAGGTGGTCATACGAAGAGGACCATAGATTTCATACTTGGCAGGATCCAAGATACTGTTCTCATCCAAGACAAGACTGTTATCCCAGATCTCACCCTTGGCGTTAAACAATTGAGCAGTTAAGATAGGGAATCTCTTAGCGTCCCAAACATTAGAGTAATAAAGAATAGGAACACAGACCCAAGCAATCAAAACAAAACCAAAACAAATATTAGCAATGGCCCAGAAAGGTACAACTAAAGGAGAACCCAAGAAAGAGGTGAAAGTAAGCCAATCAAAAGAGAGGGCAAACATACCCAAACCATTGTTACCACCGGTAAGTTGAGCCAAAACTTGGTTATCTTGCTTAATATAGCAAACCCAAGAGAAGTAGGTCAATACTTGGAAGAAGTAACCAGGGAGCCAGTAGTAGACGAACATGCCGGCGAAACAGTAAGAGAACCAACGAAGACGAGAAGGGCCAGCAGTGGCTTTTTGAGGATCGTGGAAAGAACGGAAAAGAGCAATATTTGACAAGTTACCAGGCCAGACCATTTCAGCGGGGTATACAAGGTAAGGACGAAGCAAACCGGCCATACCATAACCTAAGAACTGGGTGGTCCAAATCAATAACAGACCGCCACCATAACCCAAGTTTTGATTATAGAAAATACGTTGGATGACAACAATATCTACAGCATAAGCAGTACTGTAACTACAATTGGCCATGACGGTAATCAAAACATGTTCCTTCATGTTAAAAGGTCCAGGATTCCAGAATCTAGACTTGGGAATAACTCTTGCCATGAATTTACCGAGAGGGTAAGTGATAATTTGGATAACAAGAGGAGAAACTGATAAAGAATTGTTTCTGAACCAGAAAAATTGGTTGACAAAACTAAGCACCAAACTGAAGACGATACCTAAGAACCACATACGGAAGGTATAAATAGGGAGAGTTGAGTCATCAGTGCTATAAAAGAAAAAAGAGATACATTTATTAGTACAAGTTATGATAAAACACTATTTTGTAGGTATTTACTTTAATACAATAGCAGCAACTTCTTCAATAGGGGAATCATCAAACTTGGCTTCAGCTTCTTCAAACGTGTGCTTCTCGGCATCTTCAAGAATATGTTGATCTGTAAAGAATTCTTCGGCCTTTTCAGAGGATTCGACCTTTTCAGAGGTTTGAAACTTTTCAGATGTCTCGACTGTTTCTGTCGTAACATATCTTTCCTCTTTATAATCAGAGGATACACTGGTTCCAGCCATGTTTTATACTATTAAAAAAAGGAAGGAAAAAGTGTAAATTATTTAAAATATAGAATAAGGATAATGGAATACAAATTTTGACTTTTTTATTTTATTTATATATGCCATAAAATAAAGTTGGGCAATATTTTTTTACCATATTTAGACACTTAAAAAATGGATCACAAGCTCCTTGTACGCCCACTGTTTTTGGTGAAAAACACCTAAATAAGATACTGAGCTTGTAAAGGTGTTAAATAAATAATGTCAATTGAATATCACAACCAGACGTTATACGTCTAACATTTCTCATTTAAAGGTAAAACAATGAGTTATTGGAGTAAAATTATTAAATATAGATATATTATCAAAATATAGATTAAATACTGTTCAACCAAAAGGGTTATTTTAACTAAAACAGTCAATGTTACTATCTGTGGGTAACCGATCATCTGCCTGATAACCGAAATAACGCCAAATACATCAAGTAAATCAAAAGGGTGTAACTCTGAGTTGTGCAAATTTGTATCCAGAACCCTAATGACTTTATAATACCTTTTTGGTATTTTCTGCCTAGTTAAGTCTATCTATGATCGAAAGGTGAGTCGATCCTGATTTTGTGATTGCGCATGCTCTCATATTCCCCTAATTGATATCTCTGTGCTATTCTATCTTTTTTTTTGTGGAGATCGTTTTTGAAACACTGGCACCTCTCACATGTTTTTCTGCTCATTCACATTTTTTTGGCGGTCAATAAAACATAATTACACAAGGAACAGTCGCCGAAGTAATTTTCAAGATTGTGGTAAAACACAAAAAGTGCCTTTGCGTTTTTATTTGCACTCAGATTAGGACATTGGACATTTAACATGCATCTTAGTTATTTTTTGTCAGGTGATATCATGTCCATTTTCAGCAGAACTGGTCAATTGATTGGTTCCATTCCTCATCATTTTTTTTTTTAGATGATCAGTCCTCAAATTCATCACCGACTAGCATACAGTCATTCCAATACCATAATTTCTCTCAAAGTGCGGCTTTCATTTTCACCAAAGGTGGTTTTTTTTTTTTTTAATTTTGAGATTTTCATGGCATCTCCAAACACTTGTTGCTAACCATGACGCTTATCTATATGAAACATGCAGGGCACGTATGTTAAAAAGATTTCAAAAGGTGCGTTTAATTTACGTCGCCATATTTTAACTATCCACAAAAAATCAATGCCGCCTAAAGAGGCAGACGGCAACTACTTATCGTCATTAATGGATAAATCATTATGAAGGAGAACACGCCAGATGCTGTCCGTCTTGTTAGGCATGTCACTCTAATTTCGAATGGATAAAGAAGCATATGTCTACTGTCAGAGCAAAAACACCTTGTAAGACAGCAAATGATGGATGTAGTCGTCTCATTATGGAAGGATCGAGTAAAATCTTTGAGACAAGCATATGACTACTGGCAGGATCAACCAGATAACTATTATTAAATATTACCAAGGAAAATATCGATCATACTCAGGAGGATACGGTTAAAACTTTACATTCATCCATTGAAGTTTCGAACGCATTCGTGCGCCGTCATACTGCTGGTTCGTTATCGAGTCTTTGTACTGATTTATCATTTTCTCCGCAGTGTGTATGCACCACTATTACTCTATCGCACCACGAAAATAGACAATAACAACATTGTCAACTATATCCAAACCGAAGTACGGCATGCGGATGTTCCAAATACCCTCAATATTAGCATATCATGGATGGAAATTTTTGAGCTTGTTGCGTATCTGTTTACATCCCTTCGAGAGCAAGAAAGGATAGTACAAACGATAAAAAAACTCGGGGATTGCCAATGTCAAGGATACAGATCGTGCGTTGCATGTTTTATATGACATCAATGACTGACCTCTTCTATGAATAGTGTTATCATTTCAACCCAATATACCCCGTTTACCTTTTTCACTATTCCTATGTTTAACGAACTAAATACTTGTAAAATTTATTAATAAATGCAGTATTTACTAAGAGCCCTCCCCCCCTCTCTCTCTCACACACATACACACACACACATTTTGGAGTGCCCCCCCACGAACTTGATTTTAATGGCCGCCCTTAGGAACTGGAACGACTGTAGTGGAGACATGAAAGTTTTTAAGCAGACACTAACTTTATCGTAATCAACCCTGAAAGATAGTGCTGCCATCAGAAGGAGAAGAAGAAAAACTTTATCTAATCTGAATAAGGTGAAATGATAATTTATTACAAACATGGAAATATTAGTTATTTTTCGAGGTTTATTACACTTACTTGGCGATAATTGATACGTGTTACAAATGTAGTACTGCCTTGATGAGGGAAAAATACACAAAACAAGGTAATGTCGTACCTAAACAGCTTTTACTAATCCCATTTTCTCAAGGTCGCATGACAATTAATTTCTTTTTTAAAAAAAAATCTTGCAGAACCTGCTGTTATTCATTTGATAGAAAAATGAAAAACATTTAAAAACAACATTCGAACACCAGTTAAACATTAACCAATGATAAAAAATAAAAGCGGACTTGATGGTATGTTACACTGTTTATTATCTTCGTAATCGTAAAAAGAAGGCATTCTTACTGTATACGCTATCTGCTGGATAATATTTATCATAAAAATTTACAATAAATTCCTCAGGCTTAAAACCAAATTTTTGATACAAAATCTATAAATATGAAAAAAAAAAGGTATTTTAGTAATATGAATTACATGAGCATTTAATAAGCATTTATACCATGGCATTATTATTAGCAGAAACATGAAGTGTAATGTCTTTACTGATTGCAGTCTGAAATAGATGGTACAACATGAATCTAAAATTAAAAAACCCTGCTGTTAAAATTTTCGTGTGATTCTGTTATCTTTTTTTTTTCTCACACACTTACTGTCCTATGCTAGCATTTCCCCACCCTTCATCTACAGCAAAATAGGTAATATATGCTTCGGGAGTCATAAAAGCACATCCAATGACATGACGCTTGTACAATGCAACAATACTAAACTCCGGGAACAGGAGAGACTCAGATACATCAATTCCTTCCCAAAAAGACCTACTTAAGAGTTGATTCACTTGAGCCAAATGTTCCTTCTGAAAGTACACATAATCGATGCTCTCGCCTGGTATAACGCCATCTGCCTTTTTCCCCTCTGAAGGTTTACCTTGACATGCCTTGATTTGACCCATTAATAACATACGCTTTGGTTTACTTTGGTAATCACGTCGAATAAAAGGTCGCAGTTTACGTCCATTCCAAGAAGAGAGCCACGGTTCTTCTCGTGTAATAGTTTCACGTTGACGAATGGAACCAAATAACCGGGAAGCGAATGATGATGAATAAGGCGTAAAAGTAATTTTGTCCAATAGATGCTGCTGGTCATCTGTCGCCTGATCCTCTTGTTGATTGGATGCCGGAGTTATGATAGTTTCCTTAGAGATCGGCTCCAATGCATGTTTAGGAGTTCTTAATAATTGTATAATTTGTGTATCCATGTCAAATAACTTTATTCCCAGATTCCGCTTGAGTCGTCGAACGGCCAATTTACGCTTATACCGACATGCTGCATACGGTAGTTTTTTTGATGAGTGCTCTAAACGTTGTAATAAGGACCATTCCTCTTGGGCTGAAAGATGCTGATTAAATATCCCCCCTGAGGCTGGCACCGTGTTTGTCTGTTTTGATAATTCAATTGGCTTCTCCTCTTTCAAAACGGGCGAGTCCATTGTTATATCATCATCCATTGACGGAGGTAAGGATGGTTGTGTATATGTGGGTAATGTTTCAATATGCGTTGTTTCTGGCTGAACATCTGATACCAGTTTGGGTTCTGCCGGTGGTGGTGGTGATGATGGTGGCGGCGGCGGTGATGGTTGTGTTTGTTGTGGTTGTGGTTCTGGTGGCGGTGGCGCAAATGTTTCAGGCGCTTCTGGCGATTTGGATGTATGAGGTTTAGATGGAGATAATATTGGAGAAGTTTGTTTAGGTGCAGGTAATGATGGTATGACGGGTGACGATGGTGGTGGTGGTGGTGAAGGAGATTTTTGTTCCTGCTTCAGAACATACGTAGGTCTCGCCACAGCGACTATATTCTGTTTCTTTTTCTTGGGTGGTTTTACATCTTCATCGCTAGATAATAACTCGTCAGCAGAGGAAAGTTCTGATAGTGAACTTAGATCCAATAGATCAGGATCTGGCACCTCTTTCTTTACTTTTTTAGGCTTTTTTGGTGGTTTTGTGATTTCATTCTCTGGCTTTGTTCGTTTCAATGGTCTTTTGATATTCGCTTTAATTCTGGTTGCCGATTTGGATCGTTTTTCGTTGGAAGGCGGTTCAACCTTATGCAGCGTCCACCAAGCTGCAATGCACAACAATAAAAAAAAATTAATTATTCCATAAAAAGAACATATTGGGATTATATATTACCACTTTGATGAAGCTTCTCGAACCCAGAAAGAAAAAGGTTATTGTGTGTAGACAGAACACTTGCAATTGTATTATTCCAAGTTAACGATCCTATTAAAGAAAGCCTTGTTAATGTACACGGAGATATTCATGGGTTTGAACTGATTTTACTTTGCTTGTCAGGTACTAGATAGTCCCAGTAATCATCTATAAATGCACACACATCCTCTTTCCACCTAAAATAATAGTGCTCTCGTCTATCCTTTTCCTCTTTTTTAGAGTCTTCCACTTGTGCTTTTTTGATGAGGTTGTAAATGACTAGATGTACTATGGCGATCCAACTAAGTCCCTTTCTTTCAAATGTTTCCGGTCCTTGATTACAGACAGAGCAATTAAATGTTCCAAACGTATCGCCGTATAACAATGGCTTTACCATGCAACTAATGCAATCTAAAATCAACGTGTAAGGGCGACATTCGTGAAGACTTCTTTATAAAATTTTTACCTCCATGAAACAATTGACGACATTTTTCACAGCGAATGACGGGCTGATCGCTTCAATTATTGAGATTAGTAAAGATAAAAAAATAGTGGTGTTTATGGGGACATACTCGTTTATGTCTTTACCGCAGTAGCAGTATTTATTTTCAGTGTTTCTTTTATGATCACTATCCCAAGTTAAAGAATCCAACTAGGTAAAGATTTGTTAGTATTTTTGCCGAATCTCTGCCAGGCTCCCAATGTTACATTGTAAGGAAACTTTTTTTCAGTCATGTTGCGAAAAAATAAAAAAAAAAAGTGCGTGCAAATAACACCTGAGCCTGAACAAAATTTGGCTACATTTTTTTTTTTTTTTTTTATCATTTTTTTTTGGATATTTTTCTGACTGTTCTAGAAGGTAAAGAGTTATGCATGATGCAGTAAGATATTTCTACGCCCAGAGTGCGATTGGAAACCATATTTTAATGTTATCGGGTGCATTACATCAAAATGCTGGTTCTTATCTATACTTTTTTTTAACGTTAGAAATGTGTCGACACTATCGAGACGGGTTGGAAAACGAATTGGGTGTATACATATATTTATAAAAACAAGCAGGTAACCAAGAGCTAAATTGGACATATTTTCAATAGGATAAAAGTGAAGAACATTATATCTGCATTGATTAGAAACAAGGCTGGCGATAAAGATAAATGAAATGGTTTAATTCTTCTGCACATGACTAGGGTGTATCCATTCTATGTACATCTAAACCCAGTACCATGGAAATCAAAAAGTAAAAAAAAAGTTACAGTAATAGAATATGCATTTTTTGATCCATTTGTGACACCTAAAAAATGATATCATGACCCAAAAAGTGTTCATGGGAAATAGTGTAGAAATCACATTTATCCTATTTTAGATATTTGGTGATTAAAAGAGCGACAGGCAAGAGAGAAAAAAAAAATAGGTTTTATTGAATCAATAATGAGGAGGTGGAGGTGGAGGCAAATGTTGGGGTGTTAATTGATGGGATGGAGGAGGAGAAGAAGTAGGCTGAGGGTAATTTTGTGGATAAAAATATGATATTTGATTAGGACGGTATGAGGAATAAGGATGATTAGGCGAAGTGTGTGGTATTTCTTGTTGATATCGAGTACCACTATTACTATGATTATTTGTGGTATCCTGATATAGATTTGACTCTTTATTCACATAATAAGGACGGCGATCTGTTTATCGTCCGAATTGTAAGTCTCTATTATAAGCTAGTATTATAAAGTCCACTTACCTGCCGGTATCGCCGTACTGCTACTACTACTGCTGCTAGCCTCCTGCGTATAATATCTACCATGTTCTATAATCGGCGGAGTCCAACTGGATTGTTTTGGTGGATATGTTACATAGTTGGAAGTTGTGTCGTTATTTTGTGCTACTCTGGCCCTTTTAGCTCCTGCTGGAAGAAACTTGCTTGTGGATGGTGTATTGTTATCATTCTCATTGACACTGCTGGTTTCTTCCGTATCGCTTATCTTACTGAGTTTTCTTCGTTGTCTCAATTCTTTTCTAATTCGGATTTTTAGACCTTGATCTGCAAATGATCTTGACAAAAAGGTGGATTCTTCCATTCCTGGAAACCTAGGTGAAAGAGTTGCATTAGATTTTGGTTTCCATTGTCTATATATGAGAGAGAGAGAGAAAAATCTTACTTTTTCGCAGAATATACAGAGAATTTGTGTGATATAATTGACCTGCAGTGAAAGACTTCTTTGCCGATGATTTCAAACAGGCTTAATTTCAAGCGATAGCTCCCTTCCATTCGAACCGATAAATCTGGAAACACAAAAAATCCTGCATCCGTGTTGTCGATATCTTTCAAATGATACAAGGAGGACACTACTGAACCTGTAGTGCTTCTTGTCTTTCCATCTCGCAGCAAATGAAGTTCCTCATCTAAATCGGCTGCCATTAACGAGGCGTACATGAAATAATATGGGTTCTGTAGGTAGCCACTACTTGAATTCTGAGTAAGTAAGCTTCAATATAGTAATTAGTTTTATCTCTTCGAGTCCTCACTTTTTTTCGGCCACGGGTAACTTGGGGTCGAATACTCGAAGCTGGACAATGGCTAAATGGTCATTATATGTAAATAAAAAACTGTAAATTAGACTGAGACCTTTTTAGAGCGAATAATAAAAAAAAAAAAAAAAATGTTAGGACAATTACGTGGTGGATCGATCGGTCTTCTGTCAGCTTTGTAGAATGAAAAGAGAACGGGTTAGTAAGAACTGAGACCAGAGAGAAATAGCTCTAGCGTATACCTTTTTCGCCCACGCCACACATGCGCGATTGTTTGGGCTGTTGCCTTAAAGTGAGTTGATAGTCACTAAAAAAATTTGTGAATACTTGTGAAAAGGCCACATCAATTCTTTATGGGGTACATTTCATGTCTATTTTCTCGTCTTTGTTTGACTGTGGCAAAGTGATATGAGACTGTTTCATCCATAGAGCATCAAATAGGTGTAAAATTAAACAAGGAAGGAAACCTCAAAAAGAAAAAAGATTGACTTTATAAAAAAAGGGGTTGTAAACAAGCCAAAAAAAAAAAAAAAAATGCAAGTCATACAAATTTATTTATCCAATCAAAAATATTTAATTTATAAACCGGATTCCTTTAGTCTTCTAGCAATTGTGTCCTCGCCACGTTCCCTTACAAACAAAGCGAAAAAAATAATTAACAAACAGACCTGATATTGTTTCAAACTTTCTTTCTTACCTTGGTTCTAATTTTAAACTTAAATTATATAATTCTTCCTCTTCTCTGCTAGAATGCAAATGTGTCTTTATAAATTCCTGGATATCAGGTACAGCTGTCAACATATAGTGGGTTGACTGATACTGTTGAAGATCTCGAATCACTTCAGCTGTCTTCATTCGTTTAGCAAAATTAATTAAGCTATTCGTTTTCTTAAGATAGTTAGAGTTGCCATCTTCAATAAAAGTTAAATCTTGAAGGTAAATGCCTAAAAACGGGATACACGGTGGATTCACATTATGAATAATTTCGCGATATTCGCTAAAGTTACGATTTGCGCCCATTAACTTTCGAATGTTTTGAAGAATCTGCATAGAACGAGCGCTGATTAATTCCCACGTACGCTTTAACCGCCCAATAGATCCATTATCGAATGCAGATAGAATGGCCATACATGTATTATAGTTGTTTAATAAGCGGCACCGTTCCGCAACAAATATCCAATGCTTCATGACAACCGCTCGCTTCTTAATTTCATCTTTACTCAATATAGAGTCAGTTACCCAAGCTGTCACTTGATTTGAGTGTTCAATTGAGGCCTTTACATTGGCAGCAATATGTCCGACTTCTGTATCAGGTTTACCCCAATTTTTATCAAGACATTCAACAGGTTTAATACGGTTGTAAAGTCGGAAATCCATTACTGTCATTTGTCGGGCCAATTCATGTGGATCCAATTCGAGAAATTTGATTCGCTTCATATTTTTGGGTAAAATAGGTGCCGGCATATCCGCTGTACGTACATTTAATTTCATTTTTCGGATCTGTCCTGAATCTTCGGATTGCATACGTTTCTTGATCAATTTCGATAATTGTTCTGCACCAAATTTCATGGATTCTACAATTACATGATCTGTAAACTGACTAATTTCTGGTAAAATAGGTCTGTCTTCTTCCTCGTTAAAGTAAGTTTCAAGCCATGATTTAATGACATTAAAAACCCTATCGAGATAACATCTTTTTTAGGAATGTTTTTAATTAATGCAGTAAAAATGTCTTACCTTAGACGAACTAGTTTCAGTTTCTTTTCTCTCCATATTTCCAATTCTTCAGAGGTTAATTCTTCGGGTGGGACCAATTGATAGCGTTGAAAGAGCTCATCAAATAATTCCTCGGTTGTACAAAATGATCGATACGTCAGTAAGAACGTCGAATTAAATTTAGAATCTACAAAGTAAATCGTTTGTTTGTTTGTGTGTTCTTTGATTGTTTGTAATATATATAACTTACCCAATTGATCGTGTTGAGTTAAACGTTGCACAAGTGCATGTAATGAACCTCCCTTCACATTACCTTCCATGTTTAGTACCATATCGTTGGCTCCAACGTCAGATGCCAGGAACCAGGGTATGTCTCCGTGAATACTACTCATACCCGCATTCGACATGGATGCATTCAGCACAGTAGATGTAGGAGTAGCTGTTACTGTATCACGACGGCGTGCTGCTTCCATCGTGTCTTCACCAAAGAATTTAGCAATCTTTCCTTCCTTGACTTGACGCACATTATTCAAACTATGCAAACTACTGGTTTCTGACTCAGCCAGAGAAGAACTTGACAAGAGTGTGTTCAATCCAATATCAGGTGGACGAGTCGTAAATTCCTCGGATTTATCTTCATCATCACCAATTGACCCAGTGGAGCTATTATTGGGTTCCACTCTATCGTCTGTTTGTTTGTGTGTAGCATCCAAGACATGGCTGATACTCGATTCAATCACCTCTATGCATTGTACCAGACGATGATAGGCGAGTTCCATTTGAGCGGCATCTTGATCTACGCTTGTGATAGTTTGAGACACAACAAACAAAGAACCCATAGCGGCATAAATGGGCTGCTTCGATTTAATTAAAATTAAAGCTTTGGCATTCCCCTGATTTAATTGACAGACTTCTTCAATCGAGTTTAATAGGATGCTGGTGGTGTTACTGAGATTTCTAAATTGAGCAACAAGCATTGGGGCATTGGCTTTCAATTTTACTAACGTGCCTTGAATATCTTGATTTTCAAAATTAGAAAATGCATCACGCACACTGTCCATAAATGCATTCATGGCAGATCGCACATTGTTTACTAATACCAGAGTTGCATTCACCATGTCCGCTTTACCAAGCATACTAATTCCACTGCTGTTCTTGATCACAAAGGGGCTATGACGCCATAAGTTTTGATCGCATGTTAATGAAGGTTTGGTATCCTTAATTTCTATAGATGCTTGCTGAGCACATGTCAGGAAATGGCGTAAAGATACCATGACGTCTTCAGAATCAGACTGCAACTTAGACAGTGCTTCAGGACTGGCCAAAGCATTGGAAGCGACTTTGGTGGCAAGCACGAGTTTGGCCAGAGAGGCTAAAAGAGTGCGATGTTGTGTACGAAGCTGCTTATTGGCTTTCAAATGGACGGATGTTTCCTTATCCAGACAGTTGGATACATAAAGTAATAATCGAATTCGATGTACAATGGTGGTTGTATCCTCTCCAAAATAAGCATTTTGTCCCTGGCGAATGGATTCTCTCAGGTTATGAACTGCATGGCCAATGGATGTCGACAGACTTTGCCATGAAATAGCCACTTTATCATCGCTGTAAACGCTGCTTGATTGATCGTTCATTGACATTTCATCTATACTTGTGTATTGCTTTGGTGATGTGGGAAATGAATCGGGTAACGAAGAAATCTATTGTCATACAACATACACCCCCCATAAGAAAGATTGAGTGACCATGAGTTTTTTTTTTTATGTCAGCAGGTTAAATAAAAAAAAATTTACTTACAAGAATGCCAGTATCAGGATCAATGTTCTCCAGTTCCCATGTTGTTTCTTCTGTTGCCATGTTGTAATAATAGTATCTACCTTTGGGTGTCATTTTACGTGTCCAATTAGGTGGAAGCTAGTTTTTATCCTTAATTAGTGAGAATGAGGGCATGCGCGGTTTTTTTATTATATTTTACCCTATCATCATCTTCGTACTCTTCACTGGGTCTCTGGTGCTGCACAGGACGAATACTATGACGAAAATCGTTTCCAAATTCCTCGTTCATCATTCTATTTGGTGCACGTTCAGGACGTACAGGTGGTTTTTCAGTGTTATGTTCATGATCCATGTATCTTGGAGAGTTGGTATGATAGGATTCATGCAAGCTACCATGGCTACTACTAGAGCCTAAAGCTTCTTTTATTTTTTCCTCCATTGCACCTTCGGGAGGCATAGAATATCTCATTTCCTGTGTACGAGGATTATAATAATATTGCTCAGATCCGTCTTCTGTGGTTTGGACCAGCCATTCTGTAGTTTGAGGTGTCATATCTGATGCATGCAGACTGAATCTAAGCTGGTTTTGCATATCTTGATCTGTTACACGCTGCCTTTGTTGTTTCAGTTTCCATTGTTGTTGTAATTCCCATAACTGAAAACAGGTTAGACTGTTTTTTTTTTTTTTTTTTTTTTTTTTTTTTTTGCTTTTCATAAATGCTAAAAGTTTATTTTTTATAGATATACCTGTTGTTTCTCTTCTATATCTTGGATTTCTTCCTGTTTTAAAATTTGGACATAATTACTAGGGAACCAGCCTCTTTTCCCATCGCACCTAATATAGGGAAAAAAAAAATTAGTAGGAAAAAAAAAATTTATTCTTCTGGGTAACACTTTACCAACCATCCCACCAACCTGATTCCAATTGAGCAAGGACATCAATGACAGAATCTGCTTGGAATGACAAGGATGACGGATCGTTGGATTCGTATGCATATAAAGCTCGGACACGACATATAACTGCTCTTGAACTCATTTTTTTCTTCTTTTCTTCTTCGCAAGCTGTATGTAGACTCTTTGTCCGTATTGTATTCAAAAGGAGAGGTTGATTTATATATAAAAAGAAGTAATATAGGTCCGAAGGGAGGTGAATATAAGAAATAGAGAAGAAGAAAGAAAGAAAGGAAACATTATACAAAGACTATTAAAGGGGAATGAATTTACAATTCTGTCCACGTTGTACAAAAGAGGTACTTGATGGGCCTTTTTTTTTCTTGGCTTCTCTGTTCATTATTACACATTGCTTGCGTGCAAGGTAAGATAGCTGGTGTGTGGACATCCAACTTTGCTCACTCAATGGTGACGCTGTCGTGCGCTATTCACTTGTTAAATAAACGAGTTCCAATGAGTGTAAATTTGTATAGTTACACTATATTTCCAATTTTAAATTTGCTTTTGGGGTAAATTATAAAAGATGGCATATTACAATGTTTTTTATTTTATTTTTTTTTACAAAAAGGTCTACGAAAAAAAAAAAGGGGAAAGGGTAAAATTCTGAGCGGTAGTAAAAAACTTTTATTCGTTACTCTCAGGATCATGAGTAACATCATAACGTTTACCACGAATAGCCCAAATACCATAATTTGCAAAAATAGATTGTCTTAAATCTAACATATTGACATCGCGTTTCAAACTACGGAATTCATTAACAGAGGGCTTCATAACCCAATCAAATTCACCTTGATAATCCTGTTCAACAGCTTCAATGTCGTTCTTCATATCAGCTTCATCGTATCCTGTAATGAAAATAGGACACTTTGTCTCTAACGCCTTTTCAATCGAAGGCTTCCAACTGTTTCTGGCTCCTTCATGTCCAATACCAGGTGAGAACATAAAGAACAAGTCAGTAAAGGGATCAAACTTTGCAATCTTCTCGTGATAATCGTGATACATTGCATTGTCATAGGTGAAACTGAGACGTTCGTTGACAGATTTTGTATGGGGTTCTTGGTTGGGTGCTAATGCATCAGGTCCAATGAAATGAACATGGAAAGGAGTGGCAGGGAACAAATAGGCTAATTGAAGCCAGATATGCGAAGGGAGTGTGGCTTCAGCACGAGCACCGACGAGATACACATTGATGGTATCAGTACGGATTTGTGAAGAGGCATCGTTAGTAACCTGGTTATGAGGATATAAAATAGTTCTTAAGGCTAATAAACTTCTCCATTAGTAATCATTCACTATGTCCACGTATCTCTTCTTACCTGCAATAGATCTCATGCCTTCAGCTGTCACTTGTTCACCATACTTATAAGGACTGGCTTGGTGTAAAACAGATGCAATGGTGAGAGGATAGGTTAATAATTTCGATACATGACGCATGGATCTGTCTGAATCCATGGAAGGAAAACTACGGGTATAAAACAAGACATCCCAGTTTGCCATATTGACGGCTTCATCAAAGCCCTGTGCAGCTATAAGGACAACGAGTTAAGTTTAAATTTCATCTTAAATAAAATTATACTTTACTAGGAAATTCAAATTCACGCATGGGTCTTCCAGAACGCAAATCATGGTCATCTTCGTTGATTTCACGTAAAATAGCACAGGTTTCCTTATGTGCTTCCTTGCCTTGATGATAGTGTTCTTCACTACAATGAGTAGGGTAACCACAATCAGGACAGTCATACACAGGCTTCTTCTTGTGTTCTTGCTCGGTGTGGTGAGTGTCGCAGACAGGACAGACACCATACTTGTTGATAATGGCAGCTCTGTCTCTCATTTCTGGTAAAGGTGACTTTGAAAGCACATGGAATAAGTTGTCTTGTTCTAAAATGAGCTTCTTTTCTTCGTTAGCGGGCTTTCCTCCAAAGATACCCTTGAAAGAAATAGGACGAATGACAGATTGTGTGAAAAGTCGTTGTTGTTCGAAACGACTCACTCTGGCTGATCGCACAGCACAAGAAACAATCGCATTAGAACGAGAATTAAGCAACCTACGTGATGTAGGTAATAATTGTTTTAATCCTCTATTCATTGTACAAAAGGTTGAAAAGAAAGAGTTTTTTTTTTCTGTTGTTTATTACACCCCCTCTTCACAGGGCAACTCACTTCAAAAAAAATCAGGCCAAAGAGTCACAAATTGCCCTTTTCAACCAATCAGCTTGTTTATTCATGGAAAAGCCCTCCAACTGCTGCTGGGAAGAATTCAACCTGGGAATAGAGTGGCGGCGGCATTGTTCTCCTCATTATTAGACCTGCATTAGCCTGTCTCGTTTTCATACGGATGCATGATAGAAAACACCCTAGTAAATGTACCTCATTTCACTCATTTTGTCTCGATGCCATGTGGTCCGTGTTCTGTTGAATTATGCTATGTTTCAGCTACAATTCATCCAATTGCCACCATTACATACGATTAATCCGAAAAAATGTTGTCATCAAGGCACTATAGAATAATACGACAATCATTATCTAAAATGACACTTTAAAATAATACATCGTGAAGTTTGTATGTAGAAATATGAAGCATACACGCTATTGAACAGAAAATTCAGTGTCATCCATTAATAATGTATAGATTCACATCTAATGTTGGAGGTAATCGTGGTTTTAACAAAGTCGTCCTGAAATACGTTGCACTTCCAATAGCTGTGTACACATCGTTAACTGACATTTCTTGTTGTGTATTCAGACACTCCTCTTTAAATTTTTGATGCACTGATTTCAATATCTCTTGGAATAAGGCCTGTTGGAACTTCTTCAGATGGCACCAAACACTTTTATGCTTTCAATATTTGCTTCATCAAATTTTTGATACAACAGCCTCGTAATTTTTGTCTCAAAGGGTAAAGTCGGTCGTTACTTTTATAACGTATGTATGTCTGTCGCCACAAAAAGCTACTAAAGGGGTTTCGTCTAATAACAAAGTGTTTCCAAAAGAATATTGACCAAATAAGTCAATGTTAAATCCATCGTAAAATGCATATTGTTGTGTAGTCGAATGCTATTCCCTGTACAGGTAACAGAAGATAGCTTGGATGAACAAAAAGAAAGAAAGAGCAATTGTAAACTCTACTTTTTTTTCATGGCAAATAACAATGATCTCTTCTGCCGTGTGTCATCTCTGTGAATTCACTTGTTTCTGCAAAATCATTCGTGTTCATTTTAAAAATAAGAAATTGGGTTAAGTTAGAAAAGGCTCATTTATTTAAGTGATCAAAAGGGGGGATTCAATAAGTGCCTTATGAAGTTCCGGCTCGAACAGGATAATCAAAGTCTGGCTCGAAGATCAAAAAAATGGGGGGGGGCAGGAGTCCGGCGCCTGGCCTCACCGCATGCGGGTCGCTAAAGGATTACTCTTTTTTTCCGCCTTTTTTTTTTTGCTTTCATATTGTCAAAAATAACCAAAACATAGAATAGAGTAATAAAATATTCGGTAAAATAGTTTACATCTGATATTTGTATATACTTTTCATATTGTTTTGCTCAAGAAGCTACAGTATATAGTGCCTGAAAAGAATAGAGGGCATGAAAACAGAGCTATAAAACCAGCGTTGGATTTTTTTTTTTTGGGTAGTAGCTTTCTTTCTTGTGCTTTAAAATGTCGCCCTTCATACAGCAGTCCAGTCAAAGCAACGTAACGCTACAATTTTTATAGCACCACCAAAATTATTCGCGTCTACTTTATGTGAACTGTACGCGACTCAAGGAAAGCTATTACAGCTTTTATCGGTGTATATTTTTGGCTAAGACAATGAGTGCTTTTGCCTACCTGTATGTAACATTGACTAAAGACAGCCTGATAAGGTAAAGCAGCTTTACAAAAAAGTAGTGCGTGTGCTATAATAGAGTATACCACTACGAGATGTGGTATCAAATTAAGGGAGTACAGTTATTTTTTTAATAATATTTGTAGCCTGTAAGCGATACAATAGCGATTATAAATAAAACTTTAATCTTTATTACAGCTGAAAAATATAGTTTATCAAACTTTTCAAAATTTTAAGCTTTTGGAGTATTCGGATATTTCCTTATGGTTTTTCATGGCCGTAGTTTTAATTCCGTCTAAAACCTCTTGCATCTTTGTTAAGTTACTGATCATACCGTCTACTTTAACCTTGTAACTCTCGTCACAATAATCATTCCGGTCATGTAGAATTAAAGTGAAACAGCCCCTGATAATCAAAGATGAGAATTCGCAACAATTTCTTCGTAGGACCATCATTTGTTCATACATATTGAGCAGTTTACGGGTTCTATGTGTCTTGAGAGCTGGTTTGTCTAATTTAGCAGCAACGAAAAAAAACAGAACAAAAGCAATAACAAAAGCCATAATCAAATCTCGCTCTTTTTCTTTGATAAAAAAAAACACCCACATAGCTGCTGTACCTCCTCCTACAATGGCGTATGAGTCAAAACCATTATCAAGATATTCCTTTACAGAATAATCAACTTTGCCATTTGAACTCCATTTCTCTTGAGTTACAGTATTCATAAAATGATCGATTGCTTTAAAAAGAGCACCAGAAAATGATGTAAGGGCCTTCACTTCGTTACTGATTCCGCGTTTAAGCTCATTATGAGATCCATGGGGTTCCTTTGACTTATTTATGATACATATCATACTGGCAATAACTTTGTTGAAGTTACAAGAAAAACCGAAAAGATCTTTTGAGAAGTAATAGATAGCATTTACATTTAACTTGAATTTGTTTAGTAAAAATTCGTAAGCCGGTATGCCTTCGTCGTCCAAAAATGCTTGTTCCCAGAAAAAATATAAATTCTTTGTGGTCTCCGATACCGCCTGTATATAATTTTCTATGGCAATAAGACTATTTTCAAGATTCCCGGTTTCTCCTAAGTTGTTCTGGGCTTGCATGAGAAAGTGGTTGAGAAAAAAAAACGTTGGTTCTCAGGCAAGATAAAAGAAATAGCAGTTTTTATTTGTTACAAATCTCAGCCCTTCGTAGATCGTATTTGATAATAATAAATACATAGCAAATACTGCATTTGATAGGATCATCAATAGCCTATTTACATACATTTCAGATAGTTAGAACTTTTGGCTTCTTCTCTGCATAAGATAGTAATACAAAAGACAAAGACGTTTTGCTTCAAGAAGGAATAACTATATATTATGAAAAATTGGAAAGTGTACAATATCAAACATTGGGCGTGAGAATATGATGCCATGTTGCATGTATAAAAGTTGATTTCCCTCTTCAACAAAGAGCAAATACGGCGTTTATTTATAAATTCATTTTAATGTTCTTATTGCTTTCATTACTAATTTAATAAATTAAAACTTGTACATGGCCGAGTCAAGTCAATCCGAATAAATGTATTTTTTATTTATTTTAGGCCGTTTGTTTGATAAGTAGTAAGATGGCACTTAATATTATATAAAAAATGAAAAAAAGCGATCCAACGTTTTGCTTTGAATGTAAAACACCATCCATCTATTTTTAAACCCGTTATCAACAAATTCCTCTGTAGCTTCGTAATTATATATAGATTCTTTTTGCATACGATGTAAACTATCTTGCAGCTTTCTTGTGCGTTTTATCATGTCGTTGACCGGGGTTATATCCTTCTGTGATTTTCTGACAAACGCATCTAGATCGATGGATCTAATTAAGGCATCCTTAGAAACACTTGTAATAGCGATATCATTGAAGAAGCATTTCAATTCCTGAGATTTTTTTGTCAGCCCATCTAATTCGTGTTTCATGTCTGTTAAAGTCCCTTCCATGAACTCTTTACTATTCGTAACTATATATTTTAAATTCAAACAGTAAACATTCATAAAGGCAACTGTGACAAGAAGAGAACCGCCTTCAACAAGAATCAAACAACCGTTTAATTTGGAATATAAGCCAATATGTGATATAACATATACAAAAACCGTTAACTTCAACATTCTCTTATAGTTATCATACAAAGAAAGGTACTGCAGGTCTTGATTCAGATTACGTTGGCACATATACGTTGTGGATTTAACACGACCACCTTTTTCAATAAAGATAGCGATAGTGCTTGCAAGAGATCCCAGTTCCCGATAAATTTTGAAAGTAAACTCAAAGTTTACTGCGTTGCTGTATTTTACTTGATTAAGAAGACTTAACACCCTAGCAACAGGCTTGCTAAGATTTTTACATAGTTCGGAAGTTTCAGCAGAGAAACGAGAAATGGCCTGATACAAGTCGATATCTTGCTGAAAGCATTTAGTAATCGGGCTTTCTTTATTGTTTACAAATGCCCTTTTCCATAGCTTGAAAAATTTTTGTGATTGCTTTGATATTGTGTGTATGAGTTGAATAATATATTCTAGGATAGCGTTGATTTTTATATTGTAAGAATCGACTGTAGCAAGCATTAAAAGAATGATGTATGATTTGACTGATAAATGAACAACATTGTATGTAAAAGCTGGTTTTTATTTGTAAAAAAAATAGACCGTATCTTTCAGCCTTTGGCGTGAGAATATGTATTATAGTATGACACGTACGTAAGCAAGATATGTGAGTCTATTAATATAGTTATAAACAAAAAATCCAGGTTTAAACATGTTGGCTCAAATAGAACTTTTGTGGTGTAACCTAAATGTCTTGTGAAAGAGCGACCACTAAAGCTAAGCTAATCCTAACCCCAACCAGCATCCAATACTAATATCACGTCAACACAATAAACCAACCTTGTTTAGTAATACACGTACTTTTTATTATGTGCACTAAATGGATATATATTTAAACTGTAAAAGGATTAGGAGAAATAATCCTAGGAATTTCTTTGTTGATGTTATCAATGAGTAGTAAATCTGTCAGGAAAAAAAAAAAGGGTGTATAAACATTAGACACAGTATCACTTTACACTTGTAAAAAAATACTCTACCTAAACTAGCAGCATGTTCATACACTGACTGTTCATCATCCTCCATCTCATCATAAGCTCTACCTACATCATCTAGGGTGGGTTCAAGGAAATGATCCACATATTCATCTCGCATGATATACATCTCTTTTCTACGTTTCAATGAGTCTAAGAACTTTTGGCCGAAAAAGACTGCCAATTCAACCGAGTTGTCCAGCCGGGTAGGTCGATGATTAGGACACAAAAACCAGTATTTTCGAATGAAGTTGGGCGGCACAAACCAACAATCTGGATTTCCTAACTCGCCTCCAATAAACATGGCTGTTGAAATTAATGTGTTGAATAGTTCATTGGCATCATAAAAATCTTGGAAAAGAATCATGTAGTCACGCATGGTAGGTCCAGGGATCAGATCGATTCTTGGATCATGTGGCACTTTACGTTGTAATTCAGCTATAATCATGCTTCCCATGAGTATCCCAGATTATACATTATAAACAAAAGTTAACTTACTTGGTGTTAAGAGATAGCGATTGTCATTTTGGTCTCTCATTGTCCTCATTTGATTTACGGCATCCAAGGGAGATATAGGACCAGCTACATAAACCTTATTGGTTGGCGACGAATTTGTATCCTTGATATCCATCCAGAAATCACCTTCGACTGGAATCTTTGGCTGGAAGTTGCTAGGGACTGAAGGTGGTGGAGTTGATGGTTGAGGGGAAGATGTTGCATATTCCATAGAATCTTGGCTTACGTTACTGTGTAACTCTGGAGGAGGTTGTGATAAATAAGATCGAATTTCTGGAGGGACAAGAGCCACTAGCTCTGGTGGAACCTGACTCAACCAAAGCTCAGGTGGTACATCCTTCATTTGATTAATAAAGTCTGTTACTGTGTCAGGCTGTAATAGATATTGCATTAATGTAGGATCTAAATCCAAATGAGTAGCCGATTGAATAAGATTGGGTATGTCATCGAAGGAGAAATCTGGAGGTAAAGAGCTAGAGAGGGGAGAAGATAAAAATGTCTCTAAACCTGAACTAAAAGTATTGTCACTTGATGTTGTTGATGCAGTTGAATTAAAGGGTTGAGGTGTTTCTGGTGGTGGTGAGGAGTCTTCCAATAGATCGTCAGGCAACATTGTAAGAATACATTTTTTGTTATCCAAAAAAATTCCAAAGGTTGCGGAATATCTTTGGTTCGTGAGAACGTTGTTTCATCTGAGCCCATTTTATCCCTTTTTCCTGTATCCCAAAACTTTGGTACATCCACTCTATTTGCAATGCAAGTGATTTTAAAGGTTAATAACTGGCCTTTCAAAAAGTTATTTTCATAGCGCAATTCGTCCACTTTGAGTTGAAGTGATTTGGCTTCCTTCAAAGCTTGATCGCGCATCTGTAAACATTTCTTGATATTTGTCTCTGCATCATGCATTTCACGCCTTTTACGTTCACGAAAAGCTCGTTGCGCAGCTCTGTTTTGAGCCTTTCGTTGTGCAGGAGAAGGTGGGTTGGGCTTTCGACCTGGCTTTTTACGGGGTTTGATTGGTTTTCCGTTTATGTCTAAATTGCCCAACTCAAATTCAGGGTCAAAATGTTCAAATGCAATATCCTCCATTGTTTATATTTTAATGAAAGAAAAGAAGGGGAAAAAAAGGGGGGGGGGGGGAAACTTAAGAGGAAGAGAGAAAAAAAAAATAGTTTAAGCAGCTTTAAACTTATATGCCGTTGTGTCACCTTGAGAAAAAGGTTAGTAACCACATGGCAGGCCAACTTATTCCCTGTGTAATAACAAGCGTTGTTCATGAAAATCACTTTTAGCAGGAAGAAGAAGAAGTAAAGGGGATTCAATAGTTTCTTTAGTAGATGGTATAATGGAATGAAGCCATTCTATTGTCAGATAGTATAGTAAAGGGCATATTTTAAGAATCTATACACACGCGCGCGCACACACCCACTTACACACACACACACACACCCACTTACACACACACTCACAAAGCAATGTATTTTTCACATGTCTCCTTTCCCCAAACCAGTCACACGATGTGTGAGCAAAAAAAAGATGCAGGAGTTTGTTTAGGTTTAATTACCGCTCAGGTTCATTTGACATAATGATGTGAGATAGGAATGACGGAAAAAGTAAGGGTACAAAAGAAATATATGTTCTTACTTGATTTCTTCTTTTTCCCTCCATCTAATAAAAACAGATAAAAATGAAATCTATCATCCTTTTGCTTGTAGCGTTTGCTGCCATCTGTTATGCCAAATGTGATTGTGATGCGGCGGACAATAGCTGTATTAGTAAATGTGGTAAGGTACTTTATTTCAGTTACTAAAAAAATCATGCTAAAATTTTTATAGTCGTGGAAGCAAATAGTTGTGTTACTTCGTGTAAAGGTAATATCGAGTGTTACGAAAGCTGCATAGATGACAAGTGGTAAATAGTTCTACCCAAAAAAAAATACATGCATTTTATTTATAAAAAAAGATAATATAAAAAGGCCATCCGCAGACGCTGCTAAAGCAATACCAAAGGCTACTTTTAAGGAAGTTTTAGCTGCGACCAGCGCTGCCACGACAACCAATTTAGCCTCAGCTACATCATCTGCAATGATAACATCATCCACAGGTAATTAATATACGATTAAATATATAATTTCTACTAAAATGGAAGGTATAATAGGATCAATGACAGCAAGACCATCAGCCACTTCTACTAGTCAGGTTTCACTGGGCTCAACATTGAAAATGCCTGCCACGGTTCCAATACTCTTATTTTTCATGATGTTGGTCTTGGTTTAAAATTCATACAAATTGCCTATTAAAGTAAAAATGTCTCATTCAATTGTATACTTTCACGTGCAAACCCTTTTTATTTGAATATCGGCTAGAATCCGATCCCATTGGTATAAAACGATGAGGTTTTTTTGTTTATGTTTAGAATTGCTTTAAAATACTTATGTTTACGCTGGGAAGCCCTTATTGAGCGAAAAGATAGAATACAATGTCTAATAAAAAGTATTAAAAAAAACTAAGATACGCATTTTGATATCCGACAGGAAGCGGTGGGTGCCCGGCCTGCAAAAAAAAAAAAAAAAAAAAAAATGTGAATAAAAGAAACTTTTCATGTTTTATCCCGTCTCTTTTTTTATTCTTTCTTTTTATTTTTTATTTATATATTTATTGATCTCGAATGGATTCGTATTTGGCAAACATAGACACTTACATGAAGCAACAGCAGCAGCAGGAGATGCTGAAGAGACAAAGAGAACAACAACTTCTGCAACAGCAACATTTGCAGCAACAAAGACAGAATATCGGCTTACAGCCGTCTCAACAAATGAATGACGACTGGTTAAGAAATATGTCAAATTTATCTGTTGCCCCTGATACTGCACCTTTGTACTCTAACCCTACACTTTATATGAATGCACCTGCTAATGCTGCTTTCAACCCTCATGTCATGTCAAATAATTACGCCATTCCTCCTCCAGTCAATTATTTACAACCTACTCAACCGCCTGAAGGTTTTGACATAAATGGACAACCTATTCGAATCCGAAAGAAGCCGGGAAGAAAGCCCAACCCTGCATCACCAGCATTACGCAAGGCACAAAACAGAGCAGCCCAGAGAGCCTTTCGGGAGCGAAAAGAACGTCATCTAAAGGATCTAGAAACAACCATTCGTAATTTGCGGGAGCAGCGTAACAATGCTACACGGGAATTGAATGCCTTGAAAGGAAATTTAGAGTCTTACAAGGCCGAAAATTGGTATTTAAAGGGCGTTGTCTTAACACTTCAATTTATTTGCATGCACCACAATATAAATATTCCAACTCATTCACCCTATCTATCTGAAGATGCCCTAGCAAAAATGGCACAGACTGCTCCACATGCTATTGAAGCATATGTTAACTCTTACACAAGAAATAATTTTAACTTGAAATCAACCATGTCTTATCATTTCGTAGATAAGGACCAACAAGACCGAGAACCTTCTGCTACTGAATCTCCTCATCCTTATGAAGAAGAGCATGATGAATCTATGGACTACAATGAGCATAGTGATGATGAATTTGACTCTTACTCTTCTCCACCTCCTCCACCACCACAGCTACAAAAGCAAGAAACTATCAAGCAAGAAGATAACAATAGACTAGATTGGTTAAACAAATTACAAGACGAACCAGTGAAAGAAATGTCTTCACAACCTCCTGCATCTAGTTTAGATGCTATTCAGCAAATTCGTCTTAAATTGGGAGTCCAGTCAACATTAAATAACGCTGACGACCAGGCTGCTGCTAGATTGAAACCAACTATTCTCCAACTGGCTATTCCCCATGATCCTCGTATTGATTTGGTACCTACACCCCATATGCGTGATCGTATGATTATTTTCAGAGACCAAATGGATTATGATAGATGCTTTACCATGATGTTAAATGAAGCGGTGTATCACGGTGGGGATCCTACCATGAGTGAAAGTTGGGAATTACCAGCTGATTTCTTTAGTGAATTCTGGTATCTGACCATTGATTATGATATCAAGAAAACAAACAAATGGCGCCGTAAGAAGGGCTTGTCTGATGTAGCGCCTGGCCCTCAACAACAAGATACCACTAGATCCATAAACTGGCCTACCATGATGCAACAAGGAGGTGCCATGGGTGAGTTCTGGAATGACGAAGATTTTGACCAAATCGTCAAAGGCATGCCTAGTTTACAACCCATGAATCAACAAGGATACCCCTTATCTCCTCCAAGCAAATTAGCACCCATGACGCCAAACAGCCCATATAGTGACTCACCCAAGTCAATGTATTCAAGATTAATGTCCGCACCAGAATCAAGGCAACGGATACAATCTCCAAGTTTGGGTATGTGTATTTACACCACTATCATTCTTTTTCTATTCTTTACTAACAAACATTCTTTTAGAAAATATGATTGAGTTAATCAATCGAGACCTTGAAGAAAACTAATTTATTATTAAACAAAAACACACTGAAAAAAAAAATGCCTGTAAATAGACAATAATAAATCATCACACTCATAGTATTCCATTATTATATACAAATCGTAGCAGATCCTTTTACGGCTAAATGGCCCATGTGATTGGTGATCCATAATTCATAACGGTCTGGATCGTTCGATTTTCTTCCAGATAGAGTTAACGGCTTATTCACGTAAAGTGGAGTTAAACATTTGTATTCAAATGATTTCATCTTGTTGTTGATATTATTTTTCAACAAGTCTATCAGTAAAGTCCCACTTAAAGGCCCATGCACCAGGCATGCTTAGTTGAAAAAAAAAAATTACATAAGCATTTAGACAAGGTCTAATTTTATGAGAGGCTATCTTACCAGGGTGATTTTCCACTTTTGTTGCGTACTCATGATCAAAATGAATTTTATGTGAGTTGAACGTTAAGGCTGAATACCTAAACAACAAGATTGAACTTGGTGTTATCGTTCGAGAGAAATCAGATTGTTTCTTTACTAAAATTAAAAAAAATAGTACCCGTTTAAGTTCGCTAATCGGGAGAAAATATTTAAAAATCATTACCTATCAAACCTCTGGCAACATTGACTGATGGTTGTTCAGGGTGATATACAAGGCATCGTTGCTCTCTCATGGACCACCCGTGCTGATTCTCAATATCCTTATTAATCCAAACCATGGCAGAGTCTCCCATACGTCCGTGTCGAACTTCTGCATGATCCAGACTTGTCTTCATCATGACGTTTTGGTCCCCTACGCGCAATGGGTTATCGACACTCCAAGTCAATTGCGCTCCTACCCACATACGCTGAGAAAATGGCTTGGGCGGAAAATACGAGGTTTCATACCCATCTGCTGCTAAATCTGGTTCCTGTGTGCGCGGTGGAAAATATACATGGTGCCAACAAGGTGGTACTATCGTACCCTTTGGAGGTATTTTTTCATTCACAAAATCAGAGGATCCAAGTGTGTTAGCCAACAGATTAAACTGCGATCCTGTTATCTCATCGAACGTAATCTCGTTTCCATTGGCTTTCGTCTTTGTTTCCCAATCACGTAAAACTTGCACGGTAGAGTAATGTCGTGGTTTTTTAAAACACTGTGTACTTTATTAGGGTGTCTGTTTTCTTTTCCTTTTTTTGTGAAAAAATACGCGACTAAATGTACCTTTGAAAAAGATCGTACTGATTTCGATAATGACATTAAAGAAGAAAATAAAAACAAAGGCGGAGACTACTTTTTAAACATATCACCGACCCATAATTACAACCTTCAGATTGTAAATCTCGAAAAACCCGCTATTCTTGGCTGAAATTCGTCTATACACTGTATAGAGAATTGTGAGCTAAATGCAACGTGTCGATGATATAAACGAGCAATAATCGGAGTTAACGATATGCAATTTATTATGGCCATAGACTACATGTTTCCACGGTTAACCACTACGTACAATAAAAGAACATCTTACTTGACAAAGGAAATTCACCTGCGATGTATAATCCAAACCGAACTCTTGTCATAATTCCATTAAATGCTTTGGAACAAACATAGAGTTTTATGAAATATGGTCTAGGTTTTTCTGGTTAGGTCAAATGTCTATTATACAATTCATTGAGTATGATAAGCCTTCCGCATACTTACTGTCCTGATCCTGGAGGATAGATCTTTTACGCGAGATCTTTGCAATTGAAATTTAAAGTTTCGAATTAACTCCTTCTAGAATAAAGCACCAAATTTGGCATTTTCCGGTAAATCTCCATCCTACCCAATAATATATCGACTTTCCGATCGAATATCTATTAAAAAATGCATCCACAATTAAAAGTGTCATTTATGTCTTGTATATTTTGTATGTGTTCTTAATTCCTTCATAATTTTATGTTTGCAGCACTACTTCTCTTGGTTACTTTCAGGTGTTTTCAGTGGTCAAGAAATGTCAGAGAGCAAAACCTGGCCTAGACTCTAAATATAAGGATGCTTCCAAATTGCGCGGGTTCAAATTGGTTTTGGGCACCCAAGTCATTTTTCATGCCCAAGCATCTCCAAGCTGCTCAAACCGCGGCTTGCTATTAATACAATCGTTGTAACTCTTTACCGGATTATTCTTTGTATTCTATCCGAGGGTAATAATAATAGGAATGGGAGTTGCATTTTAGCTGTTATCATAAGGCAACAACAACAATTTCGCGCTTATATTCTTCGATTTTCATTCTATTTTTTTAAAAAATTGTGGGGAGTTGAGAGTTGGGATGCATTCCGACAAATATAAAGGATAGATACTTTTATCATTCCGGATAGTAAACTCATTGTGGATACCCCATCTAGAGAGCTGTATATGCTTGTTTTCGTTAATCTTGCTTATTCTTGTTTATTGTGCCGGAAATTACTTTGAGTTTTACATAATACATCATGGACACCATACTTTATTATATTTTTATACATTGCTGATGAGGTCTCTTCCTCGCCTTCAGATTTCAGGGTATTATGAACCATTTGAGGAAGGTGATGTTGACCTAGACCAGTTACTATTTGTATGCAAGCAAACTAGAACAAAACAATAGCATATCCGGGGAATCATTTCAAAGGTGCACTACAAGAATCAAAACTTACCCGGGAAGTACCTTACAAGTCTTACCGCTTAGTGTGACTTCGAGTGTTAAGCAAGGAAACGCCTATTCTTTACACTTTTGGCACGAAGAAGAAATTAATATTTGTATATGAGCAAATTGACACCAGTTTGTGAAATAATAGTCTATCTTTTAGCAAACTTTGAAACTACCTTTGTGTTACGTAAGCTTGCCAGAAATCCCAAGACAGACTGTTTCAAATGCTTTTACTAAGCAATTATGTTTTTCTTTGTATAAGACGTCATGTTGAACAGCTGTGGTCTTTTTCTATTAAAGCGGTTATAATTACATGAGTACTGTATTCATATTTCTGTCATGAATCACGTTCAACGTATTATATGTTTGATAAGAAGAGTGCTGATGTATTCTTAGCATATTGCGTCAATGCGTAATTAACACACTACAATCACAAATGCACATTGTCTTCTAAGCTACATTGATACCTTTAAACATTTGAAATTTTCACATTTTATATCAGATCAAGCATACTAAATAGCAACTTATAAAGAATATTTGGGTGTTTATTTACAGAATTGGAAAAACAAATTAAATAAAAGATCGCCTTTTAATTTAGGATTTATGCGGCTGATGGTTCATGGACTTTACCACGTCTAGTTTCTTCCTCGTGCTTCTTCATTACTTCTTCAAGGATATTCTCTCGATGGATAGCAATACGATCAGCGAAGAAATGATTGGCATCACGATGAACTGCCTCATCTGCTCGAACAGCAAGTACGACATCCCGCACAGTAGCGTTGGGTTGAAGGTTGTAATATTCTGGAATAAAGATTGTTTAGTACATTTGTCTGATGAATCAAAAAATCATTGGACTTACCAATAGCACATGTAGGCGCTGGCTCGTTCTTGAGATAGCCATTATCAAGATCTGTCAAGAAATGAGTATAAGAGACGACAGCTTCTTCTTCGAGATAGCCACAGAATCGATGCGCGACTTTAGGACTACAGACGTACAACCAAAAATAAGCGTTAAAGAAGACACCTTGAGCACCAAGGATAAGTAATCGGTTCCAACGAGAAGGTTCCAAACACTTCATCCAAGTCATTAAATGGAAACGTTCATTGGCAGCCTCATGAAGCATGTGGTCAATCCAGCCATTGTCATCGGTCAGGTTTCGTAAGGATTTCATGTGACGTAGCATGCCACCCACCATACCAGGTACGGCAGCAATCGTTTCAAGCATGACAGCACGCATGTAATGGTTTCTCTTGAAGTAAGTATCTGGGAGTAAACGAAGGAATCGAACAGTACGATATGCGGCCTTATCACCCAATGTCTTTGCATTGTGATGCTTACCAGGACCGAAATCGATACTTTCAAGATCGTCTGTGGTCAAACGCTGTGTGCCCATGAACTCTTCACGCATTGGAACAGAGCGAGAAGCCAGCACTTCACGGAATACATCGCGAGGCATGTTTTCAATTACTTCATATTTACGAGACTCGGCTTGCTGTTGGATCACGGAAGTTTGAGTTGCTAGAGTTCGAACAGGGATCAAGAGACGACCGCTAACAGCAGAATTAAGGATTTGGGGTTTAATTAATGTACGAAGCATAATATTTGAATGAGAATAATTAGTTAAGAAAAGAAAAACTACGGAAAATTAAAAAAAAAGGTTGATTTATATATCAAAAGAGAAGGCATTAATGCGCCCTGATAGATCCGACACAATGCGGAGTTCCCCGATAGCAATCCTAACTCCCTTTACATACAAACATGGGTTTTTGTTACTAGTTTATATAGTTTCTTCGTCTTAAAAAGCTTAAGACCTCCTCAGTAGTGTCATTCATAGTCTAATTTACAAAGTCAACTCAGTGTATTGATTTCTCTGTATTTCGTGCGTGTGTGTTTGTTCTGTAGGGTATTTATCGTAATGTTATGAGTCAAGAAATTAACCCGAGTTATTGTCTGACCAATAGGATTTTTACGTTCTCCACACATATTCTGCAGCCCCACCCGTTCAAATGAGAATATCGCCTATAGGATGTCCCGCTGCATATGATCCCTTTGATAAACGTGTTGGTAATCCAACTTGAAGAAACATATGAATAATCCTCCACTATTAAATCCATGTGCATTCAAAGGCTGTTTAAACCCCATGATCTTCCATCGATGAGGGTTTCACGGTGTGGCAAACATGATAATGAATACATGCTTATTCATTCTTTCCTGCCTTTTTTTGTTTTGTTTTTTTGTTTTAGGCAATACCACAGAAATAGATTGATTGGGATTCCGTAGAACACTTAGTATGACGTTATGATTGCTTTTTATACCGACGTCAACACTCGCTAATCGATTCGTCATTTATAGGTGTATTTTTTTACCCGTCAATCTATAATTAATTTTATTTTTACTTTTTTTGTTGACCTTGTAATGTCACAATGACTCTACGAGATCCACCAGAGTTACGATGTTCACAAAGATAAATTCTAAAGTTGAGAAAAAGAAGAAAATATCAGTTTAAAAGGCTGAAATGAAGCACAATATAAAATAAAGACTTTTACCCTTGCCAAGTTCCCAAGTTCAATTTACCATCTGTGATAGGAATATTCAACGACACACCCACAATACCTGATTTTAAATGTCCAGGCTAATATGCATGTTAAATCACGTTCATCACCCCTTCTTTAATAAATACCACACTTTACCATATCGTCGGAGCCTTCAGCAGTGTGAATGTAGGGAAAATCCTCGGGCACAATTTTGTTTAAACCCATTTCCATATCCTTTTGTACATCAGAATCGAAATTCTCGTTAATCATTAAAGAAGCTGAAGTGTGTTGTACTAACAAATATATATTCTGTGTAATTAGCTGAGGGTCAAACATGCTACTTTTTATTCTTGACTTACAAAATACATTGGCCATGCCAATTTTGAAAGTTTTCAATTCGGGAAGTTGACCCACAATCTCTTTATGAACAAGATGACATCCTAGCCCCATTTTCGTATTAATGAACCGGCTCTAACAGACTCTTTTCTTCTCTTTGTTTTTTACCTCTTCTACGTTGGTTTAAACGGATTTCTTTTTGGACCCAAGACATTTTATCAACGGTTAAAAAAGCTATGGCGATATTTGCCGTCTTTTTTTTTTTCTTTGGATAAAATGTCGGATTTCTAATAATATGAATGTCACTAAAATCTCGGTTTTAGTGTGTATTTCATGCAAAAAATTGGTGTAGAATAACTTTGCCAAAGAGTTACCCGATTTCAATATGGAATCTTCACACACCGGAGAAGTTTATACCATACAAAAACCTGCTATATATTTTCTATAAGGATGCTTTTCCCAAAGAAAACTTATGGCTGGGATAGACTGAGACGCCATTCTTTTTCACCAGTATGAATAGACCTCTGCAGAGGACACATAGTGACCTACGTACTTTTTTTTATACGGCCCTTTATTTTCTACGTACTTTTTTATGTGCCTATTTTTAGGACTGTGAATACGCCTGTTTTCTAGTATGCGAAGGCTCAAACATATGGGTGATTAAATATACAATTAAATCATCCGGATGTAAGCCAGCTCTTGTTTATCAGTTTATAAATAAGGCTTGCGCCCACGGTCTTTTGATTATAAATAAACAATTAAGTCATCCTGACATAAGCCAGCTCTTGTTTATCAGTCTACAAATAAAAACCATTCAAACATTTTTTTCTTCCCTTCTTCTCTTCATTTTTTTCTTTTTTATTCTTATACTGTATAACACCATCTTTTCAAAGAGAAGGATTAAATATTGGGGAAAGGTTAGCTAATAACAACTTTTGTTTTCTTTAAAAACACTAAAATATTACCTTTTTTTAAAAAAAAGTATAGACTCCCATTTTTTATTATCACGGCTAAGGATAGACCTCTTTACATAATGAAGATTTTCCCGTTACCCGTTGTAGGCATTGTAAGCCTGTATCTTACATATTTTCGAACCATCAGCGGATATCTAAAGACGGTTTACTACTCTATATTCTGACCCACTGTGGTTGGTAATGTAAAAAAAAAAGAATAGATCACGTGAATAAAAAAAATACGTAGAAAAATTTACAAAATTACGTAGGTATAGGCATTGTCAAAAAAGACGTATGTTGAAAGTGAGTTCCCCCTCGTTAAAAAAGAATACGTCGATTGTATCCAGTAGGTTGGCTGAAAAAATTGTACTACACGTAGGTGTAGACATTCTCAAAAAAAAAAAAAAAGACGTAGTTAGGTGTAGACTTATTCTCTCTAATCAAATTTTCTTTGATTAGGATGACATAAGGGATAGGGACGAGTTAAATATTTTCTTATTTGACCTTTACAAAAAAGCCAACAAACAGGATAGAAGGATCATATATGTCATGATTAACTTGTACGTAATACACATAAGTTTAGGAAATACAATCTACTAACTACTAACAAGCAATAATTTTTAATTTCTAATTTAAATAAGCTTCCGAATGAAGAAATTAAAGAACATGACATTGAGGAGCAATAGTTGATAGTGAACTATACAGATCCTATTATCAGTCCTCTGCTATATGATTCTGGCTATGACAAGATGTTTATCTGGTAATTTTTTTTTTTTTTACAATATAACATAATTGATTAGCAATAAAGATACTGACTCTTCATGCAATAACTAGGTTGAATCGTACTGTATTGCAGAACTGTGACAAACGCCCTGATGCTGGCTGTGTCGCTTTAAAAGGAACTCAGTCACTACGTCAGTTTTGCTGAAGTCAAACCAGATTATAAAAAGAAGAAAGACACCGTTAAAACGCATGAAGACTTGCTACGACTGTCATTGTTTGGCATGAATGCGCTATGAGGAACATAATTTAAAGTGAATTTTGTTGATGCAAGTAATTGGTAAAATGAAACTTGATGCAAATTCTACTTTTCTTGTATAATTTAACGTTCTATCGCAATATAGGTTCTAGCATGTATGTACATGGGTGCTTTAATCGGGCCGAAGGTGCTGTTGTTATAGTGGAACTGCTGAAGGAGTTTAAGTTGCCGATGTCGCTGAAGGATTTACCGGGATTTATAATGAGCCTTGATAAACTGAAGAAGGTTGGTCACTTCTGCCGCCTTTAATGTTTTGGTAAAGGAGGGAACAAAAGAAGAGCTTCAAGCAACGTAAACCTTGATGAGATTATTAATTGCCACACGCCAAAAAATATGAAGGCCGCAGTTGATTTTTAGTTTATTAATGGTTTAGTGAAGCATTTGCTAATTACTTGTAGCAGTGGTACTGTTACTGGCTTGTTTAAGTGAAAAGCGGTAACGTGAAATAAAGATAAAGAGTAAGATAAAAGTTCTTAAAAAGTGAGCACCAGACCATAAGTTGTCAACTAAGATAAATTTAAAGATATAAAAAGGAAATGTTACGACGAATCAGATATAAGTGTCTTCGAAGGAGTATAGTAAAATACAACTGGTAAGACTATTCAGTGCTGGTTTATAAGAAGGGCTTTCGTACAATCATAGTAGTTATATATATTTATAATGAAACCATGCTTATATGAATAGGACTAAATCAGATTATAGTAAAGAACAAACTAAAGATTTTATTGATTATTTTTGAGGTCCTTTTATAAGAAAAGGACAGAAAAGCAGTCGGAAAAATATAGGGATCTGAAGTCAAAAGGACCAACAGAAGAAGAAAAAGGTGGTGTAACAGTAGTATGTATATTTGTGAGAGTTCTGTTTACTTCTATATACTGCCATAATCCCAATTATTAAAAATATAACAACACTCAAGTTATAACATGTCTCTTTCCGGTACCTCTTATAATGTTGTTGTACTTCTGGCAGTATATTTTTACTTCTAACTAGAATTTCTTGTCTGCTCTTAAAACTGACCCGAGACCTTACGGCTTAGTCCAACTACCCAGCACTTTCTGTTTGTAAGTATCGCTATTCTAATTTGTACTAAAATATCGTGCTCTATTAAAGGCCTCATCACGATCAGCTTGAGAAAGCCCATACCATTTTCAGAAAAAAAAAAGAAAGCTAGCCGGTGACAGAAAGCAGCAAACAAAGGGCACGGTAACCAATCACTATGTCAATTTTATTAAGGACGTTCTTGCCGAGATGGACAAATTTTTTGAAATGAAGGGACATTATCTGATCATGGATAATGCGCCCATACATACAGGTAAAATAATTGGTGAGATGATTGAAGAGCGCGGCTACAAGTGCATCTACTTGCCACCTTACTCTCCAGAACTCAACCTGATAGAACAATTTTGGTCTGTTGTTAAGAGTAGCGTGAAAAGAGAGTTTGTACTTAAAAAGATACTATTCCTCAAATAATTGCAGATGCTAGCAACCAAGTTGCCCAGTCATCTTTTGAAGGGGTTGCACGCTATTCCAATAGACATTTTGATGGCTGCCTTGCAGGCCATCCTATTTAATAAACAATTATGTATGCGACATATGTTTTTTTGAAAAGCACGACACTATTTTCCTAAATTGTGCGATGCTCTTTTCTAAAAACATACGACACTGTTTTAATTTTATTTTTCTTGCGACATCATTTTGGCAAAAGGTGTATTAAGCAATGGAGAACATGTGGGGCTTTTTTTTTTCCTATTTGAAAAAAGACTTTTAAAATAGGTGAACAGGTTTGTTAAGTTTAATAGCAATTGCGTTTATTGTTTAGTTTTTCGTAAACATTGCTCGATCAAACTGCGCACGATCTTACTGATATATTGCGTGACAGTCCTGAACTATTTTTTGGAGTAATTAGGTTTTTTAGTTCAGTGCAGGATTATTTCAATATGTTTATATGAGTTCGAAGTAAGAAAGAAACGATGTTGATCCTGTAAACCTATTGTGGATATATCACAAGAGTCTGTAAGAAAGTTTTTTACGTAGATGCCTGGAAATAAAGGGTGTCACTTCTAAATCGATGTTCCCGATAAACAGCATGGGGGTCAGCAGATGTACAAGGAATGCTGCTTGCCCCAGTGAAATAATTGTTATGCATATCTTTTGTAGGTTTGTATATCAGCCCACACTCTCCTGCAAAAAACTCTTAGATATACGACTCATCAGCATAAATTTGAAGTCGCTTCAAGTTGTTAAGTTAGAAACGTTGTGAGTTTTCATTGTTCTTTTAAATATAAGCTCTTTTTTAGCTTTTTTTTTCAAAGAGAGAAAGAGCTAAATTTGGTTAGCCCGAGTAGAAAACAATACAAAAAATAGGACTTTGATTGTTATGGGGTAACCAAGCTCTGTTTCTGGTTTCTTGGTGATGTGTGTGACTCTTTGTAAAGATTGACAGAGAAGGGAACGAATAAAAAAAAGTAACCTTATTTGATAATCTCTTTGTTCCCTCCAATGTAACAAACAAAAGCGCACGTGAGGGTCACGCATGAGAAACGAAGCGTGAAACCCGAGAATGGAGTTTGAACAAAACAAATGTTTAATATATTCCTATTTCTGCACATGCACCCAGAAACATTTTTTTTTTTTTTATTTTACGCCAAGACCCCGTTTATTTTATTTTATACATATATATTTTTGACAGGAATGATTTTTCAAGACTTGTACGACACACTAGTTGAATTACTACAAGAAGAAACAATAGGTTAATATTAAATATGAGCATAGAAACAAAAAAAAAAAAAAACTAATCTGTCCCCTCTTTCAGCTGACCTGAAGGAATGCGGCGAGTCTGTCTATAGGTTGTTCGAAACGATATTATATAATAATGACAAGCTTCCAAGTCACGAGTTACTAATGAGGGCAAAAGGGTTGACAGATTACTGTAATGAGAACATCATGCAATACCATTTCAGCAATGTGCCTGTTCATTGGCGACGCATGCTGATGGACTCGGGTTTAGTCACTGTTTTGATCCAGCTGGGTTCATTGGACGAGAGAGTGACGGAAGCACAAGTACAAGATATTGTTGGTGACTTGGATACATGCTGTGTAATAAGTGGATCACCTGGACCAGACCGAAGGTGGATTTCTAACCTTATTCTGGATGAACTTCAGACCTGGCTTACGAATCAGCGCAGTGGTACTACTAAAGAACCCGCATACGAGAAAGTTGCACGATCGTCGACAAAGGTGACACTAACATACCCTATTCAGAGATTGCCCGAACCACCTAGTTTTGAGTGGTTTTTGCAGCACTGCAACAGAGATATCCCAACACCATTTATTATGCCAAAGGGTGTGATTGAACACTGGCCTGCTTTTAATGAACACCCTTGGGGTTCTATGGATTATTTGCTTTCTGTAGCAGCTGATCGTATTGTACCTGTTGAGATTGGAAATCAGTACACGGATGCAGATTGGGGCCAAAAGATGATGCGATTTTCTGATTTCATCCAACATCATATTATGAAGGATGACATTGCATATTTAGCTCAACATGATGTATTTTATCAAATACCACGACTTGAAAAGGATATTATCGTTCCAGACTATTGTTATATTGAACCGAGGTTGACGGAGCTCTATCGTTGTAGAACAAATAACCAAATCTTAAAAAATGCTTGGTTTGGACCCAAAGGAACTATTTCTCCTTTACATCAAGACCCCTATCACAATCTATTGGCACAAGTAGTAGGTAGTAAATACATTCGGTTGATCTCTCCTGTAAACACCTCATTTGTTTACCCGAGGGATGGCCTAATGAGCAATACGAGCCAGGTAAGCAATGACTAAACACATTTTGAAACCCTTTATTCTAAATTATTTATAAATAGGTTGATGTCGAGAACCCTAATCATGCCATCTATCCACGTTTCAAAGAAGTAGATTATCTTGAATGTGTATTAGAAGAGGGTGAAATATTATACATTCCGGTAAATATTATTCTTCTTTGTTTGTTTCCATAGTATTACTATTTTGCTGATCCCCTTCTTAAAATAGCCAAAATGGTGGCACTATGTGAGATCCTTAGAGACAAGTTTTAGCGTCAGTCTATGGTTCTGATTTGCGCGTGTGTGTGCGTGTGTGTGTGTGTGTGTGTGTAAACGAATAAAAAGGGAGTTTCACGTGTAGCGCAGAATGTATAAATCGGGCCATAAAGTTGAGTGGACAATTTCCTTTTTATTGAGTAAATACAGCGTTCATTAAATTATTTATTGTGTAACGCTTTGCAAATCTCTCAAAATGAGATGACTATAACTTGTGTGAGCTATGAATAAAATTGGGGTGGAGGGGAAAGAAGAAGAAAGGTACTATATAGAAGAAAGAAAATATTACAAGATTGATGTTTGTGTGTGTGTGTGTTGGGGTATTGTTTTGTTGTTGTTGTTGTTTAGATATCAAGAGCTAAACTTTCCATGACAAGTTGAATAGCTTCTTGAGTACGATCATCGAATTCAGTCAAGAGGTTTTCTTCTACAAGAGACAACTGATCAAATAACCATTCAGATTCCAATAGTAAGATATCATTGTTTGTAGTCTCTTGTTCTTCACGAAGTACATTAATTTGAAAAGGTTGACGAAGCTTCCATTCGACAGTAATGACGGTAGGTTTATTTTCTTGTCTTGTACGTTGGGCAGTATTAGCTTGACGGATCAAAATAGCAGAGGATTGTTCTGCATTTACGATCAAGCCAAGTTGATGACTGATTTTCTTGTTTAAGGTCAAGATGGATTCTAATAAAAGACTTTCCATCTCTTCTGTGTGTTGGTTAATTTCTTCTGAAAGCTTGGTTGCTTCGTTTTGGATGGTTGTTAAGCCAGCGATTTGAGGAATGTCTGTAGAGACAAGAGGATTTACAGATGCGAGTAGGCTTGCACGCATAAAATTAAGATTACGGTTTAATGATTTTTGTGCTAATTGGCGAACTATTTTTCCCAAAGAAGAAAAGGTTAGTAAAAAAAAAGAAAAGAGCTATTATAAGTGTGTATGTTTACCTTCAACATCGCCTTGACTGATGGATTTAGGAATATAAGACAAGACATTTTCGGATACATCAAGCATAACTTGATCTACAATGTTTTCATAATATTCTGATAAACTTTCTGTCAATAAGAAACCTGCTTCAGGCACATGAAGTTGGCTGTAGCTAGTTTGAATAGGAGCTGCATTGACAACTGAAAGCACAATACAGGCGATGGCGGAAAAGGAAAAGATGGAGCGAGATAACATGTTTTGAAGGAATGAAATGGGGGTTGAAAGGGTGTAGGCAAGTAAAAATGAGAGAAGGGAGTATTTAAACAAAAATGAAAAAATGAAAAAAATTATAAATATTTATATATAAAACAAAAGGGGGGGGGCGTGGAGATGTAATATTTATCTTGTACAACAAGCGTCAAAATGAAAAAAAAAAAAAAAAAAAAAAAAAAAAAGTAGTTGTCTCTTATAAAAGACTCCCTTTTTATATATGTATTTAAAGAAACAAAAAAAAGATAATCATATTCCCCCCCTAAAAGCTGTTTAATGACTCCCTTACATGGTGTTTTTTTAGGATTAATACAAAGCTCTCCCTCAGATTACACAGAAAAGAGATCCTTGTTTTCTATAGCACTAACTTATTGGTACTCAGTTAATACCCATTTTTAAATTAATTTGGTGTACAGTACATTTTCTTTTTTTTTATTCAAACTTATGATCTTTTAAACGTTTCACATTGCCAATTAAATTTCTTTCTTTAAAAAAGCTAATTATACATGTTAATAATCTTATTGGCAAATTATTTACTTATATTACTTACATGACAATACTAACAAAGAGAAAGCAAACACCTCCAACAGCAATATGTGTAGCCTTTTGATTTAGTGTGTACCATCCAATATTCTTTTCTGACCAAAATGTGATAGACCAAGCCATTATAAAGCTAGTAACAGTTGCAGCATGTGGGAACCATTGCTTAACAGAAACGGTTACACTGGGTTGGAAATAGGTGCGAATATAATGCCAGCTGTATCCGATACGAATACCTAGATTAACCATATTTGCCAATATCAATCCCATTGCTCCCATCTCGAAAACATACATGAAAATAAATCCTGACGCCATAAAACAAACAGAGAATAAGACCATAAAATAACTTAATCTTGACAAATCTGATTTGGTTGCCACGGCTTGCACAAACCCCTCTGTGATCCCATTAATTCCCATAAAAGGCACATAAACACAGTACAACGCAAGCACACCTGGTGCATTGCCTTCTCCTTGCGACCATTTGTGGCCTGCCAACAAGTCGATCAAAGTGGACGAGTAATTAGTGGCAAAGCAGATAAATACCAGTCCCAATAGGATGTGAAATTGTAGGAGAATCATCAATACATTAGCCGCTGTTTGACGAATCGAGACCTTACTTTTTTCATCAGAAGACGATAACAACTTGGAGAAAAAAGTTCTCCCAGTTTCTTCGAGTGGTTGAAATAAAATTCGGACAATTAAAGACCCTATAGAAATATGTTTGTTTGTTTTTGTTTCCTTATTCTCAACTACGTCATGATTATTACCATAATTTACCACAAAAGCATAAACGCCTCTATCCTCTTTTGAGCTCAAGATCGATATCAGCATTTTGTCACCCTCTGTTAAAACATGTTTCAATAAGGATTGTTTCGTCATGGTGATGCCCAAATAAAGCAAAGCTGGATCGAACATGTATCGTCGCTCTTGTTCCACAATTTCATGTGGTATCAGTCTTCCTATCGATTTCTCCTTGTAGATGAAAAATCCACCGTATCCAATCATCATCACCATTCCATACACCACCTGCGCAATAGCAAATGCTAAAATGCCAAGCTTATCATTACCTGCGAAATAAAGCGTTAAACCAAACGTCACCAAGCACCGCAAGATGACCGCAATCCCTTCTACCATCACTCGCAATTGAAAGTACAGGTTGTTCAAGGCCAAGATAAATAAAGGCTCAACCAGTAGTTCAACAAACGAGGCAAACCCGTAACAAAGTACTGCAACACGGTAATAAGGCATTTCCACCAAGTCTTGTGCTGTGATGGTGGACAAGTAGTAAGAACATGTCAAACATGTTGTCAGTAGGCCGAGACACGTTGGAATGTAAGCCAAATTCAAAATCTTCTGTCGGTTAGAGTTGTCACGTATCAGGATAGAACGAAACCCTTCACGCGAGATAAATAAAATGGTTGAGGATAGCAATTCTAAATTGACAGAGGCAATACCGAAATTGTCCTTTGAAACATAGCGTAACACGATTTGGTTTAATGAAAATGTAAGCATACGGGATACAAATTGAAGCATAATCAGGTACGAAGCCCCTTTGGCTGTTGTCGAAAGTAAACTCTCTTTCTGTTTATTATCTTTGGTGTCCATGATTTCATATAAGGGTTAGAAAAGAGAGTGTAATTAAAAAAATAAATCAAAAGGGTGCCCAATTGATGTAGAACGATGATTAAACTGCCGCCAATAATAGACGACACAACATTGTTGCCCAACCTGACGCTGTCATTAAAACTCAGATATACATTGTAAGAGAGGGGAGAGAGAGAGAGAGAGCTTCCTGTGCTCTCTTTCCCTGGCCCATAAACCTTGTGTGTAAAAAAATAACAGCTGTTACACAGCATTTTAGGATTTTTTTTTTTTTGTAATTAAAACAGTTGCAATTATTACCTCTTTCCTTTTTCTACTTTCTTATTTTCTTTTATGGACATATTCAGTATAACAAAAAAGAGTAAAAGAAAAGAAGTAGGCACTAGTCTGACACCTAGTTTACCGAGACAAGGCCCCATACAAGGTGAAAAGAACTCTTTACCTCCTTCCAATACATGGGGTTACACTTCCAGATCCTCATCTATTTCTAATGATGACACTCATCGTAGTAGTAGTAAATGTAAAATAAAAAAAAAAATATCCCTCTTTTAATTATCCCTTCATATTTCTCCTAACATTTTTTTTTTCTTCTTATTAAGTCGATACGCGCCCAATTGAATATAATGGATTGGCAGAAGCAGAAGTCCAAGATCTTTTTGAAAAAATGCTGGTAAATGAAAAAAGATCAAGTATATAGAAGCCTATTATAACATATACATTAGACAAGGAGAGGTATCCATGATCCAGCAGCCCGATCCGTCATGTTAGGATTCTCAACAGAAAAGAAATGGTTGATGGTATCTCAAGATAAACAGGTGGCTGCACCCGTTGCAACCCTCACCTCCAGTACTACCGCCACCATTGATAATTCTATAGCACTTGTACCCACCAACGATAAAAATTCTCCTGATTTTTATATCGAAAAGTTTTTGGAAGCTGATATGAAGGGCGTCACGCCTCGTTTAATTGCTCATCTAGCTGTCAGTTTAAGAACGATGCCCTTGAGTTGGGTTAGACAGTTTATTGAATCAAGTGGATTACAAATTATCACAAACGTTATTGGCACTTTGAATATAAGAGATCAAAAGTAAGCATAAGAAAAAAATATAAAAATCACCCGTATTTATTTTCTTTTTTTTTTGGGGGGGAGTTAGGACTGAAGCGGACCTGCAGATGGAGGTTGAAATTTTGAAATGCTTCAAATCATTGATCAATAACAGAGTATATATCATATATATAACCAGAAAAAACGCTTTACCCTTTTTTTTTTTCATTAACATCAACTCTTATCTAGTGGGGTGCTCGTGAAGTTATCTCTCATCCACAATGTATATATCATATCGTTCTATCGCTTGTCTCACCACCGATCCAGACAAGAAAACTCGTTTGTGAAATCTTAGCATTTGTGTGTCACGTTGATTTACCAAAGGGGCAAGAGATTGTACTCAAGGGACTGGACAAATTAAGCGAACATCTTGGCGAATTTGGAAGATTTGATGCATGGCTCAAATTATTAGATGCGACATTGGACGGTAGAGGAAGGATGGGAAGTTTAGTAGGGGCAAGTGAGGATGTCAAACGCATGATTGGCAGTGGGGCTCCAGATAGTCATCTTGGGGACTTTTGTTTGTCCAACATGATGCTGATCAACTCATTAGTCACTGTCATCGAAGACGTAGAGGTACGTGTGCATCTCAGAAATCAAATGAACGCTAGCAACCTAGACAAGATCATGGATAAAATGTTTGATTTCAATAACGAGCAATTAAAACGACATATCAATATCTATAAACAAATGAGCGAAAATGATGTGGATGAAATTATGGAGATTTACAATGAAACTATCTTGACGAATATGAATGATCCTCGTGCTTGCTTTGAACGAATCCTGGAAAGAGTAGAAGGTACACGTAGTTACAACTTCTTCTTGAGTTCGCTACAGCACATGTTGATGATACAGGCACAGGGAGATATACAAGTCAGATACTTTCAAATCTTGGATAAATTAATCACACAAGTCGTGATGGATAGAAAGGGCATCAAAAACGAAGACATGTCGATGGGATATTCAGTAGGTATGCTGATTGAGAAATTCGCCGAACAAGATCAACTGGATAAATCAGCACAAGAAGCCAAGGAATCAAGACAGCTTTTGGAAAAGACGATTAAAGAAAAACTGGAATTAGAAACAGAAGTGAGTCTCAAGGGAGATGGATTAGTAGGCACTTTAAGAGACAAGACCAATTCACTGGAGGACTTATTACGCATGTCACGACACACTATTGCTACCTTACAAAGAAAGTTGAAAGACACTCAACAAGAATATGAAATGAATGTCACAGCGTTAGATCAGCAATTAAAGGATATTTTAAACACGGCTGCCAATGCCAATAAAAAAGACGGCGTGGCCGTAGACGATCAAAATGGACATTTTGTTTTGGGTAGAGAAGAAGTGACAAGAGCGTACGATCGTTTAAAGGCTCAAGCCATCTTGGAAGGAAAGCCTGGGGATAATGAAGATGATGTAAGACACTATTTTCTTTTTAAATATTTTTAAACAATCAAACATTAAAACATATAAAAAAATAGGGTGTCATGCCAAGAGCAGAAGGGTTATCAGACACATTCAAGTCATCTTTACAAGGACACTTGGGTGGCGGACCCACTGGTTTTATAATCCCAGGTACAGCACCTTTAATGGGTTCCACACGTCGTATACCTGTCGGAAGAAAGAACTGGTTGACGGATGCCAATGAACCCACCGATGGTGTTAAGATGAACATCGAGTTCAAAGACCAATTGACTCAACTGTTGAGTGATCAAGGAACTAATCCTACAGCAGATCACTCTGACAAACCAATTAGTGCGCTGGCTGCAGAATTGGAACAGAAATTAAGGCAGCATAACAGTAAGCCTGATCAAACCAACTTCCCCTCAGCTGGTGGTTTAGCAGCTCCCAGTCAAACTGAACATATTCCTCCTCCTCCTCGTACAAGCTCGGTGATAGCACCAAATCCTGCAAGGAATACAGTTTCAAATATACCAGAGACTATCAGAGAGAATACAGACCTTCCACCTCTACCTACAGAGGCTACATCAAATATACCTCCTCCTCCTCCACCACCACCACCACCAACAGGAAACAATACATTTGCCATCCCAACTCCGCCACCACCACCACCGGCTTCATCTGTTACTGGTACAGTAGCCCCTCCTCCTCCTCCTCCTCCGCCACCACCACCACCACCGCCACCAGGATCTATTTCAGTTACAGCTGGAGGCGCTCCTCCTCCTCCGCCACCGCCACCACCTCCTCCTCCAGCAGGCGTAAAGGGAGGCCCACCTCCACCACCTCCTCCCCCCGGTGCTCCACCCCCACCTGGAGCGCCAGCTGCTCCCTTAGGGCCACCACGTAAGATGATTCGTCATCAACCTAACGTCAAGACACGTGCACTTCAATGGACCAAGATCCAAGCCAACTTTGTAGGTAAAACAATTTGGGGGACCAATGATATTGATGAATTGGCACTAGAAGATGAATTGGACACGATGGGTATTTTTGATTCGATCGAGTCATTATTTGCACAAAAAGTGATTGAACGAAAGAAGCGTATGATGAAGGAAAAGAAGCAAGAAATTTGTATTTTAGATCCTAAAAAGGCATACAATATAAGTAAGTGCAATTTTTTGGGGGAGAAATGGAGACAATGGAAAGGATTTTTTTTTTTTTTTTTTTTTTGTAAACTTATACTTCTTGCTTTGGGAATAGATATTGCATTACTCTCCAAGTTGAAGCATTTGGCGTTGGATCAAGTTTCCAAGGCATTTTTGGCTGTGGATGATAGTATTATTACAGAGAATTTGTTGAGCAATTTACAAGTCAATGTGCCGACTCCTGAAGAACAAGGAAAGTTATCCGTTTTTGTTAAGTCGGCGTCTGACGAGGATCTGGAGCAATTATCTAAGCCAGATGCGTTCTGTGTCGAGGTAGGAGAAAGTGACAACGTTTGAACTCGAGAGAGCGTTAAAATTTTAACTATTTGTAGATGATGAAAATCGATCGATACAAGGAAAGAGTAGATAATATGTTGTTCCGTGCTACATTTGAAGAGAAGCATCAGCAACTTTCAAGAGTAAGTGGAAGGTTATATATGTATCTTCGAAAATTAAATTAACATATGTTTAGAATATGAGTTCTGTGTTGGAAGCTTCTATTGCTATTAAAGATTCTGCGTCTTTCCAAGAACTTCTTAAGGTATGTAGTAACAGTTTTTTTTTTTATAAAAAAAAAAAACAAAAATGCGATTCTTACACGTAAACAGTTCATCCTTGTATTGGGTAACTTTATGAACGGAACAACGTTCCAAGGCGGAGCATTTGGTATTCGTATTTCCAGTATCAACAAAGTAAGTTTTCACAAAACAAAACTGTCGTTTGTCTAATGACTAAACAGTGTCCAATTTTCAGTTAGTAGATACTAAGGGCACAGAGGGAAACACAACCTTACTCCATTTCTTGGTTGATTCTATTGAATCCAAGTTCCCACGTTTGCACGGATTCTTGGATGATCTTCAAGAAAGTGGCAATGCTTGTAGAGGTAAGTAAATCAATAAGATGGATCAAGCATATGTTGGTTAATTTGTATGATTTTTGTCTTAGTGACTTTGCAAGATATGGTCAAGGATTATAACGAAATTCGTGTTGGTTTACAAAAACTTATCCAAGAGTTGGACAACCATTATGACGAAGATACTGAAACCCCTGATGGAGATAATTATGCTCAAGTTATGAGGAATTTCAGAAATGATGCTATTGAAAAGTTCGAAGAGTTGGAAGTCAGATATACCTCCATGGATGTAGCCTATAGAGATGTTGTTGGATATTATGGTGAGAATCCTGATCAAATGAAGCCAGATGAGTTCTTTGGTATCTTTAAAACATTCACATCGAGTTGGGAGGTAAGAGAAATCAGCTGGTATCTAATTTTTTTAATGGGTTATTGATATGTTTTGCTAGCGTGCGATGAGTGATAATGTTACAGCGCGAAAGAAGCTTGAAAATAAGGAAAAGGCTAGACGTGCTGACGAGGAAAGAAAGGAAAAGATGAAAGCACAACGACTTCGTGGTGTTGATACAAGTGATGGTAAAAAATGAATATATACGAGTAAATAATCACACGTACTGAATTTCTTTGTTACTAGCAAATCAATCTGGCACAGATGAAGATAAAAACATCATGGACAACTTACTGGACAAGTTACGTGCAGGAGAATTAGATACCAGTGCAAAACGATCTAGGCACGAGAGATCGAATACTAGTAGAGAAAAGAGAATACAAAAGAGTGAATCTGTGGTACTTTTAGCTGAAGATTTATTAAAGAGCATCCAACTGGAGGATGGACCCAGCACGCCTTCTGCGCCTAGAAGCAATCGTTTGGGTGCAAGAAGAAACAACATGCCACAACCAGTGTTTCGTGTTTAAAAATTACAAGAATTAGGATTTAAAAATAATATAATTGACGCCACTAATAAAAAAAATATAATTACCACTCAATTCCACAAGTTTTATATATATATATAAAAAGGCGCAATTAAGTCAATGAGACTATCATGGCCCTCAAAATGTTTGCAGGCACATCTGTCTAGGATTTGATAGATGGCCTTTAAAATTTATGTATCAGATACACTTTGAACATCTACTGGAGAATATTATATGACCATTATTCCAGATAAAATTTTAACATGAGACTACTTCGGCTATAACGACTGACCGCAGTACTTTATTACCGTGTTGGTTTTTGTGCTGGGTGACAATTGACAAGGCCTTACAGATGGTTGTTTTTTTCCTCTAATTAACGATAAAAACATTTAATGAAAATATACATTGGTGTTATTGTTCACCATGAAATTTACGAATATTTAGACATTGCTATGCTTCTTATAAATTAATTAAAATCAGACTCTCGTATTACTCTAAACTTTTATATTAAACGATCCAAACTTAATGCTTTTTATTTTAATTCAACCAACGGATTTGCTTTTATTGTTCTTCCATAGGCAGGCCATGAATACGTATACGATAAATATCGGTGTTGTTTTTGTTCCCCCAATTTGAGTGAATCTTAATCATGACAGCGCTATAAAGATCGATTGTTGCTGGGTTCTGAACTATATCGAATGTTTGGATAGGAGACCCACAATCAATTTTGTATTCAACAAATCCTAACGAAACATGATCATTTTTGGGTACTGCTGCATTCGGAATTCCGAATAATTCAATATGTCTTGGCGCAATGTCCATTTTGTTATGCATGACTTCACATGATGGATAATCCACAGTGAGGCTTTGGATTAATATCGGCTTTCCAAGCTGTATACCCAAAGTGCCCGTACTTCCAAACATTGACCAACATTCGCCAACATATATATGAGGTGATATTGCCATTTCTGGTGAGTTCAATGTGACCTGTGTGTATGTGTACCAGTGAAGAAAGTGAAGCCATCTAGGTATATGCTGAAAACTTTGGCTGGTTAGAGAATATATGATTTGACCTCCATTTAATTTTAGAGCAAAATCAGCCTTGTTAATCACATCTTGATGGTATATTGCTATCGCGTGTTGTATAATCTCATTTAACTCTTCTTCTCTATCTTGATCAAACATATACGGATTGGAATTTCGAGGTTTTGTATTACTCTTTTGTGAGTTTTGAAAATCTGTAGCTGAGACTGGTACGATAGACTTTATTATTCGCGGTAAATAATTCTGGCTCATATTCAGTATCAAATACAATATCACGATGAACATGATGAATCTTGTGTTTAAGCGCATTAGGCCATTTCTTCGTTTTCTAATAGGCATGGATTTATTGATAATATCTGTTACTGAAAACAAGATATACAAAAGTGGAGTCATCAAAACTTTCGTAGCTATAATTTCTAATGCCCTATAAATCAAAAATAAAGGGAATAAAAATAGTCTGAAAAGCAACCTTAAAGCTCTAACCGACCCGGAATCGTGACTTATGTCGATTATCGTAAGCTTTGCTAGTTTTTCAAAAACCCGGTATTTGGGAATAATGTTTCTATCCATCAAAAAGATATAAGCAAAAAAATTGGAAAAATTTAGGCTTTGTTATTCAGTTCTATTTATAATGGTATTACATGCCATGCCATTTCAGTCCCTCGTAGTGTTCTTTGTTCTATTTATAATGAAGATTTTTTGAGTTCTTATTAAAAATAGATCTTAACAATAAGTTGCCATTGTTTATTTTTTAAAATATCACAATGAAGATGAAAACAAATACCCAATTATGGGGCATCTCAAGAAAAAGCGCTCGAAAATTGATAGTAACAACGTTAGATTTATACTGATGGTGGCTTCTCCAAATGAAAACCGTGGCTCAATGAGATTGTTTGTTGTTAATTCATTTTTTATCTGACTGATTGTAGTTCTTTACATGTCTGGATCGTGAAACGTACCCACGACGTTGAATTAAGTGTTAGTGATATTAGAAAATTATAAATTGAATTAAATAACTATGATTATCGAAAAGGATATGATTTATCCGGTAGAAATGAGAGAGAAAATGATTATTGCAGTTACTCTGGTACTGCGGGCATGCATGAATTGATAACTTTATCAGACCTAATTAAGAATGAAGCAGCAGATAGCATCACGGAGGGTATGTATTTTGATTGGCGAGCAGTCATTTTCGGCTTAACATCGTGTGGCACCATTTAAAAGAAGCCTTAATTATAATCCTTATAACAAGTAATTGGTTATAGATAATTTTCTATCCAATTCGTGTTTTTAAGCCGATAAGAATTTTTCGTTTTTGTACGCGTATAGATACAATTTCCGTAATACCAAGAATCAGATCCCAAGAAACATCGTTTATGTTTCAAACAGCATTGTTTGTCGCACAAAGGATAGCCATGTACCACCACCCAGCTATAGGAAAGCTCTATAGGCTCGTTGTGTAAACAAAGAGATAAATAGAGAGCTATCCCGCATTTTATTTCAAAAGAAATTTGCCCTTTTATTCCACATTTTATCATCATGAAAACATTACTTTTAATACTATACTTAATTTCATTACTTATATGTGCCGTTCAGTCTGGCGAAATAACGGGTCGTAATGCCGCAGGTGATAACATAAAAGTGATTATCAGAAATATTTTTTAATCATGGATCCACTTTTTTAATCGTAAAACAGTTTGCGCTTTTTCATTGAATAAAATATTTTGTTATGGAGGAAGTCCAGGCGATTCTCAGTACGACAATTCTATATTTTCTTTAGATATAAAAAATCAACCATCAGATATCGTTTCCGAATTAAACAACAAATGGAATGTAATCCAACAGAATAATTCTGAACTAGTGACTGAATATCGATACGATAGTAACTTTGTGCTGTTACCTGATGGTGTTTCAATGCTTTTCGAAGGTGGATCTAATGAGAAAACTAAACCAATTGCCAACAAAACTGTTATTTATAACACTGTTGAAAATGCTTGGCATACACTTCCCGATTTCAATGATCCCCAAAATGGGGGCTTTAGACAAATGTAACCGGCTTGTCAATTTTTTTTTTTTTATACCTGCAATTAATCTTTTATTAACAACAGCTATTCCGCATCGACTGTTTATATGCCTAATATTAATTGTGTTGGGTTTTACGGCGGAAAAGAACTGTGAGTGCTATTTTACGACTGAGAAACTTGTTTTGGTATACGGGATTGGGATTTATTTATCATTTTTATAATAGGCACTCTAATGGAAGAAACTATACCACACTTACGGGTAACGTCATAACTGATGTGGATATGTCATACAACGCTAGCTTAGACGCAAGCATAACACTCCATGAATCTTATATCGGTTTTTTTTATATGACTCTATTGAACCTTACCGATAATGTATAGTAAAAGCCACAAAGTTAAGATTTAAGGCATTTATATTAACGTGGATTATAGACTTGGCATACTGTACCCACCGAACCGCTTAAAATTGATAAAATCAATCCTTTTATGCCTATCTACCAAACAGCAACATACAGCCCCATAACGAAAAAAGTTTATTATCTTGGAGGAGTCTACCATGTTCCCCACGTTAATGAATTTGTTGTGCCTCTTAAATACACTGTTATATTTGACACAATAAACTCTAATTGGGAAAACAAAAGTTTAAACGCTCCCGCTGATGGTTCTGCTATGCCTGCTCCTAGACAACTTCATACTGCAACACTTTGTAAAGGTTTTTTTAAATAATTTTTGTGCATGCCATTTACAACTTTTATTATAGTAAACACACAAGAAGATATACTTGTTTATGGAGGGACATCTGAACTTGATGAAGGTCCCCCTCAACTAGGTAAAAAGCTGCCTTATACCACAGCACATCAAATAGACTGACACTTTTTTGCAGCTCTTCCAAATTATGTATATACATTAAACGTGCAAACTTTTACATGGACATCTCATAACATTGATGTACCATCATCAATTTCAGGCCCAAGATATTATCATGCTGGTTTGTGTTCTATAATGTAGGGTTGAATTTCTCACTAACATTTTTTGCTAGCCGTTCTTGTAAATGAGACAAGTGTTTTCATAATGTTTGGTAAGCCTAAAGCTGGAGTAGCAGCCACAGATAGTGTCTTGGTATTAGATGCACGAAATGCTTCCGCAATAGCTTATTCACCAACATATCCCTTGGCTGAACTAACAAAACCCTTGGCTGAACCAACATCTCCCTTGGTAGATTCAAAAAAAGAAAATACAGGTATCTCCACTGGTGCTATTGTAGGGATTGTGGTAGGGGTTTTAGCTTTCGTAAGTATTGTTTTTTGGAAATTCTTTTTGTTTCTTGTTGGATCACTACTAATCTGCATTAACAGCTTTTGATTGCTCTAGTGGCTGCATTTTTGTGCATCAGGAAAAGAAAAAGAGAAACGGCCAATGAGAAAATGGAAGAATTGGAAGTTGACTGGGATAATATTGATACTGGGTTTAGAGAGGAACCACCAGTACTAAGTACGTACTATAATAATTCTATGAGCCCAAGCACAACGCTGGTCTCATCACCGCAAATTCCTTCGTCAACTGGTGATCATAAGGTTATTAGAAGGTCTATGTATGCGCCTGCATTGGCACCAGAAATAAATCTTGTCAAGCCTGATGGTGCTGATGAGTCAACTGAACATTCCACAGTGAAAAACGAAGAAAAACTATCATAGTGGTATAATAAATTTATTATTTTTAATACATTTAAAAGAGAGTGAAATAAGAGTGAAGTGAAAAACTTTATTTGCCATAAGCCCTTTTATACAAATTACTAGTTCCAGTGACCTTAGGTTGTTTAAATTAAGGTTTTGCAGAAAATTGATAGTAGCATATTTCTAATTGTAATTAAACTATAGGATAATAAATTAACGTATATCTTACAGAAGTAAGTTTGCTAAATGTTTTAAAACCTAAAATAATATGGCCTGTATTCACAATTTAACCTTATGGATTGTTGTACTTGATTAAATGAGCATGTGTTACACGACATATTCGATTGGATCTCAGACTGGAATAGCGCTCTGGCACTATTTTCTCAGACTGTGAAAAAGTGTTTCCTACCACCGTTGTAAAACATCTTCTATTTATTACATTAATGGAGTAAGCTAGATATCATTCCAACCAACAGTAAACAAAATAATAATGTTTCCTAAAAGATGGGTGTACAAATAATAGACATGTGTTTCAATCTACAGGATTTATATTATGATGTTACTGCTGAGTAGCTTTTTTAGCCTTTGTGTACAAATAAAAAACAGCGGATTGTTGGACTAGCTGCTTTCCGTTTGGGAGTTGCTGATATAACTTTTTAGAAACATAATGAGTGGAAGCCCAGAAATAAAAATAAAAGGAGTGGGCTTGCTTTTTATTTCAAATTTCCTAATCTGCTCTAGTTTAGCTTCATTGAGATGCTGTGTAAACTAGTTGATCACAAACTTTAATTATCACATCTAATTTGGCGTTGACATAAAAAAGACTATGGTACAAAAGAAAATTTGGTACCTCTTAATGTTAATCATAATCAGCTTCGTAAGGTTTATTTGCCATCAAAAATGAAGGTATTTACATGTTAAATTCATAAGCCAATAATTATCTCCATGAATGAGTGATAATTTAAAACAGGATTGTATCTCATCACTACATGCTACGGTAAATCAACCAAATGAATCCTGTTTCGTTTTTCTAAGCCTTGTGCAACTTCATAATTTATTATAATTTCCAAAAAGCAAATTGCGAACGTTTGGTTCTTTTTTTTTTCGTCTTTTCTTTTACTTTGCTAAAATATGAAAAATATATTGCTTATAAGCTTTATATTTTCATTTGCTTTATCAATAAAGGCAGATGTAATAACACCTCGTATCGGATCAAGTAACGTTATGGACATATTTCTATCAAATTAGTAAACATTCATATTAATGTTTTAAAAAAGATTGCGCCTATACGTTAAATAAAATTTATTGTTACGGTGGAAAGCTTGAGAACAAACATTATGACAACAGCATTTATGCATTAGATTTGAACAGCCTATCTCCGGGACCAGTAACTGATCTGATAAATAAATGGACATTGGTCACTGTCAATCCAAGCCCAGGTGTTCCCCAAGACGAATACAGATATGCCAGTCAGTTTGTTCAGTTACCCGATGGCTCATTATTTTTTGACGGCGGATACAATGAAAATAATCCTCTTGTAGCTCAAAACATTACTTACAACCCTCAAAAAAATATTTGGAGTGTATTACCAGGCCCTGGTTATGACGATGTTAAAAATGGAGGTTACAGACAAATGTAAAAAGAAAATAATAGGAATAGGATCTTCTGTTAGAAGTTAATCTTGCTTTTGTCACAACATTTATAGATTCTCCGCAGCCGCAGTATATTTGCCTAATGTCAATAGAATCGCATATTACGGAGGAAGACAATTGTAAGCCTATATTGAGTACTTTATTTTAAGTATTATTGTCCTAACTCTATTTCAAGGAATGCTGTTCAGAATTTTACTTATACAAGTAATAAACCACTTGCTAATCTGACTTATGAAGTTACCTCAGAGTTGGATCCCACTAAAAAACTAGTTGAAAGTATTTATGGATATAACTACTTAACCGAGCTGAACCTCGATACGAGAGTACGTAATATCATTAAAAGATACATAAATTGCATGTACTGGTGCTTATATAAAATTCTGTCTAGGTATGGGCTGCCCGATCAACCGAACCTTTAGTTATAAACAATTTCCCGATCCAAATTAGTGATCAGACAGCAACATATCATCCGGGCACCAAAGCAATTATTTTTTTGGGTGGCTTTATCAAAAATGAGCTCCTAGTAGGTATGACACGTCCTCTCAATTACTTTTTGCTTTTTGATACCGAAAGTTCCTTATGGAAAACACAAAATACCGATGGACTGAATACACCAACTGCCAGACTTGGCCATACTGCAACAATGTGTATGTTTTCAATATGAGCATACAGTTGTTAGGAGATCATTAACAATTTTCTCATGTAGTAAATACCGGGGATGATATTCTCATGTATGGAGGTCTTCTCCAGTCTAAAGACGAAACAGTGGAGGGAGTTCGTATGTTTAGCAGATAATCAAAAATATATTTGATGTATGTTATCTAATATCCAGTTCTTACTTCTTAGTTTCTGCCGATTACTTATATACTTTAAATTTAATCACCTTCAGATGGTCAGTTTATGACAGACCACCTGATTCCATCGGTCCTAGAGCCCACCATTCAGGTAAAAATTCAGTATACACATTATAATATTTATTTTATTTACAATTTGGTACATATTGCTATATTTAGCCGTTCTTGTTAATGGCACAAGCTTGTTTATTATGTTTGGTCAGAAAAAATCAGAAACTGCCAACGCACTTGTTACTGCAAATGACATGATGGTACTCAACGTCACAGATCTGCCTTCTCTGACATCTTTGAGTACGTATCCCAAATCCGTAAATGGTGATTCTACAACAAATAAGACGTCTACTGACGGTCAATCTGGCAGTCAATCTGATAGTCAGTCTGATACCCAATCGAAGGGGCTTTCTGGCGGTGCTATTGCTGGAATAGTGGTCGGCATTGTGGCTGTGGTACGACATGAGCACATTTTTTTAAATTTTTGTAAAATTAATGTCTTTATATTTAGGTTGCTATTGTTGCTTTAGCAGCAGTCTATCGTAAAAGAAATAAGGATAAGGAAGAAAAAATGAAGGAGCTTCACGTTAACTGGGACGAGATAGATAATGAGTATAGAGAGGACCCACATTTCGGAACAGGGTTTTCTGTAGGTACTACAAATATGAGCACTACAGCAGCTTCGCCTACAGTATCCGAAAAGCCAAGCCAACATCACCATACCTATTCACCGGCTTTAGCAGAGACAAACTTGATAAAACCTGATGTTCATGATGATTTACCAACTAGAATCAAACCCGATGGCACCAGAAATAACTGATAAACAAACCATAATTTATAATAGAAACTTTTGACTTTTATAAGTTGCAGAAAGTTTATCTTCTTTTGAGGGTAACAATTCCCATAAAGCTTAAAGCTTAATTCTCGCTCTTTACAAAACACCCTAATCACAAAATTAAAATGTCAATAATGATACAAGAAAGTTACATGTTGTGTGTTACTATACCTCTTGCTGTTATACATGCGTCCCGTAGCATCAGTTTATTGTTGACTACACAAAAAAAAAAAAAAAAAAAAAAAAAAAAAAAAAAAAATGAAAAAACATTTTGAACCAAACCAAAAGATGTTATGATGACACTATTGTGTATGGTATAAATAGGTAGTTACGACTATACTTCAATAATATGCATAATGTTATAAATTAAGCGTGATAGTAGGACTCCCCTTTCTATTTACATAGCGTTTGACAACATCATACATATAATACTCCTTTTTAAAATCAATTCTGACGATGAATCGTTTTTGAAGAAAAAAGAAATTGCAGCAAAGCATTTCCCTTTGCTTTTACTATATGTTACGTAAAGGAGTGAGTATAGCCAAGCAGAATATTCCGCCTTGGCCAAAAAAATGCCTCAATAAAAAATCTGATGGCTTTCCATGAACCAAAGATAGTTCAACATAAAATGTATTGAGCTGTTTTTTGGGTGGCGTGCTGCTTCAAATATTTTGGGAGATAGCTTCTCAAAACCCCCCCCCCCCGTTAACGATTAGCACACAGTTAATGGAAGTACGATGTATTTTAGAGTAGTGTATATGTTTAATGTTGACTACCATTTAAAACCACTAAGCCAGGTACAATTATCTCCTAGCAAAAGACTTCAAAGGGTTATTCCCTTGAAAACACGTGCATTTGAATACCATTAATGTACGACGTTGAACTTTCTCCAACTAAATGTTTGAGACGGCATTGAATAACTGCACATAAATTTAGTGGCAAAAGAGTCTAAACTTTTGGTGGTATTAGTTCTAATTACCTTTCAGTATTTTCTTATTAGCGTGAAAGAGAAAGGCAATAGAACAAAATTTATAAGGATAAAGTAAAGGGAGGGTAGAAGAGCAACTAAGGCAACAAATAAACCCGAGTTTCACAGACAACAATATTAAGAGCAAGTGACGATAAAAATGTATCATACGTTATCATTTTAGTATCTGATTCACAACACTAGTGTTTGTTCTTATTATGTACAAGTTTAAGTAATCCTGGATCTAAAACAACGCCAAAATAGATTAATCTGGTCACATGAGACTCTTCTTTACCACACCTAAATTATTAAGATACTTTTTTAATGTTAATTTTTCAAATGGTTTACAACAATTGCAGAATATTTCTGTATCGGATGGGCCGAGTGATATATAAAGCACAAATTACGGGTTTAAATATCCTAATATTATAGTCATATTTCGTATGAATTATGCTGTATTATACCGCCGCCAACTAGCTTCTATTAAGTTTTTACTCAGCCATTCTGTACGACTTGATAAAACGTAGTATGAATGATAAGTCCTCATTAAATAAGCATTTAAAATTACAGCTTCTGTCTTTCTTTCCCTTAAATCTCTAAATTATGAAAGCTTCATTTCTGCTAAGCTGTATCTCACTGCTGATTGTGATAATCAAGTCGGAAAAAATTTCTCCTCGCGCCGGATCAAGTATAGTTAATGCATTTTTGTAATCGATGATACGACCCCTAATTTTTTTTTTATAAAAGGATGTGTTTGCTCATCAAATAAAATTTTCTGCTATGGCGGAAAGCCAGACAACGCAAATTACGACAACAGTATCTATTTACTAGATTTGAACAACATAGATAGAGGACCAGTGACTGATTTAATGAAAAAATGGACTGAAATAACGGTGGGCCAAAGTTCTGGTGTTCCCAGGAATGAATACAGGTATGACAGTCAGTTTGTCGCATTACCCAATGGTTCTATGATTTTTGATGGAGGATATAACGAAGGGGATCCACTTAAAGCCAAAACTGTTATATTTGATATTGAATCTTACACATGGAACATTTTACCTAATTTTGAAGACGCTAAAAATGGAGGATATAGACAAACGTAATAAGTAAAGGATGTTAAAATCAAATGGGAAGGATACCTAGTAAACTCTATATTGCATTTACAGATACTCTGGTACAGCAACGTATTTACCCGCAACTAAAAGAATTGCGTTTTATGGAGGAAAAACATTGTACGTATAGAAAATTCTGTCGTAATCAGTTAAACTAATTGCTATAACTTTTTTTTTGAAGAAATGCTGCTTTGAACTCTAATTTTACAACGAACAGTAGACAACTAAGCAACCTTACCTATGAAACAATTGCGGACCAGGATCCCACAAAAAAACTAATTGCAAGCAGTGTGGGATATTACTATCAGACATTTTTTAATCTTAATACCAATGTAACTATGTGCTTTGTGCGTATTAAGTTTACACCAGTACTTATCTGTTTTCATAGACATGGACTACAACTACAGTAGAACCTTTCCCGCCAAATGGATCTCCGCTTTTAACAAGTTACCAGACATCAACATTTCACCCTAGGACACAAACCATTATTTACATTGGTGGGTATTCACTCGATGACGCACTAAAAGGTTCTACAGTACCACTCGACAGTTATATCGCATTTAATACTGGGTCTACTACCTGGAAAGTACAAAATCTTACCGGGGTTAGCATCCCAGGTCCCAGATATTTGCATACTGCAACATTACGTATGTAATTTATATGGAAATAACACAAACTATCAATTTTAAATTAATATGCGGATAATTAGTACAAACAGAAGATGATATTCTTGTTTACGGTGGTGCGTTCCAGCCAAAAAATGCCTCACTACCGGCAGAGAGTATGTATAATGGACAGCGTATTAGTTTATTGAAATGTTTAAGTATTGATTTTTTTACCTAGTTGTCAGAGACTACATATATACACTAGATTTGACAAAGTTTTCATGGACAGCTCACAACAAACTTCCAGAACCAATGGGTCCCCGAGCCAACCATTCAGGTGTGAAAATATTACATAGTATTTTGTAATTACATTACAAAACTCATATACTTTTATGATATTATAGCTGTACTTGTTAATGACACACGTTTGTTCATAATGTTTGGTAAAAGAAGATCTGCAACAAATACTTCATTTGTTGCTACAGATAGTATCCTCGTGCTTAATGTGAAAGATCGTGCCGCTCCAGAGTTTTTGGATAATTACCCTCATCCCAGTGGTGAAGACGATCCTTTTTCTAGTGGTCTGACTGGTGGTGCTATTGCTGGAATAGTAATTGGATGTGTAGCCTTTGTATGTATTTAAATATTCTTATCTGCTTTGCTTTTATGAACTGAATTTGTCTATAGATTACTATTATTGCATTTGTACTTTATCGTATAAAGAGAAAAGGAAAGGAGGAAAACTTGAAAGAAATGCATGTCGACTGGGATGGGATTGATAATGGGTATCGAGAGGATCCTCCGGTTATGACAAGGTTTTCTTTGAGCTCTGGAAGTCCTGCCACTACAGCAGTTCCGCCCATTTATGTTCCATATGATGCTGAACATGTTGCTGAAAAGCCCAATGAAACATCCCAAGCGCATCCATCGGTATTGAACAATAATCACTTGATTAAACCCGATGTTTACGGAGACATACCAAGGAAAACAAAACCAGATAATGACAACAATAATAGAAGCATAGGTGGCCTATTATAAAGTACAAGTGATTCATTGCAGCTTATTGGGGGGAGTCATTAGTATTATCAACGAATGGACATCTATCATATTCATCCATGATGCTTCTCATGGGAATTCGTTACTGTTCTTGATTTGTAAAGTAAAGTCTTACTTATTTCACTTATTATGAAATGACATGAAGCCATAAACAAGTAAATGGCCTTCAATATTTATACTGTAGATGTAAACTACAGTTACTTACAGAGATAAAACATTTTGACTGTTAAGAAAGGCATTATTTATACATTTAAGTTGATTAAAAGTCGTGAAAAAAATACTAGAACATAACTATATATACGAGGTATTTACAGCTATAAGATGTCTAATATGTGAATTAAGAAAAAGTTGTAAGTCAACGAGAAGTTGGTAGTTTATAAATTAAGGTGTTTATTGCAGAGCATCAAGCATTATAAGTGGAAAAATTTGTCGGGGTCTTCTTTTTCGGAAACTATCGTAATGTTCTCAACGTAAATAAACTTCTCAATTTCGGGACAGACATTTTCAACATGAAAAAACTTGGGGGGATCTTTTTCATCGTTGTTAAAATCATCCACATGTAATCCTTCATCTGTTGTGCTTTCGACTTTTAGGTCTTGATCTGAACCTTTTTCAAAGTAAAGTATTTTTAATTGTTCTAGTTCCGCTATCCTTTCTTCTATATCTCGAAGATTAATATCTGCTGTGGGTTTAACGGATAATGACCTCTGTATAATGCTATCTGTTTCAGGTATGTATGAGAGCGGAGCAGATGCCATTTCGTTTTGTATGTCTATCGCTTGACGTATATGTGGCTGGGCCTCTTCGTTACCGTATTTTAATGCTTTTCGTAAATAAAATAATGCTAAATTGACATTCTTATCGGTTCCTAATCCATTTAGATACATTATCCCAAGATTGAGCCAGCCGTCATCACACACATAGAGGCTATTGTCACAAGCTTTAGCACATTTTATATACCATAGGAAGGCTTCGTCATAATCCACATTTACGCCATGGCCATGCTTATAAACGTCTCCCATACAATTGTACCCATCCTCATCCTCTAAATCGATTGCTTTCTGAAAGTATTCTTTTGCCCTATAATAGGATTGAGAAACTCCATGACCGTTCTGATATAACAATCCTAAGCAAGTATATGCATATCTGCGCGCCCCGTCGTTATTCTCTGCTTTTAAAGCAATTTCGTACATTTTAAATGCTTTATTGTAGGATTGTGGTACACCGAGACCTTTATGATATAACCAACCAAGATGGACAAAAGCAACAGCTCCAAGTGGGTTTTCGCTAGCCTTTTCAAACCATAATTTTGCTTCAATATAGTTTCGTTCGACTCCAAGTCCCTTCATATAATAAATGCCAATCCATATTTGAGAATATGGATCATGGTATTTAGCCGATTTTGTGAACCAGGAAAATGCCTTTTTAAAATCTTGTTCATTGTCATTACGCGAAGTAAAGAGAACACCTAAATAGTATGTCGAATCGGCAATTTTGTTATCAACACCTTCCAGCAAGTAATCATGAGCAGCTTGATAATCTTGATTAACTCCATATCCACCAACGGAGTATAATATCCCAAGAGAGACATATGATTCAAGATGATTGCTGTTTATGGCTTTCAAGAACCAGGCCAGGGCTTCTTTTAAATTTTTCTGAATGCCAAATCCTCCTTCGTAATACATCATACCGATAGTATTAAAATTATGTGTAGAAGCTCCTCCACCACAATTGAAAAACCAGAATAAAGCTTGTTTGTAGTCCTTTTCGATCCCGTATCCGCCACTGTAAAAAAGTTTACCAATAATGTCAGAACTTGACTTAGCATTATTATCATCGACGTCTTTCAGAAAAAAAATTGCTTGTTTGTAATCCACTTCAATTCCATCTCCTCCGGTAGCATATAAAAGGCCAATTTCATAACGGGAAGCGGCGTGACCATTTTCTAAAGACTTCTTTAGCCAATGCAAAGCCTTGACTGGATCTGATTTTAGTTCGCAAATGTCACCCATATACAACTTCCCCAGTAAGTACTGACTTTGAGCATAATCCTGGTCAGCAGATGATCGTAGCCATTTGATAGCTGTTCCGTAACTTTGCATGACCGGACCATCTTCTTCCATATAAATGATGGCCATATAATACTGCGCTTCGGATGTTTCTTCGATCTCAACAGATTTTTTGAACCAGAATAATGCTGACTTATGATCAACCGGAACACCTTGCCCATAATAATATAATAACGCCAATCTAAATGGGGCCTTTGTGATGCCTAAATTGGAAGCGTTGACATAGTATTCTATAGCTTTTGTTATATCCTGATCTACTTCATGGCCCCCGTTTTCATAAATATTGCCTACAAGATAGTAAACTAAGCTGTCTTGGGATCCATTTTCAATAGAATTTAATAATATTTTTAAAGCTTTTTTGTAATCCTGTTTAACACCTATTCCTCGGAGATAAAGATGTACTACTTTTAAACTTGCGTCCGCGTATCCTTCTTCAATAGCATTAGAGTAATGCACTAAAGCTGTATTATAGTCTTGGTCAATTCCGTATCCTCCTTCTTCCCATATTCGACCAAGTAGATAAGACTTGTAACCCGGAATATATTCCAAGCTCTTATCCATTGAAAACGTTTCTCTCAACCAGTATAATGCCTGCTTATGACTTTTTGCTACCCCAAGCGCGCCTTCTTGGTATACCTTACACATCCGAATTTGAGCGTCATAACATCCATACTCTCCAGACTTGGTGTACCAGAAAAGAGCTTGAGTAAAATCTTTGTCTGTACCTAACCCGTTTTCATATAAAACAGCTAGATGAAATTGTGATTGGGTGTGGTATTCTCGAGCAGCTCGTAAAAACTTTGCAAAAGCCTTCTCGTATTGAGTCCTGAGTAAGTATTTTTTGCCGCTGATAAAATATTCTGTAGGAGTTGAATCTGGAACACGGTTAAAAAATGTACTGGCGTTATCGGTCTAGCTTCTTACCATAAAGTATTCCCATAGCTTTACAAAAACTATTTTGGACAAGCGATAATGAAAAAAAGGATTTTTATTTTGTTTTGTGTTTCTCTTCTTTTTTTTTTTCAAGAAGGCTGAGCACATAGGTCTAAAAATGGCCTTTTCCGAAAATAACCAACGCCAAACAGGGGGATACTTATAAACTTAAAAAACAAACAAACTCTCGAATACATAGCAGTAGATATTAATGCTCAATGAGCTTATCAATAAACGATTATGGAATTTTCAAATATTTAATAATTTCACATCGGACTTCCCATAACCAATAGTTGTTTTTTTTAGCATTGAGCCGTAAATGTAGCGCAACCATTCATGCTTTTTAACATCATTTGAGCAATTAATATTGGCAAATTTACTCAATAACTATCGAAATTAGTGGCTTACGTACCGGTTCAAACGCGAGTTTTAATCGTTACCAAAATTAGCTTAATAAATCGATTGTAATAAATGATACAATTATATTATTAACTTTTTTTTTATTATTTATTTGGATAATATGATTTGGGTTGGAAAAAGAAGAGGTAGTACTTGTAGAGTGTGGACTTAGTGTTTATTGCAGGCAAAGGATATGTATGGTTTATTTACGATAGTATCGGTTACCTAAAAAGACTTGTAATGTTTGTATCAGCTTGATTTTAGATTCCAAGTTGTTGGTTGTCGTATTCAGCTTTTTTAATGCAGCCTCAGTCTTGACTAAACAGTCTACAATGTCGGTCACCGATTCTTGTCCAATCTCCATTCTCATGTCTTGTTGCATTTCAGGCTTGGTGACCCAAAGGGCAACTTGCGATGTTAATAAGACTGCACAGGATTGGATGAAATTCGCTAATTCCGGAGCTTGATGGTCTTTTTGTGCCTGGGTTAACATGGAAGTACCTGCAGTGATACATTCAACTAATGTGCCAAATGATGTGCTTTTGCTGATGGGGATTTGCATATCGGGGTAAACGATCGTATTACCAAATGGCCATTTATCATCACGTTCCTTCAAGATAACGTTCGCTTCTGTCAAAATCACCAATGTAGTCACCATGTAATGTGAGATGACAACGAGTGATTTCAACACCTGCTGCATAAATCGACTAGTGGTTGGTTTGCTCTCGGAGTCTTTATCGGCTGGGATTACTTGTGCATCTTGGCGTTCAATGTTATCCACTGGGTAAAGTTGTGCTTGCATCTGAACAGGGTGGTTGAAGAAATAACGGTAGCGATGAAGCAGATCCAATGAACAATCCTTAAAAGCCATAAACAGATTTTCCACCTTGATTTCAGAAAGTCTGTGTCGTTGATAGTGCTTGGATAAACCAAAAAACACCATGTTGATACGTTCAATTTCTTCCAACAAAGGTGTTGAAAGCGACTCATTAGGTATGAGACCAAACATGCTATCGTTGGCGCCATTGGCATTAGCAAAAGCCTTACCAATTTGAGGACTATAAATCTGTAAGAAGTTGACAGTTTCATTAAACACGTTTTGAGATGCACCGTGATGACGGTTTAAGTTGTTGACAATGCCCAACATTTGACACCAGATGTTGTGAAGGGGGTTACGTTCAACGTAGGCAGGACCGACCTTACTTCCATCACCGAAACGAATGAACAAATCCAATTTACCCTCTTGTAAGCGTGTTGTAAGTCTGTTGTTACGGAAGCAATCATAAATGTTGTTCAAAATGAGTTCGTTAGCTCCTTGTGGTATATTCGATAATTCAAGTAAGAAGTACAATGCGGATTCAGCGTAAGGGGTAATACTGAGGCTGTAAATTCCATTTGTAGCGCACTGGCTAAAAATTTAAACAGTAAAAATAATTAATACATTTCGTCTACATGGGCATTATACAAGTCTAACCTGTCAACTTCGTTCACAACAAGTTCTACACCACCAAAAAATAAATTCAACGCAGAGCGAATAGTTTCATTAGATTGGAGACTGGTACGCCATGCAACGATATCCAAGCGGTATTTGGGGCTAATCAAATCTTGTAAAAGAGAAATGACTACTGTCACATCCTTAATACAACTTTCAGCAACAAATTCAGGCACGAGAGATTCAGCAGCGCTGTAGGAACCGGCCTTGATTACCAGGACTCGGAAACTTTGACAAACGACATTCAAAAGCTTTTCAAGACAAGATTGGAAATCCTTTTCGACGGTGGAAAGATTACGCACGACAGGACCTAAGGTACGCAGACAGAGCATGACAGATTCCAACAAAGGACGATGGAAACGAATGGCTGTATAATCCGTGATACTCTTCATAATAGCAAAGTTCTCACGGTTCAAAAGGCCACACAAGCAAGACAAAAGTTCAAATGCCTTAGTAGCGTAATCCTTTTTGGCTGCAACATCAATACCAGTCAAAATGATTACGTTCTTGTTGATCCAATCCTCTGTCAAACCACGAATGAATTGCATCAATACGCTATAAGATGTCAAAGTAACACCATCCTCGCGTTCCTCTTCACTAGCGTTCTTGATCAATCCCATTAAAAATGCGTGAAGAGAAGCAGACCCTTGCAAGCTAGACTTGTTGGCCCAAATTAAATCAGATACACGGTTTGAAGAGGCCTCAATAAAGGTCTTGAAAGATCGAAGCAAAATGATTTGAGAGTCAACTACAGAACCGTTATAATTGACCTCTAAAACACTCTTGAGGAATTTGTTTGAGTATTGCTTGATATCTAATACGGCTTGTACTTCAGGTGTCACAATAATATTATCCAAGTTGGTGAATCCGTATTTACTGATGATATCCTTGAACAATGTGTGAACGCGAGTTTCGGCCATACGATAATCATAAAGGTAAGAATCACCATATTGACGAGCTTCACCAGCTGATCCATCATCGCCACAGCCACCAGTACTTTCCATCTTGAGTAACAAAACAGAGGTGTTGTCGATAATACCGATAGATTGCAAAAGATCCTCGGCACTACTGATAGCCTTCTGAGAAACAGAGGGGTCGAAATCGTTCTTCACATAAGCTTGGCGCATTTGTGTAAGCTTAGTAGGTTCATTGATCTTGTTCATCAAATTTTTGAGACCAGCAGGAAGTTTGTCCAACACATTTGTCGTGTTATTACCAAGTGCTCTTTCATTACCAGCAGTGAGATGAATTTCATAAGATAAGATTCGCATCACGAAAGCCTTACTCAAGTTGAGGCAACAAAGACGACGAACGCTTAAATCGTTTTGACTGATAGTGGATAAATCGTCTGTATCCATCAAATCTTGTTGTTGAAGATGACTGCCGGTATCGATTTCACTGTTGGGGTTTAATAGAATTTTACCAAGGGAGTCCCAGAGTGCATTATCAGATCGTGTACGTTCTACAAGTGCATAATGATCAAAAGCGGTTTGCCAGAAAGTTGCGATAAAACGCAAGACGTTGGATACAACAGTAGGCTTTTGCACCAAGAGAGTTTCCCAATGACCCAACACATCAATAGCTGCACGCACGGCAGATTCGGTGGGAGCAGGTGTAGGAGCAGCAGGAGCGCTTTTCTGGCCAGCCAAAAGACGAACAGCAGATTTAGGACTGGGTAAAATAAAATCGCCGCACTCCAAGAACAAAATAGCCAAACTAGGTTGTGTTTCCAAGAAAGCGGTCATCAATCTCCAGATGGCTGACAACAGGACTTCACTTTGGAAATGATCTTTAGCAATATCGAGGTAGGCACGAATGATCTTGTGCACTTGGTCAGTATTTCCAAGATATTGGACGAAATTGGGAGTGGACTTCCAGAAAGAAACGGTACGACATAAAAGAAACAAAACGTTGGTAGCTTCAATTTGCAACGCAATATTGTGACGATAATTGATGTGCTTCACGATGCGCAATAAGAAATCAGAACAATTGTTTCCTGTGGTACGTTCTAATAAGAGGCGCTCAAGTGTGCTCTCATCCATAGTAGTGGATCCTTCATTAATTTGTTCCAAACGGTATTGTAACAAGATTTTGACAAAGACAAACGTCATTTCTGTCAATTTCTCAACCTTTGCTGCTTCCTTAGGATGGTTGATTTTGTACAAAATATTGGCAGTTTCGGCACCCTCTGAAATTGTATCAAGCAAAGGAGAAATATGGTAGACACCACCTTCGTATAAAAAGTTATTAAAGATACCAGTACGAATACCATTTAATGATAGTCTACTTTGTTGAGCAGACACAGGTTCCTTAAAACCACGAGCAATTTCAGTAAAGATCTCAATCACCTTGGTGCCAATCAAGAATCGCTCTGAAACCTTCTTGTAACGCCAACTAGCATAAGATGGGAAGACATCCAACATGAGATAATGTAAGCAGAGGTACAAGACATCCACTTGATATTGACGATTAGGAACAGAGCCTTCATTAGCATTCACCCACCAGTTACGTTGAACATCACGAACAAGTCCTTGCACCATATCTAAAAAGGCCAATAATAAAGTATATCTACCTGTAGTACATTCAACTCTTGATACGATTTGCTGAATTTGAGCTGCAGGATTAATGACAAAAGAAGATGTGGCAAGTCTCGTAGAAAGAGGGATGTTGACGTTGGGTCTAGGTAAGATAGGAGCGGCTTGTAAGTAGGACCAGATATCATTACGGTAATGAGGAATCAAAAGAGTGAGACACTGTAAAGACAAAGTCATGGTAGGAATAGGGCATGGTTGTACTCTGCTGCATGAACTGAGAATATTGCAAATGACAGAAATAATAATAGGTGTACCGGTAGATTGACCAGGGATACGAGCAGCGGATTCAATATGTTGTACAAGGGAAGGTACCAATTTGGGATTATTCAATAAAACATTGTAAAGTAAATCAAGAATGCTGTCGATAGTTTCGATATTATTTCCCTTTAAACTTTCATCTTCATCCTTGATATCGATTCCGGATCCAGATGGATTCATAAATCCAGCCAAGACAGCTGTCAAAAGATGCCATCCAGAATAAGGCAAAGGGAATTGAACAAGACTATAATCTTCGCTGCTTGAAAGCAAAAGGCCTTGAGTACCTTCCAAAATCTCGATACTGGCAATGGTTTGTAACTCTTGAGTGACACGAATATTCTGGTTTGCATTGATGACAGCACGTCCATTTTCTTCGACAGCTGTGATTTGTACATTATTACCTAATTCGACAGTGATTGAAGGTACTTGGCAGAGATATCCGAATACATTTTCGGCTGCTTTACCATCCACATCATCATTAGCACCACCAGACAATGCTGATAAAAGTCGTGTGAGATCTGTGAAAAACACAGGAAATCTTCCACGTGCTGTTGCAAGTAAAGTATATGGGTCATCCTTTACATAATCATCATTCCAGAAAGCTTCACAAAGAGCTGCTTGGTTTTTATAGATGAGACAGTAAGCCTTGATCAAAGTGGCGTAACTATCGGTCGGTATATAATAAGGTCGAGTTGTGCTCAAGAAAGCCTTGAAAAGGGTTCTCAACACTGATCTGTAACCATAGTTGTTGACATCCTCTTCGCTGCATACTTCACTTTCTAAAATATCCGTCACGACTCCAAATACGTCCAACTTTAACGAACGGCCCAAGAAAATTCGATCCATATTGGGTTTTTGTTGGATTGAAATTTGACGTGCTTCCTCAAAATCGGTGCCATTGACCATGGGTCTTGTTTTTAAGATGCCTGAGGTGGATACTGATTGTGTTCCATTGATGATGGGTTGAATCTGTTTATAACTTTCCGGTACTGAAGTAGTGTCATCTCCGTTTAAAATACAATCTAAACAAGTGACGAAATATGACCAAGCTAACAAGAATGGAGCATGTTCATGTCTATCACCCAGGTATAATACGACTTGATTGATCTTTGCAATAACATCGGGCGTGTTAATCAAATCTTTATCAGTGGTGGATAGCTTTGTTTCGGTTGTAATTTCGGGTGAGAGAATCAAGTTGATGGAAAGTAAAGTACAGACGTGGGTAACACCTCTGCGCAACTTCAATCCCTCGTCATCAAGCACATACCCAAATGTTTGAAGTACGCCAAAACAATCTGATTCAAATTCTTGAATGATGCTAAATATGAAGGTTGGCTCGAAGGTTTTGCCAACACTGAAAAGGAAGATGATTTCCAATAAAGCTTTTTGTTCCCTTAAGTTTTGCTTGGCCCACACGCTAGCCCAACCGGGAAATGAATACGTACGATTGGGTACGTTACTGCGTACTAAAGATGCATATTGAGCAAACAAACGTTGAGGAAGAGGTGTGGATGAATTGATATCACGTAATTTCTGGAGTGTGTCTGTTGCAATAGTTGAATAAGGGTGCGATCCATCAAAGGCGATACGTTGCAAAGATCCAATACACTCTAAAAGAGAAATACGATCTTCATAATAAAAATTCACCACATTCATGATTAATTCGATGTTTTCAGAGAGGGCTTGTTCACTGTCGTTAAAGCGTGTCACGCTGTCTTTGTTTTCTTGTCTAAAGGCTTCCCACAGCTGAGCACATTGAACTTCATTAAGGTTGGTAATATCGGAAAGCTTAATAATCAGATCCTTTTCTTTTTGCTCTAATTTAATAGTCTTTCCATCGACAGCGACACTTGAACCTGAAGTCACTTTGGAACGAGATTGGCTTGAAGCTTCTCCAAATGCTTCTAAACCAAGTTTTAAATGTTCTTTCTTTTCCTCCAATAAGGTCTGAAGTCGATCGGTCGAGCATTGTTCAACACCTCTTTCGATTGTGTCAAACAGCTTGCGATAAGTTCTAGATTAATAAGACGATATTAGTTCTATCCCTCATTTCTTTCATGGACACTTTTAATTTTTTATTTTACCCTGCAAACTTTTCGTCTTGATCGTTCTGAACCATTTTATTTTTTAACTGTGTATGTATATGATATCAATAAAAAAAGGTGGAGAATACACAAACACACGTAAAAAAAAAAAAAATATGTTGTAAAACCTTTTGGTGTGTCTGAATGTTTTCTGAGGGCCAAAAAAACGCGTGAGTTCAAAAGTAAACGTCACTATGTGACTTTTTGTTGATTCGGCACTAGAATGCTCTAAAGCACTGAGTGTGCTGTCAGAATAAACTGAATGGGATTGGTATTCGATTATGCTCAAGTAGTTATCGCTGGCTACGTGCCATTACTTTAATAGTATAGAGAATATACAAGAATGGATATTTAAAATTCTAGGATACTTTAGGCCAGTCAAAGTGCAACACTTGATTGACTTTTATGGCACTAATTGTAGATGTGCTTCTTTAAAATTTGATGATAATGCTACAAAAGTACTTTCTGAAAGCATTGCTAGAATGTCATAATAAATAATATGAGTATCAAAACAATATAAAATGATAGCTAGTTCAGTAATTGGCTGTGTTTTATGATGATATCTACACAGGGTATGTCTCAAAAAAATAAAATAAGGACAGAGTAACAAGTTAGAATAAATGCTACCGAGAATATGGACCGCAATAAGTATTACTACTTTTCGTTTATAGCCAAATTATAGATGTGTATCCAATATATATATATATATATATATATATAAATTTCAGCTAAAACGTATAAAAAGCACTCATTCTACCGAAGCTTTGTGAAATACCACATGCAGTCTGGTACTCATGATTGAGCGTCTGCACCGCTAAATCAGGTCAATCTGTTCCTAGCTTCAATCATGTTTACACCGCAATTTATGCAGAAGCAAGAGCTAAAATGTATTAGGGGCCTCTCTGCATCTAGAGGATGCGAACTAAAATAAAAATGAAACATCAGAAAGAACCATCGCGGAAATATCAATTAAGATACGAAACTAACCTCTATTTAAAAAAAATAAGAAGCAAGTGACACCATCCCAAGATCCGTGATCAAAATATAATGTTGACAGCATGTGTTTATTGCACCCGAAGTCGGAATTATTATCCTTTAGCGGCGATAAACTAAGTGATCGCATTTGTCACCAAATGAAACTGAGACTGTACAAAAGGGGCCCCGTTACCAAACTATTCTAACCCAAAAGTCTAAGTGTTTTACCATGGAGCTATCGGCATACAAACCTTAAAACCTAATTTATAAAAAAGGACGATGAACATTGGTATACATATGCCTTTTAACGGGCCCTGTCCCTTTAGAACAAAGATTTTTTTTTTTTTTTTTTTGAAAACCAGTCTAACAACAAGGTAGGTTTATAGATGGTATCACAAAAAAGTATGGCGTCAAAAAAGCAAACATACCAAAAACAAATTATTCACACACATGTTCTCTATCAGCTGTAAAATTGTTTCCTTCTGACACACATGATGCTTTAGACTGTAAATGTTGTCATGAAAGAACCCTAAAAAAAAGGTGGCCCCCTCACTCACCCCCCGGACCGAACAATTGAATAGCCAATGAAACAGAGCAGTGCTGTAAAAGTCCGCTTCAAAAATGAAATTTTTTTTTTTTCGATGTCAAACAAGCTGGAAAAACCCATAATAGAGTATATACTTTTTCCAATTAAATTGAATTTATAACATGTGTAAGATTTCATATTTTATTTTTCGAAAATAAAGACAGGAATGGGTAGGAAGTATGTAAAGTAACAAATTATATTGTCTAGCTGGAAAGAAGAAGGCTCAAAAGATGTCATTATCTGACTTTTTAGCTGATGATAGTAAGATCCGTACATTTATAATCATGTCCATTTATTTACCTCCTCATTTATTTTAGCCACTGGTGGTTCATCTTGGGCTGATGATGTTGCTGATCTCCCCTCTGCCCGTAAGTTTTATTCTTTTATAAAAAAAAAAATTTTTTTTTATACCTTTTGCTCATTCAATTTTTATTATTATTATTTATAGCTGCTGGTAAGGAAATATAAAGCTGCGACTGTCTAAGTGTAGGGTTGGAAACTAAAATAACAAATTAGGCAATAGCGATAGATCCGATGCTTATGCTTCTCGCGGATTCGGTGGTGGTAATGACCGCAGTGGTGGATTCGGTGGTGGAGACCGTTACGGTGGTGAACGTCGTGAAGGTGGTTTTGAACGCCGTGAAGGTGGTTTTGAGCGTCGCGAAGGTGGCTTCGAGCGTGAACAACGCACTTATGCTCCTCGTGCTCCCGTTGAGCTCCCCACTCAACCTCCCTACACTGCCCATATTGCCAACTTATCCTTCGATTCTACTGAGGATGATTTGTCTGACTTATTCACAAACTTAAAGATCCAAAAGATTCGTCTCTTGCGTGATCGTGAGACTGACAGATCTAAGGGTTTCGGTTATATCGAATTCGATGATTTAGAGTCTCTTAAGCGTGCTTTGGAATTGAACGGTGAAAACGTTCAAGGTCGTAGCATCCGTGTCAACATTGCTGAACCCCCCAAGAACGATGAACGTACTCGTGGTCCTGATCGTACTGATGTCGACACATGGAGACGTACTGGTCCTATTGATTTACCTGAACAACCTCGTCGTGAATTCAGAGAAGGTGGTCGTGGTGGTTTCGGTGGCCGTGGTGACTCCTCTTGGGGTGCTCGCAGTGGTGGTGATAGCTTCGGTAGCCGTGGTAAGTTTATTTAATCTTAAAATGCCTTCAAAAGTTGCTAAGTATTCCTCGTTAGACCGTCCTTCTGAACGTCCCCGTCTCAACTTGAAGCCTCGTACTGTCGAGACTGTTTCCGCTACTCCCGCTAAGAGCAGTGGTAAGCCCGATCCTTTTGGTGGTGCCAGACCTGTTGATACCGACAAGGCCTTGCATGATATCGAAAAGAAGCACGATGAGCCCACCAAATAAAGCAATTTATTTTTCTACACGCACGAACACACGCACACCGGAGGGGGGGATACGATCCTTATTTAGCGGCATCTAAAACAATCAAGCCCTCATTATTAGTTTATAATATTAATAGATAAAAAAAAACCTTTACATTTGTCAAAATTGAGCCACGTTTTTTTTTACATGTATATTTTGGGCGGAAATGGAAAAAAGGTTAAACTAGTGGAACTATGACGTAAAATAGTTGATTTTAATGATAGTGTTGAAAAGGGTAATACAAAGCAGTAATTTGCTGATATGAGGGAATTCCAGCAACTTATGGCTCATCGCCATCGATAGTGACATAAAGTATAGTGCAATCACACGCCCTACTGATCACTATCCTTCTTTTTTCTTTACATTATCTGAACCCCATGATCGAGATATGGTAAGCAACGTCAGCTGTGAAAGAGAGTGTGTATGTGTACCTATGTGTAAATGATTAAGTGTGTGTATGTGTGGCGTGCTTACTATCCCCCATGTGCGCCACTATGACTTTACAACCATTATGAAACATGCTCTTCATGTTCCTGAATCTGCCATTGGCAAATGAAATTGCATAGAGAAAACTTTAAATTTGTTAGTACAAAACTCCATAATTTTTGAAATTACACCCGTAATATGAGTCTTTGGGTCTCTAGTATCTTATTCCGATAAAAATCAGATACGCCCGAAGATGGCTACATACAAGCAGGTTCTAATCTGACAATCAACGATTTCTATAAATGGCAATTGAATACGGATCAAACGATGTAACACATGCATATATATCCAACGTAATGAAAAAAACGAGACAGCGTTAGATAAAAATCTCCATTGGTACTAGTAACAGAGAGTCCTAGAATTATAATTCAGTTTAAGGACATATTAATTTTGGTATTTCAATTGAAGTCAAAGGGGCAGAGAATCAAAACATTAAAGGTCCAGTTATTTGAAGATCGCAGCATCTCAAACTATTCCCCTTGATTAGTGCTTGCATTTTTTAAAAACAGAGCGTCATGTCAAAGCCCATGTTTTTTCTTATCTGAAAGAGTCAATGAAGATTTGGTTTAGTTACATGACTTTTTAATATGCGCTATAACTAAAAAACTATATTTCCTTACGGAGTAATAAAGTTATAGAAATGGTTGTTATCGGCTATTTAATTAGAATGACGCTTTCTAGTAAAGTGGTTGATTGTCGAAATCGGGGGGTAGGCTTATATCAAGGCCCTGATAGATAATATGCCTTGATTTATGAGATAAAGGATTGGCTGCATAATCCTCACTCAAATCATAAACCTTAATTTCATAACAAATACGTATTTTCTGCTTAATCATTACATGTGAGAACAGATATTCACACTGACATATTTTCTGCAAAACAATAAAAAAAAAAATTGTGCGGTAGACACTAAAAATGCACGGCGTTGAAATTTCGGGACCGACAATTTATCGCACTGATATGGTAAATAAGATAAGGAACATTTTTTTTTTTTTTTTTTTTTTGATGATGTCAAAGGGGGTTGGGTGGGGAATTAGTAGCTTCCCCTTATAGCTCTCTGGTCTCTCATTTTTTCTTGGTTATTTAGTCGGCGATAGATAGAGAACGTCATTTGGGCCATTTCTGGTAAGAGGATAATTTTGATAGGTTTCGTTACTGAATCATGTAAAACGTTGACCATAAGAGAAAGGGCACCCTGATGTTTAATTTGGCCACGACTAATTTTAAGAAGAACCTCCGATCATTTAAGGTAATGACATAGAGAAAAAAAAATTGAGTTTCAGATTAATACTGTTTGTTCCCCCGAGCACGGGGCGACCCTTAAATTCGGGCATCAAATAATTGGAAAAAGTATATAAAGACGCAAAAGTTTTTCATAAGTTATTTTTCTTCATTATTACCAACAATAACAAATTACATTAACAATATGCCTGCTCTCGAAAAAGTTTCAATCATCGGATCCGGTAACTGGGGTTCTGCCATTGCCAAGATCATTGGTTCCAATGCTGCTCGTCACACTGATCAATTTGACTTGACTGTTCGTCAATGGGTTTTTGAAGAAACTGTCGATGGTCAAAACTTGACTGATATCATCAACACAAAGCACGAAAATGTAAAGTATTTAAAGGGTATTGCTCTCCCTCATAACGTTGTTGCTATTCCCGACGTCGTCAAGGCTTGTGAAGGTGCTACTCTTCTTGTCTTTGTTGTTCCTCATCAATTCATCCATGGTATTTGTGAAAAGATGAAGGGTCATTTAGCTCCCAATGCTCGTGCTATCTCTTTAATAAAGGGTCTTGAAATTACTGCTGATGGTACTCGTATTTTCTCTGAAGAAATCTCTCGTACTCTCGATATTCCTTGTGCCGCTCTCAGTGGCGCCAACATTGCTAATGAAGTCGCCCTCGAAAAGTTCTGTGAATCTACCATTGGTTGTACTAACTTGGAAGATGGTTTGATCTTCAAGAGATTGTTCGATACACCTTATTTCCGTATTGCTGTTGTCCAAGATTATGTCGGTGTTCAACTCTGTGGTGCTCTCAAGAATGTTGTTGCCGTTGGTGCTGGTTTCTCTGATGGTCTTGGCTATGGTAGTAACACAAAGGCTGCCATTATTCGTTTAGGTTTGATGGAAATGAGAAAGTTCGGTCAAACTTTCTTTGGTGATGCTGTTCAAACCGAGACTTTCTTCGAATCTTGTGGTGCTGCTGATTTGATCACTACCTGTAACGGTGGCCGTAATCGTAAGGTTGCTGAAGCTTTTGTTCTCACTGGTAAGCCTCTTGATGTCTTGGAAGCTGAGTTGTTGAACGGTCAAAAGCTTCAAGGTACCTTGACTGCTCAAGAAGTCAACCAATTCTTGACTGCTCGTAACATGACTCACGAGTTCCCTCTCTTCAGCACCGTTTATCGTATCGCTTATGAAGGTGTTTCTCCTGAAATGATCACCGTTGATATCTAAATCAATCATAGCACATCCATTTTTCTTTCTTTATTTCAGATACCATTACTTCCATTCTTCTTTTTTTTCTTATATGTAAATATTTCATTCTAGACTCTTTAAAATAAATCTTTTTTTAAATTGCAAATCGCTCTTTTTCATTCATTTAATCAATAATTATGGAAACGATTAGCTTGACGTCTCTTTGCAATGCCAAATCGAGATTTGTATATACAAACAATGGCGATCCCTCACATACAGCGCTCACGGCACCAATTTGCGTCTTTTTAAATACCAATTTGCGTAAGTTTAATTGGTCAATTTGCGTCAACTCAGAAACCAAATTGCGTTTTCCCTGAATCGTCCATAACACATTTCGCGTTATTTATTTTGCTGTATAATTTATACTTGGTTTTCGGACCTGTTCAATAAAATTTCAAACATTCTCTTATTTATTTTCAGACTTAATCAGACAAACTCCTTTTACAGTTAACGCAATTAAAGGGCGGTTTTTTTAGAACCAAAAAGGGGCGATTCTATAATACAAATATATGTTAAATGACCCGTCCTTTGGAGTTGTGTTGACTGTATTCAGATTTACACCATTCCTGGAAGTAAATTGCGCACTGGTCGAAAAAAAATTGCACAACAAAGAAAATATCCCAAACTGCGCAAGTAAAAAATAAAGATTGCATAACTGTGTAATCTTAGACCACCGCAAAATTTCTATCGCGGTCAATTTTTGATCAAATAATAACCAGCAAAAATGCGATGAATTTTTGACCGCAATCGCCGCGATGGCGGTCATTTTTCTCACCGTAATCGCGGCGATGGCGGTCAATTTTCACACTTTTTGACCGTAATCTTCGCGAATGCGATCAATTTCTTCACTTTTTGACCGTAATCTTCGCGAATGCGATCAATTTCTACACTTTTTGGCCGTATTTATCAAGAATGCGATACTATTATTGGCCGTATTTCAGCGGTATCCTTAAATTATCCCTTGCTTATCAAATTTTATACCCTTGTATTATGAACAGTTATGTGTTTATGTTATGAATAATTTTATTAAATGTTTATAAAATAATAACGGCAAAAGGGATTATGGATTATGAGGTGAAATTACAGGTAAAATGGAAGGGTATTATACAAATAGAAAAGCTACATACCTAAAATTAAAAATATTAGTGGGTGGCTTATGTAGATTACAGTGCTATTTTATTTACCTTATCCTATCGCGTGCTTTGTATTGATACGTAAGAGTATTATACGAATAGAAAAGCTACATATCTATAATTAAAATTATTAATGGGCGGCTTACACAGGTCACAATCACTTATTTATTTACCTTAGCCTAGCCTAGCGAGAGTTTTCTATGCATTATATCTATAGACTACAGTGTTAGAGTATAATACAATCAAATATAATCACTGGCTTACATTACAATTGAATGGTTACAATCAAAAAGAGCAGGTTTAGTTAGTTGCACAGAAGAATATTGAACTTACCTTCACGGATGCCAGAAGTCCACTAACTGGTTTACCTTATGTTTAGGGATGGGATGGGGGCTGGACACCTCTATATTTACAAAAAAAATTGTATTGTCATACACATACATCAAAGCTAAATACAAAAAAATATTGTTGGGGAAAGAAAAGAAAAGATTTTATTTCTAAGAAAAAATAGAAGATTTTTTTTATACAAAATAAAAAAAAAATATCTGACGTGATACAAAATCTCAAACCCAGTCCATGAACCAAATCATCCGTTTTGTTTCTCTTATAAAATCATCAATAATTGTCGTAAAGAACTATTTTTTTCGACTAAATTATTCTAATAAATATTTTTTAACCTCTAAGGATAGCAAAATCAATATTTGAAGCTATTTGTTTTTTTTTCGGAGTTAAACTTAGGCGATTGCGGTCAAAATTGGATATTATCGCCAAAAATGCGATATGGTCAATTTTTGACCGCAATCATGGCGATTGCGGTCAATTTTTAATAAATCGTTCTTGAAATTTTGCGGTGAGAGAGGTTCTTTATTCAACTGTAATTGTAATTTTGCGTTGGATTGACTGTAAAATCCTCCAAGATCCTCCTCCAAATAGACGCTGGTATAAGTATCAACTATTCTCATAAATCTCCCTCCTTTAACATATGTTTACTTCTCAAATATAGTTCTTAATGTGGGGTCGTCATTCGAAGATTGCCCCAAGTTTTCTTCCATCAGTATCTTCAACAAGTGATGGGTATCACAAATATCATCCTACATGTAAAAAAGAATCAAAATCAGAGAATGAAATGGTTTAGGGTGGGTTGGGATTTAAACGTACGAAGATAGTGGCTATCAGTTCAAGAAATTGAATAAGTAACATGCGATCATCCCAGGAAGATGGTAGTGTTGCTGTTCGTTTTTCTATGAAGGGTGTTCACTCATGATTTTGTACTAAGAGAGAACTACTTTTGAGTGCGAGATGGAACGAGGTCAAGGTATATCGTAGAACTTCCATTAAATCAGCAGCTTTATTTGTCAGCCCGTCAATTTCAAAATTCCATACTTGCTGAACGAAAAATTCTGTATTATTATTTTTTAAAAGGCTGCAGGTGTTCTAGTAAATTATGTTGGCGAAAGGATTTGTTTTTTAATTGATCCTGTTCACAAGCTTTATAATTGTCTGATGTGACGGTATTGCTTGACGCAAAGGACGTTCCAAAGTATACTAAATCCTCTAACACATTTAGTTGACTTTTTCGAGGTTTTGGCCGGTGTCGTTCATCTGATTAATAATTAGGTGTCATTAAATGTGATACTTCTTTTGATCTTCGGCCACAATCACATTATTCAATATGTAAGAGTATGAGTACTATGATTACAGTAAGATAAAGGAACCACAAACCGTTTGACAAGGTAGGTGCGCAGAGTTTGTGGTTTCATTCAGACGCTTGTTATTCTAAAACAAATAAATTAAAATAAACAACAGGCAAAAAAATCAAGTTGAGGCTCGTTACGTTTTTGTTGCATGTTATGCTTGTTGATCCACCTCCATTCATAAAGTTTCCAGAAAACTTATTGATGTATTCATAGTAATTGGAGTTTTGGGACTAGAAGAATCACAAAAATTCACTTGGGCATCTTGACTTTGGGCTACGTGTTCGTTTTTATTTTCATCAGTATGCAAGTTTTGATTTACGGATGCTTCTGCGCTGGATTTTTGTTCATTTTCTTCGATATTATCAAAACTGGTTTGTTTAAGGCAGTTCAAATTGCCAAGTTTCTGAAAGTAAAAACAAAAGTCAATAAATAAACTCAAGACGTTCCAGATTATATTACCATGACTTGTTCTAGGATAGGATCGATGTACTTTTTCAGTGAACTTTGCCCGGCTTTGAACCTAACCAAGTCTGATTTTAATATCCCAAGGATATCGAAAAAAGTGTGGTCAGGGTAATTGGTTTAAAACTGACCAAGTTTTTTTCCGCCTACGTATCTAAAAAGACGTTACAGTGTAAAGGTGATCGGACCAAAAAATGTAATAGAGGACTCTTTCAAAGCTTATAATTCTTCATGGGATATCAAATATTTAAAGGAAAAAAAGGATCCCATTCTCATGGTTGCAACAGGCAATATGGACCAGCAACCAACGGTCTCTGGGTTTTTAGGAAGGGCTTTAGAAGAGAAATTTTATTTGGCAGTTATTGCACTAAGAATACTGCCATGTATTCCATTGGTTACAGAGACTTTGAAAGATATGGTTCATCCAGACACAGGCCCCGTACAAATTAGCAAAGGTGTTAGAGAAGGATATTTTTATGTAAATCTGTCACTCAATCAACATTTTACGAATGGCCCTGAATTTTAGCCTCTAATACAGCGGATGAAGAGCTTGGTAAAATTTAATTAAAATAGTGTCTGCACAAAATTTAATTAAACTTCTAATGTTGCATTATATCAGATGATTTTGAATTAGAAATTCTTGAAAGAGATCGGAGAAGATCAGGCAATGTTCATGATGACGAAGACGAAATTGAAGAGAATACATCCAACTGCAATACAAAAAGCAGAACAAATAACCAGAATTTCGATGAAGATGATGATGAAAATGAACCATATTTCCCAAAAAACAATAACTATGACAATGCACGAAGATTTTCGGAATTCACTGCTGCTTCTTTGCAGTCGACAAATTTAAAAGAACCCATTCAAAAGTCATTGACAGAAGATGAATTTTTGGTAGAAAATGTGACATGACTGAATTAAATAATGAGAAGGGACTATTAGCAGATCACATAAATATTTTAAGCTGTATTATTATCCGTTTTGACTATTTGCCAAAACCATCTTTTGCACCTTTACAGTAACTGTCCAAAAATTCGAAAAAAAAAAAAAAAAAAAGATTTGTCTAATTTTTGAGACAAGACCGTCGATCTAACTTTTTCAAAAGTTGGATATTTCGTGTGCTAGTAAGTCTCATACATAGCATAATTATGTACTTGCATGCTGGGGGAGGCTCAATGACAAATCAAGGTACATCATGCCAATAAAAGAATTCTGACCTTATACACCACTATATTTCCCATCTCACAAATGATGTCATTAGTATTTGGTGACGGCAAAACGAACAAATTCCGAGAACTAGTTTAACCGGATTTGATTAAGCCACTAGATAACTTCACCTTAAACAAACATGTCAAAAGTAACATATTTTAAAACACAATTCCCTTTCAACAACGTTGTTGAGACTTCCCCTGTACTTTTCTCGGAAGATGCACAAAGTTTGTCGATGTCGAATCCAACATTAGGTGGGCAATGAAGACTGTCAACTCTTATTTTCCCAACAAAAATAAAAAAATTGCTTTGAAGGATGGCGATTATGTTAACAATCATCGGGTTGTTAAGAAATGCCAAGGATCGATTACGCGTATTAATAGCGCTTGCGTTTTGTACAAAAAGCAATGCAAACCCCCTGTCAATCCGAGTGTATAATGAGCCATAAAGTGAATGGATCTAAGATGATAAAACACCTCCACTCTGCTTATGTACAAAAATATCTGACTAACGATCAGCAGTAATTTCCTTGTTTGTATTGACAATCTCCACAAGCAAATTCAAATAACCACATCTGACATGAACATATCCCAGTAAATTATTAAAATATATTATGGCACAGCTTATTTCTTTCTTTTTTTTTCTTTTAAAATGTATATTATAATCAATAAACATTCAGACAAATTCACTTTGCATTAAATTCATGCATTTGTGAGATACATGTCTGAGTGACTGGTTTTCCGTTCGATTTTCGTTTAAACAAATACCCGTAAAATTACGACAACATTTTTTCCCACCACCCTTTTTCACTTAATTCTTTTTTTCTACTTCAATGTACATTTATTTTGTTAGATTAAACCTTCCGTGAACAGCTTGCGTTGTCTCAAGTTGGTCATTCGTCGGTGGGCTTTCTGCGGTGGCTCTTTGAAGTCCGGGTCTGTTCGCCGGTAGGTGGGTTCATGAACGTGTTGTGGTGCTTTAGTCGTCTCGGGGCTTTCTGCAGACGTTGTCTTTACTGGGCTTCTCGGGTCTGTTCGCTTGACGATGGAAAGTGGTTGTCTTAGGTTCTGGGGGGCTATATTTGTGGGAGGCTAGTTCTTTTTGCATTTAAAGCATTCATTTCCACTTTTACAGTGCTTCATTTTCGGGGGCTTGCTGCGGAGGCTCTTTGAAGTCCGGGTCTGTTCGCTGAAAAGACAACACGACATGGGATCTGGGGGAGACAACTTGTGATCTGGGGGTTGGGAATAGATAGTCTTCACCTTCTCGTGGTTATTCCCGTAAGTAAAAGCTTGTTGCTTTGAAACTAAGAGAGACTTACAGTTTATGTAATTTATATTTTATTGAAATAAAAAAAAGCTTATTACTTGTGTATTTGTTATAAGCATTTTCTCTTAATCATTATTTTTAAATTAGACTTGTTCTTACTTTCTTTTATAAAAAAAAAACGGGTTATATTTGTAGAGGCTCTGCCGTGGCAAAATATATTAGATCGTTTATTGCCAAGTGCAAATACAAACTACCTTAGACTGTTGTGTTACAGTAAAAAAAATGATATGCTATGTACTTTATGATAGACTATCAACAAATATGTCTTTTTTTTTTTTGCAGGAAAAGACAGTGTGGCTGTCTTTTAAAAGTTTATTTAATGTCGTTGGTAAGGAATCCACGAGGAAAAAAAGTACAGTGCACGGATTGGTTGTTAACGGATGAAATCGTCGTTTTGTTAAAGATAGAAGTGGCCAAATATAAAAGGAGTCATATCCAGATATCAACAAATATTTCATCTGACCTCCTTGACAGTATTTTCGGTTGTTGATTTAACAGATTAATGCATACCAGGATAACTAATTTCGATTAGCTAAATGTCTTGTCCTTCACCAAAGTTAAGCAATGTGGAGAGTGCTTTTGCTGTTAACTTGTCACATACAGTCATATATATATATAGTATTTAAAATATTATACCTTTTCTATCTTCTCTCTTCTTTAAAACTATAACGAATAAACTAGCCTTCTAATTCTCCATAGAAGAATGACATCCAACTACATTTCATACAAGAGTCTATCACCTCTCATACACTAGTCCATCGTTATGCCCTGGAATCCGATAAATGCATACAATACATATGGGACCTTGAATACCATCGAGCTCAATCTACCTAGGGGTTGGATCCCACGCTTGATTGAAATACTTATCGAGATAGCAATAAGATTTCTTTCAAGTGTATTCAAGTATGTATTGTTCACATCAACCCAAATGACCAACCAATGTATAAAATTGTTAGTAACTGTCACATACAGTCATGTATATATATATATATTTAAAATATTGTACCTTTTCTATCTTCTCTCTTCTTTAAAACTATAACGAATAAACTAGCCTTCTAATTCTCCATAAAAGAATGACATCCAACTACATTTCATACAAGAGTCTATCACCTCTCATACACTAGTCCATCGTTATGCCCTGGAATCCGATAAATGCATACAATACATATGGGACCTTGAATACCATCGAGCTCAATCTACCTAGGGGTTGGATCCCACGCTTGATTGAAATACTTATCGAGATAGCAATAAGATTTCTTTCAAGTATATTCAGGTATGTATTGCATGTTTTCTTCAGATTCCGTTTATAATGTTACCGAAGATAAGGAACATGAGTCGTAGCAGGGTGTTCATAGCATGCGAGACATCTGTGGGCCCCAATAGAACCAGGAATAATACAAGGCTTATGGGGGCCATTTTTTTTTTTTTTTTTTTTTTTTTGGGTATTGGGGGAAAAAAGTGCTTCGCGCTTACAGTTTAAAAATCAAAAGCAATTGTGACGTAATTCTACGTAGTAAAAAAAAAAGGCCTGCCAGGTTAGAATACTGGGATTTATGCTGCATTTAAAGTGGAGGAACGGACTCCGTTATCCGTGTTCATGCATGCGCTTATCAGTGTGTATTGTCAACATCAGTTTTTGGGCCCTGATGGTGGAACCAGCGTGAACGAACCTTCTCGTGGTAGTAGCCGTGCAAGTACCCGCACAATAATGTTTAAAAAAAGTATATTTATTACTAGCACAACATACGTGATTTATCTATCAAGTCTACATGAAATCTTCTTCAGCAGCATCAATGTCGTCTACTTCAGTCTCTCTCCAGTTACTTTTCATTTGATTTGTATCAAACAAATCATTAATCTCCTTTTCAGCTCTTCTCTTTTCCTCGGCTAAACGACGAATTTCCTCTTTCTACATGTACAAACGCCCTTAGTTGTTGCATCATCTACAAATTGTAATCAGGTTTACCTCTGCAAATTCACTCAAACGGGCAGTCTTCCTATCGATTTTTTCTCTTTGAATTTTTTCAAGCATAAGATCAGGTTGACGCTCTACTTTAGTCTTGTTCAAACGATTCACAACCTCATTGATACGCTTTTCAACAAACACACGTTTCACTTTTTTATTATTGTGAAAGGTGACTTGACCAGTCTCCATGCCGGGTGTCTTCTTAAGATTATCCCATGGAGTGTAAATAACAGTAATTCCGTTCTTCTTATTACCTTCGATACTATTGGCTTTGACCAATTGTGCACAATCATCAACAACCTCTGCAGGAATATCGAGCCATGTTTGTCCAGGTTGTAAACGGACATAAACGTGAGCACTTGAGAGTTTATCTACATGGAACTGTTTCATGCATGATTAATTAATATTACACTTTCTTCAAAAGAGGTCGTTAACCACAAAGTTAAAATAAATTACCCTAAAAGTATACACGGTTTTGTTAAATATTTTATTTTAAGTATTGCCCATAACTGGGTATTTACCAAATATCCTCGGGAAAACCATAAGTAATCAAATCGTCATCTATATGAGTCGTTCGTCAGTTCGTTGAAGCATGTGCTTGTAATGTCCATACTTTCAAACTTATCCTTTCCCATGTAAATGGTAACAGGAGGGTCGACAACTGCAATAAAACAAAACTGAGTACATATCCAATTTATTGACAGGTGAAAAGAGACATACTGTTACTAGTGTAATATAAAACCATGGCTTACGGGTAATGGAATGAAGAGTCAAAAAAACAGGGGGAAAAGGTGATTTTAAATGTACAGAATTTTGAGGCTTATTTAAGTGACCATCTATCATTTTAATGCTTTATTTTGACCCAGTTTTAATTTTTTCTTTTACCTCCTCATCTCTCATCTTGAACTTAAATTAAAATGAAGCCCAAGTCTAATTTCAAAAAGAAAACAAAGAATACCGATATCTTATCAGCCGGTAGTAAAATCTATGCCAAAAAGAGAAAGATTAAGAAAGAAACAGTTGAAAGTGTCGATTTTGATCCTGTTAAAAGAACGTAAGTCTTTCACATGACGTGATTTTGCATAAATAGACTCTAAATTTCTTATCCGATCATAAGTGAGTTTTTAACAGGTTTCCACAAGCGTAAAGTAGAAAGAAAAAACAAGACCAGAGAGAAATATGCTTTATTAGCAAAAGAGGAGAAACTTCGTAACCGTAAAGAGGTGAGAGAGCAACGCCAAGCTTTAGCTGAAAAGAACGTACAGGAAATGGCAGCCATGTTGCGAGTTTCTGTCGGTGGTCCTGAATTCGAAGGTTTTGAGTCTGAAGAGGAGACTGAGGAAAAGGTCGTCGAAAAGAAGGCTCCTGTTGTTCAAGAGTTTAAAGATAAGACTACTTTAACAACAGTTACCGTCATTGAAGATTTGGATTTAGATGCCGAATAAACATTATCGAAAATCAAAATTGTACATATATCCAGAAATTTATAGTATCATAACAGCAATAAAAACAAATTTGTAAACAATAATGTTATGGCAGCATGATGGGCGGGGTACTTACTGTGAGATTAATTTACCACCAATCACTCTCTTTCAACCAAAAAAGTGTGGAGTCAAATCATCTCAACATGTTTAGATTTAATTATAAGCATATGTTTATCGTAATGAATTTGCATTTATTATAAGACAGTATGTTAAATTGACCTCTTTGTCTCAGCTCAGCTAAGGAATGCGATCCTCTATTACCACTACGCGCACCCCGGATGTCCTTAAGAAAAGTGGCTGTCCCTAAGAGACCCGTTTTATTTATAAACGCGACACTTTAATTTTTTTTTCTTGCGATATCCTTTTGGCAAAAGGTGTATATTGTATTATAAAACAAGTCTGCAACTGCTTTAATTTTATTTTTTGATGCGCCTAATTTTTTTTCCAAAAGTGCGTCAATAATTTCGGGAAATAGTGTACTGACATTAGTCCTTAACATTTGATTTTATGCTATTAAATACAGCCATAATTGAGCTTTTATCATACTGAATAGCCGTAGTTATTTTGGATGAATTTAAAAATAATTTTACTGAAAAGAGCAATAAGCCGATGGTACTGCTAAAGAAAATTATACAAAGTAAAAACATCGAGTTTTTCATAACATGTAAAAGTAAAAATTCTGTTATATCTATTATCATGAATCACAATGTGATTTTATTCTTTGGAATTGGGTGTTATTTTCGTTCGCATACCCTGGTCAATGTCGGGTTTTATGGGGGTCGAATTTGCTAAAGCTGGTGAATAGGCATTGGATGATTGACCTTGATTTTCTTCTGAGATATCAGGTGGAACTACAGTATTGCTCATGTTTGTAGAATCTCCAGAAAACTTTGCTCCGAATGGTGAGACATCTCTATACCCACCATCTATTTCATCCCAATCAACTTGAAGCTCCTTCATTTCGTCTTTTTTACTCTTATTTTTTTTGTGATATATTGCCGCTAAAGCGATAATAGCGACCTATGCAAATATATCAGTTTCTATTAAAATAAAAAATGTGTTGTATTTTACCAATGCCACAATGCCAATCACAATTCCAGCAATAGCACCGCCAGAGAGTCCTTTGGATTCTCCATCAAACTGGCTCTCGGATTGACCCTCATTAGTTGTTGTATTTTTTGTAAGATCAACATCCATGGGGTTAGGGTAGGTATCCAAAGACGTCAGCAAAGATCTATCTGTCACGTTGAGTACCATTATGTTATTTGCAGCAACAAGCGGCCCTGCTGCTGATGCTTTTTTACCAAACATTATTAACAAACTCGTCTCATTAACAAGAACGGCTACAGATACCAATATATAAAATATAATCAGTAAAATATATATTAGGGTCCGTGCGCTACATTTATACCTGAATGAAAGGCTCTAGGACCTAGAGAGTCAGATGGTCTGTTATAAACTGACCATGTGAAAGTATTCAAATCCAAATCAAACAAATAGTCGGGTGAAACTAAAAAATAAGAAATGAGCTATAAGTGACATCCAGTGAGAGTGGTATTTTTAATTATATACTACACATACGCTTTCCTTCCAATGATTCATTTTTAGTCTGGAGAATTCCTCCATACATGAGAATATTATCCCCGGTATTTACTGTATACTTGGCTTGTTAATAATTTGTTAATAACTTTTATGCCCATTATCACTACGTACACAATGTTGCAGTATGACCAAGTCTTGCAGTTGGTATAACCAGTCCATTAGTTGGCTGTACATTCCACAAGGAGCTTTCGGTATCATAAGCAAGAAAATTTCCAAAAGATTCTGTTGAGCCTTCCAACAGCTGATTTTTAAAAAATCCTCCTAGATAAATAATTGCTTTGGTACGTGGATGATATGTTGCTGTCAGATCACTAATTAAAGTTGGAAAGTCATTTAAAGCCATAGGTTGAGTTTTCCGGGATGTCCATTCCTAAATTAAATCATCTACATGAGTACTGATACGTGTAATTGTATACATAACGATTAACTAAATTCCAAAACGTACTCTCGTATTGACGTTTAATTCGGTTATGTAGCCATATCCGTAAATGCTATTAGCTAGTTTTTTCGTGGGGTCTTGCTCTGAATTTGTTTCATATGTCAGATTGGCAAGTGGTCTAAAACTTGCGTAAGTAGTATTTAAGACGGCGTTCCTTAAATAAGGTTGAAAAATTAATGATTAGTTAGTCTATCCCAAACAAAAAAAAACAAAATGTGGCCTACAATTCCCTTCCTCCAAAAAATGCTATGCTTTTAGTATCAGGAAGATAAACTGCTCCTGCGGAATATCTGTATTTGTCGGACAGAAGTAAAGTTAATTTGACGTTTGTACTATTATCATTACTACCATTATGTTACATTTGTCTATAGATGCCTCCATTTTTAGTGTCGCTGTAACTAAGTCCAGGTAATACAGTCCAAGTATTATTTTTAGGATTGTAAGTAATATTTCTAGCTACAAGTGGGTTATCCTCATTGTATCCGCCGTCAAAAAATAAGGAACCATCAGGTAATAGAACAAACTGGCTATTATATCGATATTCATTGGGGGGAACACCTGGGCCTAAATCCGGAGTGACTAAAGTCCAATTGTTTACCAGATTGCTCACTGCTCCCTGGGGTAAGTTGCCCAAATCTAATTCATACATGTCATTATTGTACTGCTTGTTATCCAATTTTCCACCATAACAATAAATTTTATTGAATGTAAAAGCGCATTCTTTTTGGAATATTAGTATCAATATGTTCCTATGGAAAAGTTGTATCTATGATATTACTTGATCCGAACCGAGGAGGTATTACATCTGCTTTAATTGATAAAGCAAATGAAAGTATAAAGCTTATGAACAATGTATTTTTCATCTTTTATTTAAAAAAAAAAGAAAAGATAAAAAAAGGAAAAAAAAAAGAAAAAAAAAAGAGGGGGGGGGAAGAAAAAAGTACTAAACATTGGTACACAAAAATTGAACATTGGTACAAAAAAACCAGTAGTTTGTACAATAACACAGAAATTGTTACAGAAAGGCTGAGAAAAATGAACATAAGTCTATAGCCTAATACAATGCAGCACCTAATATACAGTTAGCAATAAGATCAATTCACCGCCCTCAAGACAAGAAGCTGTTAATCACGAAGTGTATCGTTCAAATTTTGATATTTTGATTTATTATGTTATTTAATAAGGAAACCAAATATAATAACGTCATATGCCATATTGAATGTGCTTTTAGCAGCCCGTTAACGATGTTACACCTTTAGTTTGAAACCATACACATATATGTAATCTTTTCGTAAAACCAACTTTGAGGTTGGATGCAAATTTAAAATGCATATCTGGAGACTCTGAAAACAGGGATATAGAAAAACAAAATAAGTTATAAATAACTAAAGTGAGGGAATATGTTTAATGTATGTGACACAAGAGATAGAACCTGGTGTTCAAGAAAAGGCACTAACTTTTTTTCCAGAAGCACAAAACCTTTATTCCGTTGTTTATCCGGGGTCAATGTAGTGAGTCGTGTAAAAAACCAAACAAAATTATCAATCTTTTTAGTGGGCTACCAAAAGGTGCCATACTCGCACTTGTTAATAATGAAAGATCTCGTCATTCTCTTTCTTAGTTTGAGAACAAGCTCATAAGCCCTTAAACAGACCTGATCACTGGGTATAAATTAGAAGCAAACACAGACAACCTAAAATTAATAAATAGACAGTATTCGTAATGTATTGCAACGCATTGTCGTTTTGTATATCTATAACTTCGTCAAAATATAATCCATGCGTAAATGATCTTTATTTCTGTGGCGCTAGTAGTAGAAATTCGGTAGATAATTTCAAGGAAATCTTACTACTACGTCAATCATTTAGAAATAAAGGCTTATTGGTTTTCACATCACATATTTAACGAGATACCAAGTATGAGACTTGGATTGTGAGGACGGGATGAAACTAAGCTTGTAATAATTGCTATTAATAATTGTTACTATTACAGATAGCTCATTCAAAATATATAATGGACAGGCTACATTCGTATTAATTATAAACTGTTATTGCTATTAAAGCTTAAATTTCTCAATGGTCATTCCATAAATAACAGAGATTTTTTTTTTTTTTTTTTTTTTTTTTGCAGAAAATTGCCAGGACCCAGAAATTTCTTAAACGGCCAGAACTTAGAGGATGTCGATCCTATCGTGTGTCACATTCATTTGTTAGATTTATGCTTTCAAGCCCTTTTGTCGAGCGTTTTATGAATTGCTTCTTTACTGAAAAAAGCTGCAGCTATTCACACAGACAAGGATTATATATTCATAAACAAGCGCGATATTTCCTTACAAAGTCGCAAAGGAACATACAGATTCTCTAAGTGGTCAATTCGTCGCAGATCCAATGAAACAAAATCTGCTGGAAATGACAGCATCGCTTTACTGACCAATCATTTAAACCCATTTTTTATCTATTTCTTTTTAGGAAATGTTTGAGAGCTCAAAGAAAAAAAAGAAACACCCTTTCTTCTTTTATTGTTCAATGTGTAGATTTCTATTATATAAAGGCAAACAGCCTATTTTACTTGCTCACGTAAGTTCTTGTTTTGTTCGTTTGTTGCCACTCACTAACAGTTTTAAAATAGCTGATTACTAGACCAAAGCATTCTATTGTCAATCAATCATTTGACTCTAGATTACGACTTGACACAAGACGTCCATTAAACGGTAAGTTACAACAAAGGGTATATCCTAACAGGCACTGAGCAATTACACTAGGCGATGGATTTGGCGTGGGGTGGTATGAAACTGAATCACAAGAAAACGAGGACGAGCCAATTACACCGTGTATCTTTACGTCCGTTACACCTGCTTGGAACAATATCAATCTAGTTCGACTGGCAGAAAAGATTCGAAGTCCTCTCGTATTTGCCCATGTTCGTGCAAGCACTTCCGGTTCCGTATCTGAAACGAATTGTCACCCTTGGTCGTAAAGTGTTTCCGAACCATTTTTTGTATCATTCTTTATTTATTTCTGTTTTGATAGTTATGGTCGCCTCATGTGGATGCATAATGGTGGAATTGCAGAGTTTGAAAAGATTAAGCGAAAATTACAAAACTCGCTATCTGAGGAACTTTTTTTGTTTGTACAAGGAAATACGGATTCTGAATGGGCTTTTGCATTATTCTTGAGCTTTGTAAGTGTTAGCTTCAATTTTGTGGTAATAATAAACTAATCTATTACTATAGTTATCGGATCCTAACGCAAATGCTTTTGAACACCAAGAATTAAAAGATGCCATGTTAAAGACAATTGCTCAATTAAATCAATGGGCTGAGGAATACGATATTACAGAACCATCTCTCTTAAATTTTGCTGTAACAGACGGTGAAACAGTCGTCTGTATTCGTTATACAAGCAGTAAAACAGAAGAGGCTGCCTCGCTATACTTCTCTTCAGGCACCCGTTTCGAATGTTATCGACCTGGTCATTATCGTATGGTGAAAGCAGACAGAAGAGAGGACATTGTTGTCGTAGCAAGCGGTAAGTAACGATCAAAGGAAGTTTGTTTCGTTTAATTAAACCTGTTTCTGTACTAGAACCTCTCACTTTTGAAAAAGCTGACTGGCTTACAATTCCCACAAACAACATCCTGGTGGTCACACCCAAACTCAACGTTTTATTACAACCCATCAAGGATAAATTTTATACACCAGAAAGAGGCATGGAAGTCAAGATCGGTGATGAAGATGTTGCAATCATACCAGAGCCAAAGGCTCAATTATTTAAAGCACAAGCTGAAGAACAAATGCAACACGATTCACCTATACTAGTCGTATAAATATCCCATAAATTAATAAAACGCTCATTCAACCACTATCCTTAAATGAAAAAAAAAACATAGATCAGACAAACATGTTTTATTCGTTTTCTTTGTATCGATCGCTTTACTTGCACTGATTGCTATATCAATCCACGTATAGGAAGACGGTTAAAGTCCATTTATGATACAGGAATAGGCTCTCTCATACTCGCCAATTTATAGATTCAAGTGGACAAAAAAGCGGCCAAATAAAAGTCCTGATATTTACATTATTAAAGGACGCATCCCCATACACGAAACGATTTATGGAATTATTTAACATTTTCGATGCATCTTGATATCCCAATCAACCTGTTCCTGAATAAATACGCTGACATTTTCCCTGTCTATACTTTTTTCAAGTCAACGGACTTGTACTGTATAGATACTCTTTCTTTTTAACTAGCTAATAATCTTTCACTGGTAGCTATGGTATGATTTCAAGGTAGAAGATTATGCGAACTAGTACTATATCTAATTATTTAGGCTCTTGGTTTTTATTATAAATTAATTACATAAATTACATGTCCCTTATACACTTCTATCTTTTTTTAAAAAACTCTTTACAGTCAACTATTGTACAATAAGGGGACCAACTGTAAACGTATCCCAATCGTCAACGTTATTCATATCTCCTAGTAATTTTAAAGCACTAACACGAATGTGATATGTTCCTTTGGATACTTTAAATGTCTCGGTTTCGCCTGAAGTTTCTTTCGTTGGTCCTAATTTTGAGGAGAGATCGAGAGGGGCATTAAAATATTCGCCATTCCATGATAACCTTTCAGGTATACCTGGCACTGTTGCACTGTTATATAGCTGGACTGGCTGTACCTGTCCCAGAACTTGTTGACCCAATAAAATTTCCTTCTTAATTACGATAGTAGGAACCGAAACCACATACTTTACGCCGACCACCCAAGAACTGTCCTTGAGTACTATAGTGTCTGTAATGTTGTAGGTTACTGTTGGTTCACCTCTTAATGCTACTGCAAAATCCTTGCTGTTGACTTGAAATACGGGAATATCATTTTGACGACCAACAATACCAAAATAAGGAACATGCAAAGCTTTGGCACCTACTGTGCTGGGATAGAATTGAATATAACCACCATACATGATATGATCAAGAGGGTCTGTTTTAGGTGGGTGAACAGTGACATTAACAGATCCGCTTTGGCCAGGTGCTAAATAAAGCTCAGAAGCAGAGAAATCGATTTGGGCAGGCTCATTTGTATTGGTAGCAGGTGCCAACAGTTTATAACCAGAATTGGTTCTGTTATAAGGTACAATAGCAACAGAGGCATTGTTGTAAAGTCTATAAGTAACAGCTTCTAAACCATGATTTGTAATTGTGAGTGTCTGAGTCTTGTCATCTGTAGTAGACGAATCTCGGAAGCTGATTTGACCAGGCGTAACATGAGCAGCTTGTGTAATGGTATCGTAAACTAAAAGATAGACATCGAGTTAAAAAAATATGTCAAGTTAATTATTATTATATTTTTTTTTTACCTTGAACGGCACCAGCACCAGAACGAAGAGGATTATCAAGGAAACCACTGGTTCGGTTAAAAACATTTGGTTGAAACGCATAATTTTGAAACTTTTCATAGACAACCCTGGGAGGAACTTTGCCAACACCATTTTGCTGAATAAACAATGCAATTGATCCAGCTACATACGGACATGCCATCGAAGTACCATCCAGAAATTCGTAAGACCCTCGGTTTGTAGGGATTGTAGAGTAAAAAGCTTGTCCAACAGCAGCAATATGAGGATTCAGATCCAAGTCACCGGTAGGTCCTACAGAGCTAAACCAAGAAGCTGTTGTTGCATACTTTTCATTTTTAAATAAATATGAAGGGAGGTCTCTCGAAAACTTGACCAGTGTGTTGGTTGTCATGCCTTTAATAATGGAAACACTGTCACTGTGTGAAATAAATACAAATGGAAGGTAAGGATGCATTTCAATATCATATATATGACTCCTTTCAGTCGTCTCATATACAATAGCTCCAACAGCACCGGCATCGTAAATATTTTTCATTTGTAGTATAAAATCACAGACACCAATACCAAGCAATACAACTTTCCCCTTTACGTTCAAATCAACGGGTCCACAAGCATGAACAGCATCATCTCTGGGAAGCGTAATAATACCATCGATCAAAGGTTTGATATCTTTAACACTGGTAGTGGAGTTTTTGGGTAAATTACAAGCTATATATAATGACCGATTGTTAAGAATGTGTATATCTTTACAAGGCTTTATAAATACTTACGGATCTGAGTAGAAATTCCCTGGACACTGAAAGAACAATCGAATTGATGATATTCATTATCAACAGAAGCAACTGAAAATGCACCTGGGGCAGTAGCAGGATGAATAACAGTGTAAGCACCTCTGAATCCCGTATTGCCAGCAGAAACAATTACTATTTGAAAACATTTAAAAACATACTTCTTGTCAATGGAACTTTTTCATCTTCTTACCACTGATACCACTATCAACAATATTTTTTAACAATTTACTATCCAATGTTCCAGATGCAGCCCATGGCTGATCCGATCCAAGACTCATACTAATAATATGGACACCAGCTTCTTGAGCCATTGTCATTGCTTTTAGAATGGCATCTGATGCTAATTGATCCGCACAGCCACCAACTCTCCAATGACCTAGTCTTGCTCTTGGGGCAACACCCGTAAAATTCTAGTATACAAATAAAAAAGGGGTGTAAGTCATTGCTATAAAGTAATTTTTTAAAAGACAAGCTTACAGTTAATGGATCGTAACCCCCAATGATCCCGGTAACGTGAGTGCCATGACCTATGATAAGAAGTATCACCATTCTGTTCACAATATAAGGTATAAAGAAACAAATATAACTAACCACTAGCTCCAGAAGTCTCAGGACATTGTTCGAGTGGGGTAGAACTCTCCTGAGGATCTCCATTTGCAGTATAGTTGTCTCCAACAAGATCATAGCCAGCTTCGATCTTAAACCCAGGACCAAAGCCTCCGCCTAATGCTGGATGCGTGTAATCAACACCTATTTTTTATTTTTTAATAATGGATAGAGTGTGACATAATATGAACATACCTGTATCAATGATACCAATAAAAACACCTTCGCCTCTTAATTTAAGCTCACTATGAACTCTATCTACTTGTGAAAAACGATGAGGGGACACGAGATCCACCTCATGTGCGGATAATTGGCTCTTGCTAGAATCAATTTGACTAGACTGGTAAATTTGGATAGGGGAGACAGATTGGACATCCATATGATCCAGGATTAGCTTCAAGGTAGTATGCTCTTTCTCGATATTATCCTCCTTAATGCCAATTGATACAGCATTCAAAAATTTGTGAGAGATGGTGCGTTGAATGCGTACATTATCTGAGTGAGAGTTAGTGAAATCAATGAATGAATTCACAGTGACGTTGGGAGCTTGAACTAATTCAACAATATACTTGCGGGTAGCTACATTAGTGCCAGAACTGCTTCGCTTAAATTTAGGATGATCATAACTATTGCCCAAAGTGGATGTGACAAATAGCGAAATTGCTAGTATCAAGCAAGCCGAAGATTTTATTTGAAACATGACCTATAAACTTGCAGTCGTTGCTCTTTATTTATTTTTTTAGCTTAAATTTTCACTGTTGATCGAAGCTTATATAGTATTTGCCTTGTTGACATAATAAATATAATGGCTGGGGTGAAAAATGCCCTCTGACCTATATATAAGCCAAGACACAGCTGATCTTACTTCGCCGACTCTCAAGCCAATAACAGTGGCACCAACTTACCGCAAAGAAAACAAGTATAGGCACAGAGTAAATGATTGCGCTACATCTGCTTTTTATTTTTTTTTCAAAAGATAAATTCATATCTACATTTATTTGAAAAAAATTAAGTGTTTTAATATTCATATAAGCTTAGATGAACCATTTATAAAGTTTTTTTTTTTTTTTTTTTTTTTTGTGACAAGAAAAGGAAATACTTGTCATTCATCTTACTCGTCGAGTGGTCTCAGAACTGATGATGGTTTAAGAGTATATGGGCTTTGCTGAGGGCAATATATACATTCAAACAGGGTGTTACAGTCAGTTCATCTGTATTTATGCGAGTTTACTGTGCCAATTTTTCGGCGATATTTTTAAGTTTAATAACAAGATTCATGTTGGTATTATTGCTGCTGGGTGTTTTAGCCATTGCATCAGTTTGGAAAAACATTTTTCTTTATTTGAAAATCAGAATTAACTGAGGATTTATTGTAACAATAGAATACGCACAGGTTTTGAGTCATGAATATGTCTTTTGTTGTGTTTGATTTTTATGAGTGGTGTTATTTGATATATCTGTCGATCAGAAACCGATGGAATAGTTACATGAGATTCATAATATATTGTATTATGCAATTTCAGTACAGCTTCGTGTGTAGGAAAATAAAGGCTTATAGTTAGAGCTTTTAAAGACTAAGCAGCAAAGGATAAAACAAATGATTTGTATTGAGTTCTGGAACACTGTTGTCTAATCCTGTTTATAACTAGCATCTCTGAGGGAGCCCATCCAGCTTAAATGGCTGCGAGTCAGTATGAATTTGTGCAATGTTAGGCTACAAGATATAAATGATGATGTCAAAAATATACTATGAAAATGGGCTTTCACTATTATTTTTTAATATCAGATGGTGGACCAGAGGTGGACAGATTTATCTGAGCATTCTTTCCAAGTATTCGGCAATTATTTTGTTTTTATAGTAGGGTTTGCCACTTAAGTTAGGATGATGTCATTGATTAGCTAAGCCTCGGCATATGTCTTTTTTATAAAATCTAAATCACATCAATTGGTATATGTATAAGAGGCTATTTAATGCATTATAAAAACGCACTGCCTCTTATTCGATATGAAATATCCAATGTCTGTAAGACAATAATTTCAATCAAATATAGGATACTTCTTTATTCAATGCTTAATTTGCTCTTTAATATGTATATGTTATATGTCCTTGTTAAGTCGGTGATTCGTATTTGTTGTGTAAGGGATTCTTATATGTTCCATATCTACACTAGTGAGTAGTTGATGCTAAATGGTGAGACAGTCTTGTGATACACCATGACAGATAGCAGCAAAAAATCATTTTACATGTAATGAATTAGGCAATCAATAAATGGGAAAAAGAGTCATCCTTTTCAAAAAAAAAAAAAAAAAAAAACAACATCTCCCATGCAAAAGCAAAACTTCAATGTTCATTTTCTCTGGTTCCAACGGTCCCCTTTAAACATTTCACATCTTTTAATAGGTCTATACTCAGTTTTTCCCCTTGCGTTAAATGAATTCTACTCATGAGAATCGATTCCATTCAACGTTGCCCTGGGTCAACCGATTGAGGACACTCTTATTGTTCTGTTGAAATCACAGAAAAGTAAAAAGATCCGGAACACAAGTTTGTAATACAGGTAGAAGGATTTGAGTCCGTGGTTTATGTTGTTCGTTTGGTGCCCCCCAGCTTTATACTGTACACAATATTCATCAAATGAACTTTCCCGTTCAGTTCAAGGATCTACTACTTAACAAAATTGAAAGTATCTACGAAGAATTGCTGATGAATTGAGGTAAATTCTTATTAATTATAGCATACACAAAATTATTGATCTTTTATCTATATGCTTTATAATAGAAATGGGCTTCGGATGTTAAAAGAACAATTGAGAACACCGAGGTTTTCGATCCACAATTGATACGCGATAATGTTCTAGAAGGGTTGGATATAAGTTACATTTAGCTCCTAATAATAAGAAGGTATGTTTCATATGTAATCCAATTCTCCCTTCGATTAAACAGTTGACTGTATCTGCGTACATAGGAAAAATCTCGAATAACTGAATATAAAAAGGATCTTTATTTTTATTATCTATGCCAACTTATAATAGGGTCTCATTCTTTAACTTTCCATTATTACATTTTCCTTTTCATCTACTGTTATCACATGTGAACGAAGTTTATTTATAGGCTGGTAAACAAACTTATGTCAGAATCATTTGATTTTTTATTTAATCTCTCATAATGTTTGGTCCTTTACTTATTCTAGAACTTGGTAGTGGTCAGTAGTAGCATGTACTAATAGTGAAGCACATTTTATGGAAAACAAAAATCCATCGTTCTCTGAAGTTAGAATGATATGGTACGTCAATCGACGTAGACTTATGTGTAGACTTATATGTAGACAATCACACGTAAATATACAAAATACATTTGAAACAAATTACGGAGGTCCAAACATCTCCACTGACAGATCCTTTGGGAACCACATATTTTGCTCGGGGCATAGCAAAAAGAGAATGTCTATACCTTAGTCTTTCTCTACGTATTCTTTCTACGGCCCTTTAATTTCTACGTACTTTTTTATGCGCCTGTTTTTTTTAGAACTGTGAATACGCCTGTCTTCTAGCATATGGGTAATTAAATATACACTTAGATCATCCTGACGTAAGCCAGCTCTTGTTTATCAGTTTATAAATAACACTTGCGCCCACGGTCTTTTGATTATAAATAAACAATTAAGTCATCCTGACATAAGCCGGCTCACTTGTTTATCAGTCTACAAATAAAAACCATTCAAACATCTGTTCCTTCCCTTCTTCTCTTCATCTTTTTCTTTTTTATTCTTACGCTGTATAACACCATCTCTTTAAAGAGAAGTATTAAGTATTGGGAAAAGGTTAGTTAATAACAACTTTTGTTTTTCAAACTATTACCTTTTTTTTTAAAAAAAAAAAGAATAGACTCCCATTTTTTATTATCACGGCTAAGGATAGACTTCTCTACATAATGAAGATTTTCCCATTACCCGTTGTAGGCAATGTAAGTCTATATCTTACATTACCAGCCACGGTGGGTCAGAATATAGAGTAGTAAGCCGTCTTTAGATATCCGCTGATGGTTCGAAAATATGTAAGAAAAAAAGGGATCATGTGAATCTAAAAAATATGTTGAGAAATTTACAAAAATACATAGGTGTAGACATTGTCCTAAATACAGCTAAATAGCTTCCCTTATAAACTTAAATCACTTTTCATAAAGTGCATCTTTTATATTCTACTTTTAAAATGCCCAAACGATCTACTAGACAGCAAATTTGAAAAAGATGAAGTCTTTGCTGAAGCACAATGTTGTCATTGAAGACGAGGAAAAGCGGAAGTAATGCACGAACTCTTGAGTAGATTAGAAACGGAACGTGTTCTCAACGTTTATAAATAGATTTTATAATAGGGTATGGTTATATTACCAAGCTCCTGGTTAAGCCAACGCAATAAATGTTTAAGGTTGCCGATAATTGACTTGAAGCAGCGGTTCACGTAGTCAGTGACAGAGCCTTGGCCGATTCCAAACAAAGTTGCAGTCTGCTCAACACTGTCACCAGTTCCATCGTGACTTAATTGTATTAGGGTTACTGCAAGTTGAAATTGGAGTCGAAATCACACCTCGCTCAAGCTTTCGATAGTATTGACCGATATAAAAGCCCTCAGATATGAAAGAGAGAAGGTTTCACAAGATTTATAAATTCATGTAAGTAAAATAAATTCATAAGAAAATAATAAAAATAAACTAATTGAATATTAGCGTCGAAATGCATCTCTACAGTAACAAAAGATTCAAAGAAGAAAAAGTAAAGGCATACAGTGAAGCTGATTATATAATCAAATTCTGGGGCCATATCTTTGAATTTTTCTTTGAAGAAACTGATATTTACTGGTAAGCAACTATTCAATTAACAAATCTTTGGCTTCAGTAAAATATTTAGTGATGCTAATTTTTGTGCATTAAGGGGGGACACATTGAATGAGGCATGCAAAAAAGAAGGCCTCCCTTTGAAGCTTGATTTCAGATTGGGTATTTTTTTTGCTGGGTTCCTCATATGATACTGCCACTGGCGAGTTTGCAAAGAAAGCCACAGCAACAAAGCAGTTTGGTGATAGACTGAAGTCGATCATTGCAACGAAGGGGGTCATCAACAGCGTGGTAAAGGATTGTAGCTTGAGCTCTCTTGAGCAGATTGCGAAGCTGAAGTTTACTGTCATACAAGTAATGGGTTTCGAGGCGGTGCTTTCTGTTGTTCGTTTGGTATCCCAAACTTTATACTGTACACAAGGTTCATAAAATGAAATTCCCCGTCAATCTTAGAGATCTATGCCTTAACAAGATTGGAATAATTTATTAGGACTGATGATGATTGAAGTAAGTTCCTATTAACTACAGCAAACACAAAATTATTGATGGTTTATCTATATATTTTAATAGAAACAAGGCTTTTTCAAACCAAACCTTCGTTTCGGTAAAGATTTTGACCTTCACTATGGTTCGGTACGCTGCGCTTTGAAAAAGCCTCGTGCTGCCGCAGGCCTGTTTTGGCGATGAAAAACTTAAAATATATAAATAATTAGGCACAAAGCCGATGAATAATTATAGCTTAAGCTACACTGCCTATTATCTGTTTGACACTGGAGGAAATTTCGGTGTTTATCTGTACATTTTTTAATATCTGGAAGATCATGTCCCTACACCCAGATTAAAAAGTTGATCTACCCAAAAGTATTGATTTTTTAAATATCTGATTAAGTATTCTATGCTCAATGTTTCTGCTTTTAATAGAAATCGGCTTCGGATGTTAAGAGGGCAATTGAAGACACCGAGTTTTATGAAACACCGAGTAAGATGGAAGGTATCAAAAAGGATATAAAGATCAAGAAAGTCAAGGGTTGCGATTGGACAACTAAAATGCGCTGGTTCGATGAAAAGGAGTTTGAAGAGGAAGACGAAGAAGACGAAGACGAAGATGAGGATTAGTTTTTTTTTTCTATTTCATTATAATAAAAATTAAAGTATAAGTACCATGGTCAACTATTGGAAATCAACAGATAAGCAACTGTGAATGCGCCTGGGACAGCGGCAGCGGCAGGTTGACCTGTACGGTGTAAGCACCTCTAAATACCTTATAACCAGCAGAAACAAGTACTATTAAAAGATAATTAAGAACATAATTAAGAACATAATTCCTGTCGACAGGACTTTTATTTTTTTACCTCTGTTACCACTGATACCACTATTAACAATATCTTTTAACAATTTGCTTTCAATTGTTATAGGTGCAGCCCATGGCTGGATAGATGAAAGACTCATACTAAAAATATGAACACCAGCTTCATGAGCCATTTTTATAGTTTTTACGATGGCATCTGAAGCTAATTCGAACGGCCACCAACTCTCCAATGACCTAGTCTTGCTCCTGGTGTGACACTCGTAAAAGCGTAGTATATGAAGAAGCGACAAGTAACTACGATCAATTTGATTGGCCAAAAATACTATCCGGGCCGGACTACTTTTCCTTTGGCCAAAAAATTGAGCGGCTGTGAGGGACGCAAGGGTGGGGGGAGAGGAGGACTTAATGAAGTGGAAACGGTGCATCAACAAAAAACCTTCCTTTCTCAACATATCACAGGTAAATAGGCATACATCCATCCAGACATAACAATGTATACTCATCTATCTCATTGCCAGTATGCCTCCTAAGTTCGATCCCTCTGAGGTTAAGATTATCTATCTTCGTGCCACTGGGTAAGATATTACATTTTGAAGGAATTTGACGATTGAAGCAACCAAAGTGTGGATTTGATTGTAGAATTCTAGATTAAAAGGATTGAGTTATTAACGTTATTGTTTTTGGTTAGTGGTGAAGTTGGTGCTTCTAGTGCTCTTGCCCCCAAGATCGGTCCTCTTGGTTTATCCCCCAAGAAGGTTGGTGAAGATATCGCCAAGGGTACCAAGGACTGGAAGGGTCTCCGTGTTACTGTTCAATTGACTATTCAAAACCGTCAAGCTCAAGTTTCCGTTGTCCCCTCTGCTTCCTCTTTGGTCATCAAGGCTCTTAAGGAACCTCTCCGTGATCGTAAGAAGGAGAAGAACATCAAGCATTCCGGTAACGTTGCTCTTGAGGATATTATTGAAATCGCTCGTACTATGCGTTTCAAGTCTTTGGCCCGTGAGCTCTCTGGTACCGTCAAGGAAATCCTTGGTACTGCTTTCTCTGTCGGTTGTACCGTTGATGGTCAAAACCCTAAGGACCTTTGCCACGCCATTGATGCTGGTGAGGTCGAGATTCCCGTAAGTTAATAATTATCAACATGAAATGACAGTAATAACTCACACCCCCTTTTTTTATCTTATCTTTTCCATTAGGAGAAATAAATTATTTCTAGGAAATTACAATAAAAAAAACACACATAAAAAGAATAATGTTTTGTTTTATTTTTTCGCGGGGATAGCTTCACCAACAATTTAGTATTACTGAAAATATCAATAAAGGCATGCAAAAAACAAAAAAAAACAAACCATGTACAAATGATGATCGCGTTTCTTTATTTGACAGTTTGTTATTAAATCATGGAACACGCTTTTTTAAGTACATTCGATGCTTCTGGCTATCAGTATTTACAACGAGTTTTGGTAGTCTGTTCATGCATACTAACACTAGACCATCGGCATTTTTAATCGTGCCTACTGAGATTTACTAAATGCACGTTATCTTTCCAGTACCAGTCTTGTTCCTGTCAGCACCAAGAGCTCTTATTTTAATATTTATCCACCATTAATGATTTTTTAAAGTATTGCGGAAACTTAAATTGCCAATTTGTTTGGCACACAAACTAAAGCCTTTTATTCTTAATTTTTTATTGTTTGGCCTTTTCTTTTCTTTTATTTCAAATGGCTCCTAGTACAAAACCAAGTACACCGCCACCCATACCAGATGGCATTCCTGATGTATTTAAGCTAGATGAACAAAAGATTCAGGCCACTGAAAACACCGAAAAGCAAGAATTATATGTCTTACAGTGGCTAGCTCAAGTCGAACGCGAAATAAAAGCAATAGACGCTGTAAGCAAAATCATGTCGCTCTTGATGCAATCATCAGGTTTTACTAAATGTTACATCTCTAGGACCTTTTAAAAAAATCACAACCGTTTATTGAAAAGACACTCTTTCGATTGATTTCACTCGCAACAGCAAAACCTAGAAGACCCATTCGTTTCTTGATTGGAAGATGTTATGTCATTTTATATACTCGAGGCGATTCTCGGACCTTATTTGACACCGTGACAGCTTTGCATAGTCTCATTAGTGCCAACAAAAATATCGACAAAGAAACGAGAATGTAAGCACAACTGCAAACTTATTTTTTGGACCTTAAGCATAATATAAACATATATTTGTAGTGCGGCAATATCAACAACGGGTGCCATTATGGGGACATCAGGTGGAAAGGTAAAAACAAATGTTTAGAAATAGAGAGCGAACTAAAATTATTTGATAAGATTTTATCCCTGTTCGCAGAGACGGCGATGATATTTCTGAAGGTTATAAAAAGCAGTAGTGTAAGTTTTTTTTCAGAAAACAAGACGAGAAATATTGCTAAGTCATGCAACATAAATAGAATCCTTTATTATTGCGTCTGGAGACAGTGACAGCATTCACCTTGCTTTTAAAGGGTGCAGGAAAAGCAGCGACAGAGCAGATACTAAAAGATTTGATGAAACAATTGCGAAATGGATTAGTGGATAAAGCGTTAGTCATGAGAATTGCATCAGCACAGGTAAAGAGTTGGGATATGGATTGAGAGGAGAAAAACCGGTAGCTTAAACATGGTATTTATAGTGTTTACAAGCCGTTATTCAACATGCAACACAACCTTTTACCCAGCATGATTTAGAAAACTTATTACAGCACTGCTTTAAAGGCTTCGATAATTCGACATTTCCTGTGCGACGAGCAATATCCTCAGCATGCGCAACATTGTTAGTTTTCTCTCAAACACAAGCAACCATGGATCCTAATAAGCCTAACATCAAACACGCTTCTACAGGAGAGGGAGCTAAAACAACCGAGGAATCATTGGGTAAAGGATGTACACTCATGTCGATCGAGGAAATGCTATCACAGTTATCAACGTGCTATAATCGAATTAATGCCTCGCGTGAGCTTAAGACCAGTATTATCGAAAGTTATGCCACTTTATTTGTTTTACTTGGAACTGAATTTGTCGAAGCCAATTACGCTACCATCACCAAACATATACTCCACGAAATTTTGGATAATAACAAAGCACCCATTACTGCCTCTGATGGAGCTTATTTACGAGCACAAGTGAATTTCTTACTTCATAGCACAATCGGAAAGAGGTTACTAAGTGAGCAAGGACAAGCAAATGCAATTCGTCTTTTGGTCAGTAATTGGATTAAAAAATGGCCTGCACTCATGGCAAATCAAACCGCTCCAAATAAACAAATCTTAATTTGTGTTACAAATTTGGCATCTGAGTTAGTCTGTGAATTAGAAGGCGCTGCCAGTTCTATACAGGTAGTTGAAAATGTTTTATTTTTCCCATAATATATTGACACATATGCATAGGAAGTACTCGTAGAACCCTTATTTGTGCTATTGACTCATCCAAGTTTCTCTGTTCAAATGGCTGCAGTTTGGTGTATCCGCTGCGTGTGTAATTCAGTCCCGTCAAATTTGTTATACTTACTACCAAAGTCTTTGACACTATTGGAGAAAAACTTGAGCAACCTTACAAATCAAACCACCACGGCTAAAGTATTTCAACGTACAATTGCCTATTCTTATACTGTTGCATCTATCATGAGTGTCTTTCCAGCACATCCGATATATACCTCATTTGAACTGAGTGCACGCTCAATGTCGTTAGCCAATCAACTCATTAAACAAACAAACAAAGATCACAAGATTGCCAGTGTCCAAATTCAAGTTGCTTGGACTTTGATTGGGTCTGTTATGTGTCTTGGACCCAACCTTGTCAAAATCCATCTGCCACAACTCTTGTTACTCTGGAAGAGTGCTTTGCCCAAGCCCACCGGAAAGGAAGCCAACGCTATCCGTTCTGAGTCAGAATGGTCATATCTATTCCATACACGTGAATGTGTCACTAGTTCAATCTACAGTTTCTTGGCTCACAACAGCCATTCGCTTGTCACCCTCGATATAGCAAAAAGAATTGCAGCTCTGTTGAATAACACATTGGCATTTTTGGCTACAGCGCCTACAACCTTTGCAGCCACCACCATGTCACCATGTGTTCCTCATGATACCAGATTGATTGATCAATTTTATTGTTTGAGACGTCGTATATTCCAATGCTTTATCACTCTTCGCCCTCTGTTATCTACCTATGAGTCTTCGCTCAGTAGTTTGTTAAGAAACTCGTTATCGGTCTTTACGGAACCAGAAAAGATTTTACCTTCATCTGGTGCACATCAGCAAGTGACAGCAACCGTGCCCGGACAATTTATCAGTGTTTGGAATACAGCAGATGGACATGGTTATGGAGTAACAAGCAAAATGAAAGGATATCGTATTGATGTGGCTACTGTGATTGACGACAATAGCGAGGAGAATAATCGTGGAAAAGAATGGATGACCAAGGATAGATTTGAAAGAATTGAGGAGTTGTTGGAGAGACCAATGATTGGGTCTCTTGAACTTGACCCATATTACGCATATACAAGTCTTTCCGAAAACCAGCTATCTCAGCAACAGCAACCAAAGAAGAGATCCTTTATCCCTCAGCCGGTATCTCCTTCCACATCCTATGTGGATGCTAGCATTGAACTCTTTGCCACATTGTTCTCAAATCAACCTGCCCCTGTTCAAGAATCTACCTTTGAATTGATGGTGAAGGTAATTAAGGATCCTAAATTAGAAAAAAATTCTCCTAAAAGGGCTGCTGTTCTTGTCAATGTGGTGGTCTCTTTATTAGGTGCTTTTAAAAATATTATGGTCTTAACAAAGAAGAGAAAAGTTGAAGGCATCGTATTCAGCCCTCGGGCTACTCGACTAATACAAGAAATCTTAATGGAGGTTGTAGTTCATCCGGATCCGTATTTGAGAAATGCAGCCAGTGAAACAATTGGTAGGCTGACTTCTATTGTAGGAGCATCTTTCGCTGCAGCTCAAATGCAAGTCTTGGTGGATTTGGTAGTATCAAATCGTGATCCAGATGTACGGGCAGGCTGTGCTCTAGCCATTGGGTATATCTATAGCCACGTTGGTGGTATGGCGGCAGCTGCTCATCTGAAAACAATTGTCGGTATTCTGCTTTCCTTGAGTAGTGACCCTCATCCTGTTGTTCATGCATGGGCACTTGAAGCTATGGCTATGACTGTCAGTGCAGCTGGTCTAATGTTCTCTGGTTATGTCAATAGTACTTTGGGTATGGTTGCTAAGCTGTATTTGAGTGAAACTCATGAGCCTGGAAGTGGCTCGATTGCTGTCACTAACGCTGGTATGTCTGTCGGCTTTACTGCCTATCAAGAATTTGGCCGCATCGTTTATGAATTGATTGGTACACTCGGTCCAGAGCTCCAAGCTTCATCTAAAGTCCGTGAATTATGTTTAAATATGGTGGAAGAGCTCAAGTTAGAACCCGATGAGCGCGTGAATGTAGAAGCCATTCGTTGCATTCAACACTTTTTAATGTTTGCCCCCAAATATTTAGACACGCGTGAATTAGTACCTTATTTACAAAGCCAGATTACAAGTCTCCATTTGCCATTGAAAAAAGCTGCAGTGACATGCCTTTACCAACTAGTACAACGGGATTCTGAGTTGGTATTCAAGGCATCACAGCCAGGTTTAGATACTGAACTGTTTAAAATGCTGGATACAGATCCTCAATTATCTGATGTCAAAAATGTGATTCGAAGTTGGTTACAAGAGACTGCAGTGGCAGAACCATCGGTTTGGGTCAATATTACCAAAAGAATTGTTACAGGTTCTAGTGCGGGCAGTCAAGACACTGTCAAAAAACCACCTACAACACGTATTTCTGGTGATGGCGATGACGACGATGATGACTTTAACGATGATGATGCTGATGGATTCGTGGATGAAGATAATGTAGATATCACAACAACGGTAGCCGATGCTTCTGGTATGACATCTAAGCTCTCTGTCAACGTCGAAATTCCTCCTCGCTGGCGAACCCAACTTTTCGCTCTCCAGTGTTTGCAAGAAACTATTGAGCTGATTTCTGCAAGTAATATACGTGAACATTTTGATCTCATTGCTGCTCGTCGTCGTAGGCAACAAGCAGGTTTGGGTGATTTCTTGGTTTTCCGTGTGCCAGATTTGATTCGTCTCTCCTTTACTGCTGCTACTGCCCATGTCAATGAATTGAGGTTGGCCGGTATCAACTTATTGAAAATGGTAATTGAGAAATTTGCCACTACACTTGATGCCGATTTGGAAGGCATGCTGCTTCTTGAACAATACTCTGCACAAATTGGTGCAGCACTTACACCAGCTTTTGGCGCTGACTCTTCATCCGAAATTGTTTCAGCAGCGGTGCGTGTATGTGCTATTTATGTTGGTAGTGGTATTGTCAAAGATCTGTATCAGTTAGGCCGTGTCCTGAAATTACTGACCTCTGCTTTGGAACGATGTAAGGGCGAATCAAAATTGACGGGTGTTGGAGAGGTCAAAGATTTAAGTCCTCATGCCTCTGTAATGGTAAAGCTATCCGTTTTAAATGCCTGGGCAGAACTCCAAGTGGCAAGTCAGAAACAAAGCTATCTGAGACAAGTCCTTCAACCGAATTTGGCAGTTTTAAGTCCTATGTGGCTTCGTGCTCTTCAAGACTATGCTCGCATTAGGTTGGAGTCGGATATTGTGGCTTTATCCAGTCGAACTACAGATCGTATCCAAGCCTCTTCGAATAGTGGTATTGATTCTATGTACTCTGCTGCTACAAAAGATGTGGTACTACCTTATTACCGTCGATCTTGGCTAAAGATTATGGAGGCGGTTGCCACTTTGATCGAAACGAAAGCTCCGTCCATGACTGATGCTATTAACAAAAATCCCGATTCTGATCAATCAGAGGATCACCCCTCTAATTTGTTCTATATTCTATTTGGACTTTGCATCGAAAGTCTTTCGCGTATATCCAGTTCCAGCAGTAATAAGAATGATAACTCAACTATACCCATCTGTCTTCGTGCGTTACGCACATTTGTTCAGCCATCACTTGCAGGCAAACAATTTGTTCCGAAAGCCGTATTTTTGGAGCTGATGAACGTCTTTGACCGGTTGATCCAAACAGAGAGTTATCGAATTCAACTAATTATTATTGAAATTATCCAACGTCTTATTCAAAACTACGGGTCTCTGTATCTTTGTGACGATTTGGAAGGCGAAGGTGATTACCATATGATGGATGCTACTCTTGACCCTGATGCTTTTCCTGGAACAGCCAAGCTCTATTATCTTTTACGACTTTTGACAAACGTCTTTTTACAAAATGTTCCCAAGTTATCTATCAAGCCTGCTTCTTCACGTCGATCCACCCACAGTTCTAAAGAAAGCTTGATTCTTCTTTTGGGACCTTCTTTAGATACACTTGCCTTACTTGTGGGAATTACACCCAAGAGATACAAGGTCGATCTGTTGGCTATTTGCTTTTATGTATTTTCTGAAATTTTAACAGAAGAACAATTCCAAATGACGTTAGCTCCTCGCGTTCTTGTTTCCCTTAAAACTGTATTCCATAACTTTGAGGCGGATCTGTCCACTGAAGAAGTGGATTCATTAGCACGAGTTACATGCGCTGTTGTACATACCTTGCTTGATGATTTCTTTGTGTAAGTATTTCATCTTGTTTTTGCATACGATTTTTGTTTTGTTTTTGACGCAACCCTTATAGAACAAACGACAATGTGGATGAATCTATTGCCTCAAAAAAGAACAGGCTACTGGCTGTTGTTCTTATTGCATCAGGCTGCCCTCAAGCTACCTTGAGAGATAACGAAGGGAGAAACGTATTTGTAAATGTTCTTAAGAATTCTCTTGCTTCGGATAACATAGAGGTAATATTTTTCTTAATTATGCATGCATGTCTTTAATCTCATATTTTGCAAACAGTTATCTGTAACAGCTCATCAATGCCTTCGTAATTTTATAAGTTTGCCTGAGAAAAAGAGCAATATGCCCTCTCTGGCTGAGCTAGGACAAACAATAGTTAGTTCTACACTGCCATTTATTATTAATCGTCTGCTTAATTACAAAGACAAAAAGAAGGATGCAAATGACAGTCTCTTGACTTCTCTTAACGAGGACACCAAGACACTTTTAACACTATTAACAGGTGTTCAAGAAGAACATAGTAAGTTGAACAAAATGGATGCATATATATTCATTTTATTGACTTAATTCATAACAGAGCCGTCAGTCCTTAGTATTATTTTGCCCACGTTGACTAGTATTTTGGACGATCCACCCTATGACGGAACCGAAACTAAGGTCCACGAAGCAACCTTAATACACTTGTTGGCAATTGCTACTGGCACACCTTCTGTATTTCGTGACACGGTATCTAAATTACCAACCAATTGTCGAGTTAAACTTGAATCTGCCATGCGCTATAGTATATTGGCTAGTCAAGAGCAACAGCAAAAGATGCAGCAAAAAGAGCAGCAACGCAAAGCTGCTTATGAAGATAGTAAGCAACCCACCATTGCTTTAAAAATGAACTTTAGCAACTTCGGTTAGGCCATATAAAACTTTTTCCTTTCAGTCATCTATTTTAATTATTTTACACACCACCACACCATTAATATGTTCTAATATAAAAGCCACTAAATATATATATAAATATCACAATAAATATGTTCTTAATACGAAAATCTTATACGTTTTGTCTTCATTTTCCAAAGTTTGCCAATTTGTTTTGGAGTTAATGAATTGCTCCAAAAGCGAATCTGATTTCAAAAACGAAAAAGAAAAAAAAAAAAAAAGAGAGATTCCCGATGGTTCTCGAAAATTCCCTTATTTATTTTGCTTTAGTATCTTAATTAGCATTGTTACATCTGCTTCTGAATATTTTAGTAGGGTTACAAGTGTAACTAGTTTAGGATTTATATTATAATAATAAGTTTATTTAGTTTATTTACAAATGCGATAAAATTCCAACCTCTTATCACTGCACATCTTGAGAAGCTCTTTTAGTCAAATTGATGTGTCTTTACAGATAAGCTGGTTACAGTACTGATGCACGAGTCTTTATTAAAGATAAAATTATCTGGCTGCATCTCAAATTACCAAGAAAAAAAATAGCATATAATTGTGAACGTATGATTCTAACCTGGAGTTAAAGCACACAGTAATGTTATTTTTGTATGATGTGGTAATTTTATGAACGATTTAATGACAGGTTGAACACACTTACCGCTGACGTAGACACTGCTTATCATCTGCTCTGTTATATGTTACCTCCTTTTTTATTTGCTTGTCACTTCATTATCCTGTTTTATTCCATGGTTTTTTATAGAGCCTATTAACCAGATAGTTACAGGATATATACTGTTTTTGCCCCATTAACAAATGAAGATATAGGGTTTGCCTTATAATGATTCATATTTAAGTTAATCACATTGGAAACCTTTTTTGTAGCAATGCTAGTCTTTACATCTGATTGCAGTTAATATGCATATGATTTCCAAACTACCGTTAACACAGTGGCGGACTATGTGGTAAAAACCCGCAACATAATAAATTTCAGTAGTGGGATAGTCAACATTTTTTTTTTCTACTCCAAATCTTTTTTCAATTTGTGGCTTAATTATTCTTTGAGGGAAAAAAATCAATAGAGCCAATATTAGCCGAAAAAAATCATGATATTAAAGTGTGGTCGTCAAAAGTTAACAATGCAATGTCGTGAGTTTGACTGATCCGACAAAACAGTTTGATAAAACACCGCAATGATTTATTAGACTGTCGTGTCTAATTTCCGGTTAAAACTAGCGTTGAAAAATTACAGAGGGTCACAAAAGGTACAGCTGTACTTTGCTGTAGCTTTTGCTAATATGTCAAGAATATCCCGGACAGTCGTAATAAGCGTGGCTATAGGGAGTTGCACACGTTCAATATATTTTATATTCCTCCTTTTTAAGGCCGCTTGTGACACTTTCGCTGCAGAAGTTTTATCTAAACATTAATTTTTTAGTACCTGTACTAAATATCATTTATACTTGTCTGGAATATTTCTACGATTGTCTGAGATATTTTACGCTTGTCTGAAATATTTTTACTTTTGTCCTCATTTGTTTAATTTGATAGTGAGAATACAGCAATAAGAAATTTAATATTCTGCGCATGTTGTTGCAAAGAGTTTTCTTGTGATGTTAAACTGCCCTTGCAGTAAAGACTAGCTTTTATGGGGTTTTGCTACATGGCGCGTGATATGGACTACTACACCATCGCTGAATCACTCGGTTTATTTTACAACACAAATTACGTTAGCAACAGACAGGTTGTATTCCTGTATATGAATTGGTGCAACATAACTCGAGCGCCTTCCCGTTAGCAACATGCAAAAGTCATGAAGTCTACCATAAATAGTACCCAAAACGATCGACGACATATTCCACAAGAAAATGTATACTAAAGTCAGAAATTGAGATATGCTGCCGATATGATTATACAAATTCATGAATGGAAAAGCACAAAGCGGTAGAAGATAAGCTTAAAAGCCAATGTATTACGACTGATTTATTGCGCTATTACATAACTTTTACCCCGGAAAGCAGGGTTTAAAGGAATTTAATTTTATGCCCGCTGTAAATTTTTTAGAAGAGTACGAAACTTGTCCAACCCATTTCACGATCTTCCCATTCAAAACCATGTAACTGGATCAGTATGCCGGATTCCTTTTGATCATTAGTGAATTTGTATTCGATCCAGCAAGGCATTCTTGTTTGACCACCTCCACCTTTACGATCTGGTTCACCCAACATGGCCACGATTTCATGAGCTTGCATTTTACTTTCTAATCCTAATGGCAATTGCAATTGACAAGTTGTGAACCCATCACGAGTCTGACCATTATAGACATCAATGGCGTCAAGGACCAAGTCATCTTTATTAGCTGGTATAAAGCAAAATGAAATACCAAGAGGTTTGTAGGCGTGATATATATAATTTGAAATCTTTGTTATAGATGGTTTTTGATCTGTTGAGAGATATGCATTAAATTCTGCAGAGCAAGGCGGTAATCCGATCAATTGATATAAGTTGTCAGATGATGGTGTGTCTATGGTCATTTGTAAAAGGGGGCAAAGTTAGAAAATTGGGTTTGTTTTTTTTTCAGCGGAGATGAGGAAGGGGGAAAAACACATGATAAGCTAGCGTGTGTGTGAGGGTAAAATACAGTAGAATAAATAACCAGCCAACAAATACGTCAATTTCGGCTTCTTCCCTATAATGTAATAATTTTGTACACAATCCGGAAATTCCTACATTCTTTTTTTAATCTTATGTATACAGAATTATGTTGACGTGCTTAATCCCAACTAGTCTTTTGTTTCACTCGTGAGGGTCATAGCGGTTAGCGCGCCCATCAACCTAAAAGGAAAAAACGGAGTTCGCTTATATATGTTATAAAAGGAATTCTTGTCACTTATGTCACTTATCGTAGTAACAGAAAACGCATCTTTTATAAAAACAAGGCAAACTATACGCTTTAAAACACGAGTCAATTACTATTCTGAAGCCATGTCTAGTTATTAATAGGTTATCTGTTTAAAGTAGTAACTCTACATATCTTTCTTTATTGCAAAGATGGACATAGTTAATAATAAAACCCGGTTACAGTAATATATTTAGACAAAGTAGATGTGCGGAACAGGGGGCAGTTTAGTGGAAAGAATGATGTTACACAGTATCGAAGCACTCCAACCTATTCTATTGGTAATGTTTCAAATTCTATGGTCAATAGTCAATCAAAGGATACACATAGGCAGGCACCACAAAAAAAAGTGGAAAATAAAAATACGCATTATAATCAAATAGATGTAATCTTTCCTTCTTCTTTCACTCTCTTAAAAAAAATTCAAAACGATCACCATACCATATTTTCCCTTATATTTTTACTACGCTTTAACTGTTTACAAAAGAGCATAGAATACCACAGGAACAAATCTAATCAATTTTCCCACTCTCTATTATTACTGCTCTTTTTCTCTCATCCTTTACTTAGGATACTGTGAGTATAATATTATTATGGCATCACTCAATACTGATATATATTTATATGTAGTGCACATACAAAGAGAAATCCTTGGTAATTATTTTGCCGACATTTGTATTAATCTTCAACATTGAATCCATCCCTCAATCATGACAAAACGACCTCCAACATCAAGACAAACTAGTGACGAGCAAAGTCCTGCCGTTCAACAGACAACACAAGAAGCAATATCTCCTCAAAGACAGCAAGAGCAGTCAGTCCTGGTAAATTTTTACACAAAAAGAATTTAATTTTGTTTTAATATGAGGGATTGATTATAGCTCGAACCTTTTTATGAGCGTCTTATTGGCATGACTTTTGATCAAAGCACCACAGCTATTGAACGCTGTCGCGATTTGTGCGCAGAATTTGGATTTACTGTGAAACAAGAGGCCAGCACACACAGAGTAAAAAAAAAAAAAACCCACAAAAAGCCCACGCTAATCTTGTGTATTTTTAGAATATTTATGTTTACTGTTCTCGTGAAGGACTTCCCGATTCACTTCGCAATCCCAAATCAAACCCACAGCGTAAGAGACCTTCTAAAAGATGCGATTGCAGATGGAGAGTGGTACTGTTCGAGAACGGGAATAAATGGGAATTCAGAAAATCCTTAAACCCTGAGGCTGGTAAGCACAACCATGAATTAATGCGCCCTGAAGAAATCGAGCGCTCCTGGCCCAAAGAAGTTACAGCTTTAATTTGTGAACTTGCACGTTTACGTATAACCACTCAAGATATCAGAAGCCGAGTCCGAGGCCAATTTCCTAATATACACTGGAATGAGCGCCGATTTTACAACAGGCTCTCAGAAGAGCGTCAAAAGATCAAATTAAGGGATACAGCTGAACGGACACATCAGTTAACTCAAATATGGAGCAAAGTGTGTATGGCAACTGCTGGAAATGATGAACTATCTGAATTTGTAAAGCAAGAAATGGTTACGTTATTTCAATCCGTCTGTGAAACTGCTCATATCGATCCACAAAGCTTTCCCTCTTCTTCTATATCATGGGATGACGACTATGTGAGTGAGGCATCCACACCATCATCAGCTGGACCAGATAATAATAGTGCCGCTGATCCTTATGATACCAATACAGGATACTCTGTAAGTAATGAGCGAAGTGAATACAAGCCATTTAAAGCGTATGTGAAACAAGATGCAAATTCCAGTGGCAGTACCTCTGCAGCAAAAGGCTTTATCACTGTCGAAATTCCGAAACAAACCTATTATATAAAAATTCATAACCAACGCCAACTCTACGAAAGCCAGCTGTTAAAGAATCAAAGAAGACCTAGAACATATTCCGAAGATACAAATTCACCCAGCTCATTCGAGCCAGCTAGGAAGATGTCTAGAAAAGGAAAAGGAAAGCAGTGTGCATTAGATGAACAAGCGGACACGTTACAAACTTTGATCGCGCATCCTTATCCTAACAGAACAAACACGCCCAATGTTTCTATTCCACCTCCCAGACAGCAAGATATCCAGCAACAACATCATCAACAGCAACGGCAACAGCACCATCAACAACAACAACACCATCAGCAGCAACAGCAACAGCAACAGCAGCATCAGCAGCATCAGCAACAACAGCAACAACAGCAGCAACAGCAGCATCAGCAACAACAGCAACAACAACAGCAGCAACAACAACAACAACAGCAACAACAACAGCAACAACAACAACAGCAACAACAACAACAGCAACAACAACAGCAGCAGCAGCAGCAACTTCAACAACCTGCAACAACATTTGTATATTACGAAAATAGCAGTATGCCTTTAGACTCGTCGTTATCTAGTTATGTTCATCCATCATTTCCAAATAATTACAATATGAATTCTGCACCCAATACACCTGGATTTAACACGCAGGAGCTCACCTTCTCATTTGACTCATCTATGAATCGCAATAGTGTAGAGTCCGGCGAAAGCAATAGTCGCAACGATACGAATATTCACCCAGCATTACAGTCCATGCCGCATCAGCAGCAGAAACCAGCACAGCATAAGAAATCACTGAATGCAATTATACCTCAATCTCAACAACCTGGAAATAACTCAAGATTGTATGCACTATCATCTGTATCGAATAATACCATTATTAACGACAATAGTAGTAATAACAAACAGCAAATGCGGGCCGTATATGAGTCACCCAAAGACAACAATATACGATCTTTACTGCCGGACGCTCAACCATCGTATCAACGTCAACAACAAGGACTATATATGAGACAGCCATCGTCTCCCAATCAGCATCATATTGCAAATAGTATATTACCTATGTATCAGCAGCAGCAACTTCCTCCTGATGCGTTGAGATTGAGTAACATGCACCATCAAAATCCCCCTCCGCAGTAAATGAATTCCCTGTAATTAAGTGAGATTGTATAAAATGTTATTTTTTTTTATTATTATTATTCTGGTATGGCAATAAACTATATGACAATATGCTCCCTATTATCATTTTTATTTTCTGTGATGTATGATTGAGGATGACAGCACTTGTCATAGACCCTTTGAGAGGAGGGAAGGGACAATCATCTGTCCTCAGGATATTGTCCATTTATGGGGATTGTCATGATGAACACAAACATGAACACAAACCCGATGTGGGGGCTTTTGCCCAGCGATTTACACAGCATAACTCGTGTGATCCGCATGTATGTACCATTGTTTTCGGAAAAAAAAAAAAAAAACGTGAATGGTTTCAGAAGACAAGTGACATTATTAAATACTCCAGCCTCGTGGCAACAGATTTGAACTTGGTGTACCATTGGCGCGAAGAATGGTGTGCTGGCCAGTTTAAGCCAACGGAGTACAACTCTTTCTAATTTAGCAAAGGCAATTAACCTACAAAGACTGATTTGGCGCGTACTCAACACGATTGGATACCTCTTATCATAAGGATTACAGTAAGGTCTTTGCTGCTTATTATTGATGATTAATGAGTAATAATTTCTCTAGATGAGATGGTAGTTATTGTTGATGGAGATTTTAATAAAGCCACTTATATATATATATAACAATTGTCAAGGAAATTACAACTCTGTTGTTGTGGATACAATAGTTGAAAAGCAAATATTTAACAGTTGCCCTTTGACAATAGCAAATTAATGAGACGAGCAATATTTTAATAAATCAGTCATTGGTAAATGACGTATTTGCACTGTGTGGGTCAATTCATTTTTTTTTTAATGATTTATATTTTTAAAGACAGTAGTTCATGCCAACAGTTTTAGACTGAGATTTCCTTCCTTTTCTTTCCAAAAGGCGGTCACGATCTTCTATTTCGGACTGTTTGTTTGAGAGAAGGGGATTCTTTTATTGTAGGGGTGCTTTAGCATTTCTTTTTTTCTCTTTTCATATTACCAAAAACTATTTAATTTTTACAATATGAGCGACTATTCTTCTGGCTATAACCTCGGTGGCGATTCCGTAAGTATTGGTGGAAAAAAAAAAGAGAGAGGAATGAAGCATTATTTTACACGTAACTTACCGGACCATTTTTTTGGTGAAATAGGGTAACAAGAAGCAAGAAGTTATGGACCAAGTCCGTTCCGAACTTGCCTTGGCCAACGCCCAAGAACTTATTAACGTAAGAAAAGGATAATAGGATGTGTGTTTATTTGAAAGAGAGAGAGAGAGAGAGCGTGTGTGTGTGTGTGTATTTGATTCTGTATGCAAGAGCCTAACACCGCCAATTTTATTCCTGGCAACGATATTAGAAAATCAACGAAAAGTGTTATTTAAAGTGTGTCCCCAAGCCTGGTGCACGTCTTGAATCTGGCGAACAAGCTTGTCTCTCCAAGTGTATGGACCGTTATATGGAATCATGGAACGTTGTTTCTCGTGCTTATGTTGCCAGACTTCAACGTGAGTCTCAAGGTGGCAACTTGTAAAAAAGTCCCTAGACCTTCAAGAAATAGTATCAAAAATATATATATTTAATATCTCTCTATTTTCTCCCTCCCCTCCCGTGTGTATTTTATTTTTCCCAATTCACAAATGTATAGCTGATATTTTATCTACATGAATAAACTACAGGTTTTTTTTTGAACATAGTAAAATTTGTTTTTTGTAAATTTTTTTTTAATTTTGTCTGTAACAGGCGGATATTGACAAAAAAAATATTTTACAACAAAACCCTGTTAAGAGCAGGTGGTTTTCATAACAGTGAAAAAGACAGTTTTTTAAAGACATGTTATTTAAATTTTACAAAATATTTATTTATTTAAACGATAAAAAAATTACAAAATCTTCATATTAGAAGGAGAATCTATAATACTAATATTAGTAAACAAATTTTTAAATAAGTATAAAAATAGAATGTTTTCAAATAAAAGAACATAAAATGATAAATGATAATATCTCAGAGATTGTTCACCTTGGTTATACCCACATTTCTAAAGATTGTGAACACGGATTATAATGTTGCGATTCGGGACCAAATATTTTTTCCATCATGTTATATTATCATTGTGTCTTTTTATGTCCTTATATTTGGGATAAACATTGCTACAAGTTATTACATACCTTTTTATCAGTTAAAAAATAAAATAAAAAGCGAAGAGAGAATAATAAAAATTTCATTTTGGTTGTGAAAATTTTTGCCTTTTTATTTTAAAATATTTGTGACTCTATTATTTACGAGCAACAAAAAAAATTAATTATTTACAACCGCCGCTTTGCTGAAAAGGACTGCCATTGGACGTTCGTGAAGCACGTAACCGTTCGTACACTCTAATGCCAACCTTGCGCTCGTCTCATCTGGGAATGTAACAAATGCTTGATCACGTAATCGCCCTTTCGTCATTAGATTCACCTGTATTTCTTTACTGAATTTTCCATATAAATCAAGTAAATCTTGCTGCGTCGCCTGTTTACTAAGGTTTTTGATGTATAATTTATTGCTAGGTGTACCACTAGTATAGTTTTTAAATGCCGGTAAATTTATCAATTCTGACATTGGCAGACACTTGTCATGAATTTTTTTTTGTTCTTCCTGTAATCGATCGGGCGATACTTGTTTATCTTGTAACTGACTGGACCTCTTTTGATCAGTAAGCTTCCCAATGTTAATTTTTATCTTGCTGGAGGTAGCTTTACTAGTGATGCAATTTGCTGGAGAAGCTGTAAGTGCTATTTTTTGTTTTTCAGCCGCAATTCGACCAAGCCTTGCCTGTTTCACTTTCTGTTCTTGTGCTTCTGCTGCAATATTATTATTGTCTTCATCTTCTAACTCGGATTCGTCACTAGCTAATAAGTCATCGTGTTTCCTTTTCAAAGAGGGCACAGATTCCTTATCGACTGCGCCAAAAGGGGGTGGCATGTTATATTTATTCATCAAGTGAAGCACCTGTGTATAAAATCTCGGTACCGTTCCAAGTGCATTAGATATATTGGCCAGAATATCTGGTGTAGGATCTGGATAAAAGTAACGCAAATGCGGATTGGGTGGGTACAATATACTAAGCAATAACAATGTCAGTATTATCAAACTATAACATCATTGAATTGAGCTAAATACCCTTGTGACAATGATACGGGGTCTGCTGCTTGTTCGTGCTGCTCAATAGTGAGTGTGACAGGTCTAAAATCAGTAATTAAATCAGGTATCTCTTTTAAATATCTACGGCATTTTTCATTTACTCTGTCATTTGATTTCTGTTTGGGTTTGGTTTAGCGTATTCAATTATAATCTGCTTGTAATATAATCCAAAATTGATGTATTTCAGCTGCTCGTAGGCCGCTTCAGCTGTGTCACGGTTGGGGAAATCGAGAAAGGCGAATCCTGGCTTGTGGTGGGGTGAGTACGTAAGGTAGAAGTGACTTGTTCAAATTTACCATAGCTTGACTTTGCATAAACCTTACACTTAAAGGTTTATATGGCTTGAAATAATCATTTTGTAATTCTGTTGAGCTCGTAATGAAATCTGGTAAATGCTTTACAATGAGCGTTGTTACTGCGTTCTAGTATAAATAAAAGTTAAAATGGTTTGTGAATGGTTAAAAGTTTTCTCATTTACACTATTAAGCTGATCCATCTGAGTACTTTTGGGAACCACGTTAAAGATGGAGTCACGCAAATAAATAACAAAAAAAAAAAAAAAAAAAAAAAAAAAAAAAAAAGGCCTTTCAATATTCACTTTGACCTTTTCTAAATGAAAATAAACGAAAATCTGATTCTTGTAAATACCATTTCGCATAAACGTCTTACGAGAAGGCTTGTTTTAACAGTTGCCTTCACAGATTGGCGATAAAGTTGCGCTTGTACCTTACAAGCCAGAACATGTACCAAAATATCATGAATGGATGAAGTCCCCTTTTCTCCAGGAAATGACAGCCTCAGAGCCTTTGACACTGGAAGAAGAATACGAAATGCAAACCTCTTGGCATCAAGATGAAGACAGTAAATAACTGAAATCCCCTTTTTTTTCTTTCTTTCTTTAACAGTCGTTCACAAATTTTTATCAACATTAGAACTTACCTTTATTATCATGTCATTACCTAATGATAGCAACAAATGTTTGAAAAATTTGCCTGACTCTGAAATCAAAGAAAATATAGGTAGGTGCAATACATTTTCAGGATCAATCATGATACCAACATGTTATTATTTAGTTATGGTCGGTGATGTCAATATCTTCTTAAACGATCCTGACAATGACCGAACATTTGGGGAGATCGAGGTTATGATTGCTGAACCTGATTATAGACGAACCGGTAGAGGAAAGGAGGCTCTTAAAATAATTATGGGATATGCTATGGAAGTTATTGGCTTAAAGACTTTCCAAGCAAAAATTTCGATTGAGAATGAACCTAGTGTCAATCTTTTTAAGTCCCAATTTGGATTTTACCAAGTATCTATTTCACATGTATTCGAAGAGGTCGTATTGGAGTGGACACTTCTGGAATATGCACCGCCCACAATTGATGAATATGGTAATGAAGTTGAGTCATATGGATCAAAAGCAACCACAGAACAGCGTGATAGAGTAATGCAAGTTAGAAATGATTTATTTAATTATTGGAAGAACAATGTAAGATCTAGCAATTATTTATAATGAATAAACTACATATGAAGGAAGGAAGGGTATTACCAGTATCCGTGTTCAGTAAATTCTGGATATTGTTTTTCGTCACTACCATAAGTAGGAACCTTCATTTGCTTAATCCACCATTCTGGTGAAACCTGGATTTTATCAAATGATATCACTGCTGAATCCTCTTTTTTTATAGACGAAGCATCCAAAGCATTCTTGTGTTTATCAAAATCATTTTGAAATGTTTCGATAAGTTTAACCATGTCTTCCTTATGGCTATTTTGCGTTGTCATTTCGTATCCTAGTTTAAATGCAGAACCCATGATAGCCATATTTCCATGTATGTCATTGTTATCTTGTAGCTGGTTCCATAGGTTCTTATCATTCATGATAGCAGCACCAGCTTGATTAACATGCTGCAATCTTCTGTTGGTTGATATTTGCGCAAAATATGCTACGATGTCAATATTGGTTTTTATCTTGTTAAATATCACAATCGAACGTTCACTTTGAGTGGCCGATTTCACTGCATCTAATCCATCTTCATCGATAGGACACAATTTAAATTCCAATGTCAAGGTAATGGGATTGATTCTTGAGTATTCGCTCAATAGCAACAGTTCGGTTGAAAATGGAAACGACGGGGTTTGTTCAGAAGGATACGATTTTGCCAATATATCAATCTAAAACATTGTATGTATTAGTTCTTTCTTTTATTTTCCACAAAAAAAAAAAGTAACAAATCGCAAGTGTAATTACGTGAATTCTCCAACCTTCTCTTTGTACACTTGTGGAAATTCTTTCTCCAAGGATAATGGATATCCAGTAGCTATACCAAGTGTTTAATCTTCCCAAAGCAACCAAGTCCTTTATCTCCAAAAAATCGCCAATAAGGTACAATATTTCTATAGGCAAACTGGATAACTTGTACATTTTTTTTTTTTTTTTTTTTTTTGTAATCAGGGTTAAAGAAGATAAAAAAAAAAAGAATAAAATGAATTTTTTATTTTATCTCTGTTTTTTCCATCTGGTGATTCATGCAAAACCAAATTAAGGCAAGGACGTCTTTTTCATTCAGCGATGGATAATGATATTAATTATACGCCCGTAAATACAACGTACATTGTCAAAAGTATCAAAATAAATTCCTTGTGATAAGGTGTCAGCATGTGAATACCTTCCTTGCATAAGTATGAGTTTGAATGCAAAAAGAATCATTCGTTTTTGATCACTCAGTCGTTTATGACGTAATAAATTTAAGTTTTCCTCGGGTTATTATTTTCATATGCACTTTTTGTGGCTTAAAACTGCACGAATGGGTGCCACTATGCTGCGAGGTGTTCCTAGACGTGTTATCCGAGTTTTGATATGCCATGCACCCGTACCCGGCTTTTACATTTTTTTTTTTTTTTTGTGTAATCAAATCGATAGAACTAGATAGATATACGTTTATTCTTTAATATATATTTCAAAGATATAAAGCAGAGGTGTATCACATAGATGACTTGGCAGTAGGCCTTAAAATTTGAGTATTTAAGAGAATAAAATAGGGCCTCAGTGTTATTGTTGTGTCATTCGCCAGGAAGTGTAAAAAACTGTAACACCTCGTGCAAAAAATATTGAGGAATGGCTGGGTGATGCTGTAACTCAAAAATATAAACACGTCCTTCTTAATGAAAATTCATACGCGCCCAGGAGCTTGTTCACCCAAATTGGAGTATAAGAAAACCTGGGAAGGTTTATTATGTTTCCATCTTTAAACAATACTACTAGTCATTGCTTCCAGTTTCGAAATGATGACTTATACGTTTAGAACAAGTCCTTACATATGAAAGGAGTTCCTATCAATATGGGTAGTCACAGCTTGTTGATAATTTGACCATTTATTGAAAACAGAGGATTGTTCTAACAATGGTTGCTAATAGCGAAAAAAATACCAAATAGACTATTGTAGTCTGTGGTTTAAAGGATCGATACCTTGAAATCGTTCACTTGATTTAGTTTTTTTGACAGCCTCTATAGCATTCTGTATCTCCCTTATCAATTGCTTCTTTTTAAACAATGCTATGCGTAATTTATCTAAACAAAGTAAGAATGTGATTCCTTTGTTTGATACAACATTTACCGTTCTCACTATAAAGTCGCTTAATCTCCAAGTCTTTGTTCTTTTTTTCTTCTACCCCTTGATACTGTATTTGCTCATGAAGCTATACTAACTTGTTAGCACTAAAATTAGGTTTAAGTTTCATAATCTCCAACCTGATTAATTTCGTTACTTAATCGCCCAATTACAGTTTCTTGTCTGGCAAGTTGGTCTTTTAGATTATTATTATTGGTTTGTACTTTGTCAATATAATTTTCGAGCATGTTATTCTTCACTTGTAAATCATTGATAAGGTTCTTCTATACAAGTTAGAATGGTATCTGGTGTTTTTGATATGAGCTTCTCACCTCATTATCCGCATTTATATTTTCAAACGTTTCTTTGGTGAGTAAAATTTTGTTCTTTATCATAACAACTGTAATACCTTTTAATCTGGTTATAAAATCCAGACAAGATATAGTGTTATTCAAACAACTTTCATCCTCAATACAATCCTATATGTCTATTCTGTGAATAAAGATATTCAATGATTCAAAAGAAAAATTACCTGTAGAAAAGCATATATTGTTAGCTTTTTACGCCCAGAAATATACTCCAAAAGCTCTTGCGTTAGAAAGCAAGATTTTCCCACAAAGTTGCAGTCATGAGGTGGAAGAACAGCACGAACAGCATTATCTTTTGTTTTTAGATCAAAATCAGGTTAACCAATATATATATATATATTTTACTTACACAAATTATTGCAAGATATTTTTAATTGTTCACTCTCTTTAAGAGACTCGTGTGAAGAAAATGAGGGGTGTAATAAATCCATGTATATTAGACATCCTTGAGTTAACCTTTTCTTATCGACTAGTTTGACTTTTATCATGAGTGGCAACTTATTATCTACGTATTCTACTTTTGACCAGATATCCTTAACACTATTTGATTTCTTCAGCAAAAAATCGATCCCTTTTTCACACAATGATACGTCTACAGTATGGGTAAAGTCAGATGAAATTCAACATAAAAATTATGGCTTATACTTGAATGTATTTTATCTCTACGTAAGTCTATAACATAGTCGTCAGTTAGGCTGAGGCAGACATATTGCATGACAGTTTCGCTTGGTGAATGATCTAGTTTCCATTGCAAAATGTTCAAATATAATTGAAGGTTATGTAATTTTGCATATTTGATTGCTTCGGGGTTACTTATTGTTCACTATTATCAGTACTTTTTTTCAATATCAACCTTTTTTTTAATCAGATATATTACCCAGCACTTAAAGATATCGTGGCTACATCATACCCTATAGTTCAGTGTAAATGAATTAAACACCTGCATATGTAAGCTATACACTTACCTTTAAGCGCATAGTCAACCAAGTTTTCTTGCTCTTTGGTCGACACGGATGCTGGCTTCATATGATGACTAATATCCCAAGCCGACATTCTATAAACAACATTAGTTTTCTTGCTACCGTTTAGATATTCATATAATATTTTAGTTTACATTTGACCCCTATCTTAAGATATTTATGGTTTTTTTTAAAGTAAAAATATAAAGTTATTGTATTCACAGTACCTTTTAAAAGAACTTGGTGCTCATTTACGTTTTCGTTTATTTCTAATATTTGCTGTGTATCCGCTTCTGTTGTAGACTTTGGTATATCAGGTTTACCGTCCTCCTTAATTGGTACAAGACATATTGTTGTTTCTATTGATGTGAGTTCCATATCCAAGAAGAGGCGTTTTTTTTTTTTTTTTTTTGCCCCAAATAAAATAAAAGAATGAACTTGAAGTTTGTTTAAACGATATATTTATTAATTTAAGTTGGGAATGGCTTTTCAGTTGTTTTTGACTGATTGGCTTGATCTTCAAGCCAATCATTCTCGAATACAACTTCACTTGTATTTCGCTTTGTTTTCTCGCTTGAATCGTCGTTTTTTGAAATCGCATTTGCTCCACTTACAACAACTCTTCTGGAGATACCTCGAGCATCAAAATACACAAGTGTCTCTGCTATATTTGCTCCTGTTCCAATTGTCCTTTGGGCAATATAACCAGCATCGTCTCCATATTTTTTATGTACTACTTGTATAATACTATCTCGTGACGATTCTAAGACCACTGAAGCCGCAGAAGCTACACCTCCTACAATCTTTACGGCAGCCTGTAATGCTGATATACCAACATGCCGTGATGCATTTTGCACTGGATCTCTAGCTTGCAATTTTTCGTTTTTATATACTACTGAGTTGATACCGGATATGGCTGATGATATAGCCATATCCACAAATCCTGCTGCCATATGAGTTACAGAACTGGTTGTGCTATACACAGCTTCGATGACTCTTCTGTCTTGGTCACTCAATTTTATTGGCGTCTTTGTCTGTTCGATTTTGCTCTCAATCATTTTACCACCACTATAAATTTTTGTTAGTCATTCTTTTTTAAACAATTTTCGATTATATCTAACCTTGATATTCCTTTTGCTAAGGCATGTCCTGCTAGTACTAAACCTTGTGCAATCCAGTCAGATCCTGTTACTATTGCATTTCCAGATTGATACATAAGTCGGACTTTTCTAATTTTAGATGGATCATCCTATTTTTCGGGTTTAGCTTATTTCGGAGGGCATGTGCAGTTTAATCATTCTTACCTCCAATGTAGACCCACCAACATAGACTGGTAACTTTTCCCCTCTCTCCTCTTCATGAGCTGTGATGAAGTCTTCTTCATTTAGTACACTCTCTGCATCTGATCTATCTAAATGAACGTTATCTGCAACAACCTGTGTGACTTCACAGGAAGCGGGATTGATCATGGCTAATGTGTTCTTCATTTGATGTCGGTTTTCATACTTGATAAAGTATGTTAGAATGTCTTGCAATTCACCAAATATTACTTCATCGGAATCACTGCAATAAAAAAATACAAGCAGTTTTAATGGAGATTCTATTTAAAATTTTGTTAAGACAAACCTGCAATCAACCCTCCATAGACCGCCTTCCACTCGGGGAAAGATTAAAGTACGTTCATCTTGTAACCAAGCCTTCGATCTTGAAACCAGGACAATGGTACATTTCTCTTCATCAAAATAGTCAAAAAAGCGTAAGAGAAGAACTTGTTGCTCAGACTGTGGGTCTGTAGTGATATATGTGGCTAAATGGCCATTGCCGGTTTCGGTGAGAACGCCCTCGTCGAATGAAGATACTGAAACTCTGTCAACTTGACATAAATAGGACAAAGATTTAGGATCAATTTCACTGGCTAAAGGTGTTATAGGTAATATAGTCATTATGTATTTAATTTTGTATTGGGTAAAAGAGTGAAAGAAATGCGATTTTACTCTATTAAATAAATGATTTTTTAAGAATCTCTTGGCTACTAGTTTGTTTTTGGCATAAATAATTTTATACAATTATCAATCATCTTTATTATCTTAATTTGGAATGAAATCCCTTATATCTGGCATTGACATGTACAGTTACTGACAGGACATGTAGAATGCTTTTGGAACCAATCAAACATATGCACAGCATGTCCGCCATGACGACAAGTCTGGCACCAGGTAAACCAAAGGTCGAAGCCGGCTGGATCAACTGTAAACGTAGATCATTTAAATCATCTAGTATTATTATTGTTCTCGAATTTTTAAAGCTTCTTTTTTACCTTTATGAGTATCATTTGCAATGATTGTCTGTCTTAGTTGATCAATGGGCGTACCCATGTGTAAAAGACATAATGCACATCGGGGTAATGGTTTTCTACAGCTTGAACATACAGTGCTCTATAAATATCCAATGTTAAAGCTTGAAATATCCATTTAGTGTTACGTTACCTTTTGCTTTCCAGATGCTCGTCCACCAGGATTGCTTGTCTGGACATTCATTCTCTTGCCTTCTCTGTTCCGAGCATTTTGTATAACAAGACTATGCCCCAAAGATTGAGCACAAAAATTACAGCGAACATATACCTGAGGGGGTGCAATTTCACTTGAATTCATGCGCTTACCACGTTGAATATCAAATTTTGCCCGTGCGTGCCACATTTGCCATCGATCCATTAGTAAGCGGTAACTAAACAGGAAAAGTTCAATACATCTAGTTCATAAACATATGAAGTTTCTTACTTTTCAACCCAATCCTCAACCCTACTATCCTTAAATCGTTTTGGTACAATATAACTCATTACTAAACTAGCTGTTTGGACATCACCATATCTGTCAAGTGCTTTTTCAAATAACTCTACTCCTTTCGATGTGAGACCTGTAACAACTACGCCTTCCACATCTCCTTCCCTCACCAGTTTCTCGAGCGTTCGATTTAAATACATTGTCATCTAATATATCGACTTAAGAAAACAATAAAGTAAACTCATGTTTCGCTTTTTAAGTACCTGCTCGTCATCCAAAACTCGGAGAGCAACAGCCATACGCTCTCGCAATGGTAATCCGGGTTCGTCTAATACTCTGTACCAATCATTCGAGGCAATATAAGCAAAAATGGAGCGTAAATAAGGCCTGTCTACCATGTCATTGCTCAATGATTCGCAAATGTCTTTCCATATATCACTTGTATTCGCCCCAATAGCTTGATAACTGGCTAGAATAGCTGCCATTAATTTACGCTGCTGTTCTAAAATGATGTAGAATTGTGCTAAATACTTTTTGGTCTTTATCTCATTATGCGGATCATTTACCTTCTTTATGGTCACGACCTCGAGCACTACCTAAGGCTCTAATAGCTCTATCTGGAGCTCCATGAAACAAAGCTAAACCGGCAGCCTTGTCATACTCTCCGCGGGATTCAAGACTTTCTTTCCATGAGTATTTTTATCAAGAGAAAGTGTTTATAACTTACTCTATTAATTCCAGCTCAAACCCCTTTATATCAAAAGCAAATCCACAAGCAGATAAAGCAAGATTTCTTTGAGCTGATTTAGAAGTATCAATCATAGGCAAACTATTACTGATATCAACATCTGTGTTGATATCAGCTATATCCTCAGCTACCTTTGCTCTCTGGTTTGAAGGTTGTCTTGATAATTTAGGGGAAGCGCTAGAGCGCGGAGTATTTGCAGGTGATGATTTGCTATTACGACTTTGTGATCCCATCCAAATACCATAAACGCCGTGGAAACTGTAATCTGCGTTACTTATTTTAGATAACTTGGTTGATATTTGATCTGCAATCTTCATCCATGACCATAATTCCTTTAATTTACGATCTTGGCCAACTATACTGATGTTTTTCGTACACTAAAATCATAGTTTAAAATTTTAAAAGAAAAAAATGTAGTCTATCATTTAGCTTACATCCATCGAATAACCCTCTGTGAGTCTTTTTCTCATAACAACAGATATGTCTTTATCCAATTCTTTGGCTAGTGCTTTGTCGGTACTAATTGCAATTGCATTCAATTCTAGGCCTAAATTACTACTTTTTTTTTTTTGAAAAATCAATAAAACTCCATCTATTTTGTGGTTAACTTACGATTGTCTGTGTTCCTCCCCAGATAATTTCAAACTACCCATATTCCTTTCAAAGTCATCGTCCATGGATGTAGGATAATATGAGCGCAATCCTGTCTTTGCAGTCATTACCATACCACCAGTTGGTTGCCATGATATTTGACAAGCTTCCTGGACTTTTATAGATTCGAACTTTCCGTCCTTATGGACAGTCAATATATTATGTGTATTTGGTATAGGTTTTGATGTCGATGATATTGAATTGGGTATGAATGAAAAAGTTGCAAATTCCCTATTGCTTGATCGCGTCTTCCTACTTTTCCAAAGCACTGGAATGCTTAATTCTTCTTCGTCATTCACTAAACTTTTAAGAGCGCAGTGACCTGCTTCCAATTTGGTTACAGGTGCTGTGTGTGCAGTAGAAGATGATGACTTTTGGACGGAAGAATCTACAGCCGATTTTAGCGAGCATGTCTCTTGAATATCCCAAATGCTTATATGAAATGAATCCTTGGTCAACGATGCCAAAAATCCTGGTTGTGTGGGTGAAAATACAATTTTTGACAAACTGTTCTTATTTTCAGGGTTGAGAGTGAGAACTGCATCATTACTCTTTCGGATATCCCATAGCTTAACTACACCTTCCTCTGTATAAGAAGCTAATCTATATGGGTTAAAAGGATCAACTGAAATTCCATGAACTGCTTTTGTTTGAAACTGTAATGGATTTGATCCTGGATCTGCTCTAATATCATAAACTCGAAGGTATTTATTTCCCATTCCAGCAATCAACAATGGTGCATTCGAATGTTCGGACCATGCACATGATGAAATTGCCTCTGAGGATCCATATTGTCGAACTGGCCCTTGTTCTCTAGATCTATAATGTATAGCTATTAGAGGCTGTATTATTTGAGTGGGAAAAAATCCAATTACCCTGATCCAGGTGTGGACATGGGCGGTAAGTCGTTATATCTTGATCTATCTGAATCCGTCCAAAAAAACCACATTTTAATATCACAGATAACAATCACAAAATCAGCAAAATGTTACCTTCATAATTATCATTAGTTCTACCGTCTAATCTCCATTGATTGCCAATAGAGGAGCGAGATTCCTGCTGCACATGCCCTCTAATGGAAGGGAATGCCGTGGGTGTTTGCGAGCCAGTTGGTGTGTTGCAGTAACTGTCTAATGAACGAGATACATCCCATACCAAAAGACATGGATCGTTACGAACTTTATCAAGTCCAGCTGCTAACAAGTGTGGATGTGTCTTTGAGAAGGATACAACGTTACTTGAGCGTGACATCTTAACACCCAACGAAGGGTATTGCTTTTGTTGCTGAGGTTGTTGAGGCTGCTGTTGAAGTCTAGTATTTAAATTCATACCCGAACTATTATTACTACCGTATATCGTGGCATGCCCTTGGGTAGGTGTGTCAATACCGTCGGAATTGGGATAATCTGTCAAGGAATGCTCTTGCATGCGAACAAGTAATGTCTTTCCGGTTGTCAACCCAACGGCAACTAAATCAGGGCAATTAGGATCTGGAGACCAATCGGCACACTTTCGTGGGAAAGGCAGGGATTCGTTAGTAAATACGCTCTGTAGACATTGTATTTTTTACCATCATTAGGGTGATGTCAGGAATGGTGGAAATATATCGTGCTCTTCCAGGTAATTCGCTTGTCTATTGTACAGAATAAGTTCAGGAAGAATTTATGTGGGAGAATTGGTTAATTACTTCTGGAACCCATTGATATAATTTCAATTCAGTCCCTCCAGCAAGAAATTGACTGTGGTCTTCATGTGGTGACCAAATGATAGACCTTTGCACGACAACCATGTTAAGTATAATAAAAGATAGAAAAAGAAAGGCGACATATTATCATTTTTGGTTTTACGGGACATATAAATGAAGCTCAGCTACTGGAAAAAAGGTGTAAAGTTGAGAGCACCACGCTATTGGTTGCGATCAGATAGTGTTTAGAATGAGGAGCAAATTAAATTACTTTTGGGATAAGTTAGGTCTCTTTAGATGACTTAGAGAGGTTAATTCATGTAAGAGAAGTAGGTAGAGAGATTTATAGTCTTATTAACAGGATAAATGAATATGATAGTATAGATTAAAGAGAAAAGGGGCAATTGCCACATAACACTTGTGATAGTGAGCACCCGACTTAGGGTAGTCCGCTTGAGTTATTATTTTTCTAAAGGAATATTTTAAGAGTGATGTTTAGATGACACAATATTAGATGAGACGATTAAATATCATAACAGTGAAGGATAAGTAGAGAATTAATTCTTAGATGTAAGTGTAATAGTTTTCAGCAGGTTTTTGTAAGAAAACGTTATAATGTAAAATTACAAAATACATATTGAAGTAACCAAAAAGTGGAGAAGATACTATAATGGTATTAATTACGAAGACAAATCCCAAAATTAGGTAAAGAATATTGATTTATAATCAGAAGAAAAAGGGGGAATGGTCCTTTCCTGTAATTTAACTTCACAACCATTGTACTTTCCTTTTAATTAAGCCAGGATAACAGATAGCAATGCATACCATACCAAGTGATATTACCGCCTCACAATAGTACTGCTGCTTGCTTCCATCAGTAAGTCAAACCAAGTGGCTGTAGGTTTTCTTAAAGCATTTCCACAAGACTAACTACAGTTTGCATGTATTACTCGTTTACTTTTTATGTAAAACTATGAAATAGAAAGGTCTAAAAAGGAAATGTCTAGATATTATGAAAAATGAAACAAGCAATTAAATCATCCTGACATAAGCTTGTTTATCAGCCTATAAATAAAGCTAATTCACACACTGTATTTTTCCCCCTTTTCTTTTCCCTTAACATATTTCTTTTATCGTATGAAAGTAACCGATCACGTAAAAAGGTTTTTTTAGTAGTGACTCTTGTTTTTTTTTTTTTGAAAAGAAGCTAAATTGAAAAAGAAATATTGTGATATTGCGGCTGCGGCTAGTCTTTGCTATAGGAGGGCGACCTCCTAGGCAGGGTTCTTGAGTTTTTAGAACTCACGAACCGTAAATAGCTGGGATTGGACTGTAAATAGGTGCTGGTATTGGCCGGAATTTCTGTAAGTGGTGTAAAAAAAATACGTTTGAAAAAAATACGGAGGTCTAGACATTTCCGTCTAAAAAATACACTTCTTAAAATCGGCCAAAAATAGTGACCTAACGCGATTTATTCGGCGCAGGTCGAGTGACTAAGATTGTACATCAAAGTATCAAAAAAAAAAAAAAGGGAAAGCCGAATTTACACTCATTAAGAGGAGATTACTCCATTCCAAAACTAGTTAAGAAGAAATTTGGGCTTGAGACACTATTGAAAGTCAATGCAGGTTCTTGGACGAATCCAGAGGCCCTCATTGCTGCATATTTTGTCAACTGCTTAACTTGGGAACCTTCATGAGAAGAATTCTTTGAAGCATTATCAAGTGGTTTGAGGGAGATTAGTAATAGTGATTCTGAATCTATCAAAGCAAGAAGTTATGCTCAGGAGGTGTCGTGTTTCATTATTTCTAGAGCAGTTATCAACAAGGTCAATGTATATTATCAACTAATGGCAGTCAAAGCAGAATCAAAAAGGCAAGAGGTTCTTGCTAAAAGTTATGGTGAAGCCGCTGGTGCTGCATTTGTTAGCGTGGGGGCAAAAAATCTGAAAAAAAGAGCTTTGGATCAAATAATGTCTAGTAAAGGTGATTTATCAATAATAGAATCATATTATGTTCTCTAGCTTTTTGTTGAAGAAGAAATTCAAGATGACCCACCTCAAGATGAAGCCGCGATTGTATGTTTTTCAAGCTTGTTGTCGTATTTGACGCCTAATTTCACGAATATAATTATTCTTATTTTGTCACTCAGTTATAATACATATACCCTATGTATTATAAGTACCATATTGCGAATACATTCCTATTGGTTCGACACAGTACCAGCTCCCTCATAGGTATATACACATACCTTGGAAGATAAAATAAAAAACCTTCAGCATGGTTCGGATTCACTCGCAAGCATCTTGTATGATTACCAATACTATAATATCAATACCACACGAAAACTAATTGTTCTCACCTGTCATATAATAAAATACAAGCTCACAATCATGAAATACTCCCCCAGTAATTCATCAAAGTGGGTTGCAGTTGAGGTCCAGTCATGCACAATACCATTAGCATACGAGAATAGAAGGGACGTGATCAAGTTTTAAAAGGATTTCGCTTATACTTATGTAAGTAAAGCACATACAATGTATATTTCAAGTACGATTCTTAGTTTACATCAGTTTCAGTCGATACTTGAAGAACAGATGAAGGTTTATGACAGATTGGCGGATGAAAGACTTGGATTCACGATAGTTAAAGAAGAAGGCATGGTCCGATATTGCAACCATTTCTTTAACGCTAATGATTAAAATCAATGATCTTTATATCTTTGCTAAACATATCCACCATAGCATTGTATTTAATTGTCATTTCATTTTCATTATTTCATAAATAATGTTTAAGAAAAGACAAAAGATTTAAACAATAAAAAAGCAATTCTATACTTATTTTCTTTATAACTATTATAATAAGGATTTATTTTCAAAAAAGAGTATCTCTCTTTTATGCTATATCTTTAATGACACCAGCAGAGATCATCTCAACCTGGTTTGTTCCTTCTGCTCGATGGCCTTCTGGAAGCGGTTCTGGGCTTCCCAGCCTTCTAAACGCAGAACCTTGCAAGGCTCAGAATCGATACGCCGGCTTTGATCCTTAATGTGACTTGATTTACACACGGACAACTTGAACTTCTTGAAAGGCTCTATAAGAGATGGGATAATAAGTGAAGGAACGAGAAACTACCCGTTTAAAACGGAGACTAATTTTCAACTTTCTTTATACCCTGTCCTGGCCAGTCCAGGTATGGGGAGAGGGCAAGAAAATGATAAATGTAATACTTTATGATTACACATAGCTTCTGGAGGGATCTCACTCCAAATATGGTATGACATAAGGGAATATATATTATTAAAATTGGTGATCAATGGTAAGTGATCGGGCTATCGTAGCAAATCGATTTACAGCAGCCTTTCTAAATAAATAAATAAAAAAGGTAGTCAATCTAACCGAATTTCTTATCAACGTGTATTGTAGTGATTACCCTATGGGATACTTTCAACTCTCCAAAATGAAAGACCCGACCTATTTATGTCTTATAATGCAATTTTATCAATTTATGAAAGAACATGGCAATGACTACACCTCCGCTATTAAACTGCCGCCAATTCCCATGATTTTTGGGTTCAAGTGTATCTGTAACATTCTCTTCATTTTCTTTTTATAACATAAAATGCCCCCTATAACACAATTGGATGAAGTGTTCCTTTCCCGCTTACTCAACAATGATGATAATGTTAAACAGGATATTTTAAATACGAACGTTGATTCCAAGACATTATCAACAGTTTTGAACAAACTGACAACTACCTCAAACGCGTATAGGCAAGAGCTCTTTGAAAAAGTCCATGCCAACTTCGACGAATTTTCTGGCCTATACAACACAAGTCAGGATTTACATTTTAGAGTTTTTGAACTTGTTAAACAGGCTGGCACAACAGAAAAGCAGATTACAGATAATCAAGCAGCCGTGACTTTGACCATTGATACATACCAGCAAGCTTTGTTAGATACGCAGAACAACAAAGTTCAGATTGACACTCTAGAAAAGCTGGAACAGATCTTACTTGTCATTGATGAAATTCATGTCGAATTAAAGGAATCCTTATATTTGGAAGCTGTAAAACATATCTTGGAATTAATACGCATTTTGAAAGAATGGAAAGCGGACACAAGAGTAATGGGATATATCGAAGGCAGAGTAGCGCAATTAAAACAGACGTTAATTCTTCGTCTTCAAGAAGACATTCGAACAGCTATACAGTACAACCTGGGATCTATGCGCATATTGGAATTTTTTGGATCCAAGCCTGTCCATATTAAAGACATATTTGAATCACTGAATCAACTGGAACTGCTGGCTCAAGAGATGACGGGTATAAAAAGATTGATCTTCAAAAACATAATCACGCCGTACTTTGAAAATGGAACTAGTCAGTTACAGGTGGATCATGTTGGAGGGGATTCTTCAGGTGGTGTTTTACAAGTGATAAAAGTTACAAATGATAATGAAAAGATGGATCCAATCTTGATGTTGCAGCAGATGGACGAAATACTCGGCTATTTTTTCAAATACATGTTCAACAGCAGCAAGGATGAAAATTTAAATCGCTTGTTTGGGAACCTTTTACTGCCAGAACTTACAGACTTAATAATAGAGAAAGGCATTGCACCAGCCATCCCTTCTTCTAAATATAACTTGTCTGACTTTAATCTGGTAGCACAAGCTGTCTTAGCCTTCGAAGACAAATGTATAGAATATGGGTACCAAATTCCTGAAGCTGGCCCAACGAAGCTTGCATTGTATGTACAAAATATTGATAAACATTATGCCAAGAAACGGCGCGAAAAGATTTTACAGCAAGGTAGAACTGTTATGGTCCGTAGACTTTACGATGCAGAAATGACCCAAGTGAAAGAAGATAATGGCCACACCTATCAATATAAAATTACCCAAACACCCCGAATTCTATCCGTGTTAATTTCTGATACTATTGATGAAGCTCAAGACCTTTTGCAATCTCATCCTATTTCTGCTTCTACTCTAGTAGAAGGTATTCAGGATTTACTAGACATGTATCGTGCTATTATGCCTAGTTACCATCGACAATACTACTTGTCGGGTCCAGCAAAATCACTTTTATTTAGAAACGATTGCTTATGGTTGTCAAAACAACTCAGATCCACCGTTTCTTTAAAGCCGGAATGTAAGCATTTCAATAAGCTTACAAACGATTTAAACGCAGCGTCCGAACGACTGGAAGAGCTTGGCAAGGCTTGGTATGAATTAGCCATGATGCACCGTGTACAAGTTATTCAAACTTTACTCGATCAATTGGACGGATTTACAGGAATGTCAGGTAACGCGAAATACCAAAAAGAATGCGACTTAGCCATTACGCAAGTGATTGATTTGGTCGGGTCATTTGCATCTGAAACTCGCCCTATTGTGGATGAAACGCTTTTATTGGACATGTTGGGTAGAATTGTAGACAGCATTCTCGGCCGACTGATCCAAGATATCGAGGAGTTGCAGGACATTGGTGCCGAAGAGTCTCATGTGATTGCCGTTACTTTAAATAGTCTTGCTCAGCTCGTAGCCGCGTTTGATTTGCCAGGCAAAGATGCGACCGAAAGTTTTGTTTCCGAATTGGTTCCCAGCTGGGAAAAGTTTTGGCACGTCAAAGATATTTTGGAGATGAATATGCGCGATATTATGGAGGAATTTCGTCGTGGTGACCTACACATGTTTGAAAAATCCGAGCTGGTGGGATTACTTAGTGCATTGTTTGCTGAAACTGAATTAAGAGAATCAAATATTCAAGAAATCAAAACAGGCACCCAACGAGTTGATGGATCCGTTGCAACGCGCCCAATCGCGGGTCCCGCTTCTAGTCCTACTCCACCCAGCACCTTCAGTCCGACTCCAACAGCTACCTTCACTCCAACGGCAACTTCCACTTCAACAGCCACTTCCACTCCTACTGGCAGCATACATCGTGCGCTTGAATATACACCTGATGATGATATGGAGACGTCAGATGGAGGATGGGGTGATGATGATGAAGATGACCTCTTTGCTGATGAACAACCTGAACCAACTATTGTTGTTCCTTCTCCTAAATCTTCAGAACCCTCATTACTTTTGGATGCAAATATAGACATTGAAGATACAGGAGGATGGGGTGACGCAGATGAAGACATTTTTGATAATGATGAAATTGAGGAACCCAAATCACTTGAAACACATAAATCAACAATTACTGCAGACGCCAAGATTGAACCCAGTGACAAAATCTCGGCAACTAATTCTTCCGAAACCCCTTTATCTCGGGCCCTCGACTTCCAATCAATTGATAACGAAATTGACAATGAACTAAATGAAGGCGAAGGTTGGGGTTGGGATGACGACGATGACCTTTTTAAGGGTGGCGAGGACTTGAAATAATAAAGTTTAATTTTTTTTAAAAAAATATTTTATTTTTAAAAATAAGAAGAATACAAAGTAAACACTTGCATAGGGGATTTGAATGTAAAAAGGAATGGGGTCATAATAATGATTTGTATGGGAAAGTATGTGATATTGTACAGTTAATAATTGAAGATGTGGGTGTGTGTTTTTTTTTCTTGGCTTGGTATTCTTGGTATTTTCATTTATGGGTATTGTGGGGCAGCTTTCTATCTACCAACTTTATCTTGTATGAATCTTTTCGTGACGTTTCATATCATATTTTCTTGCAAAAGGACGTGTACAATGGCTACATTTAAATGTCTTTGGTCTCATAGGGTTGTGGGTGAGCATATGTTCGACAAGATTATGTCTACGTTTTGATCTAATTGAGAGACAAAGGATGTTAATAACAAAGTGCCAATGTTACCATAATTTTTGTATTACCTATGACTGCAAATCGGACAAATATGTCTCTTTTCGGTAATTGATGAAACCTTCCTCTTGGAAACCTTGGTATTGACTTCGACTGGCGCAAATAATTGTTCTTGGCTATAATAGTTGTAAGGACCTTCACAACAGGATGTATCCCCAACATATAATGAATTTATTTGAGGCGAGGGTGTAGAATATGGAGTCAATTGTGCAGTGGATAATAATGAGGGTGATGTATTGTTATAATAAAGATCGGAAGCAGTGGCTATGGAGAAGTTATCATCGTTTAAGACAACAGATTCATTCAAGTTACTGTCGAATTGAAATAAAGGCATAGTAGGTTGAGCACCAAGATACATAGGATCAGTCTTGCTATAAGTGTTGTCAAAACACATATAAGGTTGTTGATGCACCTCTTGTGGATAATAAGAATAGACCTGTTGGCCAAAATTCTCTTTTTCTTGATTGAATGTGTAGGCAGGATAATTCATATTGGTATTGTTATACAGAAAATCGTAGGAAAATGACATTTTATAAGGGAGATAAAAAAAAAGGAGTAATTAAGTGAAAAGAAGCAAATATTTATAAATCTGCTTTTAGGCATCTATATTTAAACTTTTTTCAAAAATATGTATCACTGATGTAAATAATTTACACAAGCAATTGTAGTATCATCAACTTGGGTTACATCTTAGCAAATTATACATAATGGATTCCTGGAAATTACAATGAGGCTTTGACATTTGTATTACTAATTGCCCTTAAAGACAAGCTTTGTGTTCCTCCAATTATCTATTTTTAATGTGTTTTTTTTGCAGAAGCAGCACAGTGACTGTTCAGCTACATTTATAGATTGGCTGGATCCTAAAAATATACCAAAGTTGGACCAGGTAAGCCATGCCCTTTCCTGCCCTTTTGTTTATGCTTAAACATATTATACAAAACGTAATCTCTATTTCCAGAAACGGAAAGAAGACACCGCAGCCAAGCATTTATTACAATTTTCCAAGGCGGTTTTTATTTACCTCCCAAAAGTTCAAACCCATTGCGTTCTATTCCATTGTGGCTTTGACAGAAACAAGAGTTGCGACATTACGAAATGTACTCGAGAAAGAACTGAGCGCACTTGGAGTAGTAGGAAGAATATATATTGCTCCTGAGCAAGGAATTGGTGGAATTAACTGTCAAATGGCTGTACCGATTGAAAAATTAGATACAGTGAAATCTTATTTTGATGGCTTTAAAAATGATTTCGGCCAAATAGAGTATAATGAAGGAATTGAAGATACGTCTTCTCCGAATTTTAGCAAATTACGTGTACTCGTGAAAAACAATGTAAGCCAAGTATAGAGATAATAACCCGACATGTTTTTCAAACAAACAAGAGCTATTATTAGTTAGTGTCAATTCGTCAACATGTCACAACACAAGACCTGGCAGTGCAGCCTCATCATCTGACACCGGAGGATTGGCACTCACAATTGAGTCAAAAAAATGAGGATCTATTTTTACTGGATATGCGAAATCAGTATGAGTAGTAAGTTTAAATCCGCAGTACGCCCACCCTTATTAATTGTGGTGTATTAGTCATTTTGGCCATTTTAAGCATGCGATCAAAATGGATGTAGACACTTTTAGAGATGGAATTCAATTACTAGATGAACTCGTCGCTAATAGACCAAAGGGTGATGATATTTACATGTACTGTACAGGTGGTATTCGCTGCTCAGTCGCTGGGACGTACTTAAAAAAAAAGGGCTATGAAAATGTTAAAATGGTAATATTACATTTCTTAACTTTTAACTGGACATGACTAATGGCCATCTCTATAAAGCTCAAAGGTGGTATCACAGCGTATGGGCATTACATTAAGGAAAATCAGGAGAAACCCTCTCTCTTTAAGGGTAAAAATTTTACTTTTGATGGTAGAAGAGGTGAGCCTATCACCAATGATGTATTAACACAATGCTATCACTGTGGCTCTTCCTGTGATCATGTCACGAATTGTGTGAACAATAAGTGTCATTTATTGTTCGTGCAGTGTGAGACATGTAAATCTAAAATGAAACACACTTGTAGTGATCATTGCCATAATGTATTAAAAGGAATAGAGGAATACAAATTGGACTATGACTACCACAGACAGGTTGCAAAAGCATGGTAACACACATTAATACGTTCCTGTAATTGGCACGTTATTCATAATTGAATATTACTTTTTTTTTTTTTTTTGTCTTTTCATTTAAACAATAAAGTTTGTTCCTTGACATTTTCGCCTTTTTTTTTCATTTAATCAAATGCCAACACTAAGAGAATCCCGGACTCCAAATATACCTCATCGATCGCCATTTCGTATACGAGATTCACAAATGAGCAAGATGCAACACGTCTCAAACGGTAATAGTTGTCTTGACCGATAAAAAAAAATAATACGAGATTAACGTTCGTTATAATAGCCGATAGATGGAGCTTCTCAATGGAATTGGTCAACATGTGGAACATGAAGCCGCTTGAGACGTTTAACGAGAAGAGGAATGAGCAAAGTGAAAACTTGTTCTCTTCAGGAAACCTGCTAACACAATTATTGGTTTCACAAGCTATACTAGATTCAAATGAATTCCAGATATTGTCATTCGAGAAATTAGATAAATTAAAAAAGGTAATACAAAATGAATGATTATGCATACATTACTGACATCATTTTTTATAGCAATATGTAGAACTACATGAACACATAAAAAATATCACCAAAAGCATACATCTGGAAAACCGTATCAAAAATATCTCAAAATCATTAGCAAATGTCAATTTAAAAAACAGCAGAAATTCAATATTGTACTTAGAAAACCAGCGTCAAGATAACGATCACAAAATAAGTCAACTGACAGCCCAGTTAGAAGATATGAAATCGAAAGAAATTGCAATGAAAAAAACAATATTACAACATACCGCCGGTGTACTTTCGAAAGGAATTCAAAAAATTGAATCTGCTCCTCAAACATCAACATTTAGTTCGCATTATCATGACAAGGCAATTTTACTTGATTCCGAATTAGACCAAATATCCAATAGAGTTGATTTCTTACTATCTCGATACTGCTCTTATACCCGCTCTATCCCTGATTCATCTGTAGAAAAAATATCTTTACTAGACCAACATTTATCTCAGCAAAAGCACTCATTAAAAGAAGGGAAAAGGTAAGCAATAAGGAAACAAATTGGATGACAGTTGGCTAAAGCTGTATATTTCAGTCATAAAGCAGATCAAATTAAGGGTCAATTAATAGAGATTGAACACGAGCGTAATTCGCTCTTGTCTAAATTAGTAGATTTGGAAATAAAATCTACCAAGATGCTTGCGACACTTTCGTCTTACTCCAACAGGCAGCGTGCCCTAAAGTTAGAATCTCTCCAGTATAAGGGTGAATCCATAGAGCTACAAATTTGGGATAGACTACGAAAAATGGATGCAGATACCGGCCAAAATATACCAACCCCGAAACAAGACCCAAGATATGAACAACAATTAAAGGACCAGTCCGAATTTTACACAAATAGTATTCAACAACAAACTGAATTACTAGAAAAGAACAGTCGTATGTGTGATCAACTTCAAATTGACTGCAGCAAATTGAAGTCAGTCAAGTTAGGCCTCGATAATTTGGTCCGAGAGAAGTCTCGAATTTTGGATGACAAGGACAACCAAATCAGTCGACTAAATGCAGACTTGAGAACAAGGCAACATCAAGCACAAAAAGCCAATAATGCACCGTATCGACCTGAAAACCGGGATGAAAAGGAGAAGATGAAGAAGCAATTTTTAGAAAAGGAAGCACGCTGGACGGAGCATACACACAATATGGAAGATAGATTTGATGAATTGTTGGAAAACTTTGATAAATTGACTAATACTGCTATTGAATTCGATTCAAGTCGAATGAAATTTGACCGCACTATTGATAACTTAAATGGAAAAATAAATAAATTAGAGGTCGAATTACTTGATGAAAAGGTCCATAAGATTGGTTATAGTCAAGGCGAGTCCCCCACGACTGCATCACTTCGAAAGGAATTTAGGTTGTTAGTTGCAGAAATGAAAAATACACATCAAACTCGAATGGACAGAGAAGCACAAGAGATACATAGGCTCCAATCTCAGCTTGAAGAATTACAAAATAATGGTAGTAACAAATATGTTAGAAGCAACACAATGGCTATTCAAACTGATTTATAAAATAAAAAACAACCTCATTGCTTTAAAATTTTATTTCAATTGTGTTCCTTACGATTGAAAGCTCTTTTTTAATTTTTTTCCATTTGAATGGATCAAAGACAGTAAATGTATTTTGATCAAATGTGTTTTCTTCGGGCAGATATTGTAGTGGCTTTTTAGGTCTCCCATGCTCATCTATTTCCTTTGTCATCCATAAACACAATGACTTATTAAATCTCCAGTGTCTTTCGTACCTAAAAAACCATCTTTTATAGCGGATCCGTATATTTAGAGCTTCTTACTTACAGTTCTTTGGCTACAAGTTCCTGAATATTGTCTTTAGGCTTACTATAGAACTCATAAAATAGAATCTCGTCCGAAAATGACTTTATTCTTTCTTGAATGGGAGGCATGATTTTTAGCATTCTGTAAGATGTAGGAATATAATATCCTTGCTCTATATTATACACAGATGCGTTCTGATTATTCTCTGTCCAAGGCGAAATAAACGTTGAATATATAGAGCTATGTGTAATGCACACACAAAAAATTGTTAAGTATATATATTTACACATATACATTTTGTACATATACATATATAAGTATACTCATAGATTCCTCGTATACTGAAATCAACACCTTTTTTAAAATAGAAAAAAAAAACTACTTACTATGATCTGTCTAAGCCTAACCCCAACCTGTCAACATCATAACCTATGGACATCGTTCTTCGGTCGGGATCAATTTCACGTATCATATCAAGTAATCCCAATAGTCCGTATTTGACTTCTGGTTTATTTGTGTTTCGAGACTGTGGTGCGAATAATAAATCATTTTTTTCTCAGTATATTATGGTAGAATGACTAAGCAGCTTACCCATTGACCACTATTTTTTGCTATAAAGTGCGTCGTGTCTACTGCATAAAAAAAAAAAAAAAAAGTTGTTAAGGAATGTTTCACAAAATAAAGTGTGAGGGAACATGCCATTTGAATCTCTTGAACTGTCATGTAAACTTTCTGAGCCGACATTGTTATTTGGCAGGCCGGGAAAGTCTTCTGCACTTGGTCTGTCAAGAGACTCTTGTACGGTGGAAGCATAACTTTTTTTTTGCCTTGTATTGAAGTTTGACATACTGTCTAGCGCCGGAAACTCGTTTAAATTCACTCCCGTATTTTGGCCAGACATGTAAAGACAAATAAAACAAGAAAAAGAGTGCGAAAATAGAAAAAAGGGGGTAAAAAAAAAATGGCCATTGCGGATGACGTCGATTACGATTAAAATCAATTAATACAATCAAAGGAACAAAGGAGATAATAAAAAAGACATAAATAACCCCCTCTTTAACAGCAAGAAGGCTGATATGATTAATAACACTTTGAGGTAAAATATGTTATTTTAATTACCAAGTTTCGGTGCATCAAAAAAAAAAGCCAGATTGCAGATCATTTCCTTTATCGCACATTTCATTGATACTGAAGTATGTATGTTATCACTACGTAGAGTAAATCTTTGTACAATCAAAACTTGGTTGTTTAGGAGATTTGTGGAAGATCTCTCGAGGTTATGTAAATAAATTTGGCGTACTTACTTTGAGCACTATCAATCGAAAAGAAGTAAAACGGAATATTCTATTTTGGGGGGTTATGGTCTTTTTTAGAGGAGTTGTTATAGATGGCACCATGTTTATTTTTTCTAAAAAAACCGTTTACAATGTTATCACAATCAACTTAAGTTCATTATGCATTTGAATTAATAAAATATTGATAGTTTAGAATACTTTTGTCGTTTAAAATTAACTTTTGGACTCAAAGAAAATGTTCCAAGTAGACCAAGGGATGAGGGTTGATTATAGTTGAGGGCAAACAAAACAGTAAGATCAAATTCAATTATAGACTGAAGAACTCAGAATATTGTATTTGGTATAAAAAGCTTATAATATTTTACTTCACCCTTTTTTTTTCCTTTTTTTCTTCTTCCTTTTCGTTATAAACTCAACATGGTTAAATTGTCTCTCTTCATTGCCATAACAACTGCAGTTGCATCTCTTTCTTCTGCTTATCCTTCGAAACACACTTCCACATCTAGTGGTATACTTGCTGTATCTTCCCCTTCCTTTCTTCCCAACTTCCCTTACCGTGGTTGTAATGCTTTAAGTCCTGTTCCTACAGGACCCATTAAATCGAAAGCTAATTTTAGAGCAAGTAGCTACCCTCAGCCTTGGGTTGCTCCAGATGTGAACCATCCAGAGGTACAAAAGGCCATTAAAGCAATTGACTGGTCTTACGTGCCTACATTTGAGCCTCGTGTTATGGGTATGGAATATGACGAAGAAACAGATCCTGCCTGTTGGTGGACCAATACCCAGTGTACAACTCCTAGAGTGGATTATTTACCTGAGGATGTCAAGTTTTGTCCTAACCCACGCGACTTTGGTTTGGTAAGTTCAATTCTTTGTCAGTAGTAATCTTAAACTCAATAATTGTACTAGACTTATGATGATGGCCCACTACCCCCAAGAGGTCCTAACGATCCCTGGGGTGAGCCTCGGCTTTATGATTTTCTTGCCAAGCAAGGTCAAACAGCTACCTTATTTTGTAAGTCCATTTGTATACAATATTAAGGAGATATGAAACTAAAAAGGTCTCAATTTTTTCGCAGATGTTGGGTCAAATGTGGTGAACTTTCCTCAAGCAGCGATCAGAGCTATTGAATCCGGACATACTTTGTGTGCTCATACATGGTCTCATCCTCAAATGACTACCATATCAAATGCAGCTGTTGTAGCGCAATTATACTGGAGCATGCGTGCTATAAAAGAAGCTGCAGGTGTTACCACACGATGCTGGCGCCCTCCTTATGGTGATATCGATGATCGTGTTCGTGCCATTGCTCATCAAATGGGCTTATCAACCATTCTTTGGAACAGTGATTCGTTTGATTGGGGACTACCCTCTATAGCGAATGATTTTGCTGGTGCATATCGTGAAGCTGATATCGACGCCTTCTTCCAAAGCTGGATTGATTCGGGTGACTCCGGTACAGAGGGGCGTATTGTACTAGAACATGAAACCAGTAACGTCACTGTCCTTACAAGCGAAAAATGGCTTCCTAGATTAAAGAAAGCCTTTAATGTTAAAAAAGTTCATGATTGTGCCCCTCAACTTCCCAGTCCATATTGGGAAACTTAACTTATATTTTCCTTATAAAAAAAGCCAATTCATGTAATATACAGTTTTCAAAGAAATGAGAAAATCATTCTAATAAATTAAGAAGTTTAAGTTAAATAGTTTTTCATAAAAACATTTGACAGTAGATGTATGCTCCAGCGCTATAACAGTAAGTCTTGATTCCGATATTGAGCGGGTATACGTAGACTCGAAGCAAAATGCATTCATAGAAAATTCAAAGGAGAAGTCCGAACTTTATTTCAAAGCTTATTTATTACGTGTAGTTTTTTAGTAAGAGCACAATCGAATTATATGATTCCCAATGGCAACCTAAAATTACCCACTATTTGAGTTTTAATACAAGTGACTGTTTGGTGGGCCATCATCATATTTTTTTCCAGCAAGGAATCTTTTTAGAAACTATCAACTGCTTTGATAAAGATGGACTTTATTAATAACTATGGATCTAGTGATGAGGAAGACAACTCAACTGTAGATAATACGAAGTCTACCTCAACTTTAATGGCAGTTAACTCGGCACCCGATACCGGATTTGACGTACGCTCTCATTCTTTGTCTTTGTACATTTTATTCTAACACGAAAGCTCTTATCATGTTCTGTAGATTAGTACATCGGGCCACTTATACACAGCTCCCACAGCGACTGAATTAACTGTTAATGTAACATACGATGACCTGAACCGCCCCACATTGGGCCCCGAAAACCCTTTCCAAGATCGTCGCCTTGCAACACAAAATGTGGTCAATGGACATGTGGAACAACAAGCTATTTCCGAGATGGATTTCAGAACCCAGCATCGAACTTTCGAAACATACGGATATGCCCGTGACCCTTCACTTGGCACTGCAACAAACCTTGCTGGACAGACAGGACAAGGATTGATGGGCACTGGTTATGTCGGCAATCTTGAAGTTGCAGCAAAATTGGGAGGAGTGTCTATTTACGATCGTGTTTCCCAAGATCTTCGACCTAATAGAGATGCACGTAACAAGCGCGAGAGTAAAGGAAAATTAGACGAAGTTGAAGGTCCCGACGCGTATAAAGGCCCCTGGGCTGGCTATGAAGATGACAATGTCGGTATCGCCACTGGCTTAAATCAAGAGCAAATTGAGGATGTCCAAGCTATTATAAATCCTGCAAAGGCTTTGACTACGAAAAATATTGCTCAAGAAACACATACAGAAAGCACTATTTTTCATGGTGCTTCTGAACGCGATTATTTGGGTCGTACATATATGGCTGTGCCTCAAGACATTGATGTCAACTTACTAGGCGAATCGGGTGAACAAGAATGCTTTGTTCCTAAAAAGTTGATTCATACTTGGGATGGCCATGAAAAGGGTGTTTCCAGTATTAAATTTTTCCCTAAATCTGCTCATCTTTTACTTAGTGGTGGTATGGATAACAAAGTCAAGGTAAGTTGTTGTTCATATTTTACTTTCCTATTTTTAATAACTCGGAACATATCAGATTTGGGATGTGTATCATGATAGAAGTCTCTTACGTTCATATATCGGTCATACAAAGACTGTCAGAGATATTGCATTCAATAACGACGGTACTAAGTTCCTCAGTGCAAGTTATGATCGAAATGTCAAGTTATGGGATACAGAAACCGGTCAATGTATTCGTACATTTTCGACTGGTAGACTACCTTACTGTGTAACATTTAATCCTGATAAATCGAAAAACAATGTATTTTTGGCTGGTTATTCTGATAAGAAAATTGTTCAATTCGATACTAACACTGGAGAAATCATTCAAGAATACGACCAACATTTGGGTGCTGTTAATACCATTACATTTGTCGATGACAATCGCCGTTTCATTACAACATCTGATGATAAAACAATGCGTGCTTGGGAATATGACATCCCCGTTGTTATCAAATATATTGCAGAGCCTGATATGTATGCTATCCCAGCTGTAACATTATCTCCCAACAGTAAGTTATGTGAAAACAATAACGACCTCACGGTGCTTACTTTTTTTTAAAAAAAAATTACAGAAAAATGGTTAGCCTGTCAATCTTTAGACAATCAGATTTTAATTTATGGTGCCCGTGATAAATTTAGAATGAATAGAAAGAAGCGTTTTGCTGGACATCTTATTGCTGGTTATGCTTGTAAGCCTGGATTTTCACCGGACGGCAGGTTCATCAGTAGCGGTGACTCTAACGGTAATGTTTGGTTCTGGGACTGGAAATCATGCAAAATCTTAAAGAAACTCAAAGCACATGACAAGGTTGTCACAAACACAGAATGGCATCCACATGAGTCTTCAAAACTCGCTACTTGTAGTTGGGATGGCTTAATCAAATATTGGGATTAAAAATTACCGAGCCCCTTTTTTTACAAAATAAAAATAAGATGTTGCCTTCACAAGTGACACCTACAGATAAACCACAACTATGATGTGATCCTGTGATGGGGCGTAATCATACTATCCTCAAGGATCTAAATATATACATAAAGTATCCAGTATTGCGTCTCTTCTCGATAACTTATTGTGAGAATCCCTTTGGCGGACATACTCCCGCTCCATTCGTCTTGTACGGTGGTGAAAATCATTTCCCCGAAAGGAGGAAATAATTGATGAATTGCATAACAAGTCCCTTACCTCTGTAAAACATTGATGGTAAAGCAGGACAATTTTATACATGTCCGAAAACACATACATAGCGGGTGCTTGTATCAAAGGTATACCATGTTCATACATGTTTAAAAGTAGTTATTAGTTAAAAATACCACCGCTAGCTTTCTCTAGATATAGAAACAAACGGTCCAGCTTTATTAATAAAGTTAATCTAATTAATAGCTATAATTTATCCTACTCATCTTACAGACAGGTTGGATATATTGATTATTCACATGTGATAAAGAGTTTACGCAAAAAACTGCTACTGTTTACTCAAGTACAATAGTAAACATAAACAAATACAACGCAATGGTATAAAGTTACTATAGAAAATTTATATGCAAGATAAATATAAACTTATCTTTATCTAAAAGATATATTTAGATGTAAGAACCCCAGCAAGAAGAGGCACGAATTACAATCCAAACATTCCGATTGCTTAATTTTGCGCACTCAAGTAAAGTTAAAAGAAATAGGGGTTACATAAGCATCACTCAGGAACTAATAGCCCTCGTCTTAAAAATTTCTGCTCGTGGTTACATCTAGGGATAAGAATCCCTCGATGATTTGGGAGTAGAATAACTCTGCATAATCTTTAGTACTGGCGGGAATGGGGTGACAAACCATCCCTTGATTATGTTAATGGACTCGATATTATACAGAAATCCCATGCCTTTAGATTGACTGTAGATTGTATAATACATCTACCACTCATTTTATTTACATGTATAAAGATAGGAGAGAAACTTTATGCATTAAATTGGATCTGTATGCTCAAATAGACATGAATCTTGAGTATTGTTGCCAGTGACCAGAATAAAATTTTGGAACGATTCCATGCGACACGAGTTTGGTTTAAACAATTTTCAAAAGAATGCCAATTTGTAAATGAAAGTCCCCCTTCAAGGTAACAAATGTTTTATAAATAGTATTTCCTTTCTTTACATTTCATTTTGAGTATTTATAAAAAAAATTAGAGTTGCATCTTATTTTATGAGGCCTTCAAATATTATCTCTTTTATGTTACGATACTATAGCATACGTGATGGTGTCTTCAAAACATTATTTAGCACGCATTAGCTGATTATTAAAAGAGGAGATGGGTTTTATTATTTGAGTCTTTGTGGGGGGGATTAAATGGGTAAAAAAAAATTCTAAAGTTTTGTTTATTTTTGTTCAGATTCAGGGTGAACAACCTTCTCCTTTGCAAGGCCCATTGTAGCAAGGAAAACGGTGGTTTCTTGGTATTCTTGCTTTTGACGATCAGCATCCCAGTTAAGTTCTTCGGCCATGATCTCAATAACCTTAGGAAGAGATTGTAATGCAGCTTCAGCGTTCAAGAAAGCAAGACGTGTACGACGAGCTAAAACATCAACAGCAGTGCATGCAAGTTCTTGTCTAACAGTATATCTAACCTCGGCTTCGATATAAGGGTAATTAGGTGAGATACGCTTTCCGTAAGTGGGCCAGCTTGCTGATGTAGCATCATCAATCGAAGCTACTTCCCAAGCGCGATTACCGTAACTGCGAGCAAGATGTTGAGCAACTTCAGTGTCCATACCAAATTCTTGAACTAAACGGATAAACATAGTGCTTGTATATCCCTTACTACCAATCAACATTGTCTCCTCGGTATTACACTTGGTTTTGGGCTTGAGACTAAAGACCTCGATAGCACGATCAATGGTTTCTTCGGCCATGGCACGGTATGTTGTCCATTTACCACCAGCAATAGTGATAAGCTTATTTTCACTTACATTAATCATGTGATTACGGACGAGGGACTCCGTATTTTTGGCATGGGGATCACGAACCAAAGGACGAATACCTGACCAGGCAGCAAGAACGTCACTGCGACGAACCTTAACATCTGGTGACAACCATGTCAGTATATATATCCTATGATATGGCTTTATTCCCTCTGATTCTGATTTCACTTACCAGGACTCAAGTAATGAGAGACTTCATCTAAAATCCAATTAATTTCATCTTCCTTAGGCATGGGGCTTTGAGTGACTTCAGTAGGAGAATCTGTATAATGACGGGAAAAAAGTGTCAGTTTTAAATCTTTAGCGCTAATTTTAAAACTTACCGGTTGTACCGGCAATGGTGTTTCCTTGCCAAGGCAAGAAGAAAATAACACGACCATCACTAGTGGCAGGATCCAACAGACCCATGTTTCTAGGACTATAATAGTTGGGAAGGATAATATGTACACCGGCAGAGGGAGCAACAATATCGAGATTTTCGGGATTATCCATTTTACGAAGACCGTCAGTGAAAGGACCAGTGGCATTAATAACACCCTTTTTTTTGTAATCGGATTAGCTGACTATATAATTGTTATTGTTTATTTGTCATTTTACCTTAGCCTTCACAGTCCATTCATCACCACTGATAGTATCTCTCATGTTGGCACCATTGACATTACCTTCTTTATCCTTTGTTAAGCTAGTGACTTCACAGTGGTTAGCAACAGTTGCGCCGTAACATGCAGCTGTCATGGCCAAGGCAACATTCATTCTTGCATCATTGTGCTGACCTAATAATAATAATAAATTATATCTCCGGTCCAAATATGTCAAATCGGCCAAATGAATCCTTACCATCGTAATAAACCAAAGCACCTACTAATGAATCCTTTTTCAACATGGGAAAAGCTTCAAGAGCCTTAGAACGAGTCAAGAAGTAACTACTTTCAAGAGCCTCACGGCCAGCAAAGATATCGTACATCTTACAACCAACCCAGTAATAAGGGATCTGCCACCATCTAGAACAAAAATGTATTAATACTCTATGTTACTAGTCCCAAACTAAAAAAGATTCTCCCAACAAATCAAATTAAGTTTTTTTTTTTTTTTCGGGGAAGAATTTCCCCTGACTTACTTGTAGACGGGAAGCATAATGGGTAATTCATCCGAGAGATGAGGAGCGATATCTAAAAAGATCTTTCTCTCGTGAAGGGCTTCACAGACAAGAGCGTATTGCTCATAATCAAGTTCCATAATCGCCTTTTGTAAATAACGTACACCGCCATGCACTAATTTAGTGGATCTAGATGAAGTACCTGAAGAGAAATCATCTCTTTCGACCATAGCGACCTTCAATCCACGAGTTGCTGCATCTACAGATAAACCAGCACCAGTAGCACCGCCGCCGACGATCAATAAATCGTATTCCTCGTTGTTTTTTAATTTATTGATCATCTCTTCACGTGAAGGTGGTAACCAGAAGTCACGTTGTTGCTGTTTTTGTTGTTCCTCCTGAATTGCTTCGGCGAAAGCCCTGTTTCTAACAAATAAGTTTGGCATATCTGAAGTTCTTTCTTTGAGTTGAATAGTCCTCTTTTGTAAGTTGTCTGTCATGGACTTTTCACTCATATAGTAAGCAAAACTGGCTGTTGCTGCAGAAGCAGACGCTACTGATACAAATTTTTGTGTTTTGGAAAATTGTCTCCACATGATATTAAAAAAAAAGTGTTGTAAAAAAAAAGAAAAAGAAAAAAAAAAGGAAATATGAAAAAAAAAAGCTCCTTAAAACTAGTTTGATTTATATAAATAACAACAAGTAAAGCGACATCGTGCGTCCATTGAGTGGCTGGGGAATACCAATATTTTTTTCTGTGGGACGTTCGAAATGAGATGAATAACGAATATATTTTGGCACTCCGGGAGTTTTACGGTAATTTTTAAAATCCTTTTTTCCGTCGCTGGACAAAAATGTGTCATATTTCCTCACACAAGTGTGTTGCAAATGAGCACCATAAACATTGCCTCTCCACGCAAATGTTACCCGTATTTTCCTTTTAACTACCGTCTCTTATGCTTTATTTTCAGTTGCCTATAATAGCATAGCGTATTTACTCCGGGTCCACAAACATTTATAAATTCTAATTTGAAAGATAAGCGTTCAAGTAAATATTTGTATAAAATTAAGGGCCATTCAATAAGATGTTTGAAATAAAATATCTTTGTCTGGACCATAAAGCTAACTTTTTCTGTACATCTTATCTTTCAAACCAATTTATGCATTACATACTTTCAAACGTCATTGTTTTTCTGCTCTTGATCGGCTTTTCAATATATTACTTTTGATGATCGTCATCAAACACATGCTTATGAGTCTTAAATCCCAATCTTTTTAGATTCTTTTTTTTTTTTTTCTTACATGACTACTGTATAAGACTTTACTATACAGCCTCGTGTATGTACTTATACATGTACTTGCAAAGTAACCGCATTATGAGAACCTATTTTGCAACACGCGTAATGTCATCCGTAAATTGATGGTGCGACAAATCTAACGCATTTGTTACCCCACACATTTTACCCCACAATTAGATCTAGTTCTGCCGTGTTTAAATTGGACGGAAACTTTTAACCCCTGTTGTCACTATTATTTAGAACTAGTTGACGTAATTATAAGTATATAATGATTCCTTTCTATTTTTTATTGGTATAATTCATAATAGTACGTACTAATGATAGGTTTTGGTATCTTCTGGTTTGCTGCAGAAACTGAAAGGGCATAGACACTCCTGAAAGAAGCATTGTGCAACCTGCAAATATGCTAATTTTCTGTCAAAAAGGCTTTGTCGTGATTAATACAACAATAAATATATTTAGGCTTCAGCGCACGAAGACGATCTTATTTCCTTATAAAAATTCTATTTAAGTTAAAAAAAATTGACAACTAAAAATGACACCAAGGACTACCGCATAAGACGTCAGATTGGCATAATCATTGCAAAAGCATGTACCGAAAATCTAAAATAAATACAAGTACAATTACATTGGGTACACTTTGTAAAAGTGAATGCTGATTATTGATCAGCTAACTATCTAACATGATGTAGTTTTTACTTAAATTCTGCATTGCGATGCGTGTAACAATAGCCGAAATGCTACGCATAGCTATGTGGTTGATTTGAAGCGTTGCATTTACTTAATAACGCTACTGTAACTATTGGACATAACGGCTATTATGGTTAAATACTGAAAAAATCGCTGGTATAATAAGTTTTTTAGTACAAAAAGCAGAAGCTTTGCCAAGAAGTATGATAAATTAGCAAGGTTTTCCTTATAAATTTAAGATTCATAACATTTTGTAAGACGTGCCACAAGAGCTAAGCAGCTAAAATCTTGCTGTAGTGACACACAAATACATTCATTCCTCATTCCGAAACAAGGTCTAATTTAAATGACCCGACTGATTTCTTTCATACTTGCAAGCTCAAGTACGCCCTTCATTCTAGTTGTAGAAACTATATCATATTCTTTCTTCACTACTCAATGCTAAAAGGATATATATTATGAAAGTAAATGTTGGAGTAGTTATAATTTATCATTGTTTGCTGTTTGTAGCAAATCATAATATATTGCCGCTGAGTAATGAATCATTGCCCTGTAGTTAGAACAATCAAAACATGTTACGAAGAAAATTTTAACGAGTTTTTTCCTTGTTAAAGTTGCTATATGCAATATAGCTCACATATCAACTTTAAGAACTGGTACAAAAGATGTGAACATCAAGGCCGACCATTCTACAATATTTCGAATATATGCGTATGCATTTATAGTTTTTCTCTAATACAATCGGCCCACAAAAAGTAATTTCAAGATACATACTTGTATGGTTTGTTTGGGGATGTAAATATACCGAATTGAACGTGACAATACTAAAAAAAAAACGCTTTATTACTAGTCAAAAGTAAGTATCTACACGCACCACTAAAATGCTTGAAAGAAGCAAAAAAAAATGCTGGTAGCAGGAATCGAACCTGCGTCGACGCGGCCACAACACGATGTACTGCCACTATACTATACCAGCTTTCCATATTTTGTAATCCTCAGATGTCTAGTTGACCCTTACGTAATAACCTAACACGTGACTATCACGTGAACCTATTCCTATTGGCTAGAAGAGTACTCTTCAAAGTACAAGTACAAAATAAAGTATGAGATAAAAGATAAAGATTTATTAATTATAATGTGGGGTTATTTATACTATCTAAATTGATTGATGTTTCATATGTATGTAATTGTTTTATGCTAAATTAGTTTATGGCTTTGCTTGTTTGTTCTTATGACATATAGTTTTGATTTCTTGTTTGGTCTTGCTTTCGTGACCTTTGGTTTAAACCTTCGTTTGGGTCTTGTGAGTTCCATTGCGTCATAGTAGTTCTCGGTACCGGGCTGTTGTGCCGGAACTATTTCATTGGCTGGATTGGTTCTGACATTAGCCCCCCCTAGGCTCTGTGCTCGTCCCTGAGCACCTAAAACTGGAGAGCCGATTGAGATAGAGCTAGGAACAGTGGAGTCAACCATAGGGGAATCAACCATAGGAGAGTCAATGTCAGTTATAGATTCAGAGTTTTCGAGAGTAGTGTCCATAGGTACGGGTGCATGTTTAGTGATAGGAGAGGTAGGTAAAGGCTTAAATTGTGGACTTGAGGATTTTTCGGAAGTAGGACTTGGTGGTGTTGGATCGATAGGGTCAATAAAATCGGTGACTTCATTTTCGGTAATAGGTGGAAGAATTATTTTTTGTAAAACCTGGGTTCCAGTTTCTTTTTCGAAATCACGCCAAATTTTTCTTGTCTCAGTCGGATTAAACCATGGTTCTTCGGGTTTCGGACCATTAGCAGCTTTTAAGCGATCAACGTGAACGAGTGATTTCAATGGTTCACCCGCGATTGTTTCCAACTTGTACGTTCCAAAGTCAGGGAAATTTTTCACCACCATGTAGGGACCTTTAAAAGTTGGTTCCAGTCCATACTTGCCTTCGTTTGTTAGCATTACCATGTCACCAATTTCAAAAGATACAGGCTTGATGGCAGCATCCCAGCGAGTCTTGTCCTTTTCACCCATGGCTTTCATTCTAAACTCTGCAGCAGCACGGTCTTGACCTAAGGACGCCAATTCACGTGAGGTGAAATCGGCTACAGTTCGAGGATCTTTAAAAACCGATGAGTCAATGTAAGGACGCATGACATCACCAGGTATGCGAGGTTGTCGGCCGTAGGTTAAATAGTAAGGGCTGAATCCCGTGGTAGAATGTATGCGAATACGACAGGCCCAAAGGGCAGCATGGACGAAATCATCCCAACGATGAATGGCACCATTAGTGTACTTTCGAAGCATTTGTTTTATGACGCCGTTAAACCGTTCAACCTTGGAGTTCGTGCGGGGGTGATAAGCACTGGTAAGTTTGTGGTTAATACCAACACGCTTTTGGTACTCTTTCATTAATAAGCTGCAGAAATTAGATCCACGGTCGGTGATCAACTCAGAGAAGTTTCCAAAATTCATGACAATTTCTTCATACAAGAAATCAGCAACGTTTTCAGCCGAAGCAACTGGCATAGCACGAGCAACGCACCAATTTGTAGCGTAATCAACACCAATTAACAACCAACGATTACCTTTTGTGGACGTGGGCAGATCTAAGAAATCCAAATGCCAACGATCAAATGCGGTGGGAACTTTTAGTGGGTGCATAACATCCTTGTGAGCTAGACCTCGTCGACTATTTAGTTGGCATGCCGGACAGAGTTTCAACCAGTCAATAATATCTTGTTTGATTCCAGGCCACCAAAAACGAGAGAGCATGTAGTACAACGTGGTTTTTATTCCTGCGTGACCTAATGATTCATGATATTTGGCAAGAGTATCCGCCCGTTCTTCGAAAGGTAAATAAGGTACATCATGAACTTGATCGGTATTTGGCAGTTTAACATGTCTATAAATACGATTGGAGATAATACTGAAGTTATTTTGTTCTTTGTTTAACACGTCGTTAATCTCATCTGATTTTACCTTATCCCTTGATAGAAATAGTAATGGCCAGTCCGCACGTACCAGAGGAGGTAGTTTATCCCAAGCAGCATATAACATGTCAGGTTCGAGTGATTCTTCTTCAGGAGCCATCTCTTCTGACGAGTAGTTCATACGCGATAGAACATCAGCAATTTGGTTGTCTTTTCCCGCTTTGTAAACAATGGTTGGAGCCATAGCTTCTATTTCGTTGATCCATCTGACAAGTCGACTGGGAGGATTTTCTTTGGATCGGAAATATTGTAGCGGCATATGGTCAGAATATACGGTATAGCCAGCAGGACAACCATCAACGTAGCAACGCCATTTCCTTAGAGCATAAATTATACCCAACAATTCTTTTTCTTGCGCAGGCATACGAGATTCGCTTAACGTGAATTTTTTTGACTCGAAACAGATTGGATGCCAAGGCAATTCGGAATCATCATCAGGTTGGTAGAGTACTGCACCACATCCACGATCGGACGCATCGACTTCAATTTTGAAAGGTTTGTTCATGTTAACGAGTTTAAGAACAGGATTTGAAGTAAGCACCTTTTTTAGTGTATTGAAACTTTGTTGGCAATCTGGGTTCCAAGTAATGGGCCGTTTCTTGTGACCAGTTCCACGAGTGAGATCAGTTAGAGGGGCTGCAATGGAAGC